TAAGGGCGCCCAGTATCCTGTTTGGTCATTGTTTCTGCGGTTGGCCGCTTGTTAATTTTCATCCGATCTTGTGGACGATCGCTGGCATCGATGTCTACTGGGAGATGGGAGGATTTAGGCACCTCTACCCAGAGAGTCGGTTCAGCACTTTCAAGTCGTCCTTGTTGCTGTTCTCGTTGTCGTTTGATGCACATATTCATTGCCCGAGCCAGCTTTCTCGGGCCACAAGGTTGGCTCACAAACTCAAAAAATGTCGCTTCACTTCGGTTTTTAGAAGCAACATACATGCGATGAGCTTCCTCTGGTGACTGGCAGATGACGATGACTGGTGAATTTTGGGTATCTCCAAAACCGAAACGACGGGCAAGACCGAATATGTCTCTTCCTCCAACATCCTCGCAATCCAATTCTGTCTGTACTGCTAAGAAGAAGTCGAAATCAAAGGTTTCCCCCTCCGATGGTGAGAGATTGGTCACTTCAAACCCAAACCATTCGTGGCACATTCGTTCCAATGACGAATACAGCGCTGTGTCACGTTGCGACCGGAGGGACTGTCCGAATCCTAGGATTCCCATCTTGCGTCCTTCCGTTTGAGCTTTCAGCGAGGAGATGGATCTCGATGACGACGAATCGGAAGTTTTAATTGACTTGGCGAGTGGTGCGTGAATTGAGATCTGAGTGCCCTGCCCCAGAGTCGATTCAATTTCAATAGAGCCCCCGAGAAGACTGACAGCCTGGCGTACAATACTCAGTCCTAATCCACTGCCGGATGCAAGAGGATCCTCCTGCTTAAATGGGCTGAACAGGTCGTTTTGTAGGAACTTTGGCCCAATGCCCTTTCCGGTGTCTTTCACAGTAATGGTGACATAGAACCCCTGCTTTTGCTTGCTATGAGACTTCTTGGGCGTTGAGTTAGAGCTTAAAGATGACTTCAAGCCAAGGTAGATATATCCAGAAGAGGTATACTTGAGTGCGTTGCCAAAGACGTTCATAAGAATGCGTCTCCAGGCACCGGCATGAGTCTCAAAATCCCATTCTGTGTCAGGGTCAATGTCAAAAATGACCGTGACCTGACTAGCTCGAGGGCCAACAGGATCTGCTTGCTTAGCCTGGCCGGCGGATCGAGAGGAAGACTCCGTAAGGGCCGGAGGAGGTGCCTGTGGATGATTATAGAAACAGTGACCGGCAAACACACAGTCTGTAACTTCCTCAAGAACAGCATCCAGCTCAACATGAGAAATTGATGGGTTCTGACCAAGGGGCATATTCCGATGTGAGTTTGATTTCTTTCTGCGCTTTCCATTTTGAACAGTATCACCTTTCCTGTATTGATCGATGAATGTCAGATCAAGCAGGCTGTTGATAGTATCCAGCAGAGTACGACCACACGACTCGACCGTATGAACCATCCCATGCTGGAGTGCATTCATGGCTGTGTCACTCAGAATATCGGCCGTGCCCAGGATTCCGTGCAGTGGATTTCGGAGTTCGTGCGTAATGCTACTGACAAGGTTGCTCTTTGCCCTCTCCGCCACCTCGACATCAATGCGCCGGATTTCCGCCATTATACTGTTTGCGAAGGCAGATGTATAGACTAGTTCGTTTTCCAATGTGAAGATGCGGTGCGGCTCATTTGTCCAGATTAAAGCTCCCGCAAACCATCTTTTTCGATCTGAGTCCCAGATTGGTAAGACGAGAACGTTTCTGGCACCGGAAAATATTTTGATCAAGTCATCAGCATGCCGCTGGAAAGATGACCCGCGAGTGCGTTTGCTGGACGTGCGACGGTCTTTCTCATGAGGCGTGGTAGCGTTATCAGATCCTGACTCTTTCTGGCCTCGATGGTCACTGTCCTCTGAGACCGAGCCATTTGAATTGTATGTAAAGATTTTCCCTTGTGGATAGCGGTTAATCAGAGAGGTGAATAGCGGCTCTGGTACCATGACTGCTCGTCCAGCTCTTTCCTCGTCATTGATGCTCGACATCCTTGAGCTTGAAAACCCTAGGCATTCGGATACACGCGTGTTACCATTTTCAGAATCCTGATCGGTATCGGAAATAGATCTGCGAGATGATGATTCCGAGCCAGCGCTTTCATCCTCACCGCTCGACTTGGTCCCATCGTAACTACCGGAGCCAGACAATCTTCGCTTATTTACATCAACCAGATCTCCGAAGCGCTGGGAATCCGCATCAAGAAACATCACCCCTTCTGCCCCAATTGACTCTCTCAGTAAATTTGCTGCGCGTGAAAAAACGTTCCTTATGCTGGTAGGGAAATCGTCTTGTTTTAGACCACTCCCTGTCAGGACGGCCCGCGCGGAGTTCTTATCTTGAGTGAATTCTATTCCGGCGATTTGGGGATTGTTTGCTTGGTCTGGGGGTGGTTTCTGAACAGAGCCGTCCGATTTAGGACTACTGGCTCGAGAACGATGAGCTCTGCGCGGTGGTTGTCGAATTGCAAGGCTTTTCCTGCCCGTTTCCTGGGCAAGCTGTTGTAAATCTTGCTGCTCGATGTTCAGCTGGCCCTCTGTAGATTCCCCAGAGGTTTCTGCTGCAGAGTGCTGAGCATGTGCCTCTGACCATGAATCGCGAAGTGTGGATCTTCCTTCGACAAAGCTGCCAAGCCCAACAATCATGCGCTCTGCTCGGCGGCTTTTAACTGTCGCCTCTCTCATTGCCAGGTGTTCCATCACAGTCGCAGCCAGGTCCTTCAGAAACTGACGAGAGTGTTGGTCGGGTTCTGATGATCTTGCCTTGCTGTCCATGACGGTCAGAGCACCAATCTTGTATCCACGTGGACTGATTATTGGAACTGCGATAAAAGAACGTATTTGCGATAACCCAGCTTGCAGGTTTGAAGGGTTGAAGCGCTCGAAATTTTTCACATCCAGAGCAATGAAGATGTTGTCCTGGTCGCCTGAATCTCCAGCCTGATGGCCGCTGGGACGGCGCGATGTTGACTCGACACAATGACATAGCCCTCTCTCTTTCGGGAATACGCAGCTCCCCAAGATTAATCGCTCAGAATCATTTGCCATGCGACCACCAATTAAGCTCAGGCTTGGAGTGGCCTCCGTCAGTACATGTTGGTGGGTGGAGTCAAATAGAGAAATAAAAGCTCGCTCAACACCCAGTCGATTTGTAGCTAGCTGGGCGTAAGAAGTCAAGGCCGAGTCCGAGGAGGCTTGTGGATTGAAGCCATCACTACTGGCGCGGTCGAACGGGGCATAGCGCGACGAGGATTGTTCGTGTGGAATATATCTGTCAAACAACGAGCAATCAGTTAGCCAAAAGGAGCCTAGACTAGCTGATATATCATTGCCGGGGCAGTTTTAATTGTTAATCAAAGGGTGGAATCATACTTGTGGAATTCTCGTTCTTGCGCCAGTCTATAACGCGAGTGCGCACCAAGACCTATGATAGCAGCCATCGTCGGCGACGATCATATGAGAGCAATGCAGATTCGCGCGAGGCTCACTCATGTTAAGCAGCACCGTGGGGGTTTATTAAAAGCATTGGGAATTGGGCTAACCCGGTTTTCCACAATTGTAGAAAAGGGTGGCGCCCAATTATGTCTATGGATTCTTCGTTGCGGGTCCATTCAATGCAATGATGTCATCGATAACTTAACGCCACAGGGAATTATAATTTCTAAAATCCACAGTTTAACAATCAAGGGCTGCGAGTACGGAACAGGATAAGGTATATAAAATAAATTTCTTGTAGCTGGCCTCCTAGCAAAAGCTGGATGTAGGGGAGCTGGCCGTTCTGGATAGGAAATCGCAGCGAAAAATGAATTGCAACCAAAACGCAAGAGGTTTCACTGGGCTACTGGCCTAGCTAATTGCGGAATTGTTTTCTCCTTTGATGTCGTCAAGTCTATTAAAAGGATATTTTGGAAAGCGCTGAAGTTGCGTATTTAGTGCATCATATAAATCTTGGAGCCTCTCGTTCTCTTGCTTAAGCTCTTCGTAGCGATCACGAAAAGCAAAAGCAATGCGTTCTTTCATCTGTATCCAGTATGGGCACTGGGTGTGACTATCCTCAAAATAAGCACGACTCGTCTTCAACTTTACTAGCTCGCTTCGGGCCGCCACAAGCTCGGATCGGAGCTTTATCTTTTAAGCCGTGTAGGTATGTATCGAATAGTCGCACAGTCAGTTGAATGGTCCTCGATTGTACCATCGGTTTCCTGTTAGAATGAGTGCCTCACCCAAAATGTATATTATTGAGTGTTAGTAAAATACTCTTAGGAATTTGCCAAATTCATAGCGTCGTTCGTCCGATAGCCGGGGTGGGCGAGTTTGATCTCAAGTGCCAGTGGATATTACTAGGCTTGTTCCCCGGGTTGGCTACGTGTAAGCACAGTATGTTTAACACCTCTGACATATCCTATCATCTAGCACGTGTTAGAAATCTACTAACCCTACTAGTAGGCTGAATCTGGCTGAGTGTATTGAGCCCCTTCAATCTCGTATCCTTCAATCCATGTGAAATACCTGACACTAGGTCTGATCTGATAAAGTGTTAAGCACCGTGATCAAACAAATCTCAAGACCCATGTGCCCAGGTGTTAAATATTCAACTCTTGGCTTAAGCTATAAAAGTACTACATAATGAACAGTCAGCACTAAGTCAAACTGCGTACATAATTCAACAGCCTGGTAGACCCAACTTATTCTCAGGCGACCAATAGTAAAAGCCTGAGATCTACCCCTATGCCACACGATTCTCCTAATTTCATTTCATTTACACTGTCATCACTTCTAAATATCAAGTCAACTACCCACGGCAATTTAAATTCTACCTGTTCCTTTCCGATCGCGCGTATTCACCTCACCCTCGCCATTTCTCCTGCTGCAGCATATCCTTCGTCATAGCCTCCTCACAATAGCTTCAATTGTCATTGATCATAAAACTTGTTCAACATGATTCTAGTTCTAATTGTACTCTTACCAAGTCTAGTCCTGACTCTTGCGCAGCTCCAAAGTTCAACATCACTCCAGTCGAAGGGATCCGTGATTCTCAACTTTGTCCAGAGTATCGGTAACACGAGAACCGTCTCCATCAAACAACATACTGTCGTAAGTCGTCGCACCAATGACGCAACCAATAATTGGGGCGAAAAGGGGCACGAGGAAGTAGTAACCAGCTGCCGAAAATACCTCCCGACCGTAAGAGAATAGCAGAGAATAATCTTGGGCCGAAATCTCTAGCAGGATTGAGTGCCTAGAAATAGATTTAGTCATTAGTTAGTCTCTTTGTAGAGCTCAGTAGTCATCGGCTAGTTTAAAAAAACATACATAACCAGTCTGCCAGCCCAGTGCTGCTCCGATGCTCAGGAGAAGCAGAAACATGGACAATTGCGGGGCAGGGAATCGCTGGGCATTTCTAGGATCTGAGATACTGAAAGCACCAAACATCAGCACAGCTGAGCCAAGCACTTCAGAAAATACGGCTTCCCAGTTTGATGCGAAGGAGGCAGAGGGATAGGTCGAAAAGATTCCCGCCGAATGGTGACCTGTCGGGCTCAGGATCGATCCCCAAGGAATGGTATACTCGGGATCCCAAGCCAGAATAGCCGATCGATAGTTGACATATACGAGCGCAGCACCGACGAATCCACCCAAGAACTGCGCCAGCAGCTTCCCTGGAATGGATTTCCACTGGCCAGCAGATGGACGGACAAGAGCAACACAGATTGTCACGGCCGGGTTGATCGTTGGACTAGGATCGGAGAGATAGCTGGAGAGACAGACGGCAGCTGCCCATGCGATGTTGATGGATAACCAGGTGCCATACTGGTAGTCGGACAGCAGACATTGAGCGACAACTCCATCGCCAATGACAATCAGTAGGGTTGTCCCGAGAAATTCAGCCAGATAAGGCTTCAATGCCCGGCGAGGAACCATTCGAACCATTTCTATGATGGATGATATTCCCAAGATTTGCTCTGTTTATTCTGCCAGTGTATCCCGGACCCGTGGACTGCGGAAAACAGAATTCCAGGGTGGTTTGTGCTCCTCACTTAAAAAGGGGGGGCTGGGGGCTGGCGCTTGACGTCACATTAGATCGGAACTGCCAAACGCGGCATGCCGATCTAGTATAGCGTTGTGATCCATTGCATTGCATTGTTGTACAACATAAAAATTGCAGTCCATGTGATGGATAATTAATTTTCGCATGTGAACATCCGAATCAGCGACACTAATCATTTCATCCTGAGGTCTTCTGCTACTCAACGATTTTGCAAAGAGCCACATACTAGTTGCTCAGATAAGTCTCATAGCAAAACAGAATCTTAGCACATTGAACGCAGAATGTGTAACGTGGGTCACTTTCATATAATAAAATACTATCATTTCAATACTTTCAAAGGGATTTTTGAAGTTGCTTGAAGGTTGATTTAAACTTCGTAACTTCCAACATGAAGGTTTCCAGCTTGCCGACGAACGTACTATTTATAGGCGCATTGCCCGGGTCGAACCTTTCGTGTTGTACGGCGGTTCCAAAGCCCTGGAGGTTGACTCATGCACCTAGTTCCATTTCTCAGAATATACTTTCACGGATGTCTTTAAATGCTGGGCAAGTCATGGAATCTTGTCTTGACGCTCTCATATACTTTATTCATCTTCTACTCGAGCTGCGAATTTCGCATTCCTATTCTTCGGCTTTGTCGCTTCCCTGTGTGAAGCATTCTCACCGTCGTCGACGTCGCTAGCACCCGTGGTTAGGCGGAATGAGCGAATAGCCTCTATGATCGCTTCATTTTCCAGGTCTGTCGCCAAGTGAATAGCAGTCCTCTTTTTCTTGTTTAGGACACTCCAATCAGCGCCTCTCCAAACCAAGCACGTTGCAACACTCTCGTGTTGCTGAGACACTCCAAGATGTAGAGGCGTCTGCCCGTTACGATCCTGGACGTTAATGTGTGCCCCATGATCCAAAAGCATCTCAACAATGTGGGTATTTCCTATGGACGCTGCACAGTGGAGTGCCGTCCGTTTCTCCTGATCCGCAGCGTGGACAATATCGCCTGCCTTCTTGATCAACAACTCTGCAGCTCTCGTTTCTTGTTCCTCAACGGCCCAATGCAGAGCTGTGCGCTCGTTGTCATCTCCTTGTTTCGGATTTGCTCCTCTCTCAAGCAATAGCTTCACTACCGAGTCCCTCCCTCCGGACGCGGCGATATGAAGCGGCGTTAGACCGAGTTTTGTCTGTACGTTGATGTTTGCCCCTTTCTCAAGCAAGAGCCATACAGCCGAGTGGCTTCCACCAGATGCAGCGGAGTGCAACGGCGTCCAGCCTAGTTTTGTCTCTGCATTGATGTTCGCTTGATTCTCTAAGAGAAGCCATAAGATCTGGAGGGAGATATTGCCGTTGCTGCATCTTTCTGCTACAGAGTGGAGCGCTGTCATGCCTTTCCTATCCGCCTTGTCGACATCTGCGTGAGCCTGGATCAACAACCATGCGGTCATCGCCCGGCCATAGTTGACTGCCCATCGAAGTGGTGTCAATCCATCCGCATCAGTCGCATCCAGATCAACTCGCATCTCAACTAGGAGCTTAATGATATCCTCCCGTCCCTCTTGTGCCGCCCACCTGGTCAATGTCCACTGGTCACCGCTGGAGGTCTCGATCGATGCCTCGTGGCGAATCAACAGCTTGACTATTGTCTTATGACCCTGGTGTGCTGCCCAGCGTAACGCGGTCCACCCATCCGTGTCGCGCGCGTCCACTTCAGCCCCAGCGCGCAGCAATATCTCGACTATATTCAATTGGCCGTACGCGGCGGCCCATCTTAGAGGCGTCCATCCTTGAGTGTCTTGGGGGTTAAGATTAACTGTCCCTGTCGACAGTAAGAAGTTGACTAAGGCCTCGTCTGCGCCGTCTTTACCCATAATCGCCATATGCAACGCTGTTTTTTTTTTCAACGTTTGATATGTTCAAATCCACGCCCTGATCAACCAAGAGCTCTCAGGAAATCTCGCTGGCGATAAATTATTGCCCAGTGCAAAGGTGTCTCCTCACGATTAGTCTTTGGATTAAAATTGATGTCCCTGTTACGCTTCATCGCCTTTTGCACCGAACTAACCAGCCCGAAGTAGGCGGCAATATGCAAGCCTGAGGCGTTTGTCCCCTGCTGAATTCGGGAGTTTTCGATAGCTCGCAGAGCTCTGTTCAATGCTTTTTTATCGCAGAGAAATTCCCAGGCTAGCTTGTGAACGTTCCCCCTGACTCCATACAATATGTGATTGCCCCAGTACTCAGCCGCATATTTGAAGAGAGGATAGTCATGGAAATCAGCGTCTAACGTATCTTGTGAGTTGGTTGTTTCGTTCAACTGCCTGGGTGGTATATTAGTGAGACAAAGCAGACAAGCCTCGGCTATCGCTGAGTGGGCGTCCTGAAAAATTGCTGAGCTTTTGTTTTTGAGGTACTCCTCTGCAGTATCGTGCGCCAGGCGGACCGATTTGCCTTTGTCAACAACAACGATCCCAGCGCAGACTGAAGTGAGAACCCTTTCAGTCCCAACAGTCAAATCAGCTTTGGGCAAGGGTGGGTCCCCAGGTTGAGATCCAGCAAAAGCATCCTGAATGGCGATTGCATGTGTCAGTTCGTCAATGGTCAATGCTCTTTCGGCAAAGACGATCCATTTAAGCACGTTGATGGCCAAATCACGGTAGACAGGGTGCTGCATTCTTATTCTGTCTAACGCCGTCCGGTACACCTCCTCCGGCGTTCTTGAAAGCTCAGCTAAGCCACGTGTGAATCCCTCCAGATTATGAGTATTCTCAAGGAATTTTATATGGAGATCAACGAGAAGAAACCTGAGCTTTAATGTCAGTAAGACTCCAGTGTAGCGAAGAATTGCCAAAAGAAAACTTGCATTCCTTGAGACTTCTCCACGATGACGTCCAGAGCATTTTCTAAAAACAAAGCGTTCTTCTTAAGTCCAGATTCGACCACAGATTTCAGATGTGAATGATTATCGATAGACTGGCGCAGGTATCCTTTCATTTCATTGGAATCAGCAGTTACATCAATTTCAATACTAGCGTTTATCAGTGGGGCAAAGTTCACGCTTGGCCTCGACGTGAAGAGCATATGAGCCTTTACTGGGAGCGATCGAAAAGCTCGTAAAAGGCTGCTTAAAGTCTTATTATTGACATCGTCAATACATTCATCCAACGCATCAATGACTATGAAGACTTTAGAGAATGTCCTAATTTGAGACTTCAGCATCTCCATATACTCGTCTGGACTAGGGTAAGTGTGTCTGATGTTCCAAGCTTCGTATATCTCTTGGATCTCGGCAGAGACAATATCGCGACCCAATAGAAGTTGAAGTAGCAAGCTGGACAGGAGATTTGTCAGGTTCTGGACTTGATGTTTCCTGTAATCAAAGTAAATGTAAATACAGGCTACATTCCGGTAGTCCGAGTAGAAAGTCTGGAGGTGGTTGATGATAATCGATCTGTGACTGGAAGTTAATACTTGAAAATTCAAGGGGCCAGATATGAAGGTCTTTTTTCGTACGCGAGGACCGTTTTTCCAGTTTTTGCTGATACCATTAAATCATGAACAAATCAGGAAATTGGGTAGTATCCTCTTACGAATACCATGACACCACAACTTCCTCAAGCCTCCGTCTCTCCAGTCATCTCTCCACTCAATGAAATTTGATGACTTGAGCAACCATTGCCCGGAATTGGGTGTCTTTTTGGAAATTTGGAACATTTTATGCTGTACCTCCTCGAATGGCAGCGGTTGGGAAATTTGTTCAAGCCAGCGTACAATCATTATTTTGATGTTACCGTCTTGTATCTTACCGTCTTGTATCTTGTAAGTAATTAATTTACACAGTAGAAAGACTCATTGGGAAAACTAACCATTCGGATTGTATTGATTGGAATGATATACTAACTCGACCGCACATCAGTTGATTCCTGAAAACCAGTCTTCATCCCTTGTTTAAAATATTCATGAAATCCATACCAAAGCTCATGTTGCCAGCGGAGTGGAATTTGTGTCCCATTGTATTTTCTTGATGTCCTCCGGTAGAAACAAATCCTCTTGCGTTATTTGAGTTGGTCTGGGTAACGCTCGCGCCCTTCGTGTCGAAGTCCGAGTCCGGCAAGGACGGCTCGACGGCTGAGAGCTCATTAATGGCATTCTCCAGCTTTACGGTCAGCCCCTGGCTGGTCACCTTGAACAGCTGGTGGATTGCTAACCCTTTCAGGTTGCTTAGCAATTCCTGCATGAGCGTCTCAACCTTATGCGATTTTCCCAGGTAGACCACCGTTTTACGATAAAGATTAACGAGGGCAGACCACTCGTTTGCATCCTTTTCTTGCTTCATCGCTTCGTCAAGGTCGTCAAATATCTTATTCAGTGCTATAGCCTTCTCTTGGCAGTTATGGATGACGGGTTCAATCGCCTTCTTGGCCGATTCATCGGATGGGCCTTGAAGCTGGCCACGAGCAAGTTCCAAGGTCTCTTTCACGAGAGGAAGATTCTGACCCACTCCTTTAAAGGCCTTCGGGAGACCTCTCAGATGCTGAATGGCATTATACGTTGAGGATATGGATCCAATTATCGCGATTGTGGCTGCAGTGATGCTGAGGGGATCCATGTTTGTCAAAGGCGATAAATCTCGCAAGGGATATCGGAATTGCTGTAGACCTGAGTGCTGACCGCGATTTACCTGACCACTTGAGCCTTACCGCGGAGAGTGAAATGGTTTTTGTAGTGTTGTACCAAATATACCCAGGAAAGAGAGAGTTTCATTGAGAACCAGGAGTGACTAGCGGAGCATGTCCATGGCAGGACTTTCAAGTTTCCGTACGTCTCTGCTCTTACTGACTTACTGGGCTTGATATGATGGACGGCCCCCAACGGTATTTGTTGGTCGAAGTATGAATGGCAAGTCCTTTAAAGTTTCTTGTACTGTCATCATACATTTTACTGGTCTGACAGCCTCAAGTTTGGATCATTGATGTATATGCGGGGCTGAGACTCCAGGCCTGCACCTGTGTATTAGCTAGTACTTACCCCACTGAGGTATACAATTCGTAACTTCACAATATTATCGGCAGAATACCGGCACAACGAGAGAATAAGATACAAAGGTTGGAAGAACAATGTTTGTATTTCTTTCCAGATCTTTTGCGTGGAATGCTTGCCGCACTCCTATCGCGTGCTTTCGCCCCCACTTAGTGCTAAAAATTTTCGTGTACTTCGCTTGCTTTTTGGTTTCGCTTTTTTTTCGTGACCGAGAAGTTTTGACTGTATTTATGGCATCCATCAAAATCGAAGGACGTGGCTTGCGTTAAGTGGCCACTTCACGCCTATCTCCACTGCAAGTTGCTGCTATACCAGTACCATCGCATCCAATACGGAAACAAAGCACCCGGCGCGCGGCATGGTGGCAGCAGCATGCAGCAGAGATGCCACAGAGCAACCAGTTAACGGAGGCCACGTCCTTGCCTGGGTGCCATACATGCCGTCAGCGTCGCTTCTCGCCCGTCTCCGCTTCTGAGTGCAGGAATTTGAATGTAATAGCACCATATCTTGAGCATACCGTAATCTTCTGGCTGAACGATCCTGTGTAATTACGATCCCGTCCGCGTGTTCTCGTGCGTTCCCCTCTATCACTCTTCCCTATCCGCTTTGACTTCTTTTGATAGTCAAAAGTTGCCTTGACCTGAAGTACTGACCATAAACTCCCATCCAGTCTACCACTGTAGTAGTGGCCTTGGTTAATACCGAGAGGAAATAGTATTGAACGGTTATCTATATCGCCCGGCCCTTTGTGACTTGCCTAATGCTTTCTTTCGCATTTCAAGTTCTGCGACGCGCTTGCATCTCTATGTGCCCAGGTGAATGGATGATCCATGCTCTCCCCTCTCTCGCCCCACTGCTCGTCCGATGCCCCGCTTTATACTAGTCAACCATAAGAGTTAAAATCCACCCCCGCGTGTTTGTGATCTCATTGGCTTTGCATGGCGGAGGCGCAGGATACAACCACTGAAGGCAGCCCGTATGACTCACAGTTGAGGCTCAACGCTGTCTCATGACATCTCGCATGTATTGTCAAGCTGAGGCTCTTCTGCCTCCGTATTTATGTGGGGCACCTGACAAAACACACTTCGAAGTTGCTCCCCCTCCCTCCCCATCCCATCCATAGCACACTCCCGTTAACGATTGTGTCTTGATATATTGAATATCATTCGTCTTGAGTAGCAACGACAACAAGCCCAAGGCCCTTGGGTAAGGAACAACACCAATAAATTTAATATCTGTGAGAGATCAAAGTGGACGATGGCCCTGGAAGACCAGCGTGGGCAGCCTGCTCGCACCAGACGCGTTCGAGATGAGCAAGACCCCGGGCTCCAGACAACAATTCCGGAGGAGCCGAATGAAGAAGACACTTGGAGTGATGACGCGAATTGTGGTGACATGCCGTCAAAACCAGGCAATCGGCACAGGAAACCAAAGAATGACCCAATTTCCAACTCTCGTCGACATCGCCAGCGCGAGCCTGTTTTGCCCCCGAAGTTGAGCAAATCTCGGAAAGAAAAATATGCCAATGACCCCGGTAGCTTTGAACAGGCTGGTGGTCAAGCTGTTCCGTATGGCCGTCCAGGTTTTTACGGCCATGAGCCCTTCGTGCCGTTATCTCAACCAGCACCCCCACCTGTTTCAACTCAATACCCACCGAATCCATATCTCCCAAACCGGCATTCATTCTTTCAACATCCAATGGGCGATCCTACAACCCCTATCAGTGACCAATACATGAATAGCCACCCCGGAGTCCCTCCACCTTACCCGTATCCGATGAACCCGGGCCCCTATTCTGCGAACATAGAGCCCCAGACCTTTTTCCCAGACCCTGGACATCATTACTTGAATTATCCCCACATTCAGCCTCAACCTGTCCCATCATTCGAAGGTATGCCTATGGCGGGAAAACCGCCCCAAACTGCCGCGCCCTCGACCCTTGAACGCGAACTGGAAGAAACCAGAAGGGAATTGGACAATATGATAATAAGCCAGAAACGTGAGAGGAGAGCTCTGAAGAAGCAGAATGAAGCGGCAGCGCAGAAAGAGGCAAAGAGGGACTCCGAGGCGCGAAATGTAGAGCGCCTGGTCAGAGAGGAGATTAGCAAAGTATTGGAGCGAGAAAGGAGATCGATGGACTTCGAAACACAATCAGAGCCGGTCAGGGCACGGGCAGGCGACGATATAAGAGGTTACCCGACACCTGCACGACATGCACATGATGATATGCAGTATTCTAACGAAAGGCTTGGGGAGTGGGATCAGCTGCGGGAGGAAATTGCTCAACTGGTCGAAGGAAGGAGGCAATACTTGTCGCAAAGGGTACCATCGAGGGGCAGTCCGGATGCCCCAGCCAGGACCAAGCTTCAGGTCAGACCAAGAACTGCCTTTGGCCCTGTGAATGACCAAGACTTTAGAGACCGGGTAGAGGATGTTGTGATAGACCTTCTGCGGAGTCTAAGGTCCAATGACGATGAGAGTGAATGGCTACCCTCTTTATCGTCTCCATACCGGACAATGTCCGATGGCTACCCTGCAAGAGAGGGTCAGCAGCGTCCACGGAACTGGCAAACTGGCACGTATGGTAGCAGGCCTATCAATCCTGTCATATATTCCTCAACCTTTGCCCACGAACGCAAGGATGACGCAAAGTTTTCTGGTTCCCCTAGAGACTTTGAAGCTCATCAGAATGTCCCTCAAGATATAGGAAACCGAGGATATCCCACCAATACAGGGCAAAATGGCGGAACTTGGGACAGACGGAATTCTGGCCGGTTTAGAGGACTTGCAACAGCTGGCCGACAGGTGGAGAATTCAGACCGGCTTGGGGGTCCCCGATACCCTGAAATGCCTATAACATATCACGAGGGCTTCCCGGATGAATTGGATGACCAAGAATTCTTCCTGACCGCCAGTCGGCTCCTTACGCATTTGGCCCTAGCCACTCGGGCCTGGACGATGGTTTTATGCCACCTATGGCACCTGAACCCCCACGGAGGAATCGAGATGTTCCTTATAACGACCAATTTAGACGCCACGCTTGATACATGGTTGGATAAAACAACAATTATACCGAAGAGGAATATGAGCAGCAACTCAACATGCTCAGCTAGATCCAACATTCAAGTAACAGCTTCTTAAAGCCCACAAAGAAATGGATCCAGTAGCTGCAGTTGATATACAAAAATACTTGAAGATTGAGTTAGCGTCTCCCTCGCTCTTTTCACCTGCGCCTATCTCATTCAGGAGAAGAAAAGCAGCATAGTACTGATTTATATAGAAGACACGAACGCGGCAAATTGAGCATCGGGCTAACTATGGTTTCGTAACACTAAAGGAAGCTTAGGCTGCGCACCATCATCCGTCATTTATTTTTCGTCTACGATCGAAGGACAAAAGAATTCTTTACCCTTCAGAGATTGAAAATTCATCAAAGCTAGCTCTAATTACCTTGAAATTATGACTGAAATTTATAGTAGTTATCCCCATATTCTCTTGAAATTTATCGTCTGGGCTTGGCAATTAGGTAAGCCTTGATACTTGATGCTGAATGGATATAACTACCATATCAGTGTAACCTTTTACCATGATAAAGTAAAGGATCACCTACTATAACATGACCTGTTTACATCAGGGAGGCATATAATGGAAGGCCCGGCCTGGCACTCTCTCCCGTAGGCACGTAACTTATCAATTTTCTCAGAGAAAGGGTAGATAATTAAATTCTCAGCCACATATATTGATTACATAGAGTAGGCCGAGCCCGGGTCCTCGACTCGGGAGAGATTAAGCACCAAGTGCCAGGTCAAAACTATTGATGTTGACTGAACCCCCAAGCGATTCGGTCGCAAAGTTAAAAATTCCAAATCGATAGCCCATGAAAAACTCCCAGGTCGTGTTCATGGCAAATGTAGTTCCCAAATCGGTGAAAGAGGAACCATCAGTAGAATAACTAAATTGTGCGGTTGCATCACCTCCTGGTCGAATATCGGCCGAGGCCCGTAAAAATACCGATGTCTCGGAAATATCCTTTGAGGTCTCCAATGCACCGATCGAATTTGTAGTCCAAGCTGAATTCATAGTGATATTTTTCCAGACAGAGATCTGTGCACTTTTATCGGTTTTGATTATACCGATCCAACCGGATACATCGCGGAACATCGCTAATCCTGCTCGATCTCCGGATTGCAGATCGGAGAAATCGATCTCAATGGTAGCGACGCTCACCGGGCCAAGTATCCTGTGAGTCAGGGTATTTCGCGCTTGGTAGAGACTATCGGTCACAGTTGCAGCCCGTAGTGTCAGCCCGTCATTAACGTCAAAGGCAGTCTCATCAGGGTTGTGATTCCATTCCCATTGAGGTCCCAAGGAGGCCCCGGAAAATTTATCTGTACCCGTTGGCGAGGAAAGAACATCTTGATCCAGGGGCACTTCCACAGTAGATGGCCAAGAATTGACATCTGACAATACTGGAAAGTCGTCATCATCAAAAGTAATGGAGGCCAGTACCGGGATTCTACCGCCGGGATATGCATCACAAAATGCCATATAGTACCAATTTCCTTGAGGATCATCGACTATCCCTCCCTGATGAGGAGCTCCGCCATTCGAGACGGGACATGAAGGGGCGTTTGCAACAATATTCCCACCGGTGTAACCTTCAGTAGGAGACGAGGATTTAATAACATATTCGACGGCTGCACCTGGTGCAACGCCGAGAATATAGTAGTAACCATTGATGTAGTAAAAGCGGGAGCCTTCAACATACTTGTCGTAGGTGTACACCACTGTGTTGGAAACTTGGCTGGTCAAGTCGGATGACAGTGTGGCAACTTGGATATTTGTCGATCCATACGCAACCTGCGGGGTATCGTGTTCGTCAAAGACCAGTCCGCAGTCGTAGTAGCAGGTCCCCTCGAAAGTGGCATGCTTGATCCAAGGGCCAGTGGGACTACTAGCAGTGTATACATATGTATTGGCAAACTCAATACAGCCAATCCAATACCATTGGCCATTGCTCGGGCGATATTTGAGGCTGCTAGCCCAGATTCCTTTAACATAGGCGGTGTTTCCATCAGTCATGTTATAGGAAGAACCAAAGTCAAGGCTTGGAACCGAATGACCAATGTATTCCCAATTTTGCAAGTCTGTAGACCTTAAGATTGGGGCACCAGGCGAATAGGCCATAGTGCTAGCACTGTAGTAGAAGGTATCATTGACGCGAATTATTTCGATATCGGCAAGGTCTTGCCATATGACTGGCTGAGAAACAGTTGAGGATGCTCTCTTATTGACACTTGAATGTCCCCGAGTATCGTGAAGGATGAGAGATCCCAATGCGACGACAATGATTTCAGCGTAGGTGAGAAGCGTGAGCCAGAGAGTCAGTCGAGACATCATTGTAACTCTGCGATGGCCGACTGAAGTCGAAATGATTAAAGTTGAAAGTGAGCAATCTCTTTTTTTTTGTCATCTTGTCAGTAGAATATTGAAGAGTTTAAATAGAAGGCTCGAAACAGTGGTTTCTCCTCAAACCGTCTTCGACTTTGGCAATGAAAATTGACATAGATCCATCCGAAGAAAAGATCGGCGATTTCACAGGCAAAGCCCGTATGAGACATCTAGGACGGCTAAATACAAAGTATTCTGGTTGAAATGACGGACTTAGCTATGATCTAACGGATCGTGTGATGTCGATGATCTTTTGTCTTTAGTAGACGGGAGAAATTCAGGCGGAGGAGGAAACTTGTTATTCAGCCCGGGCCAATTTTCCGATGAAGCTGGGTTGAACGTAGGTCCGGTGGAGGCATCCATTATAGGTGGATACGTTTAACCTTTTTTTTGTCGGCTAAATAGTCTCTGACAAGGCTGCTCCTGCACTGTGAACCTCCGGCGGGGCTGACGCGGCTCGCTTGCAAGATGTGAAACGGTTCGGAGAGATCTTTGGCCGATTGCGGGGTTCTATCCTTAAGCCGATATCACCCAGGTAGCTGGAAACCCTTTGAACCCCCTAATACATATCCAATTCTATGTGTTGGATGATTGGTTGACCATCTTAGCGCCCCCAGTTTAGGCTTCCACATGACACCGTTAAAGTATTGTGCTGTTGTTGCATGGTCACCGATTGGCGTAGCACATTACTCACATTCCACTTAATTTGCCAAGGCCCCTGATTCGTGTCAAAGGAATACTCCTATATGAAATTTGACACCTTCGAAACCTGAAGACTAGTGGGCCGAACCCCTTTAGCAACTTGGTTTATATTATGCTATGCACAATCGTATGGCACAATATGCTATATGCCAGCCAGTGGGCGCTACGTGATATCCAGGTTCCACCTCTTTGAAACCGCCAAGCAACATCTCGGGAGTCCCGAGTAAGCTATTTCGACGATCACATCTGCCGAAGTCGTTTGATTGATCCGCCGCCGAGCGACCTGCCGATAGCTCATATGAGATTCTCAGTTACTATATATAAGATCTCGGTATTCAGAGCCGGGGTTTCTATTTTCTACAATTCACCCTTTCGTTCTTCTCTGCCCTGGTGGCTATTCACACTTCGTTTGTTTTGCGATCCTCACAATCACGCTCTTTTCAAATTCTCGCTCATTATGAAGAATTTTGCACTTCTTGTTGGGGCAGCCCTGGCGGCCATTCCCTATGTCTCCGCTCACTATTTTTTCCCTCACTTCATTGCCGATGGGAACTTCACGGGATATTACGAGTACGTTCGTGAGGACACCCAAGGTTATATGCCCTTCAAGGGCGGCTACTCGAAAAGACGATTTCCGCTGCAATACCGGTTCCATGGACTATGCGAGCAAAACAGGTGTATACAAAGTCAAGGCTGGTGAAACGATCGGCTTTGGTACCGACTTCAACGCTCTCATTCAGCACCCCGGCCCGCTTCAGGTTTACATGTCCAAGGCCCCTGGAGATGTGCGTGAGTACGATGGATCCGGAGACTGGTTCAAGATTTACGAGCTCGGTCCGGAAAGTTTTTCTAGCGATGGAATTACTTGGGGTGTGACAGATGTCGGAAACTTTACCTTCCAACTGCCCAACGAAATCCCGGCTGGTCAATACCTTGTGAGAATCGAACACATTGCACTTCATGGCGCTGGGGACTGGGGAGGTGCCGAATTCTACTTCAACTGCGCTCAAATTGAGGTCGAAAGTGACAGCACCACCACTCCGTCTCCTTTGGTCAAAATCCCTGGAGTCTACGATGGATATGAGCCCGGTATCCTGTTCTATATGTATCGCGACTATATCGTCAACTACACCATGCCTGGTCCACTTGCATATCCACTGGCAGATGCAGCATTGCCGAACATCACTGCGTCGGGTATAAGTGTTGCCCCAACTACTGCCTGGTCGGCGCCAGCTGTTACACGCTACGCCTCATCTGTCTCGATTGTTCAGTCAAGCCCTGTTGCTTCTCACTCAAAGGCAGTTAATCCTGGCTCAACTGCCACCAGTGCGCCTTTTGTCCGTGGAACAAGCACCTCGTCGTCTACTTCCTCACAGACGACAGAGGCATCTGGAAAAACTGCTGCTACTAGTCCAGCTTCGAATATGGATTCAGCTCAGGCCACATCTGGTGATGACTCGGTTTCTAGTCCTACGACAACTATTTCTGCTGCTGTTGCTGAAAGCACCTGTGGACTTACCAAGACTGTAACTGTTCACACCACTGTTACTGTGCCTTCTCCTACTAGTGAACCCACCTGTGTTGCGGCCACTTTGACCACGACCACGACCACTACAACCACTATTCTCGCGAAGGCTACTGGGCAAGTCTGAGATATCGAGTGCTAGGACCACTTGGGATTCCATTTGGATTCTACTCGAGATTTTCTTGTATATTACCATTTTACATTTGTAACTGTCTATCTTTGTAGACAGTTCTTTTCAATTGAATCACCTCCAGCCTGACTATTTTGGCATCTTGGAGGCTATTTACCATCGCTCAACGTCACATTCATTCAGATTTTACCATGCAGCTTATGTAGACAGGAGGATTTGAGGCTGGGATGAAAGAATAGATTCTAGCTGGGTGGAACAATGTCTGCTAAATTGGTCTTGTTTTAGAGGATTTCTCGGGGATCATCATCATTTTGCTGCTTTTGGTAACCAAGTGTTCCCATAAAAATGTGAGTTTGATCAATTCTTTTGGGCTACAATATTTTCAACCGTTGCCTGGGAGTTATTTGGTCATTCTTCGTCGAATCCTGCAAGGCCACCCAGATGGGACAGCTAAGAACTGGCTTTTAAACACCCATTCCTTAGTAGGGTCAACTAGCTCAATATCGTAGTCCCGAATCAAGGTTGTCAGAAGTTTCGAGAGTTCGAATTGAGCAAGGTTCCGTCCAGGGCATTGATTGTAACCTGCCCCCCACTGAAAATGCTGTCAGTGCCAGTCTCGGAGCAATAGCGTGCCATACTTACGTGAATCAAAAACGAGTCGATATTCGTGGTGTCTTTCTGAAACCAGCGATCGGGTTTGAAGCTATCACAATCTTCGCCGAAAATTTCGGGATTCCGATGGAAGACCCATGTGTTAATACTGAGAACGATCTGAAATTTCTGTCAGCATTTTTCAACAACTCCTGGTACCGATATATGGCAGCAAATTGAGGGGCTGTGTGGGTTGTTTCGTACTCCTTCGGGGAAATATCTGCCCCCTATAGTCATCCCGCCCGGTGGTACGACTCGAGGAAGGCCGCCAACAACCGCCGAATGGTACCTGTATGTCTCTTTTAGCTATCGAGATGGTTAGCCGATACCACTAGTATTGCATTCTTCAACATTTTTTTTCTTCTCTTTTTTTCGACTTTAGTTCGAATTCTTGAACCAACAGGGAACTTACACAAGCCTGAAGAAACGGCAACTTTTGAGCCTCATTATACTGAACCATGGGAGAAAGTTCGCCCCGTGCTTGAGCCGTGTCTATTTCCTCTCTCACCCGCTGCAGATACTTCGGATGGCGTAGAAGATAATAGATGAGAGCTTGGGCAGTGGCTCCAACAGTATCGGCGCCAGCCCCAACGTTACCAACAGCCGCAGCTAGGAGTTCATTTTCTGCCATACGATCGGGATATTTATCCCGAACATCCAACCAACGCTGCATCATATCATTCCTTATTTCGGGATTCCTTTTCCTTTCATCAATGGCTGCAAGGCAAGTATCGAAAATGTGAGACGAGGGCTGAATCCCAATTCTGCTAAGCAGCGGGTTGCCCAGCGTCAAGTTGTGGAACCAGACATAATGGCCCCTAGCTGCAACGTATCGCGCCAGAACCTTAGTATTTTCCACGGCATTTCTAACATCTGTGCCAGTCTCGATAAAACCAAAGGACTTGGAAAACGTCACTTCGCCTAACACGTCAAAGGCAAAAAAGCTGAACCATTTGTCGAATTCCACTGATTCGCCAGAATCGCAAAGTTTATCCAGGTGTTCTTCGAGATTTTGTAATACTGCGTCAACGTGCGGCTCAAATTTTATGATGTTAGACAGTGCAAATCCGGCAGCGATGTTGCGGTATTTTTCAATGTGGCGGCGAGGGTTCAGCTCGGACATCTGGTTGACATAGTTATAGTCTGGCATGCTGAAGATCGAATACCATGGGCCCTGTCGTAGACTAGTAAGCAACTTGTTATTTTAGTTTAGATCAGGGATATACCTTGGCAATATTCGCGTGGAGAAGCTGCTTAACAGCATCTGGGTGAGACACGCTAACTTCATTTTCTCTAAAATAGCCTGACACTTGAATTAGAGAGGGAAACCCGCAAATTCACGAGAATGCACATTCAGTTTTACATACCGTGCTTTTTATGGAGAGAAATCAGTTCTTCCTCAATATGGCCCTTCCAAAGGTGGTAAACTTGCCACAGCGCCGAAAATGAAGCCAAGATGGGGCCCAGAATATCTGCGATCGGTGTCCAGTATCTACGCACAATTATACGAACAACAACGAAGCAAACAAGAATGACGGCTCCAAAGCTGCGTAAATCTAGCATGGCCGCCCCTGTGGAGACATTGACGAGACCCATGACAATCGCAGAACAGTAGAGTACGCACACTCTTTAATTGAGCCCAGCAAAGGGGTGAGTGGGTTGGCTCCTTGGGGAGGGGATTAGCGGGGTTGAATGAAAATGTTCTTCGTAAGACAAACACTTTTTTTTTTCATTTGCTGCTTAATAGTAGCTTAGGCATAAGCTTTTGCACAAATTTTGTGTATCTTCTCCTGCCGTCTCGCATCGAGCTAAGCTCAGGTAAGTGGATTAGCGTCGAACGGACCGATTCCTTGTGGGGACTACTGCTGAATGGCTCTAATATTGGCATATCATAGGCTTTGTATTATCAGCGTCGAGTAAGTCTTACTACATATGGTTAGATGAGTGACCCCATATGGTTAAAGGGCCGGTCACAATTTGACAAACCTCTTTCTACTCGTACTCCCGAGGAGCGAGCTAGGGCTTTTAGCGAATTCATGAGTCCAGAGATCGGCAGGGATTGTGAGGCCTCGTTTTCTATGAAGATTAATCGATGATCCGGCAGATCTGAGAAGGGGGTTTTTGGACTATTTCATCAAGGTAGCTGACGCGTTTAATCTGAAACGAGAGAGCGAGGCAACTGTTGGATTTGATGCCTTCCATGGATGAACGCTTGTTTAGATATCGATTTATCGATTGGTCGCCATCGTGCATACCCGTATGGGTCAAAGGGGTTACTCTACTATGACTAACACTTACATAACTTCAAGTTGGACTTAACACCTTGGTATATCATATATCATAATCGGAGGCAGCCCTGGAGGCTTTCGTTCCAAGGTTTACATTAATTCAAAATGCAAGGGAAAGGTTGAAGAGCAGTGCTCGTCACGGTGTCATCAATCGATCCATGGATCGTTTCATTAAGAGATATATTCCAAATTGAACCTTGGATGGTTGCCGTAGTGTGCCAAAGTTTCAAGCCGAGCCTCTAGTAGTAGTATAGCTTCTCTGCCCATTTCAATACCCGATCACAGAAGAAAAGAATGTCTAGTCTTCCTGAAAATAACGTCCGATCGGCCTTGAAACGTTCTCCCATCGAGATTTAATCGATTTCCATACCATGCCAGGATGAGAAAATAAATAGAGAGGATATTAAGCGATAGAGCCGATACCAATGCAAGGGAGTCCAAGCCCAGCCAAATCGGAGTCCTACCGAGTTAGTTAGCCCATCTAATAAACAGGAAATCAGAATACTTACAGCCGTGGATGGAGAATGCTGACAGCAGGCGACGTTCTGCTTGCAATTCTGATTGACCAAATCCTGAATCGGAACAGCAATAAGGATTGGAATTTGGATATCCAACTTAGAGCACTGATCGAATAGCTCGATACCAGAGCGACGAGACTTATCGCCCGCATAAAGAGCCTTGTTGCAGCAGGAAAGCTGAGCCTGGTCGCCACACTTGGCCTGGGCTTGTTTGACGGTCATGTCGTCGGGAACGCTGAAGCGCACATCGGTGTTTCCTTGGTTGGCCGCGCCGTTGCCATTTCCAAAGCCGCCAGCCGAAGGAGGGAGAGCGATGACTGTAGCGGCGAGGCTGAAAAGAGTGAAAAGGGTGGGTTGCCTGGTCGCGGGCGTTGGAAGTTTGTATTTCAAATGAGTGACCTGGAAAAAGAACGACGCGGTTTGAAGAGATGCTAGGGAAGTGAACGCGGAGGGAGGAGCAGCAAAGTCACTCACCCACTCGCGACAAAGCCGGAAAATAAGTCCGGTGTCATACTCTTTGTTTTGTTCTCCTATCATAATAAAGTTAACCCTGCACTGCCCGGAATGTAGCTTGTGAGAATAGCTTGAGACTGCTGCTTCATTGTGTTGCCCTGTGGTGGTTTGTTGCACACCCCTTTCTAAATTATCCCGGCATGGATCTGCGAGGATCGGCATTTCTGTCTCAAAGAGCTAGAAGGATGGGTAGTCTTCGGCCAATTCTGAGCATATGTTTCTACTACTAGTAGAACTATTTTGCAGGCTGATTTACATCACAAATGTACCCTATAAATGTAGTATAAATCCTGAGGTCGGGTAGAACATACTTAAGCCACTCCCGAAACGCAGTTCAGCGTTAGGATACGAAAACAATTTGCGTCTTGGATCGAAAGATTAAAAGAAAAGAAAAATAAGAAATAAAAGAAAATATACAACAGCAGGGACTCGCATGTGGTAACCCACCATACTGCTAACCTCGTTTGGCTAAAATAGTCGAGTGGGTGCCGCTCGGGTGAGAATAGGGTGAGCGGCGCTCTATCGTCGCTCGACTAGGTGATTAAGACGAGTGTGCAATCGACAGGGTGAGAGGCAGGCGAAAATCACACTTGGTCGCATGACTGCTGCACTGACCCTTTTCAGCGGAGCATGTTTTGTATATCATTGGGTACATAATTTGCACTTCGAATCGAAACACAACTTCGACCGGACTGGACTTGCTTCCCGTAGGGAGCGGGCACGAGGCCGTCATTCAGCTGTTACTCGAGGAGGGAGATACTATCGACTCAAACTGAGTAATATCCGGCCACCGCTTTTATGGGCTACGAAGCATAGGCACATCTGCATCTCCCCTTATGCATATTACTACCTTTGAATGCTACCAGACGTTGCCTCCACATGATCGTGTTTTTTATGCTTATATTCGTCCTGCTCGAGCTCCTCACAGTTGCTCAAATTTGGGTTTACAATTGACAAACAGTCAATGGTATTTATCCTTTATCTGCCTCGCTGAGGAATATGGATATATGTTTGAATTCAGAGACACAACTTGAACTTCATTAGATCTCGTCAAGACTCAATCGTATATTTCATTCATCCAGCTGCGCCGTTTGTTTCAGAAATGGTTAGTGGATGCTCTAAACCAGGTCATGTAGTATTGAGCATAAACTCGACAAGACGAGCCCTGGCGCAATATCGAGGAGTTTCCTTTTTGGATTATCGAGGCGTTGGAAAAAGGCCCCCCGTAGCAAAATCAAAATTGCCAAGAACTTCCAAGTTCGCAGGAAAGGACAATAAGGTCGCATGTTGCTATCCTACGAGATCTGTTCCAGCCAGCGCTAGTATTTGCAAATTTAGATTTGGTGCTTACCCCCTAGTATGCCATCGAATGGACCAGTTTTCTAATAGATACTAATAACTTGAATAAAAGATGGTCATAAGATTGTATATTTGTTTGATCAGCTAGCTTATGTAGTCAGCTCGAAAATGTGGTCAGCTCACTTGAGGCTTACCTACATTATCTTAGCCAGTCAGTATTCCTGATATCCAATCAGAATCTTCTACCCCTGGATACTAATAATTACATTGATGCTGAATTTTAAAGCCGGGGTCCTTTTTTTCATAGAAATCTTTTGTTACTAGGTTACGAAATGCAAGTATTCATCCGAGCCTACGATACCGAATTCCAGGAATTCATATTTATCTATGAATCCTTTCATATCCCGATATTTAGCAATGAATAGATTTAAGAGCTAAGCATCATTAGGCGTGCCTTCTTTCAGCTTCCCTGCTTCGAGATTAAGTGAGGTTGACTTTGCAATCCCCACTGGGCTGCATATTCGGGCATTTCAGCTGATTGGGTGTGCTTATTTCATAGATTCCTCCTACTGGCCAATCGGGAAGAGACTTTCGTCGGCAACATTGGCCGGCCATCCAACTCGTCTTTGGCATATTAGGACATCTTTTGACAGAATCTATTCGTAGATTCACCGCAAGAATGTAGATGAGAGAGATAATAAGGTATCCTGCTGGATTTATCGCACCTATTTGAGGTATAAATATCAGTACAATGTATCCCCATTTACTTCTGCTCAAACAATTCATCCAAAGCATCCAATTCTCTGAAACAGTCACCAGACCAACAAGAACAACAGAACTACCCAGTCAAAATGCTCATCAAAACCATCACCGGCTTTTTTCTCCTTGGCTATGCCAACGCTTCCATCCAAGTATCTCTGATCAATCCTAGCGGAGTCAAGATTCCATACAACGTGGACCCTAATGGAAGTTGCTGTAAGTGGATCGAATCCTTTCCCTCCCCAGTTCCCAAGCTAGTCTCAAAAGAAAGAAGAGCTAAAGAGATCCAACAGTTACCCTGAACGGTGGTACTCTCGCCCAATTTAACGATAATCTCCAGCAAATGGTGATTCCGAGTGGCTACGAATGCACAATCTGGGAGTAAGTCCACGCTACCATTAGCCAGGCTGTCAGGGTAGAATCCAGATCAGGGCTAACTATATTTAGGAACTTCAATTGCGGTGGAAAGCACACCAATTCCATCAAGGGAACTCAGCATATTGCCGACGTCTGCGCATCGTCTTCCTGGAACTGGTCTAAGGCGGCGTCATCTTTCAAGTGCTGCACGTCTACTTCTACTGGAAGTTGGTGTGCGGGAAATGTTCCAACCTGCACTTGAGATGTTTCAGTGTGGAAGGATTGGTTCTAGCGATTCTAGTGGTGAAAATTAGGCTTCCAGCTGCTTGGCTGCTCGACGGGTTTAGTACTACTAGATATAAACTTTTCAACACCGTGGGATCTCTCTCAACAGATTTCCCCTGCTATATACCTAGGTATCTTCAAATATCAATCAATTTTTTTTATCTTTGTTTTGATCTTGCTCCGTTTGTTTTTTAAATAAAATACCAAAAAGTAAAAAAAAACCAAGAAAAAAAAACATACAACAGCAGGGATTCGCATGTAGTCACCCACCATACTACTAACCTGCCGGCATGTGGCTAAAGTACAGTAAGTAGTCTGGTGGGTGCCGCCCGGGTGAGAATGGGGTGAGCGCCGTTTTAGCGTCGCGCGAGCCGGGTGATTAGGGTGAGTGCGCAATAGACAGGGTGAGAATGGGGTGAGACTGGGTGAGAATCACGCTACGTCTTGCAGACTTGCGCTCTGGCCCCTCAACTGAAGTGAAGTGTATCTCATTGGATGATCTACCACGAATTGAAACACTCGTCTTCTTGGCACCTGCATATAGCCACCATACGTAGAGACAGTCACTATGACAAGATGTCTTGGACATTCAGCTGTTTTCTGTACACCCAGTACATACCGCGAGCCATTTTCCAGCGCATGGAAACCTATTTTGCCCCGTGCCACCGCTTCAAAGGTATGGCATATTCGTAATGTACCAAAAGCCAATGGCTCGATTGTCTGCATTGTTATGAACCTGACGAATAAAGTTCAAGACGAAATCTCCCACTCTTCTCTCAAGTCAAAACTAGCCTTCCTTTGGTAAGTCAAAAGGCCAAGTTTCTCTCATATCCCCTACATTCCTCATTGGTTCATCGTTATCCGGATCTTTGTTTTCCAGTACCATCTGCAACATTCCCTTGAACATTGCCCTATTTCCTGCTTTTGCTGCTTCCCAACCCTCCGGAGGAAACCATCCATCAGAAGGACTGTCAAGCAAATTTGACAGATCACGCTTCAGGTTCTGGGCCGCTTCAAAATGTTTGTATTCCTTCAGATGCAAATCTGTCCCTTTGGGAATCGGCAAGGAAAATGGACACGAGCCGGGAAATCCGAGTGCCTCCCAGTCTTTTGAAGTCTGGAGAAGCTCATGCCGAAAAGCAACAGCGCCATCTTTTCATGTTCTGTAGAAGTACCTAAAAGGTCGAAATAAGTCCTCGTTCGTTAACCGAGGACGAGCGAGCCTCGGTGTGAGATATCCAGTACAAACTTCGTAGGTTGGTGTGTATAAATCGCCGTTATTTACATCTTGCACCCGGCTATCTGCAGACATAGCATTCAAGACCGTTCGACCATATTCGAGAAGCTTCAAGTATGTTTGAACAGAGAATGGTAGGATGGTCTGTTTGAGGGCCAAGAGTCTGTTGGATGAATTCTTGGTAGACTTGCCTCAACAAGGTTATCGGCAAATTCCTTTATCGCCAACCCTGTATCTCAAGGCATTAGTCCCCATATTCTCAGGTATTGATGTTGGAATGTACTCACACGGGCCCTGATTGCGACTCCTTTGCTTATAATACCTATGGTCTCCGTAGTGGGGCCCAATGTAAAGTCGTCTTCTATTGTTAGCGTGAAGGAAGAGTCAAGCAATGAAGTAGAATAAAATAAGCTACCATAAGCTGGAAAGTCGATATCGGCGACCTCTTTTGGCCTTCGGTAAATGGCGTCTATACAATTCACTTTCTGATCTCCCGACATATGGGGCCATTTCCGGTGTAGCTGAATGCCAGCCACATGCTCCATGATGATGTATTCGCTTCCAACACGATTCGTCGCATCGTCACTCGAGTCAAGAATTTAGTGATCAGAATTCTAGTGTTTCATTTATTTCAATTTTAGCTACCACATGGCAATCACACAGGCTCATCTTAGGATCTACCTGAGTATCAGACAGAATTCTTAGTATATAGGACCAACTGAGAGTGTTTTTAAAGATGCTTAATTTTCTAAAAACTTTTTTGATAGAAGACAGCCATCAGGTTGCATGGGGCATCGTTGATCATCCCGGCGTACTACAACATTGCGATTGGTATTAGCCGTCAATAATTTGCGCGAGTCTAGCAATATTTCCATAGAATCAGGCCACACAAGGATAGCACGACGAGGGTCCCCACCGATGATGCGGATGATGTGGGTAGTATGGGCCCGGGGTGGTTTACGGTCCGCATTGCGGATTTGCAGGTGGCGCATTCATTCGACGTGGCCGGTTTGATTTAATGACGCGAGGTTACGGAGCCCGCAAGCTCTGCGCAATGGTGGGATATGCTGTGGTTGTCCAGTACGGATTGGCATCGGTCTTTTTTGGGGTTACTCTTGAGACGTCTCTCCCTACTCTTAACTCTTGACGATCCGCCTTCTTCATTTATATTACGTACTGAAAACTACAGAGTGTAGGAACCAGCAAGCGGCACATAATCCAACCTTACACGATACGATCTCGCCGACTACCTAATGCCAAAGCCGTACTCCAACAGCAATCAAATATTCCCTTGTAATGCATACGCCATCCCAAAAACAACACTCATCGCACCCACAGCCACGGGCAGCCCGAAAGTGCGTGCTGCAGCCCCAGTCTGCGCGTCAGTGCTTGAGTCCGTCTCATTACCAGTGCTTGTAGCGGTGACCGTAGAGGTGGCTGAGGAAGTAGTGGTATTCTCCCCATAGATGACAACGCTGAATTCTCCGGACTGAGCGAGTATGTTGTTGGATGAGACGTCTTTGAAGTCGAAGACGTAACCGGATCTGGAATACTCTATTGTTAGATATAGCTGTTCGAGCGCTTATAGAATATGGTTGACTAGTATACCGCGGAAGAGAAGGAAAGCCAACTTACCCCGGAAGAACGTCAACGCTGTCGAATGTGTACTCATCGTCTGATGTGGTTACGTTTGATGCGATTTTCAGATTAAAGCTGGGAACTTTGTCCTTGTTGAGGAGGTAAAGGTTGAAGGTGAAGGGGTCGGAACTGCATACGTCAGGACAGAATTCTCGTTAACCTCGCAAGTTGAAATGGGAATGCAATGTGCGACAATGGCTTCTACTCACTCTGAGGAGGACCATTCCACCTTTGTCGTTTCAGAAAGATCGAGCTCCGAGCCGCTTATTGGCGATACCACAGACAGACCTTCCATCAAGTTGCGTTAGCTAGGTTGAAAAGTATCAGAATCGAATGCGAGAGCTGACACGTACACAATGCCGAAACAGCAAAGCTCACAGGTCCGACGAGGGCAGTAAATCGGAACATCTTCGAATATGACCTTGCGTGTTGTTATGAGAGTATGCTGGAAGCCGGAGTATGTCGCAAGAGATCTTTGAAATATGTTGTTGTCTCCGTGGGACGAGCTCTCTACTTTATACTACGGCTTTGAATTACAACAAAAGGGAAAGGGGATGGCAGAAATGCCGTCTATTTCAAATAACTAGCATTCAATTCTCACAGAAGGTGTATTCCCAGTGGATTCATCCCAATCCGAGCAGTGATCGACAACAACGTGCTAGAATGTCGCTGATGACTGTGGACAAGACACAACCACCCAGGCAGCAAGGTATAGCCGCCGAGCCAGTTTAACGCCCCTTCTGTTTTATTTCAAATTCATTCATGCTTTCGTTGGATCTTCCGAAGAGCATGGCGTCTTGCGTAAAGAGTTCGCTGCCGATCATGGCTTTGCGAGACAATTATTGACTTTGGGTTACCTTTGACACTGACCTATTGCACTATCCACTGGTTGAGCTTGGCAACCTGCCAAAGTTGCTCCGCGGTACAATGGAATCTTGACTATTCAAAGCACATCATGCTCCGACGAGAAAAGTTGCTAGCAGAGGGGACCCCTGTTGCGTTAAGGTTGAACTCTTGGAGGAAATTGATAATAAACTACTAGCGGAGGTTGGGTGGAGGCAGGCAAATCCGCCCCGAGTGAGACCACCGTTTAGTTCTTACCTAAAGATGCACAGCAAGTTTCCTTGCTTTGGTTGAATATCCCGCTTAATCTTACGTAGCTTTCGTTCCGTGAGAATTTGTATTGCATAGCATGTGGCTTGGCATAATTGCCAAACCTGGAATAATAAAATACTTTGCTTGGTACTATTTTTGACAATGCCCGAGAATAGGCCGGTGTAATGAATTGAACTGCAGCCACTTGGGATGGCGCGGCACCTCGAAGCGCAAAAGGATCAAAGCAATATGATCGTAGGAAAGTGGCCCGGCTAGGACTCAGTGAATGTTTCGAATGACACTGTATCCGGATCATTAGGTTGCGATTTTGCGAAGATGTGCTAGGAAATTGCAAAACCTTACGAGTAAGTAGCCTCGCGTTCGTCCAGATGCTGGCAAAATACCTAAGCTATAGATGAAGAACGGTGATGTCATGATTGGAACTAGATGGGTGGCTGTTATATACTACGGTCCCCAACTTCCGATGAAGACCCAAGAAGAAAGGCGCGGCGAAAATGGTAAATGTGCTTACCAGGTCTATGGCGAGGCTGAATGCATAATCCCCTCCACCGGCCCATGTGGTAATTCCCTGACGCGTCTCGAGAGCGTGCTTCCAGTTTGACAGCTAGTTATCTGCTCGTCGTTCGCCATAGTCCACGACGAAAAAAAGCAGTTGTGCCATCTGGAGATAGAAGACGGACGGCTGCCTCGTTTTCGAGCCACAATTACATTGGGGTTCAAGATGCCCAGTGGAAGGGCAGGACATAGCGTGGCTAGAGGTTGCTTGAGGTGGCAACTCACGTGACTACCCTGTCTCGCCATCGCAACATATGCATGGACAATTAGACTGTTCTGGTGCATAGTGGCGACCGTGATGTTGTGAATTTTTTGTTTAGCAATGTATCAGGCTCCCATGTGATGACAGGAAGCAGCTTAGATAGACTGTCCAACTTAGGAGGCATGGGTGCTCCTTGGAAAGTACTCTTTGTATAACTGAGGCTGAAGGAGATTGATGACCGTATCATTGATTAGAAACGGAGTTCCGGAGACGAGATTGGAGTATACGTCAAGTCAGTAGATACGCCATCATAGTGACCACCATTCTTGGATGTCCTTGTCACTTTTCACAATAGAAGACTCTGTAACGGGATCGTCCTTCGGTTCAAACATCTAGTAGAAGATGATATCGTATGTGAAAATACTTATATACAATCCCCAAAAAATGGTTCTATTGGTTCTCATTAGTACAATCTTCTGCTGTCACAGGGCGACTGGCCCAGGTTGACATTTTGAGCGTTCTTGAAGGGGGGTCATCTCACCGCATTGAGTCTGATCCTCTCAGAATCTAATAACATTTCTCGGTGTTCCGAAGCCTTCGTTTTTGACTGGGTCGTTGTCTTCGAAAAACTCTCGCTGACTCTAGAATGCACCCACGCCGATGGGATCCCGTTCTTCAATTTTCTGTTGTAGCCGAATTATCTCATTCTCCACGGAGGAACTCGTAGACCCACATATAACGGATCATTGGATTGCCTGAATTTAATTTGCCAAGGTTCATGGGCTTCACGCTAGCTCATCAAGTTGCTCCGAAACACAAGGCGTACCGGACCCAGCAAGACGAGATCGCAGATGTTGAAAATGATAACCATTGCCAACTCCGAACGGCTCTATCTCAGATCGTATGTAACTCTACTCTAACCTCTCCGCCCCTTGCAACCGGCTTGTTCAGAAAACCTGGCTAGTCGAACCAAGATATAGCTAGAAGGGAGAACCGGAATCTCCGGGAGAAGGCTTGGGTATTTTGCCAAACTAGGTTCGTGTTCTGCATTTCAAGTCTGCTGGAAGGGGAATCTTACTCTTGAAGTTTTAGCGCTAGAAGTTTTTGTTCCTAGCCAAGCTGAACCCGGTCAAAGGCAAGCATCTGATAAAGATACTGTACAAGCCGGGAGCAATGATTTTCATTCAGGAAAGCCTTTCATGGAAATCAACATTTCGCAGGACATGGCTAGGTAAATTGGTCCTAGTATATCACACAATTAAATTGGCTAATAGGTACGCCAGATCTCAGCCCGCTTAATACAGAATATCTTATCGGGGCGTTGTTTCTATCGGCGATATTTGGATTCCTCTTCGGGAGTCTATGTGTCTGTGCTACCAGGAGGTGCATCGCTTCTCGGAGAATGAACGATCAGATTATGGAAAAGAAACCACGAGCTTCAGTAGAGGTTCAGGAAGAGTTTGGACTACAGGAATTTCACCACCGAAACAGGAGCCATGACAGCATACCCGGAGTTATCTGGCCACGGCGGGTTCTGATAGTAACAAATCCGGACCGGAGCTCGTATATCGCCGACCCCTAGTCAGAAGACATAAATAGTGGAAAAGAAGAGGCGAAAATACATTTTTACGGTTTCCAATATGATTCATGATATCTACACCAAAAATGATAGACAGCATTGAAGAAATTTCCGATGAGCACTGAAAAGAGTGCCACGGAGTAAGGCGACCGAGCACCAACACAGGTTCCCCTTTGCAACAAAAAGACGAATTGCCTTCTTATAATTTCTTGCCAAACTAGAAATTAACCTAATCCCATTAGCCCCAAAGCTGCCGAAAAAGTTATCGAGATTACAGGAGCCCTAATTTATTTGGCGCGTACCGAAATGGACCACAAACTCTTCCCACACTTTGTGACAAGCCAAAAGCCCCCACAGACCCGAGGTCTCCTTCGATGAGTTGAACATCTGGAACTCCATCCGAGATCTAGGTGATAAGGGTGCGGGAGAGCTTTATGGTGTTTTAGATGTGACATCGGTGGTGTTGTGACTCAATGTGTTTGTGCGACAGGCACGGCATCATGGCATTACCACGATCACGCAGAGTGTGAACGTGATCGCCCCGTTGATGACGAATGAGCAGGGCGTCTTCAAAAAGACCACTTATTGGCTTTTACTGCTCTTCTCTAGATGTTTGCGCGGTCAGAGTCTTCCAGTTCACGTTTGGATTCCAATTTATGGGGGACGAACGACCGCAGAATGGCTTGCGAGCACGATGGATATTCCCCTCTTGACTGTTTCCGCCGCTCTGAGTGACGATGTCTACATCAATCTGGCCGCGGTGAATGTCTCAGACTCGAAAGCATAAGAGACATCTCTCCTGCGATCGGGGGTCCTGTTCAGGTATTCTACGTCGGTGGCAATGAGAATGATATTCGGGATACCAACAAGTGGGGTTCACAAAGGTTGGAAACAAGCAGTTGACTTGATATTGCAAGTGCAAATTCCTCCAAAAGTACAGCTTTACTCTGCTTCGATGGAAAGAAATCCTTCTCGATTGAATATAGACGATGTTGATGATCCTGCCAAAGGCACATCAGCTATCGTGCTCAATGCCTTGCATAAGGCTTGATGCAGCTTACTAACGACTTCAATTTCTTCCTAGTAGAATATGAAATTTATTTCTACATACGAGTCGGCATGAATATAATTCCCTATATTTCCGGGATACTGGCATTCTTTTTTTAGTGGCCGGTCAACACTCATTTACATGCCAGAGGGCCTTTCGCAGCGCATTGCCACGCCAACGGGTACCCCACAGGGTGGCCGTTATGCCGTCAATCCTCTACTCAAATTATAATGCTGGTTTAATAGAAGGCTGAAGTAATGTGGCTGATAATATCAATCAACACGAGCGCGATACGCGTAGTCGAATCACGCGCAAGAGACATCTAATATGATATGGACACTAACAAGCACTCCCTTGCCCTAGTAATCGCAGCTTCGTTGCACCTTAAATGCTGTACGGCGTAACTAAATCCGCGATAGACAAATTCACATTACGTTGCAACAAGTGCGTCGCTCATCTTCGACCAGCTTGTGTTAGAGCACTAGCCCGTATGTACTGGGTCGTGTGCCTACGGTCAATCCTAATTAATCAGGCTAGCACATTCACAGAGAAGTAGTGAGATGGTATAGAAGATATCGAAGAGTGGAGGTGAGGATGATTCCATTAACCTTGATAATCACGAACGATACAGAAGCATTTCCATTGCTTGAACCTAGTCAAGCAGTTATGTGAGTCACTACAGTGACACCGTTTAATCTCTCTCTGCATCATATTTAACATGGACTGTCCTCCTTCTGCATTCTGTACAAGACCAATGGCTACGGTGTCTATGGGTAACGTCTGCGAGGCGTGTGGCTTTGTTCAAGAGCCTACCCGGAACCTATATATTTTCCAGCGATGTCGCTATGCGTTGGCTCCGTCTCGTTCCCCGGTCACCTCCCACCTACTCCACAACCATCAGGTCCCGTTGCCAATGAGTAAAGGCCTCACTACCCCGTGACGACATCAATGGACACGTTTCCAGGAACCCGCGTGTGCTCCGCCGTGTCCAGATGGTTCCGCAGCCGATCCACATTTCCAGCTCCTGAACGGCTACGCGTGCCGCTGATGCGCCTATCGTACGGTTAATATGACCATGATGCGCCGGCATCTATCTCAGGAGTATCTGCTGCTGCTGCGCGCCTCTATCCGTCGGGCTAATTACCTATCTACCTAGACATGGTCCAGGGTCACGACAAATTGGTATATCATCACATCTTTATCTCTGTGAAGCCCCTAGCCTTCAGTCTCGGATATAGTCTATTACTCTACCCCCTAATTAGCGGTAGGTCTAAATTAGTCCTATTTAGATCTTGAGGCGGGCTCGGTAGATATTCTACTGGCTCTTTTCTTAGGAATGAGCCCAGTAGCGTGATCCTGGAGGCCCTGTACGGGCCTGATTATACCATGCAGTCGGATTTACTGCTCAGTGGGTCATATGGTGCACCAATAGCAAATCGACAAGTCTGAATTACTACCATGGCCCTTACTGGCAATTTGGATGGGCCGTATTACATGACAAATTCTAGCGGACCAATAGTTACTAGTAATCTCCTTTCCTCCGGGAATCCACCGATACTGCTGTTCCGTCACATGCTATGTGCCTCAGGCACTTGTCACTTTGCCAGGCACCAACTAACTTACCGGATAGTTACACGCCCTTTTAGACCTATTTCCTTACGAATACAAAACATGCATTTCTTACATTCTCGTGATCACAGTAGTAGGTTATTCGGAAGATCTAAGTTTTCTTAGAGGTACTCTCTCGTCAGGTTCCGGAGTATAAGGTATATTAACTATAATCTGCATCTTCCTCTACCGGCTGAATAGCTTTATACTCATTTACTTGCTAGTCTTCATAGGTGTTCATATTAATCATCAACAGTAAGCCTAATTCGGTAGTAGTCAGGATACCTATATCCTCGCAGAGAACTTTAGCTAATCTTCCTCGGTTAAGATAACTAGTTTAGGCGCAGAGAGGGCTATCTCCTAGACTTCCGCAAAGCCCCTTTTGGACCCGGACCTTGGGCCCAATGCCCACCGAGTGGGCCCATTTTGGGCTTTTTTGATGTAGATCTTGCATAAAAATATATCAAAGTTTTCTATTTAAGATATTTATCCAAATAAACGGGCTTTGTGCCCAAAATGGGCTTTGCAGAAGTCTACAATTTCCTTCTATTACATATCCGGCTTCGACTTCCTCGATTCATCTAAGCGTGTATATGATAACATGGCAAATTTTAGCCTATATAATACCATATAACATAGTAAAGATATTATTCCTGAAGATCTGGCCAGAACTACACAATATGAGGAGATCATACAATTCACCACATGAAATCTTTTTATACAGTTTAAAAAGCTTATAGTCAAATAACAAGAATAGTTTCACTCTATCTAGAAGATCTATACAAAATCAGTGAAAAACAAATTTGAAACTCAGACAGACAAATAATCTATAACCCGAAAGCCGGAACGCCGAGGACAGGTCCTGCATTCATATCAGCCACGAACTACACCTATACCAGAGCTTTGCTTTCACCAGCGTCCAGGCAAGTTTTCTGTTGAAACGAACAAAGCAGCCTCCATCAGTATTCGATTCTCAAACTTGGCAACAGCGAGCGTTCGCCGTTCTCATCTTCCTATGGTGTATTCTTACATTATGGAATCCTGCCCCTCCTCAAACCGCACCACGTTCTTCAGCGTCCCCAGTCCTGAAATCTCAACCTCGACCTGGTCCCCATCCTTCAATAGCTGCCGCGGCTTCTGAAATACCCCCACTCCCGCCGGTGTGCCCGTCATGACTACCGTGTAAGCTGGGATAGTTGTACCTGGATGCAGATCCGTGTTAGAGATAAGGGAGAGAAGGCTTCACAAAAAAAATATATAAAAAATAAAGCAGAGAGCAAACATACTCTGACTCATCCAGCTGAGAACCCTCTCTGGCGAATAGATCATATCCTTCTCAATCACCGTATCCTGCTTGACCTTCCCGTTAACCCGGGTGACGAGCGTAGCGGATGTCCTCTCCTTCGCAAAGACACTCGGGCTCACGAGGACCGGGCCGACCGGCGCAAACTTATCAAACGCCTTTGCGTAGAAGAATTGCCCGCCGGACTGCTCGGGAAGCTGGAAGAACCGGCACGAAAGGTCATTTCCGATCGTGTATCCGAGGATGTACTCAGAGGCTTGCTCTGAGGTGATGTCGCGGCACTCGCGCGACGTGACGAAAACGAGTTCGCCCTGCTTCTGTTAGCGACGGCTACGCCGGGTGGGTTATTGCGGACGGGCTCACCTCCCAGTCGGGAAGATGCGAGGCGCAGAAACGACTGATAGGTATGATTTCATTTGGCGATGCGAGCGCGGCGGGCGGCTTGGTCCATACAGGTGGGTTGGCGGGGACGTTGAGCTGTTATCCGTTAGATGAAATGTCTGTAGGCAGTCGTGTGTGAGGCGGCGTACGCTTGCTTCTTTTGCGTGACTCCAGTAGTTGAGCCCTACGCAATAAATTGAGCTCCTTGTTTGCGGCAGAGGTGATAGAAGCTGTACCGTATCCCGTCAGCCACAGAATCCAATGTCAGTAGAAGAGCAGCGACAGCTCACCTTGGATATAGTGGCTGTGGTAGCATTTTGGCCATTCAGCAGGTCCTCGTACGTTGGATATGCCTCTACCGACGATCCGATGGTAGGCTTAACCGAGGCGCATTTGGCGAAGAAGTCCTCGCCGTTCTCTGTCTGGAAACGACAGAGGTACTGGAAGGAAATCATTGTCTGGGGTGCGAATGTGGAGTGGTAGATGGGGACGGATCAGAGAAGGGCACTGACAAGGGAGCTCGAGTAGTAAAAGAAGGCCAAAATTTAAGTTGGTTGGTTATGTTATCCACTGCGGAGATCCTCCTCGGAGGATCTTTTAGTCGCGAATCGATTGAAGCCGCCTGTACCTGAGCCCCGAATGGAGGCGCACTCTCCTCCGCCTCTTTCAATTGGTATCCCTCCGCGGCAAGTCATATCCCCCAGGAATCTACACGCCAGACCGGAGAGCCTCGGTCTTCACAAGATGTAGTGCCTATTCAGCATCACGAACATATAAAAGAGCTTGTGGAGATAGAGATACTGTACTGTCAATGCATACTCTTGTGATTATCCTATTCAGACACATTGACTCTCTATTTCTCTCTTTCTCTCTCTCTCTCTCTCTCTCTTACACACACACACACACATACACTCCCCAAACGCAGTAGAATGTCGCTCTGGCTCCTCGACATGATCACCCTCCTCCCATCTAAATGGCAAAACTGGATCCTCCCTCCATCCACCATCCCCATGGTCAAGAACTCGCCGCAAAAAGTCCAGCTCGGCCGCATAGCCCACGTCTACTTCGAGCACGCCGACCTTGAAGCCTTTACTAGGTTCGCCAAGGACTTTGGCTTCGTCGAGGCTGCGCGCAAGGGCAACACAATCTACTACCGCGGGTACGGAAGGGACCCCTACGTCTACGTCGCGTCACAGAGCCCAGTGCGGAGATCCACCTTTCTAGGCGCTGCGTACGTCGCCAAGGATGAGGAGAATTTTAAGAAAGCCGCCGCGATGCCGGGCAGTGCGCAGGAAGCTGGACGAGGCGCCCGGGGCCGGCGAGATGGTGACTTTTGCGAGGCCGAATGGGACATTCCTCTACATTATGTACGGACAGAAGGAGCGGGATGTCGAGTTGAAGACCCCGACAGCAACACACGACTCGCAGGGTCCGTTCAATACGCCGTTTGATAAACCACGCAAGGGACAGTTCCAGCGATACCGCGATGGGCCGGCCCTGGTGCACAAGCTCGGGCATTACGGCTACGTGTGCAAGGAGTTCGAGACAGAGCTCGAGTTTTACACTAGCAATTTCAACTTTGTGCACTCGGATATCCTCAATCTCCCGCAATTCCCCCAAATGGACGTTATGACCTTTATGCACCTTGACCTTGGCGAAGAGTACACAGACCACCATACGTTCTTCCTGCAGCGGGCGTCGCCAACTATGAGCAAGACGTACGTGCATCATACCTCGTTTGAGGTGGCCGATTTCGATACTCAGCTCCTGGGGCACCATTATCTGGCGAATAAAGGGTGGAAGAGCGTTTGGGGTGTCGGAAGGCATGTCCTGGGGAGCCAGATTTTCGATTACTGGTATGACAGCTCCAAATTTAAGATCGAGCATTACGCTGATGGGGATGTTGTGAACTGCAACAACCCGACGCGCAGAGAGCCAGTTGGGCCGTTGTCTGTTTGGGGGCCTGAGTTGCCCAGTGACTTTGGGGACAATAAGGCCAGGTAGGAGAAAAGTACCAGAGATGTATGCAGATAGTACTATAAATATATGATCACAGTTGAACTCTTTCAATAGCATGGAATAGTTATCTAATACGATCATCATACAATCATCGCATGTGGCCTCGCAAGAACTTGGGCGCCTCATAAGTCAAAAAGTCTTTCCCCTTGAAGAACCAAACTAGACATCCAAACAGGGTCCAACCGCCGAGGTGCCCTGTCCCCGTCGACTGCCCGACGGGGACGACCATCATCTTCTTCTGCGCTTCCGTCGAGTACGTCATGATCCGGGAGTTCCGCTCAATAGCCGCCGTAATATTCGATGCTACCGTCTGTCCCTGAAGAGAGACTCGCGAGAGCAGTCGATATGGATGGCAAGTTATGTCACCGATCGCATACGTGTCACTGCGACTTACGCCGTTCTCGACGACTCTAAGCTGTTCGTCGACGTTGACCCAGCCCTGGGAATTGAGGTAGTCCTTTGGGATAAACTCGTTGTTCGGAACGGTGCCCGTAGTCGCGATGTACGCATCAGCAGTGTACGTTTTCCCAGTCGACAACTTGACCTTCCACTTCTGGGTGCGGGATTCGTACTCAGCCCCCTCAACCGTGGTCCCCGTCAAGACATCGACGTTTTTCGACTTCAGAAGCGACATCGCGGTTCGCTGCATAGGCGCAGTCGCCCCCTCTAGCAAGACATTTGACCGAGACACCAGCGTGACCTTCTTGAAGCCTGGCGCTTCGGCCAGTTCACCGGCTATTTCGACCCCCAGGGGCCCCGCGCCACCGATTACAACCCTCTGAGCACCTGCCAGCTTTGCTTGCGCCTCATAGATGGCCTTCCTTAAGTCCTCGAACGCCGTCACCTTGAACGGAAGCCGCACGCCCTCCTTTCCGAGCGTTGCAGGCGTCGAACTGCCAGACGCGATCACGAGATAGTCGAAATTGTACGAAGACGCGGTAGTAGCAGCAGGGGAGCCTGCAGACAGAACAACGGCGACCGACTTGGTTGTGTAGTCGATCTTGGTCACCAGTCCCTTGACGAAGGTGAAGAAGCCCTCGGGATATTCGCGGAACGCGTCCGGGATCGAGTACAAATATTTGCTAGGGGGGCAGGCTTTTGGGCTTGACGAGAAAGCGGGGCGCGGCGATGTTGAAGTAGTACTCATCCGAGGGGCTGATCAGCGTGATGGCGGCTTTGGGCGTTTGGCGCAGCAGTTTATGGCTGACCGCTAGGCCTGCATGCGAACCGCCGATGACTATCACAGAGACGCGTTTGGACATGGTGATGGGCGGGATGGGGATATTCGATTGGGATGCAGGGAGGACACTTCGAGGACGCTTCATCGGTCTTATCCTTGAAGCAGGGGCAACAGACCCTTTCGCGCTACATGTCTGGAGCGGAGCATTCGAAGCGTTAAGAGATACTCCCGCGGAGAAACATTCAGTGATGTATTTAGGCTTTAGGCTCATCTCGGTACAACTTCTTCGGAGGATCTTCCCCAGAAAAGCAGCGCCCATTGGCTCTGATACTCGAACGAGGGCCAAACAAACTCTCAGCAATTACCATAATCGCACCATTCGACCCGCCATGGACCTTTCTCCTCCAGATCGCCCATCCTGAACAGACCGTATGACTCCCCCAGCGTGAATTTGCACGGTACAAAAGAACATCGCACCTAGCACACAGAGCAGAGTCTAGCTGATCAGCAACCCAAGGCCAAAATGAGCAGCCGAAGCACCACATTCAAAGTCATCGTCATAGGCGGAGGTCCGATTGGGCTCACGGCCGCGCACGCCCTCCATCTAGCCGGCATCGACTTTGTCGTCCTTGAGCGCCTGCCGGAAATCTTTGAGGACAGGGGCGCTAGTCTCATCGTCCACCCTCATACATTGCGCGTCCTGCATCAGTTTGGCATCCTCGACAACTTGCTGCCGCGCGGCGCGGAGTTAAACCATCATCTGTCGTTTACGGCTGATGGACACGTCTTCGCCGAGGGGAATCGCTATGGCCTGATACGTGAATAGTGAGTTCTCTTTACTCCGTACAAAGATGCACCACAAGTACTACTCTCCCCTAGAGATTGCGACTAATATCTGGCTCGTTCTCTAGTCACGGCCACGGCCCAGTCGCATTCCACCGCGCCGAGATCCTCAAAATCATGTACAATGGCCTCCCCGAAGCAGCCAAAGAAAAGATCCTCACGGACAAGAAACTGACCGACATAACAACCTCCTGCGACGGCGTCATCGCAACCTGCGCCGACGGCAGCGTTTTCCACGGCTCGATCATCATCGGCGCCGACGGCGTTTACAGTAAGACCCGGCAGATAATGCGCGACCTCGCCCTGAAGGAGAACGCGACTCGGTCGTGGGACCCTGTGCACCCATACTCGGCGACATACCAGCTCCTCTTCGGGTCGTTCCCTTCGTCGTCGCCGGCGGGCCAGGGGTACGATATCCAGTCGAAGGGGAAGGCGATCATGTACTTTAGCGGGCCGGAACGCGGGTGGTTCTTCCTGTATAAGCAGCTACCGAGGCCAACGAGCGAGCGGACCTGTTACACGCAAAAGGACGTCGACGCGGTCGCGGCAGAGTTTGCCGAGTTTCCGCTAACGCAGACGTTACAGGTCAAGGATGTCTGGCCTCGGATGTTGGGGGCGGGGCTGACGAATCTGGATGAGGGAATTGTTAAGCACTGGAGCTTCGGGCGGATTGTGCTTGTCGGTGATGCGTGCCACAAGATGACCACGCATTTGGGTCTGGGGTTTAACCATGGGATCCAGGATATCGTGGTGCTGTGCAATAGCCTGCGGAAGGCTGTTCGAGCAGCGTCTGGGAGTCGGGTGCCCAGTGCTAAGGTGCTAACAGGGATCTTTGAGAAGTACCAGGCTGTCCGGATGAGCTCTGTGTGCTCGCTTGAAGGGGACGTTGCGAAGTCTGGGCTTGAGACGAGGATGCACGCGTGGCAAAACCCCTGCTATTATTTGCTTTCGCGGTACCTGTCGGTGCCGCACACGATCGAAGTCTTGTTCATGAAGTATGTGATGGCGCCGGGGTTTCGCAAGGGTCAAGTGCTGGACTATGTGCCTGGGAGGAGCGCATTAAGGGCAAGATTAGCTGGGTTTATCCTGTAAGTCCTACCGTGAAGATTGATTACTAGTAATATGGCTATCTCAAACAATCAGTTATTCGTTCTCGGCATACCCTGGCGTATCCGGTGTAATATCCCGAAATTATAAAGCCTATACTGCTACGAAACTTCACAGTGACTCTGCGAGCACCGCGTTCAAGCCACCCTTTCCCTGGCAGCTTTGGTAGAAGAGTAAAGCCTCACATGGACCCCATCGCGATGAGCCAGCACCAGATTTGGCTGCAGTCGCGGCTCTGCAAACTGATCCACCTCCACAGTCTCCAGGGTATCGAATTTTTGCAACAGCCGAATAGTGGTGTAACTAGCCTCTACCAGCGCGTATTGCTCTGTTGTACACGTCAGCCATCACGGACCTGTGATATAATCCAGAGAAGGGAGACTCACGTCATAAGCAAAATCGAGGACCCCCATTGAATGGCAGAAACTCCAATGCCCGTGGCGGGTTTTCCGCCCATCGCTCAGGCCGAAACGTGTGGACGTCGGCACCCCAGATGTCGGTTCTGCGGTGCATTGCGTAAACATTATATCCGACTATGTCACCTTTCTCAATATATATGGCTGCATTGCGAGTTTGGCCTCCTCCAGCCGGCAGGAATGTATCTTTGAGGGCCTGCCGGAAGTTCACTGGGACTGGTGGGAGCAGTCGGAGCGCTAGCAGGGTCAGCCTAGCTGACGCTTAGGATTAAGGACAACAGACTCACTCTCATTCAGAACATAACGTAAATAAGTAAGGTGCTTCACCCTCGCATGCGTGATTTCGTTCCCCGTCTGTGGCAATCGCCGAATTCGCCCACTACCTCCCTGCGCAGCTTCTCCCAAACCCACATATTGCGCGCAAGGAAGTAGAAGACCGAGCTGAGCAGGCTAGCTGTCGTGTCCCGCCCCGCAAGAAGGACATTGAGCAGGTTGTCACGGATGAGCTTGGGATCATCGGTTCCAGACACCAGCGCCTCGAGGAACACATAGCGCCACTGGCGATGTCCATGGCCGACTTGCTGGGCCTTGCTGGCGTGTTTGGGCTGCAGCGCAAGATGCACGTAGTGGTTCACGACTTCCTGGACTTTGGCGTTTGCGTCACGGAACTTGGACGGGTTGATTGTCCAGTAGAACCGCTGCGCGAGGCCGCGGCGTAGCAGAAACTCCTCGCTGGTGTTGAATGCTTCGGCGAAGCCCGCAGGGCTGCCGATGACTGTTGATGCAGTGTGGCTCCCGTGGGTGTACAGGAATCCCGTGGATTCTCCAAAGTTGAACTCGGCTGCGGTGTCGATGGTGAGGAGGTAGAAGAGCTTCCGGATGTCGAAAACTTGAGTGGTCGCGGGGGAGGACATTGATCATTTGCACGACGTGTCGGTCGTAAAGGGCGAGGTCCACAATCTAGTCGTCCAATTTTGTTAAATCTGATTTCGGCGTGGATAAAATGGCTTTTGCATACCTGCTCTCACGCGAACTGAGGCCTGATCATTGCCCGCATATATGACCATCCCTTGCCATCAAGGGTGAATATACCATCACCCAGGAGAGGATAGAATTGTCGGTGGTGAATCCCCAATCCAAAGTCATTAAACTGAGTAGCTAACAGGGCCTTAATGTTTGCGGGATCGATGGTCGAGATGAGATTGTTTCCAATCATCTTTTCTTTGAAGGTGGGCCCGTGGGTTTCGTGCAGGGAGGCAATATACTCAGTGAAATTGCCGGCTTGGACTTCTTTTATCATCTTTATTGTGCCACTAAGTCCAGGAAACATCGTAACTGGGGTCTTGCAGTTCAGTGCCCTAGCCCGCGAGGGCGAGGCTGGCGAGCCAGATGAGGTGGGAATCCATCGCGAGAGAATGACAGTCTCCGGGGATTTGTTACTTGAATCAGGATTTGCCAAGAACAATTGGCAACAAACAATGCTGTCCTTGTTTAGCAACGATTGGTCTCAAATACAGCCCGGAGGGGTCGAGAGAGTGTAGCATCGAACCATGTGAAGGTATCTCTACCAGCAGCCGCCATGATATCGTAATCACTTGCTGCCTATCTTGCTACGCTAGTCGCAAATAGGCGAGGTATATCATGTTCAGAAAGACAGCTTCCTACTGGACGAATGACCTGGGGACCACATTGCTCGCTAGTCTACGGAGAACTCCAGGCCGTGTGTCCCAGACTCGCTGCATCATGTCGCTCCACGTGTACCTGCCTCAACCAAGAATTCGTTTCTGCCTCGGTATGACTATGTATTGATCCCGTAATGGACACGAAAGACTTATGCTCGGAGAAACTCAGCCTGGGTTGAGGTAAAATATTATAAATATTTAGTGTCTGTCGATCGAGTATCAATCGCACCCAAATATATGTGCTTCTATTCGATAACTCCCAAGACCATCAAAAACAAACACCAGGGCCTCGCTACACACATCAACCACATCATGACGGACCGTGATTCCTTCGCACTTATTACCGGGTGCAGCAGTGGAATCGGCAAAGAGCTTGCAATAGCCTTTGCAAGCAGAGGTGTCACTGTTCTCGCCACGGCACGCCGCACCGAGTCTCTCAACGAGCTCACAAGCAAACATAGCAACATCAGAGCCTTGGCGCTTGAACTGAGCGATCCAGAAAGCATTACACGGTTAAAAGACGTTGTTGTGAAAGAAACAGGCGGGCACCTGGACTATCTAGTCAACAATGCGGGAACGCACTATGCAGGGATGGCGATGGACTTGGAGATGGACGAAGTTGTAGCACTTTTCCAAGTCAATGTTTTTGCTGTTATGCGCTTGTGCCAGATCTTCCTGTCCCTTCTGCGCCAGTCACCACGAGGACACATTGTGCAGATTGGAAGCGTTACACGGAACATCCCAGTCGTGTGGCAGAGCGCATACAATGCGTCCAAGGCAGCGCTCAGTCAGTATTCGAGGACCCTTCGACTGGTAAGCACACGACCCGTAGTTGGAAGGCATCGTTCTAATTAAAGTACAGGAGGTGAAACCGCTAGGGATTGAGGTGATCGAAATCGTGACAGGGTTTGTGCAAAGCAACATCCTTCACCACGGCCTCTACGCGCCAGAGGACTCGATTTATCTCCCAATCAAAGGTACGATTGAAAAGATCAAGTACCAGGGCAATGCGAAGGGAATGCAGGCGAACGTGTATGCGGCGTCGATTGTCGACAAGCTGGTGAGGCGACGCGCTGGACCGGAGATCTGGGAAGGGGGGAGGGCGCAGATGCTTCGCCTGATCTTCATGCTTTTGCCCCTAAGGCTACTAGTAAGTCGTCTCCCCGTGTGGACTAATTAACCACTGACGAAGCTGCGCAGAACGTGTTCCTGTACCGCGAATTCAAGCTGGGGTCTTTGAAGCAGTCGATTGGTCGGGGACGGGAGATGGTTTATGAAGGGTTTTGATTGGTGAAAAAGACATGCCGCGGAGAAACTTGGGCCCACTGGATGACGTGAAGATGGCTAGCTCCAGACCCAGTCTACGTTGTAGGGGTCCGTCGCCGAGTGATTGAACTTGCAGAATTTGCCATAATTGAACTTGTGCTTCGGTAATCATCTTTGAAACATCCATCAAGCTCGTATCTCTTTCCCCCGAGCGCTAGTGACTCCTATCTTAGACTGCTCTCGCATAGTCCGCCGAGTCTGGAGCCCAAAGCAATGCCATTGAGGGTGTGCGATAGGTGCATCCGGTAACCCACTCTCCCCCGAAACTCCATCAAGTTCTCCCGCTAAGCTCTGTGCGCAGTAAGAAGGTCAAGTGTACGCTAGGGCAGGCCAATAATCTGAGATTCTCGTTCACTAAACGTCCGCAGGCAACCTTGCGAGACCGACCTGTTCTCGTTGCTTCGACCTGGGAAAGATATGCACCTATACACTAGCAAAACGAAGGCCTGGTCCGCCTCGTGGCTCGCATTATGCCACTCGCCGATCCAAGTCCCGCACTCCGTCGGGTAGGTCGACTATCCCCCTCCAGTGGGCACTGAGAAACTAATCATGCTCCTTGTCAGGCAGCCCCGGACAGCAGTGCCACACTTCCAGAGCCTGACCTAGTGCTTTCCCCGACAGGCTTCCTCCCCACCCCCGCGGATCCAGTCTCGCAGGATTCGACCCATGGAGTTCCTCCGCAACCCGCCAGCACCAGCCCCTCGTGCTCCAGTTACTTGCACTTCTCCTCGCAGGAGGAGGAATATCTGTAAGTACCTCTTCTCATTCGCCCGAGCTAAGCTGATACGCTTTTGTACTACTACTGTAGCATTGGGGTCTTCTTCGATATTGCTCGGGATGCAAATCCTATTTTCTCAAAGGAGCGATTTCTCCGCCGCTACCGGGACTCCCTATGTAGTCAGGATCTCATCACGACCATGGCCATTATTGCCACAAAGCTGACCCGGTTTGCCGGGTGTGATGGCGGACCAGATCTAGACGCAGGGCTGGACTCACTCCTCAGCTCGAGCCTGTTAGAAGATGATTTGATCGGAGACGCTCTATCCCTTGACCAGTTCCGCAAGGCCATCATATTGGCCTTTTACGAGTTCCATCAATTCCCAGGCCACCACTCCTGGTTGCGCATTGGTAGGGTAACGCGCATGGCCTATCGTATTGGCCTGGACCGAATCGACCATATCCGCCTGCTCTACCCTGACTGGAGCATGGTGAGCGATGAAGATATCCAGGAATGGCGGGCGCTATGGTGGTGTATCTACCGACTCGACACATACTCCAATCTCGCCTTAGGGACACCGTATCAAATTGACGATACCGTCATCAACACCTTCTTTACCTTCAGCGAGACAAAGAGTGCCTCCCAGGGAATCCTCCTACCTCCCAACTCGGACGGTCTATCTGAACTTCTCCCAGCAATCACATCAGACCCAGAGACCTTGCTGGATAACATTCACAACGTCACAATCGCCACCATGCGTCAGGCCGGCATCGTCCTCCGCATGCACATGCTGCAATGGCGAGCCGGGATACTGGCGCAACTCGCCAAGGTCGAACGCCAGCTGACTACACTCCGTGTCGCCCTCCCACCCGGCTGGCTTAACCCGCGGCGTAACGCGTTCTCAAACGAGACCCCGGTCGACCACCACGCCAGGCTTATCACTGTATTCCATCTGCGAATGGCGCAGCTGCTTGTCTCCATCGTGGACTGCGGTCAGAGACGAGCAGACGACTGGGTATCAAGTTGGCAGCGAATTCTCGAGGCATGCCAGGACATTGCCACGCTGGCGGGCCAGTGGGATAGCGCATTTTGTCTCACGGTGGACCCAGCTATCACGTTCACCATTTTCACAGCACTCATCTTCCTCGGTCTGCACAGGAAATCGGGGCCGCCGCTTGATGACAGTCTCCGCTCGAGTATCGACCATGACATCACCGTGCTTCATCTGCAGCTCAAGCATTTTGGGACCATCTGGACGCAGGCGAGGCTGCTTACTTGTAAGTTCCCAGCCTGCCCTATCCTGGCATAACCACAACTTGCTAGTGCCACAGGCTAACGATAATGAACTTGACACAGTGTCGTTCGAAAGTTTCGATGCATCCCTGTCCGAGCCGGTCTCCTACGAGCACATCGCGTTGATGTTCTCGCGCTTCGAGGCGCCGCTGCATCCGAGGTGGCTGCAGTTTCTTGCATCGGCTGGGCCGGTTCTCGAGGCTTCTCATTAATAGCTCAGTATTCGAGATATCTATTATTATACTTTCAGCTATCGAGTCATACCACATGCCGTGCGGTCCAGATTCCCACAGAGCCGAGGGAGTATAGGGAAGCCGTGTCGACCATCGTCGGACTCATTTTGAATTTTCCGAATATTGAGCCGGTAGAAATTATCAAACAGGTTAAACGAGGTTATGAATTTATGAAACAGACCTAGTATTAAGCGTTATACAGCACGGCACTAGCAATAACTTCTACTGCGTACTACAAGTATCTTACATACATTACAACAACACACAATCAACTCCACTCAATAATATGAACACCGAAGTATCACTTATCAATCAACATATCCACTCAGTTAGGGTAAAAAGAAAGGCGGCCGCGCGACCTGGGGTGATTCTCAGTAAGTTCTCACCCCGTCTGCTGTTCACTCACTCTAATCACCCTAAAGTCGCGCGACCGCCAAGCGGCGATCAGGCATTTCTCCACTAGGCTAGACAGAACGATTGGCAAGCATTGGCATTTTGCGTGCGGCTTAAGTACGGCTGAGCGGACGGGAAGCCCTGTTCTCCACACCCTATGGTCGTAGGTAGACCTGTGCAAAGCCCGCGGGCTCGCGGGAATTGGACTTTTTTTGCAATATCAAAGCCCGCGGGTTCCCGCGGGCTTTTACGCTAGCTATAGGAGGCTAGCGTATAATATTGTATAAATCTTTGGTAATTTAAGCTGTCTCTGCTCTGTACTGAATTAAGCGAGAAAAGGAGGTGCTTTGTAGCCTCTTTGAAAGCAAGAATTATATTCAGTATTCTTTAAAAAGAATTTAATTAATTGATTGATTATTCTGTTTCTAATCCTCGTAAAACTTTGGAGCTTTGCGAGTTCGCTTTAATGATCGAATAAAAGAAGAATCAGGAAGTTGATCATCATCATCAGAAGATAAAAGTGAGTATATACTAGTTCTTCGCTGCTTAGGTGCATGGTTGATTAAAGAAATAGGGGGATTAAAGGGGGAAATAGCCGCTATTCTATACCGGAGTTGCTTATCCTGAAGTTGTTTATCCTGGATTTGTTTATTCTGATTCTGATAATTAATTTAAGAAGCCTCATTATCGCTAATAAGACTCTCTAGATCAAAGGCTTTATTAATCTGGAACTCTGAAGAAGTAATCCCTGCTAATTCACAGGTATATTACTTAAGATCTGCTTTCGATTTAAAATTAGATGTATATATATATATTATAAGATTGCTGATAGTACTCTCCTTTAGAGATCTATGTCGATAATGGCAGATATCTTGAGCATAATTAAACATTTGTTCAACTCCTGCTCCTGTTGCTGGGATTGCTAGTGTATTACGGGCGATTCGAGCAAGAACGGGATACTCTTGATGGTGTTCTTGCTAATAAAGAAGAGGATCGATATTAGCTATACTATTTCGGAGATAGTTTTTAAGCTCTGTCGATTTATAAGGAATTCCTTGGGGATTCTGGTAGCGTAATAGCTTAGATAAAGACGAGACTTAGATTGCTGGCTGTTTCTTTGGCTGTATAGATGAATCCTGATTTATAGAATAGTCCCGGAACCTTTCTTGTATGACAGAATAGTATTTTTACCGCTGGTAGATATCCTATATCGGCCCAGAAAAATACTGAAGCTTATAAGAAGGGGCCAAAATCGTACTAATTGTATAGATATTTCTCTGTAAATTAATCGTCCGGCGATAGTATCTATAAAGCTTTTTATAACTGACTTTGAGAGCCTTAAGAACAGTTTTCTTCTACAGAACTTGCTTACTCGCTAAACGAAGTATTGATTTCTGTAAATGCTCATTGAGTATGTTATAGATATTAAATACCTGGTGAATCGTAGCAGTTTTGGACTTTGATAGAGTATTTGTAAAATTAAAAAAAGGTTTTGTAAGACAAAGAAGATAGTTGATTTGTTGCTACTGGCTTGGCGTTAACTGAAATTTAGATTAGCTTTGTTGATCACAGTATAAATCAATAGTTTCTTTGAGTCGTTTTGTACGCGAAAGTATTAGGAACGTTGAATTCTAGTGTGTTCGAACATCTTGAATTAGTAGTAGCTTTTGATTAGCTTCTTGAATATCCTTAAAGGCCTTTCGGCGCTGCGGGCTTGTATGAATAAATACTGCAAAAGCTCGGATCTTAAAAGAAGATATTAGTAAAAAGTAAAAGGAAATAGAAATAGGGGTAATAAAGCAACCTTTTTTAGGGTATTGATAATTCTATTTTGCTCTAAGTATTTAATCGATTTTGTTTGCAAATCCGTCTAAGTCTTTTCGGTAATTTTGTTGCTTGGTTAAAGCTTTAGATCTTTTAAAAGACTAATCAAACAAAGCTGTATTATATGCGCAATGCAAGGGATTCTGGTAAGATATAGATCTTGATTTAAGTCAATATCCTGAATATATTTTATAAGAGTAATATTATTCGAGGTATTATCGGTTGTAACTCCTAGGATTCTTTGGGAAATCCCGTATCTTTAGAGTATATTAGCCAATACCTTTCTAAGATATACTCTAGTATAGGACTCTGTCAGAGGTTCAAAGGCTAATAGGATCTCTCGGAAGGCCTAGGAATTATTAAAGAAATACCTAGTAACTGCTATAAATGCCTGCTGAAAAGGAGACGTCTAGTAATCGAGGGTAATTAAGATCTTGATATTCCTCGGCAAGGAGTTGATAATTAAATCTTATGTTGTTTCTAAAACACTATCAAGATAGCGTTTTAAAGTTGTTCGATCGGGAAAGGAGACCGGAACGGTAGATAATTAAGTATAATTTATTATAGCCTAGAAATCAGGATGCTCGATGATGCAAAAGGGTAATTTTGACATAGCAACAAACTTTAAGAGGGTGTTATACTATCTCGGAGTTGTAAAGACCTGTCTTTTATAGCCTTTTGTTTTCTATTATATAAAGAGCTATGGATTAGATAGTAAATCAGGAGTAAATAAGTAGAGGTACTTTACTAGCTCCTGAAATATATAAGAGATGCTAGGTTAAGTTGCTTTCGGTTGGGTACTTCGGTCAAGGTAGCGCTAATGGTAATCTGATTTTAAATAACGACCGAGGGTAGATGTGCTATTTCCTACCTTCTTTAGCAGCTACTTAGGGTATTCCAGAACTAATCTATATATCTTACAGACAACCTTTGGCAATCCAGTATCTTGATAGGCTACCTAACGGAAGTTATGCCATTTTGCTGATGTTGTCTTTGACTCCTAATTATAGGGTTTCTGCCTACTAAGGCAATCTTTATCGCTATAATTTATAGATATCTACCATTGAACAAATGCCTCACGATCTTCTATAAGATATAGAATATATAATGAAAGGGCCCCGATTCTGGCTCGCTCTAGTGTCAAAGGAGCTCTTTGAATCAAAGCGGTACTAGATGACTGATCAACTGATATTATATCCGTATAATCAAAGGACTGATAAGGGTTATTATAAAGAAATGATATACTAGTATCAAATGTCTAGGATGATAAGGGTTGGGATATTTTAAAGAATGAATACTATTCTGTATCAAAAAGGTAGGAAATCCCCCTATAATAGGGGGTCTCAAGGTATAGTTCTTGTAGGGCATACTATAAAAAGGTCCGAGCTATATACTAAAAGAGGCTGGCCAATAAAGTTACTTAATTTATAAACTAGTATAGCTTTACTTACCATAAGTTAACTTAGCGCTACCTAATAACAAACTTTTTACGGGCTTTTACAGGTTACCTATAGGTTTCCTACGGATTTCCTACGGGTTTTCTGTAAAAAGCCTGTAAGCTTTTTGCTAGTGAAGGAGAATCAGAAAAAACAATGAATTCTATCTACTACGCTGTCAAAAATATATCTTTGATATATTTTCTTTCGAATATCAGAATAGATTAGTAAGTCAAATTAGAAAGCTTTGTAAAACTAGACCAGTTAGAGCTAGGGGATAGTCTATAGTAATTAGGTCCGTTACATCCGATAAAAAGTTCCTTTTTTGCTGCCTCCTATGTATAATATACTTTATCACTAAAGGTAAGCCGTAGGAATGATCTGACTCGAAAATCTTCCTATTGTATATAAGTAATCGTGGTAGTACCTATCCCTGGCTAAGGCAGAGGAATAATTTGCGAATTAATCTCTATTCGACCGTTTATAATTTGCTGATATCGGAGAAGATATTTCTGGTAAGAAATCGTTATTAAAACCCTACTGAATCTCTAGCAAAATACGTACCGAAAGCTGAGATACTCTCTTATTCAGATTAAACGCCGCAGTATAAGCCTTTACAGATGCATTAAAGTATCTTACTAGATCTACTACTGTACTTACTAATTCAATACGAAATTAATAGTTATATTCCGCATAATCGACCCAGAATTAATCAGACCATTTAATAATTTGACAAAAGTCCCAGGCATCTCTAATCATTATTGTTAGAACCTATTCAATATTTAAGTCAGCAGATTCAATATCAAATCAATACTTATTCCCTACTATATCATAAGCATCAGAATCTTTAAAGCATATATTACAGCGTACTGTATTAATGCCAGAGATTAGACAGATAATCTGGAAGTTCTGATCATCAAGAGGATCCTATTGACTAATCGATTAACGCAGACTATAAAGACACCAAATAAATTTAGGTTCTTAGATAGATTACCATTTACCAGTTGCTTCTGGTGCCATAATTATAAATTTAAGGTTAGATTTCAAGATATAATAGAGGAATAGTGATTTACACCTGATTCTTATACCTTTTACCCCATAGTAGTTTGTGGTAATGATCAAAAGCTCATAACAAAGAGTAAAAGAGCTTGATTATACCCTCTCGTCTGCAGAAGTTGAAGCTTAAAAGGGTATAGAAATAGTATCAATCGGGCGGTGTTTCATACACAAAGGAAACCGGAATGATTACAAAGGAAATATTCATTATTTTATTTACCTCCGAAAGAGGCCCAACGTAGTAAGGTGTCATATTTAATGCAGAGACGGGTTTTCTACGGGCTTTCGGGTCCTGATATAAAAGCCCGCGGGCTCTACTGGGCTTTGATAATAGGGCCCGTGGGTTCTTGGCAGACGGGCTTTTTGACGAGATCAAAGCCCGCAGGAACCAGTTTGCACAGGTCTAGTCGTAGGTACTAGGTATACTCGGAAGGGTGTCATATAGTCGGTTTAATCAATATATGATCAGGTGAACGACTGACTTGACCGCAGCGAATAAACAAACTTACTGATATGGTCAGCGACGTGTTTTGTAAATTTGAATTATTGAAACTTGAACCCGACCTTAATTTCCAGGTGGGGTATCCCGCGTGGGATGCCAACCGGGCGCGGATGTGTAACTTGAAGTCTGCGGGGTAGTACTAGGTTCCAAGGTTGCCTTGCCAGCTGGCAAGTGGCAAAAGTATAGTAGTAGTCATATATTATTACTTCCAGCCAGGGCTGGAGTAGTTATTCCGCAAGAGAACTTGAACCTGAACTTGAAGACAGCCTTAGACCTCGAGGCAAGCACTCTAATCGGAAATTTATTTGCAAGGTCAACTTCCTCCGACCACTACCTCGAATTTTGGGTTGTCTACTGAGCGATCGGAAATTGTCAAACTTGCACAGCATACCCCTATTTTGCAATGGCGGAGACTCTTGGCCTGGTTGCCAATATTGCGGCAGTCGTCCAACTAGCAGCTGAGATCACAAAGCTGAGCTATGGATACATTCGCGAAGTGAAAAATGCGCCCAAGGTACAAAAACAGTACCTGCAAGAGGTTTCAGGGCTCATGGACGTTCTCTTTCGTGTCGAGCAAGTTATCATGGAAGCCGATTCATTTGAGGCTCTCCCAACCCCGCCTGATTCTCTAAATGACGAGGCCTTGAAAAATTGCCACGCTGAGCTCTCGAAACTTCAGTTGGAACTATTAAAAAAAAAGTCACGGCTGATCAGGCCCTTTCAAGATCGGGAGCTGCGACCCCAAATTGACATGCTGCACAAATTCCGAGAGAATTTCGCTACTTATCTCTCTTCTTGCATTCTGTGCGGCCCCACCTTCGAAATAAATCGATCGCAACTAATGCAGTACTGGGTATTTTGAAATAGATCAACCACAAATGCCACACATAAAAAAGTCTCGCTTATCAGCCAGGGTGAAATACATAAGCCATGAATTCGATTTTCCCTTCTATCTAACAGAAAGAATAGAACAAGATCGAAGTGTGCTGCTGGCATTGATGCCGCCCGTGGAATTATCTCAAGAGAGGCCATCTCCTTGTCCAGGGACAGGCCTGTGGTTTTTAAGCTGCAGTGATGTGAAAGAATGGATGGACGGCTCCTTGCCACTTTTGTGGTGCCACGGGCTGCGTTAGTAAATTCCATTACCGGTGGTCTCATTTTATACTAATATACGGGCAGCGGGGGCTGGGAAAAGTTTCCTTGCGTAAGTGGCAGATTGGAACGATTGAGAAAACCGATTGCAGGCTGAGCATCGCACCTAACACCATCAAACTGAATCTAGCTCAACCCTTATTGAATCGCTTACATCCAATTCCCAAGGAAATGCCGTCATTTTATCATTTTTTTGCAGCTATCCATCAAAAGGTCAACATACAACCCTAAACATAATGCTTTTTCTCCTGAGACAATTTGTCACGGCATGTAAGGCCAGTGCACTTGGCATAGTCAAAGAGTGGTGTCAAAATCCATCATTTTTACAGAATGCAAGAAAAATAGCAGATTTGATTGCGAAAATTGCAATGCTGCAAACAACTCACCTTATCCTGGATGCTGTTGATGAAATGGAAAATTCAAGTGATATCTTAAATTGCGTCACGCAGCTCGCCGAGTCTGGAGTTCGAGTTTGTGTCACCAGCCGATGTCTTCCGCACATTGAGAAAAAGATGAAAGACGCGAAGAGACTGGAGATCGCCAGCAATACTTCTGATATAATCCTATACGTTAAAGAAAAGCTGAGGGACAGTGATTTTGAAGAGCTCAGCGAAAATGATGAAGTCATGAATGAAATTCTTTCGCGAGCTGGAAACCTGTAAGGAGTTGCTTAATATATGCTCTCGAATACACAGGCTGACCGCAGGAAGCTTTTTACTTGCTCGTCTTACCTTGAATCAGGTATTGGGTCTCACCACAACCGGTCAGATACGCAAAACCCTCCAAAGAAAACCTCAAAATCTCAATGAGGCATTTCAAGAATCAATGCAGCGAATTGATGCCCAATCTGAAGCCAGGAAGACCCTGGCACGGCGTCTACTGTCCTGGATAACTTTTGCTCGAAGACAATTGACAGTAGCAGAAGTGACTTGTGCCTTTGCCGTGAGCGAAAAAGAGCTAAACGAAGATGAAAAGCCCAGCATACCTCTTCTTCTTCGAGTATGCGTGGGACTAGTCGTCTTGAACAACAACGACAACTCTTTTCAATTGCTACATGCATCCGCATATGAGTATTTTAGTTTGAGCTTTTCAAATGCAGCAGAAACTCACTTTGACATTGCACGAACATCTTTGAATGCTCTTTGCTTGGAAAGTTTTAATTCTCAACCATGCACTTCTCCATTGGAGCTGATTGAAAGGCTTGATAGTTTAAGCTTCATTGAATATGCTGCAAAGTACTGGGGAGAACATACTCTGCACGGATCTAATGAGGAGCTATTGGAGCCATTGGTTATGAAACTTTTGAACGACGACAACCTTAGTGCCAATGCTTTTCAAATATTGTTATTTGGTCGGGATTATGCAAACTCAGCTGCTAAAGATGAGCTCTTCGCCTCTTTGCCAGTGCGTCAGACAAAGGTCCACGTCGCAGCAAACTGGAACTTGACAAGAGCCTTGAGGATATTCTTGAGAACTGGGGTGGATGCTTCTCCCAAGGATTCCCATGACTGGACCCCCTTGCATTGGGCCTGTTCTAATGGGAACTTTTTGGCTGCAGAAATTCTACTCGAGAACGGCGCTTCTGTTAATGCACAGGACATGCAGGGATGGACGCCACTTTTTTGGGCTGCCTTCATTGGAAAGCTTGACTTGGTTCGACTTCTTCTCTCCAAAGGCGCAAGCTATGGAATTACGAGTTCTCTCGGATGGACGGCATTGCACTGGGCAATATCCTGTGGACATTTTGAAATCGTCAAAGAGCTTCTGAAACACCATTCACGCGCCCCGGATGTCAACATTGGCTATGCTCATATGTCCATGGACGAGATCAGAAGTTTCTACAAGGAGCCTCCTCCTGTTGTTTTAGCAGCGGATTATTCCAGTTCCCAGCTTTTTGGGCTTCTCGTTGGTCACCTCGAAACGCCTGGAGCAGAAGTCAGTGACAAAACATTCAACGGGATCTGGAAGAGGCAGAGATTTGACTCTCCTGTGTCGCAGAATATATGGAGATCAACGCGAAAGTCGCAAAGGGTCGCCACCGCGAAGCTGGCTCCGACTCCAGACCAGGATCAAATGCACTGTGAAGTGGAATGGAAGTCAATTTTACTAGCTTCAGCAATACGCGCCGACCAACTCTCGACGGTTCAGTTGCTTTTGGAGACTGGAGCAGATGCCAATAGCTACCACGCAATACATTTGGCAGCATATCGCAAGGATCCTAGCTACGTGAATTGTCTGCTTGAGAGGGGTGCTGATCCGACATCTGTCGATAACTTTGGGCGAACTGCCTTGCATGAAGCCGTCATGCATGGGTTCGTAGAAACCACCATTGCTCTCATAAATGGAGGATGCGACGTGAACAAACAAGTTGGTCCGAAGTGCTACACGGATTACCACATAAGAGTCGCTCAGTTTGAATTGTCACCGGACGTTCGTCATGCGTATCCTCTGATGCAAGCTTGCGGGCATTTCCTCAGCTACGATCACCGGGAGAACCATGAGTCTCTACTGAGAAATATGGAACTAAGTACACAACTAGTTGAAGCACTGCTCCTAGGGGGAGCAGATCCTAAGATGAAAGATCAGAGGGGCAGAACTGCTCTTCATTATGCTATACTGCGGCCGCATTTACCCCTAGTTAAGCTTCTTGTTGAGAATGGGTGCCCTATAGATGCAGCAGACGCTAGCGGCCGTATTCCTCTTCACTATCTCGCTCGATGCGATGAGAGCTTCGTCCAACCGGAAGACCTGGAAAAAATAGCTCGATTACTCGTCACTTATTCAGAGGGCAAAGGTGCAACCCAACCCAAACTTCTGAACAAGTCAGAACTCATAACGCCTGATAAAACGCAAGAAAAATGTCGGGACATACCACGAACCGCCTTGCATGTTGCCTTTACCGGGGCTCGATGGAAAACAGTGCGGGTTCTCCTAAACATTCAGGCAGATTTTCCCACAACCCTTGAAATGAATTCAACAATTGAGCTCGCCATCAGAGATTTGAAAACGGATATGGTGGATCTTCTTGTCTCACACGGAGCTTTGCCTCCCCCAAATGGCGTCGCAGTACTTATCGAATCAGTCCTTGCACGCAAAAAGCAACCAAACCGAGACCATTGTCAATCTTCTGATACTGATCTTGATATTCAATTTGAAAGGATTCTGGGAACAATAATTCATCTCGGCGCAGACGTTAACTTTGATACGACTCCTTCCAGGCGAGCCTACGTGTCTCCGTGGGACCCTATTGGAGGAAGTCCTCTGACTCTCATAGCAAGGAAGCCTGGATCGAGCAAGATGATACAAATTTTACTCTCTTTTGGTGCTGATCCCTATTCGTCATCAATGGAAACCTTTGATCCGATACTAACAGCAGCGTTGCTTGGCAATCTTGATGGTCTGTGTTGCCTACTGGAATTTGCTACAAAACACCCCAACCCTTTGCATTGGTCAATTCACCTGGGAACTTTCCCTGAAGATATGTGCCCCATTATGCGGGTATGCTCCTGTTTGGAAACAGCGGGAGTCCTCGCCAAGTTAAATAGCCACGGCTGCACGTTGTTGGACCTAGCGATTGAAGAGGAAAATGACTGTTTGATACATGACCTGGAGTCAAAAGGCTGTATGATTGATGCTGCACAAAGTAAGACCACTTTTGCCATTCAAAACCCCACCTTGATGCTCAAGGGCCGCACTTCTGTGAACCTTATGCTAATCCAATTTGACAGCCTTCGCAGACGCAAATTCTGATCAGTATGCAAACTGGCATGGGGATAAAAACGAATCGATTGATCCAACTGATAATATTGATGTGCTATCTCCATTTCCATTGAATTCGATTTTCAAGAATGGAAATAGAAGAGACTCGAATCAGACCGTTCGCAGGATTAGGGAAGCCAACCAATCGAAGATCTTGCATCTTTTGAAGATGGGCCTGGACCCAAATTGGACTTTGGAAATTTATACTAAAGACAGAAACTTCTTCCGAAGTGCCCGTGCCCTCGAGCCTCCTGGAAAGTCGATTAGTGTACCTCTTCTTTGCTATGGAGCAGAAAGAGGCTATTCCAGACTTATATCCCATCTGCTTGTGCACGGTGCCAAAATTGAGGCTGCGGATACCGACGGATGGCGCGCACTACATTATGCTTCTTTCAATGGTTATTTGGATATTGTCCAAATATTGATTCAACATGGGGCTGACGTACATACTACAACCCGTGCGCAAAAATCTAGTTCCAGGCTGGGAGGCTACGTGAAAAATGGAACCTGGAGAGCACAGGCCCATCACCTGGCTGCAATCCGTGGCCATTCTCAAGTTTTCAAAGTTTTGCTTGACAGTCATATTGATGTGAACGCAAGAATACACGGAGAAGCTGAAAATGCATCCACAGATCCAAAGTCCATTTCACAGGAGTGGACCTCTCAACCCCAACTCTACCACTTTGACCCTGGCTTTGAAGGGCAAACCGCGCTTCATCTTGCACTCAGACACGGACCTGGCTCATACTTTAAGGATTACCCATCGGATGAAAGTCGACTGCAGATTGCCCAATGGTGTGTTGAAGCAGGTTGTATGGTTCAGGGACTTGTTGAAGACTTTTCTTCTCCAGACATAATTTTGAGGCTGCAAAAGTTCCCCGCGTTGTGGGACTCTCTTAGATCAGGAAGCAGGTAATTTGAAGTGATTCAGCAGTTCTACCCACGTAATATGGCTTGAATGAATACTCTGGGTGAAATTTGACACTGAAAGCTGTAATCCTTGTACGAATGTTGAAATCACATGTTGCTCCATTACGACAAACACTGCTCACACCTAGGAGTCTTTAATTGAATTCAAATTAGTCCTACGGCCAATACTTAATTGGAGCAGAACTCTCATGGAATTTGAGTTTCATAAGTTTGGTGGGAAACGGCCCGCAACCGCTTAACATGGATCCGCCACTGAAGGGCCTCGACTTTTTAGTATCCCACATTGGGAATATCGTGCCTACGGATAGATTTGAATGTGTGGATACCCCAGATGGCTAGCTACGAGCGGGTGTAGTAATTACTCAGCCCCCAGGCAGAGAAGACAATCTCAAAGGCAAATCAGTTGGAGCTTCAACAAGCATATCAAATAAGACATCTCGTCACAATGCATAATATACAGAGTCCATCGCATGCAGTTTATCCCATTTCAACCATTACTGCTTGGCTGGCAGATCCTGGCCTCGCATCCAATCCCCAAACTCCTTTCGCTTGGCCTGTGAATAGTCAGCGCATGTTCGACATCAATCCCAGACACACGGGAACACAGCCGCAATGCCATTGAAATAACTGGCTCGACCTAGGTCTGATATCGGAGAGAAAAAGGGGTTGTCTTACCCGGATATCCCAGAAGCCATATCTCTCTTCAAGTCCGAGGTAGGGGTTTCGAGCACCGCCATCCCGCTCAATCTGGCCAGCCCAATCACGCCAGCTGATAGGCTTCAGCTTCTCCGCACCCAGAACCAGTCCGATGGAGACGATGACGACGGCGACCAAGGTCTCGACGATGATATCATGGGGGAGGGCGAGGCGTGTGTTGTTAAAGAGGACGGTGTGTTCGTGGGCGGAGTAGCCTCTGTCAAGCAGGGAATCGGATTAGCCAGGGTGTTCGGAATTATTTTCAGGATCGTTCGACGTACGCGTGTGTGAGCAGGACTAGACCGAACAAGGTCACGAGCTTGGAGAGGAAGCTCATGGTGATGTGGATATGGGGTTGGAGGTGGAGGTGGGAGGTGGAATTGAGGAATTGATAGGAGCTCCAACTGCCCAACTGCGAACTGCCACTTGCCAGTTTGCCCGGAAGGCGGAAGGAGTTCCGCTGACCGCGCCGCACACCGCCTATACACAACCCCTCGGTAGGACGGGCAGAAAAAAAGCGATAGCGGGGGACTGGCAAGATTGAGTCAACTCGCCGTCGCACGAGTTATTCCTCCCTCCCAATTCTACTCAATCAACAAAAAGCAACCCCGCCATCTCTTCCAAAAATGGCTGACGCAAAGAAGTTGGATGCCAATGCGCAAGCGCGCTTTGACCTGATCAATGAGAACCTCGACGAACTCATGAACCCCGAGATTGTTGAGGCCATTCTCGCGAAAGGCGAAAATCCCAGGATTTAGTATGCTTTGTCTTGTCTCCTATTTTCCTTCTTGCTCATGCCTTCTAACGACTCTCAATAGTTGGGGAACTGGTACGTTAGACTACACAATTCGAAATGGAACACAAACTCACTGCTTGGTCTGATCTCTAGCCTGCACCGGTCGGTAAGATAAAGCCAGCCATTCCCTCTTCTAAATCTTTCTTCTTATTAACAACCTCAAGTCCCCACACTGGATACCTCGTTCCTGCAATTAAGATCGCCCAGCTCCTAGCTGCTGACTGCCAGGTCGTCATCCTTCTCGCCGATATTCACGCCTTCCTGGACAACTTGAAGGCCCCTATCGAGCTCGTCAACGCCCGGGCTGAATACTACCGGAAGGTCATCACGGCCCTCCTCCAGGCCGTTGGAGTCAAAACCGACAAGCTTGAATTTGTGCTGGGCTCCAGTTACCAAAAATCGCCGGAATATGTCATGGATCTTTACAAGCTGGCGTCAGTCACCAGCGAGCACGACGCAAAGAAGGCTGGCGCTGAGATCGTTAAGCAAAGCTCCAACGCCCCGTTGTCAGGCCTTCTTTACTCGATCCTGCAAGTCCTTGATGAAGAAGTGAGTACATATCCATGGTTCTCCCCCAGCCACGTGCTAATCACGTGATTACATCTATAGTATCTCAACTGCGATGTCGAATTAGGAGGTATGTCAAGTTATAAACCTCCCCACATCTAGCTCAAGCTAACAGACACAAAGGTCGAGATCAGCGGAAATTATTTGCGTTCGCTAAACCATCTAAAACACTCTCTGAACCGTCAAACTAACTGTATATTCTTCATTTAGTGCGGCTGTTGAATGGCTTCCCAAGATCGGCTACAGGAAACGCGCGTACGTTTCTCCTTAAGCCTGTCCATTTATCAAAAACTTTACTAATGTTTGGTAGACACGCCATTACTCCCATGGTACCTGGTCTCCAAGGAGGCAAGATGAGCTCATCTGAAGAAGGCATGTGATTTCGAACTTGCGACCCGACATATACCTAGCTTACTAACAATCATTTCCAGCGAGCAAAATTGACCTCCTCGACAACCTTGACGTTGTCACCAAGAAGATCCGCAAGGCCGAGGCTGCCCCTAAAGTTGTCGACAACAACGGTCTCATTGCCATGGTGGAATTCACTTTCCTCCCAGTCTCCAGCCTTAAGGGCAAGAAGGAATTCCGATGCCCGCGCAAGGACGAGGAGGATCTAGTGTATAACGATATCGAATCCCTGAAGACCGACTACGCAAACGATGTCGTACGTGCTTATCATTTTGACCACTAAACCTTTCGAAATTTTGCTGACACTGTTCTAGTTGACCCCACAAATCCTTAAGGCAGGTGTTACCGCTGCGCTAACCGAGCTGATGGCGCCTATCCTGGCCGCGTACGAAGCCGATAAGGAGTGGCAAGAGATCACTCTGCGTGCTTACCCTCCCCCCGAGAAGAAGCAGAAGAAGATCAAGGACAAGGGTTCTCGTCACCCCGGCGCGAAGAAGCCGGAAGAGCCTGCCAAGGAGCAGGACTTGCCCGAGCGTCCTAAGGCATGAACTTAAACCATGAGCAATTTTTGCAAGATTTAGGCGGAATCCTTATAGTTGATATGCATACAATGCGAGCTGTGGTGAATGATCTAGAAGTAGCATTGGAATTAAGTGTCAAAATAGCCGAGTATGCTCAATGCTAGAAGCTTTTTTGGAGATCTATTTATACTCGATCGTTTGACTAGTATACGGCAACACCCGAGTGTTGATCAACAAACACAAAGTTTGATAGACCCACTTGTGGATACGAGAATTTACTAGTTATGTGCATGTACCTAGTGTACCCCAAGGAGATGTCCTCTCATGAGGCATTGGCTGGTGCAGTACCTACTGGGCACCTCGGGTGATCTTTCGGAATACTCCGTGGGTTCCAATGTGAAATCCGCGGGTGTACTTTGATAACTAGATTCTCATTGGTTTACTTGATGACGGTAGGTAAATTATCAAGCCATTGAGTTGCGGCACTTCCAATTGAATAAATGGAAGGAAGAAAACCACCCGGGCAAAATCTGGCCATTAAATTAATCAATTAAATGGGTCGATGTATTTGGCCCCTTACCAGTACTAGTTGTTGGCCAGTGGTCATGAATCATGTTGAAGGTGGTGCGCTCATCGACTGCCAACACGTCATTGACTGAACCGCGGGTTCCCGATCCAACCATGCGCAGACAATGCAACTACATCAGCCCATCATGTCGGCACTCAACATACCGGATTCTTCCCTCGTACTTTGTTCATGTGTTCATTTAAATTCTCCTCCCCCTCTTTAATCACCTCCCTCTCTACCACTGCCAATTCACCCCACGATACCTTATCACCACCCCCACGTCACCAGACCACGCCATATACTGTTGCTGGGCCTTTTAACGCTTGCAATCCACACCAACCAGATTGATTAAATTGGCTTCCAATATGGCTTCGTCGGTGAAGAGCATCTCCGCTTATGGAGAAGCTCGTTCAACCGTGCATGGGAAGCCCCTCGAAGCCGAGGAGGTCCGCAAGATGACCGCATACTTCCGCGCCAGTTTATACCTATGTCTTGGCATGCTTTATCTCCGCGAGAACCCTCTGCTCAAAGAGCCTCTCAAGGTGGAACATCTCAAGGCACGACTATTGGGTCACTGGGGTTCCGACGCGGGTCAATCGTTCACATGGCTACACATGAATCGCCTGATCAAGAAGTACGACCTTGATGTTCTCTTCATTTCCGGTCCTGGCCACGGAGCTCCCGGAATTATTTCCCATTCTTACCTCGAAGGTGTCTACACTGAGGTATATCCCGACAAGAGCGAGGACGAAGCTGGCATGCAGAGGTTTTTCAAGCAATTCTCCTTCCCCGGTGGAATTGGAAGTCATGCCACCCCCGAAACCCCCGGTAGTATTCACGAAGGTGGTGAGCTGGGCTACTCCATCTCCCACGCTTTCGGTACTGTTTTCGATAATCCAGACCTCATTACCTTGACCATGGTTGGCGATGGCGAGTCTGAGACCGGTCCTCTCGCGACAAGTTGGCATAGCACCAAGTTCCTGAACCCGATCGTCGACGGCGCCGTCCTACCAGTCCTCCACCTCAACGGATACAAGATCAATAACCCGACAGTCCTTGCTCGAATCAGCCACGAAGAATTGACAGCACTGATGGCCGGCTACGGCTGGAAACCTTATTTCGTCGAGGGAAGTGACCTAGATACCATGCACCAAGCCATGGCTGCAACTCTCGAGAAATGTGTACAGGAGATTCGGGAATACCAAAAGCAAGCACGGTCATCGAAGAAGGCGTTCCGTCCTCGCTGGCCGATGATTGTTCTTCGCACCCCTAAAGGATGGACTGCTCCGCGAGACGTTGACGGCAAATTTCTGGAAGGCTTCTGGCGGGCGCACCAGATTCCCATCACCGATGTCCGGACCAACCCATCCCACCTGAAGATCTTGGAGAACTGGATGAAGGGCTACAAGCCTGAGAATCTTTTCGACAAGAACGGCTCGTTGCTCCCCGAGCTCAAAGAGCTTGCTCCGACAGGAAACGCCAGAATGAGTGCCAATCCTGTTGGAAATGGCGGTCATCTACGCAAGCCACTAATCATGAACGACTTCCGACAATATGCCCTCAAGGACATCGTCCCTGGAAAGACTATCAAGGGTGGTATGGCAAATATGGCCAAGTTCCTGCGTGACGTCGTGGGTAAGAACAAGACGAACTTCCGTCTCTTCGGACCCGACGAGACTGAGTCCAATAAGCTTGCCGAAGTCTACAAGGAAGGCAAGAAGGTCTGGATGGGTGATTACTTCGATGAAGACAAAGATGGCGGAAATCTCGCGCCTGATGGTCGCGTCATGGAGATTCTCAGCGAGCATACTTGCGAAGGCTGGCTTGAGGGCTACATCCTGTCTGGACGTCACGGATTACTCAACAGTTACGAACCATTTGTTCATGTCATTGACTCGATGGTCAACCAGCACTGCAAGTGGATCGAGAAATGCCTTGAAGTCGAATGGCGTGCCAAGGTTGCCTCGCTCAACATCCTGATCACAGCCACAGTCTGGAGACAAGACCACAACGGCTTCACCCATCAAGACCCAGGCTTCCTCGACGTAGTCGCCAACAAGAGCCCGGAGGTAGTCCGAATCTACCTCCCACCAGACGGCAACACCCTCCTATCCGTCATGGACCACTGCCTCCGCAGCGTGAACTACGTCAACGTCGTCGTAGCCGACAAGCAAGAGCACATCCAATTCCTCAGCATGGACGAAGCAATCGCACACTGCACAAAGGGTCTCGGAATCTGGGATTGGGCGAGTAACGACCAAGGCGCCGAGCCAGACATCGTAATCGCCTCCTGCGGCGACGTCTCAACGCACGAAGCACTCGCCGCAACAGCGCTGCTCCGCGAAAATCTCCCCGATCTAAAGGTCCGCTTCGTAAACGTCGTCGACCTCTTCAGACTCATTTCCGGAATCCACCACCCACACGGTATGCCCGATAGACAATGGAAGGCCATATTCACCGATAACAAGCCGATTATTTTCAACTTCCACTCTTACCCCTGGCTCATCCACCGCTTGACATATAAGCGACCGGGACAGGAGAACCTGCACGTCAGAGGATACAAGGAGAAGGGCAATATCGATACGCCGTTCGAATTGGCTATGCGCAATGGAACGGATCGGTATAGTCTGGCGATTGATGCTATTGATCTTATTCCGGAACTTGTTAATAAGGCTTCGAGTGTGAGGGAGAAACTTGTTAATGCGAGGTTGGCGGGCAAGGCGGAGGCTTTTGAGAATGGTGTTGATCCTGAGCATATTCGGAACTGGGTTTGGCCTTTTGCTAGGAAGTAGAGTTCCAGCTTGGACTTTAATGTGGGATGGAAGGTGCAATCATGAATTTAGTTGTTTGAGCTGTAATGCGGTACACGAATAGCATGATATTTTGACGAGACTACTATTCTTCCCGATCCTGAGATGACAGGTGCTGAAGAACCTTGCGTCATATCCGCCCCGCATAGTAAAGTCGAGGTTATGGAGGAAACGCTATCACTGGGAGAATGGTCAGATACGGCCGAGGTCAAGTCACGAATACCAAGCAACATTTTGTAGCGGTTCGACAAAACTAAAAGAGAAGAAGCAGAAACTAGATGCCAGGATGGATGCCATCCATCAAGGCAACAAGGAAAAAACAAGGCAACAACAACTATGGTTCGTTACAATAAATTATTATGAGTTGACTAAATATAGTAGGAGACGGCGCTTACCCGATAGACTTCTGCGCTTTCTTTCAAGGTTCTACTAGATTTTCATGAGACGCATCAGCGCAGGATGGTGGTCGGGCGCTTAGCATATGCCAAGTCGGGTGGGAATTGCGAGCAGTCACGGTTCAGCTGAATTACGTACATACACAACAATACTACTTTTGTTCTTTTTGATGAACTCTGAGGACGATAAAAGTTGTGATGTATGGGAATGACATCGAGGAGAGACGCAGCGATGACCATGTAGGGTCCCTGAGACCGGGGGCATCAATGCATGAACACCCCGCCTGCATATACAAACAACGTATCCTAGACCCAAATGGTTCATAAGTGGTAGCGAACTATCATTGGATGATAGACCCGCCGCGTCAGGTTTGAAGTTCAGCCTTCAAGCTCAGCCTCCAGGACTGCCTGTCGTCCATTACAAGTTCATTTCCGAGTTCCTCCTACTCTTTAACACAGCCTGTACCTTTTTTTGTTCCAGCTTGTTGCAAGACCGGCCCTTTTTTCGTCATGGCTGACCCGTTTTCTATCGTCAGCGGTGCTTGCGGGGTCTTTTCACTAGGAATAACAATATGCGGTGGTATAATCGACTATTGCTCGACCGTGAAAGGGGCAGACGAGGAGGTTGACCGCATTGCTCGGAAGGCCTCACGAATGCAAAACACAATGCATTTGCTGGAGAATATCCTCCAAGATAACTCAACCTTGATAGAGCGCGACCACGCAGATTCTCTTCATCAAATAATGCAAACTATCCAAGCCGGCGTCGACATTCTTCAAGAAGCTGTCAAGAAATGCTGGGGTAAACACCAACCTGGCAATCCAAAGCAGGAAATGTCCAGAAACAAAGCAAAAAAGGCGCTTTATCCCTTTCGACAAAATTCTTTGCTCTCACTGAGCAGTATCTTAGACGCTCTGCAGCTAGATCTGAGCTCTGCCATGCCCATGTGAGCTTTGCATCTCATTCAAGTAAATATGAGACTTCAGTCATTGATTTAAATTTTGATTCCAGGGCTCAAATACAAATTAACCGTCACTCACACACTGAAATTATCACCCAAGGTTCGACCACGTACATGAGAATCGAGGAAGGCTTCGCAAGTTTGGAATCCCGAATGGAGACAATCGAATTGGGACGGCGACTTGCCGTTTCTGATTGCCACTCATCACCACCTGAAAACTTACTTTGCCAAAAGCCTTCCTGCCGTTGTATTCACGTCGTGCGCAAACGTCGCACCGCAAGCAAACGGTTTTCTATCTCTCGTAATATGTTTGGATTCAAGGTCTCTGCCTCATTTGAAGTTGACATGGGATCCTTATACGCACTCAAACTCACCCCTTCTTTGGATTTCCGCGCCGTCGTTCCATATGACGCTCCGGCATTCGAATTAATCGACAGAATCAGAGAAATGGACTTCAATTTCCAACCGGAACTCATGCCTGACCTGGTAAACACCACAATTGTTGAACTCCGGCAACTGTACAGCGAGGGGAAGGCTAGACCTAGTGATATGAACCCAAATGGCGAGATAATTCTCCACGTAAGATTTTAACCCAAAGTCGTGAAATCTAAGTATCCATGAGACTAACCATTCTATTAGAAAGTTTGTGGTCTCTTCTCAAAGCTTTCACAATTTCCGGGCGCCATTCGAAATTATGGCCGACTGGTAAAACTTTGCCTGGGTTATAACACAGCTTCTTTTGAGGCTCAGATCCATGGACTAACCCCCATAGACTACTTCATTGGAACAGGTGCGCCTCGTGAACCAGATTTCTTTCCGGTAGAGTCTGGGTTAGGGCATCTGTATGACTCCAATCAACAGCCTCATCATTGTTCCACACTGGCGTTGGAAGCTATTGTAGTGCGTGGAGGATTTCCAAGCACCCAAAGAAGAAGCAGATTGTCAACATGCTTGGAAATGGTGGGTTTATGGCCAAACAAAATTGTCCAACTAACCATGTTCATGTGCTAATGAAAGAATCCAGGACTCGACATCTCTGTCATCGATTTCGCAATACTGCGCGAGTCGAAAGCAGATGTTCAATTGGCCATCGCATCAAATCCAAATTATCTTGGCTTTGATTCACTTTCGCTGGCAGTGTCTTGGCCCGATGGCTTGGAACTTCTCTTGGAAAGAGGAGAATTTGACGGATTCGATCTGAATTTCGCCTTGTATAGTGCCATTAAGCAGAACTGTCTATCTTCAGTGCAGTTGTTACTCAATACCGGAATGTATTTCCGTCTCTTGGTCATTAGAGACTCGCTCGAGCTCGATGCAGAGATGTGTGACATATTGACAACGGAGCTTGTCAGACGACGGAGGGCTTTTCGCAATATAGCAGAGGCTATGTTGCCAACCGAGGAATTGACTCGGTTGGGGGTTTCAAAAGAACAACTCCCCGACGCTAATTTTGATAGCATACGTACAGCTTTGGAGGCAAGGGGAGTGGCTATACCAAATGAAATAAACACTTATTTAGAATACGAGTATACGACGTCCCCTATTCTGGAGCAAGTATGCTGCTTGAGACTGATGGAATGTCTTCATCGAGCTGGATTTCGAAGCATGTGTCGATTGACTCCTCCCACGCCAATTCCCCTAGAAATGGTTATTGACCGGGCTCTAGGGCTTACTGACATGGGAATGAATCTCAAAACTTCCGAAGTCGGTCTACCCACTACTTTGGAGCTTTGGCCGAGTATGATCGAGGGTTTTGTCCACGTTACTACACTTGGACTAATACCCGGGAGTCCGCCAACCTGCAAACTAGTGTGTCAAACAGCATCCAAGACCATTGAAAATTTGAATGAACGACAACAGCAATTCTGGAGGGATTGCATATCTTCCAATGAGCTCGATTCTTGTTCATGTGCCTGCTCTCCTGCCGACGGGTGTCGCTCAATTTCCATCGCACTGCAAAAGCTCTCCGAGATTGGCAAGTTCTATTCTTACCCGACACGAGACCTTGGTGGCCACACTTGCTTCAGTAGCAAGATCATGGAATTTTTATTCCGGGACCAAATTGAGAACTTTGAATTTGTTCTGGCAGTATTGCGCTTTCTCACCTTCAACGAATTGGGACTTACTCATACCTGTCACCTTTCACGTAACCGAAGGTTCGGGTGGGGGAAACAAGCTTGGGATGATGATGCTACTGAGAAGCTCGAAGAAGAAAAGCTGTTGCTAGACCAGCTAGACCAACTAGACATTCTCGTCTCAGAGTTCCAGCAAAAGTATGCGGAGCTGCACATCCCATTGCATGATTTCATTTACGGCTACTGGGAAGATAGGATGAAAGAGTTTTTGTTCAGACGAGAAAGCGCCGATGGCCAAATAATTCAGGAAGCAAGGAAAGTGGGTGTATGGCTGGATTGGGAGCCCGTTGATCGCGTTGAGCTAGTTTTGAAGAGGCCTTGTAGACATGCACCCACTGTTTAACAAGGAAATCCTAGACAGTCTACGGATTCCATGCCCATTAAAATAGTACAACTCTTTGATTCCTATGTCACAGAGTTGCTCCCATTTTGTCTACTAGTAACTATTACTAAACGTATCGAACCACGCCAAACTCAATCGGCTAAGCTTCGCACAGATAGTAAAATTTAGGTTCATCGGGGACCGATCATTTGACTCGGATATTGTTGAACGGGTCGCTTAAAGTGACGTGGTAGGTGCCCCGTGCCATATCATGCTAAGGGGATTTCTTGTCCTGATATGGTAGCTCAGGAGTCGATTGGTAAATTAAATGACAATTCTATATAGGGCTGACATATCTCCTGGGTAGACATACATATTGAAGTGAGTTGGGTAGGATGCACGAAACCTGGTTCCCTAGTACCTAGGTAGTAGTAGTGTTGTCCGGAGAATCTAGACACAAAGGGGCCTATACACACTGGCAAACGATTCACATATCCATGAGGCTGATTTTGTCTTATGAGTCAATTGTGTTCAATTTCAAACCAAATCAATAAATCATAGATTTGTTTTTGACTCACGCCTGAAGCTGTCCTACTTGGACCCTCGGCCACACCGTTCCCCATTCCCACGCCTCGGCCTTTAGGGAACTGGCGGTGGAGCCGCGTTAAAAAGCTTAACCAGTGTGAACTGGCAGGCACGCCTCTGGGTCGATTTTGGTTGGACCAGTTATGCGGTTGCCTGGTCCCAGCCGGCCCATAGATGTGAGCCCTGCATCTGGTGTCACCGACCATGTCCATGTCAGTCTGCGAAAAGTCCCGCAAACTCTAATCCGCAAAATTTGCCCGAGGGGACTAAAGACACGAAGACCGTAGAGGTCAGGTTTAGACGAAACCCCTTAATTAACTATAGGGGCAGTGGCAGCTAGAAGCGAGCCTATGAAGAAAGCCCCCCCCTCGTGGAAAGAAATTTGCAAGGCTGGTGGCTGAGGCAGCTGGCCTAACCTTATCTTGCCCTAACTATACAGAAATGCGCGAATTTCCCGAATTTCCCATCTCCGGCCATAAATTCTTCTCCTCTCCATCTTTTATCCCCAAATCCTCACCTGATCTTAATTCTGTCTCAGACTTCATTTCTGGTTTCTACTTTTCAGGAACAACTTCCAATTTCAAGACATACCACATCTTCAAACTTCATCCTTTTTTCCAACGCCGAATGGCTGATTATTACTCGATGAACACACCTTTCTCAACCGGCCTCTTCATCCCAGACACACTGGCTGGGCAAAAGAAAATCTGCTTCCGCTCTGTTGAAGAACTAGAGCCACCTTAAGACCCCATTACCCTGATACCAAACCAGCCCGACTATCCCGTTGATCTACGCCCACGATGAAGTTCTTCCTCAGCCCAGTTTTCCGGTGTGCGATCGAAGGCACCGCAGAAACTCAGCATTGTGCAAGCGAAGTCAAGCCAAAGTCCGGCTCTGACCATGTCATAACAACCATCGACGAGACTGATGATGCCGGCTACAAGGCCAAGTCCAGCCCACGACTTCTAGATCGATGGCTGGATGCGGCAGTCCGCTTTGCTGGCTCGGCGCCCGTCTTCCTTTTTATCGTTGCGGGCCTACTTACATGGGCCTTGCTGGGAATCCGCTTTGGTCAATCAGATGTCTGGGTCGCTGCTATTTCCGACGTGCAAGCCATCATGTGCTACATCTTCGACTCGCTGCTCATGCGCCAACTTCTCCGGGAATACTCTGAGCAACAGGAAGCCATGGTCCAGATTCAATCTCGTTGCACCAGTCACCGTCGTATGCTCGAGGCCATCAAGGAAAAGCTGGGACCAGAGGGAATCGCCCGCGCAGCTGAACTCTGCAAAGACGACCCCCCTCTCCCTCCGCTTGATCAAGGTCTAGACCGTGCCGCGGGTCCTTTTGCTCGCTTGGTAATCTGGTCAGCCAAGGCGTTTGGTCATGTTACTACTGTTGGTCTGTACTGGGTGGGCATATTCGTTTGGCTGGGGTTCGGTCCTCATTGCGGTTGGTCTAGTCGGTGGCAGTTGTACATCAATGACGCGACGTCTGCACTGATGATTCTCGTTTTTGCATTCCTTGCGTGTTTGCGCGAGTGTTTTGCCGACCAAACGAATATATGCTTGGATTCAATTTTCAAACTCGACGCCAAGCTAGAGAGAGAGCTTCGTCGTGTCAGTCGGGATGAACTGCCCAATCTCACGGTCACCATCGCGCCGCCGAAGGAAAGTTACCTCCAAATGGTCATTTTCTACTACGCAGATATAATTGGCACACTGGTGGGAATCATCATCCTGGTGCTTGTTGTTATTGCTTGGGTGGTTGTTGGCCCGGTCTTCCATTTCAACAATACCTGGTGGTTGCTGATTGGGACTTATGCCGGGCTGGTCGGGTTATTTGACAGTTTCGTGCTGCGTAATATCCAAAGCAAGGTTAATGAGTATGTCACTGAGCAAGTCGTCTGTCTCGAGAAGCAGGACATGATGCTCTATTCAGGATTATCTGTTCCTATCCCTCGAGTTCAACTCCGACCACCCTCGCTCAGCCAGCGCGTGTCTCACTACATCAACACCATCAGTTCGCATCTGCTTATGGTTGTTGCCGGGTTGGTTCTCACCTTGGGATGTATTGTGGCTTCTAGTGCGATGAAGTGGAGCTTGACGGGTCAATTGATCTCAAATGTTCCTCCTAGCATTATTGAGACTTTCTTCATGCTGATCTTGATTACGGGCCACAACTATGCGGAAAAGAAGCTTAGTGCCGACTTGACTGATATCTATCATCGGCGGCAGCGCCTTCTGGCCTTCGTGGGACATGCGGAGGGGGTTGTTGAGTGTGAAGAGGAGGTAGACTCGGTGAAGGGGGTAGCTGACTCGGAGTGAGTTTTTAGGGTTGCTTCGGGTACTGAGAGAGGGAGGGAGGGAGGGACGGAGCAGACATGTATGAGGAGGATATCGAAATGGTGACTGCTAGTGTTGCCCATGCTTACTAGTAATCATTGGTGGAGGGGGGAAAAGGGAGAAGAAGGAAGGGAAAGCAAGGTCGGAGGGAAGATACTGGGGACAGATGGTAATAATGCGATTGAAAAGTTGAATGTTTATTGGAATAGAACTGCTATTAGTAATAGTACTATTCATTTATTCATTCTAAAGGTGCTTATTACTAGTAGCTACCAGTAGCATTCAAGTTCCTGGCAGTCGGCCTCCAGGGCTGGCAGTATACTATACTGTAAACGTACTAGTATACTGTTGGACTGTAGTACTAGGGATAAAAAGAGGCTAGAAATTATTCAAACATATTATTCAAAGAGCCAGGATTATTTTGGACATATTCCATCTGATTCAAAATGAGTTTAGTTGGGCTTTTATACAAGGGTCCTACTCGGGTGGGTACTCGGTTTGTGCCTGACGCCATTGTATCATCGACTCTTGGTACAACTTTATCAGGAGTATACTTCAAAATAGTAGAATAACGTACTTTGGGATACTTGGAATAATATCAGTATGACCCTAATTTTATATTTACATCTATTATACTCTATATTCCTATAATAGAATATACTAGGGGTATATACTCACGATACACTACTAGTATACTCGTGTACCTCCGCACGGCGGCTCTCCCGTGACCAACGCAGTCCAGCCCAGTCCAGCCCAGCTTCATCTTCACTCCTCCATCTCCCCCACCCTTTCATCCTCCGCCCTTTCTCCTTCCCCTCCTTTCCTTTCTTATCACAGGAGATTATCCTGATCGCTCCCCGTGGGGCCTCACGGCTTCCTCCTCCTCTCCTCTCCTCTCTCCCCCCACTACCTGGTGACGTTGCCGTTGACGTTGACCGCTCCAACACCTCACCTCGCCTCACCTTAATTCACCCACCTCATCTCATCTCACCTCGATCCGGCGAACCGGTGATGTCGGCCCCTGCCAACTCATCCACAGTGGTTCGCAGCCATTCGACCTCTTCCAGGCCGTCTAGAGCTGTCCAGTCCGATCTACCCCATCGCACTAGAAGCGTGGCGGTCCGATCGACCAACTCCTCCCAGCCCCCTCCACACTCTCACTATTCACACTCCAAGACCCCCTCTCACGACCGTCGTCCCCCCTCCAACCATGCCGCTCTAGACACCATCGCCCGCCGCGATTTCGAAGCTTCCAACCTTGCCAAGATGCCTTCTCGTCGTGAACCTTCCTCCGAACGTTCGCAAGAACGCCCATCCACCGCAACCCGGACCGAGTCCACCCGACGACACTCCAGAAACCCATCGTCATCAGGACACAAACGAGAGAGCATGGACACTGCTGCCGCCACTGCGCCCGACCGCGCTGCGGATTCTTCCCAGCATGCGACCGGCACTCAATCCTCCCAGCCCTCTTCTTCCCAGCCTAGGCGTCGCACGACCATCACCACGCCAACGGGCCAATGGGCGCTCGGGAAGACCATCGGTGCGGGGAGCATGGGTAAGGTGAAGTTAGCCAAGAATATCGAAACTGGCGAGCAGGTAAATATCACCCCTGAATGCGATATCCTCAATTCGCTGAGCGATGCGCAATGTGATGAAATGTGATGAGTCGAGGTGTACTAATTCCGGTCGCAGGTTGCCGTCAAGATCGTCCCCAGACTCTCGACCGAAGAACACCGCAATAGCCGCGACACCGAACGAGCCGACCGATCAAAAGAAATTCGAACCGCCCGAGAAGCCGCCATTGTCAGCTTGGTGAATCACCCGTACATTTGTGGCATGCGCGATGTGGTACGGACAACATATCACTGGTACATGCTCTTCGAGTATGTCAATGGAGGCCAGATGCTCGACTACATCATCTCCCACGGCAAGTTGAAGGAGAAGCAGGCTCGCAAGTTCGCTCGACAAATCGCCAGTGCCCTCGATTACTGCCATCGCAACAGTATTGTCCACCGTGACTTGAAGATCGAGAACATTCTAATCAGCAAGACCGGCGATATCAAGATCATCGACTTTGGCCTCAGCAATCTATTCTCCCCGAGGAGTCTGCTCAAGACATTTTGCGGCAGTCTCTACTTTGCTGCACCTGAGTTGCTCCAGGCGAGACAATACACCGGACCTGAGGTTGACGTGTGGAGTTTTGGAATTGTTCTTTATGTTCTTGTTTGCGGCAAGGTGCCATTCGACGACCAGAGCATGCCTCAGCTCCATGCCAAGATCAAGAAGGGTGTGGTCGAATATCCACCTGGCCTGACTGCTGGTTTGTTCCACCCTCCATACATTTATGCGTTTTGATCGCCACTAACAATCCTCATCAGAATGCCGCCATATCATATCTCGCATGCTGGTCACTGACCCGAAGCAACGCGCGAGCTTGAACGAAATCATGAACCACCCTTGGATGAACAAAAGCTTCAGCGCACCCCCAGAAAACCACCTTGCCCACCGCGATCCACTGCAGCTGCCGTTGGATCAAGAGGTCATCGACAAAATGACCGGATTTGACTTCGGCCCTCCAGATTACATTGAAGCTCAATTGATGAAGGTGCTGGAGTCAGATGATTATCAACATGCAGTCCGACTTAATTTCCGTGAACAGCCTATCGCCAACCAGGCAGAGAAGAAGCGTGGCGTCTTCGACTTTTATAAACGACGCAACTCAGCTGCTAGCCGGGATACCCTGTCCGCACCTTCTGCTGAGGCGGTGCAGCTGGGCAATGACCCCTTGAACGCTTATAGTCCCTTGGTCTCGATTTATCACCTCGTGAAAGAGAAGCTGGACCGAGAGCGGACCGAAAGTCGCCCAGGCGCCCTTGGTATTCGTCCGACCGCCGGCGAAGAGCAGTTACCCCCGGTGGCGCCTCCCGAGGCTGCACACACCAATCAGTACCAACTGCCTGGAGAGAAGGATATTGGCCGCCGATCTCGCCCACGTGCCAGAACCCACGGCGAAGACGAAGTCACCGAGGGCATGAAGAGTCTGCACACGCACTCGCCTTCAGCTCATGCCGTGCCAAATGTGGTGCACCCCGACACCCCCGCCAAGAAAGAGAGCACTGCTGCCGGTATCCTGAGGCGCTTCAGCACTCGCAGGACCAAGGATCGCAGCCGCGATGTCGATCGCGAACGTATCAGCACCCCGAACACGCCTACGCTCAATGTTCAAGCTCCCGCCGACTCCGCATCTCCTATGCACCGCGGGTTTAGCGTGAGACGCACTCGACGTGCTGACCCTTCGTCGGCTCCTCTTACACCCGGTGGTAGCCAGCCTCAGCAAGACTTTCTCGCTGCCCCAGGCTCGGCCGAACAATCTTCGCAGTCAAAGTTCTTGGGTCGATCTACTAGCGTTAACTCTGCCGACTACCGACCTCGCAGAGCCGCCCGGAGAAGTGATGCTGATACGCTGGACGTTGGTCAGCCTCCTTCGACTAGCGGATCTGATCAGATTGGTCCGAACAGTCAACCTGATCAAACCGGCCTGAGACCTAGTACTCGCACGCACACTGCACGAACCATGTCACTCGGTCACGCACGCCGAGAGAGCATCCAAGCTCGTCGGGCTCGACGAGAGGCTGCCAGAGAGGCAAATGTGCCAGAGGAGACTGATGCGGATATCTCTGGCGCGGGCACAGCACTGGAGAGCGCCAACGAAGGAGAGGATCTCTCCAAGCCTGTCTACCTCAAGGGTCTCTTCAGTGTGTCTACCACCAGTAGCAAGCCCTTGCCCGTTATCCGGGCGGACATTATTCGAGTTCTCAGGCAGCTTGCAGTGGAATATGTCGAGATTAAGGGTGGTTTCAGCTGTCGTCACGCCCCTAGCATTGACCTCGATAAGGTGGTTGATGTGAGCCCTCCCAGCCCAGACCGACAGGGTCAGATCTCGCACCGTCGCCGGATTAGCTTCGGTGGTCTTCTTGGACATGACGATTCCCGGGACGACAGCCGACATGATAGCCGCAGTGGTGCTGAGACTGCAACGTCGCACCCAGGGTCAACCAGACCGCAGTTTCACCACCAACTCGGACGGATCCGAGGAATACGTTGCTCGAGAACAGCCCCAGGCCGCGGTTGGCGAACGTGTTGTTGGCGAAACCACCACCCGAGTCCAAAGCGACACCGGCGAGAATCTTGTACTACGATTTGAAATCCTCATCGTGAAGGTCCCTCTTTTCTCGCTGCATGGTATTCAGTTCAAGAAGGTTTCCGGTGGTATGTGGCAATATCGTGAAATGGCGAAGAAGATCTTAGATGCCTTGCGCCTGTGATGCAGCACCTACTCGCCTAACCTGACCCCCCCAAAAAAGATTCGCGAACAACGGGAAAAAGTATATAATCCCGCTCGTGGACACACATATCCTGACAATGCCCTGTTTGTCAATTCGCAACCCAGGTACATTTATCAACGACGCATCCGCATGATCATATTATCATTTGTCTTCACACCTTGCATGTCAAAGCAGCCCTTGCCAACACCCCCCTCCCTTTTCATCTATTAGCCCCATTGTTCCGGTCTGCTCTGCATTTCCTTCCGCCTACACTCACCCGCGCACACTCGTTGCAGCATTTACTACTAGCCCTTCGGACCCGGGCCTTCTTCTACCAGGAAAGTCTTCATGATGTACATTAGAGCCAACTGAAGACTCATCATGTATTTCTTCCTCCGCGTTCGTTCCCCTTGATTACTTCTAAGGCGCTAGAAATCGGCGTTGTACAGCTTTGTGTGGAATTGATTGTTGTCTGTTTTTTTTCTCTCTTCCTCTTCCCCCTTCTCTATCTTTTGAATGATGTTGAATGCGATGTTTCTATGGGTCAGTCAGAGCCTCGTATCTTTTTCGGTTCCACTGTAGATTTTTGTAGAGTGGAGTGGAACAGCTGGGTACCCTAAGGATTGTTTGTTGCTTGTTACTTTCTTTAGATTGATTGAGTTTGTACCATGGATCTGACCGTTTAGCGGGTGATCGACCTTCACAACTGCAGTTTATGGAAAGTGGTGGTTCTGTTCGCAGTAACTAGTGGACCAATAAATTACATTCGTCAACCCGTGGGCAAGTTGTGGATTGGCTATTTTGTATACAAATTTCTATATTTATCCCTAAGCTAAATACGAGATATGCAGAGTACGTGTCGCTAGATCTTTGAAGACGGTCGCAAGAGATTTACTGCCCAACTTGAAGGTGAGGACGATCTACGAATCCACACCCTGCGCCATCATTCAAGATCACACAGCCCTGGAGGACAACACAACTTGAAGTAGAAGTGAGCCAGCTATCGAGTTACGATGAAGTAAATAAACCTTAGAATTATTTTTCAAATTTTTATGACAGTTCTAAATTAAGATAGCACTCTATTATGGTTGTACAACAAGCCCAATTCCAAACAAACACTCTCAAATTTTCACCGTTCAATGAAATCAGGACAAGGCGCCTCGCATTCCACAGCTATACGAATCTTCTTCGACACATCCTGCACATCCGTAACAGTTTGCAGCGTATCAATTTCATGCTCAGAATTGATCTGCATTTTACCCAATAGTAAAGGGAGCACAGAAGATTTCCATAGGAAAGTGCTATACTTGCGATTCTCCACCGAAACGACCAGCAACAACGCCACTGCAAGGAGAACCAAGATGGCGGGCAGCGCGATCCAGGCCCAGCGAACGTGGATGTATGTCTCTGTGTGGAATGTTGTTCCTGGTATTTGTTTCGCGGATGTGCTGGTTCGAATGTGATCTGTCATGCTGTTTGCCATGGACGTCACCGAGTCGGTTAAATTGGTGCTACTCCAGAGTGCAAGGAGGGGGTTCAATCCTGGGATTGATTTTTCGATGGATTGTGCATCAGCCGTGTAGAGGGTTGAGTTGAATAGTCCGGTCAGAGTACCGGATAGATCCGCCCAGGTACTATTTTCGATGGTATAATTTGAGTTTGGCGAGAGAGGTTTCGTATCATTGGGTGAGACGAGCGTTGATAACCATATACCAGTGATATTGGACTTGATATTCTCGCCTAGGTAAAAATCCTGAGTCTCGACCAACTCAATCTGTTGCAAACCATCATCACTCGATTCGCGTGTTTGGGTGTATTTCCTTTCACACAGTGACACCGAGCATTCCATCAGAGTAGGCTTATCCTCTGGCGTCGTGCTATTTTTAGAAGTCCACGTCGTTAGTCGTCCTTCGTATTTGGCACTCAGGAACGAGACGATTTGTACTCGATCGCCCTCCTTAACGAAAGAGCCGTTTGATAAGCTGACAGCAGACCATGGATTCGGAATGGCAAAGACTGAATAATTGTCTTGTGACAACCACTTAGCATCGTTGACCCAGATCCCCGGTGTTATAGAAGCTCCACTTGGCGTCGTATAATTGCAGTCAAGCGGGATCTCAGCCATCCATTCCTGAGTGTAGAGTTTGTGCTGGTCCGTACTCGGTTTGCAGGATTGATTCGCCTCGTTCGTGACGTCCTTGCATTGAGAACAGACGCCCAATGTCACAAAATCATCGTATTCACAGTCACCAGAGGGACAGATTGGATTGAGAGGGTTATTTTTGGATTGGGCTAGGCCGTTGAAAATCGCAGCTTGCATCGATGGCTCGAGTCCCCGTGTCGTGATATTTAGAATGTCGATTTGAGGCGCGACACTTCTAGCCCAGGCAGGCCAATATTGATCCGCAGACTGAACGGCAGACGTCCCGCTATTGACTTCCATCCGACGAGCAGGATACGATAATATCTGCTGCGCAAATGGGTCGAAAGCAACCGCGAGGATCATCAAACCCGCCCCGATAGTTGCTAGCCCCGGTGTCACTGTCCAGAGAGACTCCAACGCACCCACCGGACCACGACTAGCCTGATCAAACACTTGCATGTGGTAAAACGGAGTCGGATTGTGAAATGTAGTCCATTTGAGTTGACTGAGACAAGACGAAACAGGTACTAGCATAGAAGCTTTCGCGACGGTAGAAATCACAGAAACAACCGTATTAGGCGAAATGGAATGTTCCCAGCTCGCATACTTGTCACCATCAACGTATACGAGAAAAACCACGAGGAGCACGATACTCACGATGCTCAGCGCGCATCCACCGGCTTCCCAGGTCCATGATCCAACCCGATCAAATCGTCTTCCTGGTCGTCGCTTTTTGCGCTCGGAAATCGGCTCGGTTGATATGGGGAGGGGATGTTGGTCTTGATTGTCGTCTGATGTGCGCGGTTCTGAAAACATCTCGTGGAAATGGCCGCGGTTCGAGAGGGGCGATATCTCTATTGGTGATGCCATGTTGTTTCGAGGTGTGTATCCTGGTTCGGGACTCGGGCTGTTCTCGTCGCGTGGTGGCACATTTTGGGCATTGCGCTGGTCGTTTATTGCCGAGTATGTATATTGTGAATCCATACTATGTGCTCTTCGTTTTTTCCGCTCTTCTTTCTTTTCATGGGTATTTATTCCCTGCAGACAGGGGTGCCAGGGTCCGATATGTGTAAGACCACAGATTGGGCACCTTTGGTAGTGTAAGTAGTAGATCCAGTACGGCCGGTAGGACTTTCGGCGCTGGGCGCAATACTACTAGTATGTCGCTTGACACAGGATATTCCCGAACAAGTGGGCTTGTCTGACATTGCTTGAGTCGAATTGAATGCGCCTCAGGATCCGCCTTGAAAATGTGCCAATCGTAGGGTGTTTATCAATAGATGCTCCGCCATTATTGTGGGGGCCGCTGCACTGCCGTTGGGGGGAAGAAAGTTCACGAAAATTGGAGCCTTGTACGGAGTGTTCGCAGGACATGCGATTTCGGGGTTAGTCAGTGGGCGATCGTCTGGTAATCTCGATCCAGGATTTTAGTCTTAGGGGAGTTCAATCCTGGTGTGTGTTTGTTCGGGGTTAATCTCTCGCTTAGAGCGAGGCTGCGCATTTGATAATCGGTGGAACCACCTCCCAGTCGAATTCATGGGATTTACTACGACAATGCTTTTTTTACATGGATTGATAAGATTGTTCTTGTATATGTGAGTGAATTAAAGAAGATTCTCGAGTAGCGTGTATCATTTCTCGTTAAAGGCAAAAATATGTGCATATGTGGGATCCTTCCAGCTTGCTCTTTCATCCCGATCAATAACCTCAAACTTCCTCTTCTGTCTGGCCCCTCGACATTGCTCAACCAATTGCAGCTGCTATGACACCCGTAACCACGGCCTAATCGTCCAATATGGCCTTTATCTTCGCCCTCAAAGATTTCGGCCATGCTGGGCCTCGACTTTTCTGCTCCTTCATCGCCATTTCCACTTGCTGTCGCCTTAGCTCCCGCACCTCGAGCTGTCGCAACTTAAAATTCTCTCTCTCTCGCGCCTCTTGATTCACCTTCTCCTGTTCCGCTTCCATCTTTTCCTCCTCCTTTCTTTTCATGGAGAGACGGATATCTCCGAGTAACTCCTCTGCTATGAGAGTGGTTGTGTCCATTTCTCCGTTCTTCTCTTTCCTTCTCTGCACCAATAATTCACCCAGGGAAGCCGCTTTCTCAAGTAAAGATGTCTCGGAATATGCGCCTACAAGCCGTTCAAGGTTATCCAACGTGCCATCCAGAGGATGTCCATAAGCCTCGGTCTCATAATCCAAAGTCTGGCAGCAAGTAGCTTCGGCGGCAACATATTTCTGCATCTTGATCTGCGTGAGACAAAGCCAAAAGCGACTCTCCAGGGCCTCTTCATTAGTTGGACCGTGTAATTTGGCCCGCTTAGTTGCCGCGAGCTCAAATTGCTTTTCAGCCAGCTCGTAATTCTTCAAATTATACAGCATGAGACCGAGATCGTGACCGGCGCGCAAACCAACAGCAATTCCGGGCCCAGATCCCTCAAATCCAAGTCTTTGAACTTTCATGAGCACTGCGTGTGCGTCCTCATGCTGTCCCATCTTTTCGTATGCTATCCCCGTGTTGTACATAGAACCTAACGTCTCCTCGTGTGTCGGGCCAAGCATTCTTTTCTGCTCCTCGGCTAGATTTTCACAGACAGTTTTCGCGCTCTCGTAATCTTTCATTTGAAATAGACATTCAGCAAGGAATCGCAAGGGCTTCAAATCGCGGCGGCTTGTCACTCCCAGATATTTACCCATCGAAACGGCTTCTTCAAGGCTAGCTCTCGCCTCGGGATATTGTCCCAGGTGGTAGAGAGATTCGCCTAGCACAGAGGCCACTCGGAGGGTATATTTACGGGTAAATCTAGGAGACTTCCTCAATGTGTCCATTACTTCTGTCAAGAATTCCACTGCCAAGTTGTACTCTTTGAGTCCAAATGAAGCGAAGCCGCTTCGGGCCAAACATGTCGTCATAGCTCTTGTCGCTTCTCCAGGGGTGCCCCGTATATGAGCTATAACGGGCTGGAAGTGAAATCGTGCCTCCGACCACTTCTCTTCGGAATAGAGTAATCCGGCAAGCTCATAACTTGTATGAATGGTGTTGTCGTCTTTGGGTCTCAAAACAGCTTGTTGGATATTGAGCGTTCTTCTGAGAATTGTTTCGGCCTCTCTCAAATTGCCCCGTTTAATCTCTGCACAGCCAGATCCATGTAAGGATAGGAGGGTGTCAGAATGATATGGCCCAAGGGTTTCGTGCTGCCATTTGGCTGAGAATCCAAAAAATAAAGATGCCTCCTCCCATCTGCTCAGTCGAAAACAGACTTGGGCGAGATGATAGGCTGTTTTCAGTGTTGCTTCGTTCCTCCCTCCAAGGGCATCCCTCTGGACTTTGAAAATCTCTTCAAGCAACTCCGCGGCTTTTTCGTATTCTTTTATCCCATGTGGCTTTTCGTCAATTAACCAATCCTCTTCTCTGAAGAGATGAGATAGGCTCGCGATAATCGACTGCAGCTCGTCGGCTTCACGTTCTGTGATGAGAGAGCGGGAGGGAGAAGCCGCTGACGAGATGGCTATTTGTTCCCCATTGCTGGTATTCCCAGTGTGACTTTCGTCCTGAGAAACAACAATCTCCTCGGAAGCTGTCCAGGACTTGGATTTCAAATCATATTTCAATCGGGTTCCAGAGGATACTGTATTCCTTGTCCCATTTTGGGAGCAAACTTTCTCCCGGCGTTCGATCTCCACTTCGAGGCGACGGCAAAACAAAAGCCACTTCTGGGCTTTTAGCCTTCCCAGTGGTCGAATCGTCCGGTGGGTCTGCGCCAAAAGCTTCCGGTTGGACTTCCTCGATACTCTCATGACTGACAGTTTCTTCGGAATCGCTGTTGTCAGCACCAGGTGGATTCGTATGGAGTATCTTTGATCGTATTGTCAGATCATTTTGTGAAGGTTCCGAGGTGTCGGGGGCTTGAAGCAAATCCAAAATGGTATCCATCAGCTCCCCACCGTTGAAGGCTTCAGATACACCTTGAAAAACAACTTGACTATTTTCATGGTTGAATATGGGAGTTGCGTCTGGGGTCTCATCATGAGTCGAGCTTGCCTCGGCGGATTTGACGGCTTCGGGTTCGGATTCGGAAGAAACCGAATTTCTATCTTGATTGGGTGATAAAGGTGCGTAGTGAGTGCCATCCCAGCTCATCTCATGGGAAGGGATAGGGTCTTCGATTTCATGCTGAGGAGGAACTAGAGTTGTGTCTTGATCGATTGTGGAAGATGTGTTATGAGATACATCTCTAGTCAGGCTCGCAAGAACAACCGATTCATTGAGGGGTGAAATTGATTCGGTCTCATGGGAAAGGGCCGCATGACTCTCCTGATCGGGTCTGGGGGGTATGTACTGAGAGCTGTCATGAGTCTCGCTATCCAAAACCGGTATCTCCTCGGGATGGTCCGCATATATTTGGCTCAGCCATCCACTTTCCAGGGCTTCTTCGGAAGACATTCGATTCCGAGGATTTCGTCCCATCACTGCCTCGAGAAACTGACGACACCCCAGGCTCAAAGACGGAGTTATCTTCCCCGGGAAGGGAAAATCGCTTCCCTCAACGTATCGTCTGAGCTTGATTATCTCCTCCAGCGAGAAAGGGTACTCGTGAAACAGTAGGAAGTATGTGGTCACACCGAGGGACCACATATCAATACTTTCCGTAAAGCGCCAGGCTAGACTCCCTTCCTCTTCTTCTGGGGGTAGGAAACCCTGCATCTCAGGTGCCATAAATGGCCTCGTTCCAACCATGCTACAGATGCTGGAGTCCTCGCTCATGCGCTTGCTTATACCGAAGTCCCCGAGCTTGACGCGCCATTCAGGGCCGATTTGAATCACAAAGATATTCTACTCTCCTGTTAGTTGGATATCGCCAAGCTTGAAAGATAAAGAACGGTATATATAGATGCACTGACCTTTGGCTTAACATCTCTATGCACAAAAGCATTGGCGTGGAGAAACATGAGCCCCTCTACCAACTGAAATGTGATGGTCCTGGCCTCCTCTTCGGGTAGTGGTTGTTTTAGGTGGGAGCTGAGATCCCCATGCTCAATATATTCCATGGCAATAAACACCGATGTATCATTTTCGTACCATCCCAAGAACTCGACGAACAGCCCGTGGTACTAGAGAATATCAGCCACTAGTCATCATGTTAAAATAATTGACCGGCAGACCTTTTGCTGCGAGAATTTAGCGATAGCCTCTATCTCTTTGTGGTAGTTAATCCTGTGAGCGACCATTTGGGCCTTGTCAATCGTTTTGACAGCCTGTAATTGAGGCCTACCCCCATCGCCTGTCGCACACTGGTGCAGATACACATTGCCGTAGGAGCCACGCCCCAGTAGCCTGCCCTTTATCCAAACATCTTCTCTGTAACGACGGCGACGGCCGGTAAACCTTCCCGAAAAAGTGACCCACTCAAAGGTAAACCGGTGATGGGCTGTTTGATGAAGTGTTTGATGAAAATCCACGCGAATTTGGGTGTCCAGAACTAGGTCTGACAGCCCTGGTGGCATGTTAAGTCATTCGCAGATGATGGGGTGACCAGAATCCGATCATTGAAGAGAAAGAAATGCTGTGGCGACATTGCGATCGAGAAAAGCCCTGGGGGGGCTGATCAAGTGGCTTAGCGCTGATGCCCAGGCGAGTTGAGATCGGCGAGAAGGGAGATGGTTAGCGATACGTTCGTGCAGACTGCATCAATACGATGTGATGGTCCCAAAGGGGACTAGCGTGTAATCACTTTTGGGTTGAAGAGGCGACCCACTTGATTCCGCGGTGTATACAAGTCTGCCTCACAACTGTATAAATCCTCGCGACGGCTCTTTTGGTCCTATTTGTCTGCTATTTTTCATATTCATATATTTCTTCCCTACTGAACTCTTCGTATATTCAAGAATCTCGATTGAATATACTGCTTAGTCATCAGTTGACCCGGTTCCGCGGTTCTGCGCGGTGATTGGACATATCACGTGCCACTATCCCGCGCCAAGCCTCAGATCTACAGCTGCCCTCAAAAATGATATCGATAATCGACGTCGACTCAAAGGTCTTATAGACCTAATATCTATATAAATAGATAGAGGGAAGCGTATTCTATCTGACTAGGGTGTTGGCTCTATATAATTCTTCTTTGTGGTGGTATAAATCCCGATATAGTTTTAAAGCTTGTGAGACCTCGGTGGGCAATTCTGCCCGCTCCTGGCGCCTGCATCTAACGGCTTTCCGACAGCTTTTTTTAAGCCGTTCAAAAGCCGTCAACTAAAACCCCCAAGCTATGCCTTTGCCCTGAGAGCTCAGATTTGGGCATCAAAAATAGCTAACATGATCGTCCAACCTAGAAAATACCTTATTTTGCACTCTATTTGTATTTTTGAGTCTTTTTACACTCTCCTTCTCGCCCACATCTACAAAATATAGTTAATTGCTAGTAGTGATGACATGCTGACTAATCATTTATATAGACTTGGTCCAAGCGCCCTCCACTCCACATGACCGCCCTCTCAGACCTCTCCTTTCCTTTCTGCTCCTCATTCTGCAAGTCTTGGGGTAATATCACTTTAGTGCTCCTTAGTGATTACCTGCCCACACTCTTGTCTCTCCCGCTTTTTCAAGCCAATTTGAGGCCGCCCCGCCACCCGCCGCCCTTGCCCTGTCCCTCACCCCCATCTTTCCCGGTTTCCCGACCGGCGCCTAGGTAAGGATAGGCTTCTCCGGGTTCTCTCCTCCAACTCTTGGAAATCCTCTCCCCTCTTCATCGACTTTTATCCATTTTACCTACCTAACCTGGTCGTGGCTGTTATTGCCAATATTTTCCATTTTTTAACTTCCTTATTTTTTGTCATGGGAGTTGGGTATTGTGATCTTTGCCTAACTTTTCTAAACACGTTTAGGACGCGTCTTCGGCGTTTGCCTCGCCCTCACGCCTGCAAGCCTGCAAAGGCACGACAACATGTCAAAACCTCCTATCATTGATTTCATTGATCTAACGGAGGACACCGACATGGAGGATGCTGTGGATGACCCTACGGTAAGTTCAATTTTTACTTTCTTTTGAGACGTGCCTTCCTCGCCAGTTGACGGCAGATCGACGCCATCGATTCCTTCCTTGATAGGGAAAACATTCTTAAACCTTGAACCTCCTTGAACCTCCTTTGACATTCTTCTCTCTTTTTTATTTTTCCTTTCTTCTTCCTTCTCTTACCTCGCCTCGCCTTACTTCTTTTTATTTACACTTTCTTTCTCCACTTCTTTGATGTGGTTCCACTTCTTTCACCCTCGAATACATCAATGGCCTCGATCATTAGATCACTCACTAATTATATCATATACCAGCCCGAGCCACCACTCCCAAATGGCTTTATCAAGGTCAATTCCGTGATGCCCCAAAAGCTGGGTGATCTTGGGTCCGCCACATTTTCTTCCACTCTGGTTGTGTCTCCCGCAAGTGCCAACAAGCGAAAGAGCTCCGAACTCGACGATTCCGAACAGGAAACTCTTCGCACACCAACTGACCCCCCTCGACCCATGACTCTGACTAAAGCCTCGCAAACTACTGTTCGTGTCGAGGTCCCATCTCCATCTCTTTCTTTAGACCAATACGTCAAGGTCGAGCCTAAACATGACGGTCTATCTGAAAAGTACTACCCAGTCGAGTCCGTTGAACGGAGTGAAGCTTTTGACCGCCGGTATCCGTACAAACGGGCTGTTAAGCGCAGTCTTGTTTCCCTGTCTGCGGATGTTGGTCATCGACGTGGTGGAGATCCAAGCACCGACGACCTGGAAAGCATCCAGCGCGCCTCATTGACGCACAGCCTCTCTCGTCTTCAGGGCCCGGAAGTATTCTTCAACATTGAAAAACAAAATCTGTTCATGCTTGCTGCGTCCAATTTCGGCTTTATCCAAGAATATGTCTTGAGAGATGGCGTTCAGGAGGTTCCAGAAGCTTTCAATTCCGGTTGTGAATGCGCGGGAGGTGCATGTGAGCCTGATAAATGCAGTTGTCTCGCCACGGAAGAGGAATCGGAAGAATTGATCGTCCCGTATCAATTGGGGAATATGGCACTTGACCCGGACTTTTTAAAACGCAAATCAATGATCTATGAATGTAATCATCGATGCGGCTGCCGCGGTAATTGCCGGTTCAATGTGACCCAACGTGGCCGAAGATTCCGTCTAGAGATCTTTCACACTGGTAACCGTGGATTCGGTGAGTTTAATACCCCAGATCTGACATCACAATTGCAGCTATGCCAGAGAGACAGTTTACTAACAGAATACCCATCTAGGTCTTCGTTCCCCAGATGATATCCAAATCGGGGAATATCTCGACCGCTACCTTGGCGAGGTATTGACCAAAGAAGAAGCCGACCAGCGCGAAGACGATCAGAAGATTTCCTATCTCTTCGGCCTTGATTTCATGGTTGGCTCAACCGATATTTCAGAGCAGGAGATCTATGTGGTAGATGGACAGAAATTCGGTAATGCCACCCGATTTATGAATCACTCTTGTAACCCCAACTGCAAGATAATACCTGTGTCGGTCAATCACGGCGACGAAAAACTCTACTATCTGGCATTTTTTGCCCTCCGCTACATCCCCGCGGGAACAGAGTTAACCTTTGACTACAACCCAGGATTCGACAAGAAAGAAAAGATGTCGTCCGGGGCTGTAAAGTGCCTCTGCGGCGACAAAAAATGTCGCGGCCAGCTTTGGCCAAATGCCCGCAAACAAAACCAACAGGGTTTCGCGGCTGACACTTCTGCTGATTCCAGCAGCTCTGATGAATAATGAAACCCCCCTGCTCCCCAAAAGCCAAAAGTGACTTTTTGACTTCTTTTGCCCCCATTGTTACACTACACATTTGTTTTGCATGGCACAGCGATCCCATTTCCAGCGAGCATTATCGTGTTTGCCTATGACGAATCACGACAACCTCACCTCTCCTCACGTCCACTCACATTTACGTTCCTACTGCATAACTTATTTTCTGTGGGATTGGGCGTTTGGATAAACATCCGGTCGCATTGCACATATTCTTGCAAAATCTCGACTTAGAAATACCCCCTGCAGTGTCCCATCGATCGAATTATCCCATCGAATAGCAATGAATGATAGCAAAGTCCAAAGGAACCCTTCAGGGCTTTGCAAAAATTTTCCTTTTCTTTTATCTTCCATATTTCAAAGTAAAAAAAAAAGAAAAAGAAAATGGTGGATCTTTAAACACTGTAAAAAGAAGAGCACGCCTATCGCTCATAGAAAAAAAAGAACACATTCTATACAAATTGCCCTCAACCCCACAACTGGTCCCGTTATTTCCATCGAACGCCAAAACTATACACAAGCCAGCTCCACAACCCCAACTAAACCGTGGAAGTCCAAGCACACTTGAAATAAGCAAATACTCGACTCAACTCGATTAAACCAAATGAAACACCCATGAAACACAAACCGCAACTCCAAACCCCAAACAGAAAATGCTGATCAAACAAAAGAAAAGAAAACCCCATCTAATACGGAGTAAAACGAGATAAAATGAAGTCAGGACCAAGACCCTGCCTTAAGCCCGCCCCTCCATAACTTCAAAAATACCCCCCATCACGAAGCGGGGCGACTGCTGCTGAGACGAGTGGTGTTGCATCGAATTTCGCTCAGTGGCACCGACACCGGCACTAGCCCGAGAGAAAGGCGACGGCGATGACAGCGGTGGTGATGCCTGCGCCTGGAGCTGGACCTGCGCCTGCTGGCATCGCGCATTCACATGTAGATCCATATCAACGGGTCGGGGTTCCATAAGATCAAGACCCTGTCTCTCAATAGAGTCACAGGTACAACGTGATCGCTCCTCGCTGAGAGCTAGGTCGATTGCTGAGGGGCGACGACGTACTACCATCATTGATGATCGGCCTCGTAGGACTGCGCAGGGAAGTACACTCACCCCGCAGCCGGGGGAGGGGCCACCAGCAGCAGTAGTGGAACTGGTAGGGGCGAAGTCATGGTTTTGATGACTGTCGCTGTGCTCGGTTTCGCTCCTTTGGTGGGTTGGGTGGAAGGAGAGGTTGAAGAGGTGGTTTGGTAGGGTCTGGTTTGCGGCTTGGGGGAAGGGTCGTAGGGTTGTGGTTGGTGAGGAGGGTGGTGAGGTTGTTCTTGAACTGGGTGGGCTTGAGGTGTCGCTTGTTTGTCTTTGATGGCGCGTGAGAGATGGGAAGGGTGAGATGAATTGGTGCATGGTTGTGAACGTGATAATGCGATTGGAATGTTTGTTTGGATTGTATTGGTTGGTGATGTAGAGTGGAATGTTTGAGTAGATGAGTTGAGTTGATATTCTCAATCCATGACAGTGCCAGTGGCTCGAATTCGAGGAGATCGAGAAGAATAAAAGAGAAAGAAAGCCATGGAGCCAATTTGGGCACTGTGACGAATTTCAATTGCGCAAGGACGGGGCTGCAGGGAGGTTGAGACAAGGCGGACGCATGCGGGAAACGGGGGGGGGGGAGGTGGATTGCCGAATGCGGATAACCCTAACTAAGTACCTTAAGTACAATTCTGGGTCTCCTGCGACCGATTCCCCTGGATTTTTACCAATGGCATTGTTTCCTGATCTACGCCAATTATTCCCCACTCATTCCATTTATTCCCGTCTGCCCGGTTCCGTCGTGGTGATGCTACAACTAGTCGTGGATACTATACTCTACGCGCATACTATCCAACCAATAGCGGCCCCACTGTTTCAGCCCCCCCGAGGGTTGGACACCGTTTCTAGTAATAACTAGGTTTGAAGCCACTTGTTTCCGGGGAAGAACTTCTTGGTATTGAAGGGTACTTAGTTACCCCGTACATAGTCGCTAAGTACAAGGGAATACCCTATCTAGGGGCTCTTCTCTAGGTAGAGATCTAGGTCAATGAGATTCCAAAATTATAGCTATAAGCACTGTAGTCAAATAATCGATGTACACGCCATGTTCTATTGACGAAACTGAAAATAATAACCGTGACGAAATGGTAAACCACGCCGTGCTATGCAAGATGACTCCGGATGGCAGGATCAAGGAGAGTGGTGGTGTAAGAGGTAGTGTACAACTCAGAGAAAAGGGGGGGTAAGAAAAAGTATCGGGACAAGAATCAATCAACCATCGGATACCTCGAGATGTCGAATCATTCGAGTATGCAAAGAATGTCCATGTAAAAGAAGAAAAAAAAAACAAAGATGCAATCTCCTCTTCTTCTCATATATCCAATATCTTCGTCCCCAATCGAAACATCATCAACGCATAGGATCTTTCCTTGGAAAGAAAAACAACAAAAAGAAAATGAAAATGAAAGGGTAAGGGTAAGGGTAAGGGTAAGGGTAAGGGTAAGGGTAAGGGAAGGGAAGGGAAGGGAAGGAAAGGAAGACGCAGAACCCGTTCTATTCAGACCGGTCACCAGATCGGTCCCCCGACCGGCGCTGCGTAAAACTTCGCCGAATACTCTCACCCCAGGCAGAGTTATCCAGCGAGTTCATAACATCCCGAACACTCATCGCGCTATTCTGCCGCGAATGATCGGCCGTACCCGATGACGGCGTAGCCGACCCACGACGCTCATCAACATCGAACGAGACCCGCTCTCCATACATATGCCGTGGGGTCCGCGCGGGGCTAAAGCTCGCCCAATCAGTCGGGGTATTACCGCCAGACGATCGGCCCGTAAGAGTCGTGTCCAAGCGAGGCAGATCGGTATGACGGCCGGTGGGACTGGACTCCGCTCTTCGGTGCAAAGTCGATGTCGGCGACAGCATCGGCGCGAATGGCGAGTCGGGACCCGGCTGCGTTTGCGGCGTCATTACACCTGATGGTGTCTCCTCGGGTTCTTCGCCTGGGTCGTCGACGAAGATTTCTGGCACTGTGAATTGTGGGATTGCTGTCATTCGGGCGCTCTTCTTGCGCTCGATGGCTCGTCGGAATTGTCGGGACCAGTATAGTGTGTCGAAGAAGCCGATCACCGTGTTACGGCGGACAGCTTCCTCCACGCGCTGGAGTCGCGCGCGACGACGCAGGAATTCTTCTAGTCGGAGACTCTTGCTGTCGCTGATGACGTTATAATGTGCGAGGATCATCAAAATCTGATGGAATGAAATGCCGCGGTCGATGTCGGCTGAAACGAGGACCTCTTCGTAGAAGGTGTTCAACCGCTGTCGTCGCTCGCGGATGATTTCGACTGGGATGCGGTCGATGATACGAGACAGCTTCTCGATGTCAATGCCCTCTGCAAGGTCTGATGGCTGCATCGGGTTCAGGGGGTTCAGGGATTCGCGTGATCGCATGGATTCGCGCGATCGCATGGGGAACGAGCTATGCAGTGAGTGGACTGAATCTCGAGGTGAAGTCCTACAATGTTCGAGAATTTCTCCAACGGTGAATTCCCCATCATATACCCGCATTGCAAATATACCGGAGAGCTCTCCGAGGAGACGAGGGAACTGCTCTTTGGTGATGAATCCCGATCCATCCGGGTCGTAGGTCGCCCAAGCCTGCTTGAACCGACGGATTTCCTCGCGGCTGAGAACGTAAAGGCCACTGCTCCGCTGGTACACGTACGAGAAACTCTCGAAAATCAGAGACACGAACAGTGAAACGAAAATGTACATGCTGATCAAGTTCCATGCAATGAACAAACACCTAGCCCAGGCAGCACTGCCGCAGTCGTCATCAAGGAAATTGGGATTGTGGGTGCAAACAGGTGGTACCATGGTGGCATAGTCTTCCATAATCGCATTCCATCCTTCTCCGCAACTGCACCGGAAGAGTAGGATCAGGGCCTTCGGTAGGTCACGGAAGTTGATGTTATGAGTTCCTTGGCTGCCGAACTTGGTCAATCCGAATGCCTGGTTCATGGCGATACCGAAAACCAAGAAAAGGACAAACCAAGTCGCAAGCAGATTTCCGATCACGGGCAGACTAGCCGCGGCTGTCTTGAACAGCTGGTCAAGCTGATTGTTCCGGGAATAAGCAGTAGAGTGATGGCAACCAGGAAGAGCTTATTTAGTTCAAGCACAGCTTGGGTCCGGTAGGAGATATCCAGGATGGTGGTGACGAAGGCGCCGGGGACGGCGAGAAGAGAGTATAGATCCCATGAGCTCCGGCTGAACCGATGCCAGCCAAGGCCGATTAATCGAACGATCACGTTTGCGATATAAACAAACATGAAGATGAAGAAGAAGACAGCTAGTTCTCGTTAGCAAGAAGATAAAACAGTCGAGAGGGATCGATGAGAAGGTACTCACATCTAATCAGTTCCCATAACTTCGGCTCGGGGTAGAACTCTAGTACTAGAAGGAGCAAATGCACAACGAGAACGCAAGTCACGAATCGTGCCCATCGACCATGCTTCTTCACCGCAATCCGGTAACACCACTGACGCCACTTCGCGCTCTTCTCGTTGAATGACCGCTTGGAAGGCGAAATCTGCCGAAGCAACTTGCGCAATTCCAACCAAGAACGTTGTTCAGCTGTCAGGAAAGCAACACCCGTTTGTTCCGTGTAATTCCGCATAAACACAGAAACAAACAGTGTCAGGACGAACACGGCGCCCAACAGGTTGAAAACGACGAAGAAGAGGCCATTCTCCGGTGCCGCGCCATCTTGAGGTTGTTGGCCAATGCCCGTAATTTGCATCACGCTATCTTGGACATCGATCCAGCCTTCCTGAGAGACAATTTGGAAAAGAATGAAGAGCGAGTTGCCGAAATTGTCAAAGTCGTAGTAGGGATTCGCTGCGACTCTTGGGGCTAGAACAGCCCAGTTGGATGGCGTATTTTCAAATTCGTTGACGCAGTTACCCAGATCCCCAGAGAGGTTGCCGTCATTGCATTGCACCAGCTGTCCACTGAACAAGTTGACACCGTAAATAGCAAAGGGTATCAAGAAACTCAACGAGACTGCAGCTGCGGAAATAACTTTCCATCCACCAACGATGATGACGGAGTGGAAGGTATCCTTCGCGCTGTCACTGACATTCAGAAGTCGGAGAGCCCTCAGTGCCTTGAAGGCTCCAATTGCTCGAGACACGCTCCAGTCATGCTTCAACGATCCACCAACGTTGATCCAAAGAGTGATCAACACCACACCGTCGATGAAACCCCATGAACTTCGGAAGTATGCATTGGGGGTCCAGAAGAAGCCATCAGCGACAACCTTGATGATAGCCTCGCACGTGAAGATAATAGCAAATCCCATATCCGTGTACACGAACCAATTGCGATTAGTGCGGAAATAATCTCGCTGGTATAGCGGTGTCGTAATACAAGCGAGAACTACCATAGCCACGATGGCCGCGTAGATGAATGCCGAGAAAGCGTACCAGACTGGTTTGTACGGATCCACACCCTCAACTCGCTCGTGGCCACGTCCAGGTCCGACGATCCGTTGGCATAACTTGCGGACTGGATGAGACGGCGCGAAGATGTACAGTGATTTGTTGTAGTTGGGATGATCGACGAGATAATTTCGCTGGGCTCGCTTTCTCGCCTCCGCCGCTGAAACAACTTCTTTGGCCATTGTCCTAGGGTCAAGCTCTTCATATGCTCGGGAAAATTGGAGCTTGGCATAGAAGGGGTTCGGCTCCCGTCCCATAACGAGAGACATGGCCTTGGTATAAAGTCGTGAGAGTGTGCCTGGCTGAACTACCTGTGCGTTCGCGCCGTCGGCCAGTGGCATCCCACTGGCTCTACGTGCATTATTAGGTCTCTCTCCTTCTCCATTCCCCTCTTCTTCCCCGTCTTCTTCTTCGTCAAGGAATTCGCGGACAACGGCGTCTTTCAACAACATTTCCAGCGCGGCAGGTCCATGGTCCAACGGATCTTTATAACGATCCGAGTCCCGACCTAATCGAAGAATTTTCGAAAGGGCCAGGTTACCCTGAGTTGCACTGCCGACATGCTTTTGCTCTAGGAAAGCCCGCACCTGCTGCAGTCGCTTTTCGTCTTCAGAAACATCGAAACTCTCTTGAATGACAGCAATAAACATGTTTAATATGATAAAGTTGGAGACGATGAACCACAGGATGATGAACGATGCGGAAATCCAAGCAGTGTTGAAATGAACGGTGTAGGAGGTTGTGTTATACAAAATTTCTGTCCAATTCTCACTCGAGAGGATCTGGTACATGCCGAGGAAAGAGTTGTAAATGTCACCGAAAGTAATGGCGACAGATTGACCATCGGCCTCATTGGGAATCTGGCTTCGAAATAGCTGCGTTGCGAAAATGGAGGCGAGGAATGTCATCAAGAACAAGAAGAATATCAAGTTGAGCAGACCGACAACATTGCGAAACACAACCATGATAAGCTTTCGGGTGACGGGAAATGCCATAACAACACGGTAGGCACGCAGAATTTGGAAAAGCGTGAGAACAGTATAAGGGCGACCCGAGTGGCGGATTGCGGGTATCTGGATGATGCATGTAATGACGACGAGGAAGAGATCGAACCAATTGCGACGACTCCGGTGAAACACACGCCAGTCCGAGCCGAAGCGTAGCACAATTTCGACGAGCATAATAAGGGTGATGACGGTCTCAGTGTTATCGACGAAGGAGCGGCGGTCGTCTGACATGCCAGAGCTCCTCAAAGCCTGAACAACGAGGTCAAAGATGATGAGCAGGATCCAAAACCAGTACGTCTTGTCGTAGAGCTTCTTGATGGTGCTTATTTTGCGATTGGAGGCTTCATCGTTCTCAACCTCGTCTATTTGCTGAACAGCGAAAGCGCTTCGCTTGCTCTCCTCTCGGATGACTTGGAAAGAATGAGTGATGACGGCAACCAGTAAGTTAACCAGCCATAGACTCAGAATGACCAGAGCGAAAGCAAAAAAGAGCGCAGAGGCCATGTAATCACTGTCGGTGGTGTAATATAGGAGATCGGTAAAGGTGTTGGAACTCATGATGACAAAGACCAGCTCGAGTGATTGCACGATATTATCGAAACTCATGGTCCCATTGTTTGGGTTTTCGCCTTCAATGCACATTGAACCTCGGGGGCAAATGTACCCTTTCGGCTTATGTGTATCAGCAGGAACACCCAGTGTATCAATCCATGACATCTCCTGGCCAGTTGTACTGTTAAGATATCCTCCGCAGAATTGTTCGGTTTGAGTGTAGTTCGACTGGCCCTCGGGGTCAATCCAGACACACGTCCTTCTAAAACTAGACTTGAAACTTTGGATTCCAACGATGGCGAAGAGGAGCCAAAAGAAGCAGATAAGAAAAGCGACATGAACGAGATTCGGAGCAGCACGTTTAAGACTTCGAAGAATTACCTGGTATGGTCAGTCAGAAAGTTCATCAACAATGGGTTGTATAGTAGGAGATTTCCTTACAGAAGTGCCGTTTGTGAGAGCAAGAAGACGCAGAATTCGAAGACAACTCAACATCTTGAAAATGTACAATTGGTGGGCTTTCTCCACGCCCTCCATGGAAAGGAAAAAGGATATCCAGAAGGCAACGATAGCCACAAAGTCTAGTCGATTAAATGAATGTCGCAGAAATGCTCTATGTGCAAGTCGAACACGGCGCTTTTGAAGAGGATCGTCATAAGTTGGGGTGTCCAGCGCATTCAACCCAGTAAATGTTCGAATGATAGATGACTGTGGTTCGCTTGGAAGAAATGAGACCTTCTTGGTGGTCGCCTGCCGGTGAGGAGTAATGAGGTTCCTGCCCTTCTCCGCAATTGCTTTCCTGATGCCCAGGGTGCGATTGAGAGTGCTATACTCCGTCGAGTTAAAAACGAAACCGGAGACCAAAATCTTTGCGCAGATCTCAAGGGTATAAAAGATGAAAATTATAAGAAAAACCCAGTCCAGGGGAGTCGCAGACCATCGTGCCGCGATAGGTTTGCTGAAGACGGATTTGGAGGATTCCACAATAAGTAGAATAGTTTGGATGATGATAATCAGGAGGACAAAGGGTTCTATGAATGGATGAACGAGGATATCGCAAAGCCAAAGTCGAAGTGGGTGATTCGGTCCCAGGATCCCGAGTGACCTGCCTCGGAATGGGTTGTTTAGATGCTTCCAGGCCGTTGATGAATTGCGCTTGTCTCGTCGGTCCTCTGCACTCAACTCCGGGCCAAAATCGACCATCGCGGGGGAGAACTGGAGGCCCCTCCATTCGCGCGTTTTTGTCCGACTCCTCCCTCTCGATCGATTGCTGTACGACCTCCGGTTCGTTACTCAGATTGACCACACGTTGCGACATAGATTTCACCATGGAGCTGGCTCGGTGGAGGGCGCCTCCAGTAGAAGGTGACAAGGAACGGGATCTAGCACTGCTACCACGTCCACGGCCAAGACCAAGACCATCTTCGACATGGGGAAGGTCATCACCCAGCCGAGAACTGCCTGCAGGATTTTCGCTACTGGGTCGTCCCTCCGATGCAGCGGCACCACTAATCGGTTGTAACCATCGAGGATCGGTTAATCGTGCATCTTCCTCGTCCGTCGCGGGAGGGTAAGGGGCGTAGGGGTCGGGGTCATGAGACTGGTACGTGTCCAAGGGCACATTATGGAGGTGATCGGATGCGGAATCGTTAAAGTCATGGTTCGCTGAGAGGCCAGCCGCTGAGGATCGTGAGTATGGCTCATCGAAGCTAATGCCAAAGGACATGGCCTGTGCGAGTTGCCCCAGATCATGGTGAGCGATATCCTCTTCGCGCGCATCGGCCGGTTGTGGGAAGGGATTCCTGCTCGCCGAGGGCGTGTCAATTGGCGAGTCCGCAGCCACGCTTTGATATTGAGTCTGGGGCCCCGTTCGCATCATCGAAGGTCGTGAGAAGATGCCACCCCCCGCGTTGTTGGCGCTACTTCTACCGCGCTCGTCGGCGGGGTCATCGTGTCTCGAGAGATCCTGAAGCGGGATCTGGCTTGAGGAGGGGCTGTCATAATCGCCAGGGCTCTGGCTATTGGGTGCCATCGTCAGGCAAGATTAGGGATTAGGGATTCGCAGACATCGCCAATTTTGCGACGCTGATGGGTCGAGGACGCGCAACGGGTGCGTAAACGAGTGTGTAAATTTGGGCGACAGCGGAGGTGACGAGGGCGTGGTGTGTAAGCGATGTGGAATGAGGGAAGAGGAGAAGCGAGAGAAGAGAGGATAGAGAGGACAGAGAGGACAGAGAGGACAAGCCAGCTTAGACCGAAGAGACGAGACAAGCCAAGCGCGATTGGGGCCGGCAGCTGAAGAAGAGCAAATCCCCCGTCGGCCGCAGGAACTAACGGGACTCCCCAGCGGCAGATGATTGGCCGATGTCTTCTGCCTTAGTCTCTTCGGCTTCGGTCTGGTGAGTTCGTAAGCTGATGACCTAGTCAATTACGAGTCCGTTCTACTGTAGTAATACTAGTTATAGTATTACATGCTATTACATGCTATTACTACTTTGTTATCACTTGATCTACACATTCTCCGGAAATCCAGCCCTACATAGCGAGATCGTCAAGGCTGGCTCGCAAAAAAAAAAACAATCCCAAAAAAGGTGTTGCCTGGTGGGGGGGGGGGGGGATATGGGGGGGATGTGTGCCAAAAATAGGTCCAAGTTGCAGCCATAAACAAAATGCATTTCTAGAAGTACGCTGTCTCACGTTCAATCCGTCTCCATCTCACCCGACTCGTCCTTCTCATTTTTAACATGTTGCCGAACGCCATCCAGGAACGCATCCACTGCATCTCCCCCACCAAGCGGTACGCCGCCTCGTCGCATAAACCCTCCATTGGCCACAGGCACCTGCAGAGCCTCGCTAATACTAGGCAATCCACCATCCCGTAAAGCAACGGTGAGACTAGCCAAACTCTGGATAAATTGTGGGGACCGGAGCACTTTGCGAAGAATATCTTTCTTTTGGGGGAGACCAAGAGATAACAAAGCCGCCTGGGCCAGCTCCGGGTCCGTGTCAGCTTCCGAGGCCTCCGCATTACCCTGAGCCAGCAGAAGCAATGCTGGCGGCAAGAAGTTCAAAAGGTGGTCAACCGCGGCGTCATCGGCGGTTTCGAGAAAAGGCAACGTAGTCGAGGGGGGAAGAAGGTCTTGCAAGGTCGTAGAAGGTCGTTCGGCATCCTGGGACTGGGACTGGCTTTGACCACCTAAGGACCGTAAAAAGTCTTGGACAACCGATGATGGATTTGAGTCGGCAGCTGCACTGTATTCGTGAAAGAAGGGAGGGTTAGAGTCATGATTCCAATGGAAGCGGGTAGAGATATGTACCTACGCTCGTCCACCGTCGGCACCGCCTTCTCTCGATTCCTGGCCCTCCTCGCGAACATCACCTCCGGTGGCGTCTGGTCCGGCTCCGCCACTGCTTCCGCCGTGGTTATGGCCTGGGTCGTGGTCGGTGCCTTCCACATCCTCCATGGTCTCATCGTCGTCACCGCCAGAAGATCGTCCTCGAGTGAAAGTGGCGATTTCGTGTTCCACGTCAACGTCTTCGCCCTGCAATAGAACATCGACAATCTCTCCGAGCTTCAGATCGCGCGGGGAGTAGTAGCTCAGGTCGCCATTTTCGTCTTGGGGCTGGGACTGCAGCCAGAATAGGTATCGTTGAGAGCTAGAAGAGAACTTGAGAACAAAGATGCGACCGTTCGTAGCATTCTTGCCAGAAGGCTTGTAGGGGGTGAAGCTTCCATCTTGAGGAATCATCATCAGATCGAGCTCGGGCTCATCGAGGGGGGGCGCTGCGGGGGCGCCAGCAGAAGTGCATGAGATCATCTTCGGAGTAGAGGTAGATATAACCAGGAGTCTGCTTGGGCTTCACGCTGGGAGGAGAGGTGGAGGTCTAGTAGGTAGTAGACAATTGGTCAGTGAAAGGTTCTAGTGCAGGCAGCCAGTGGAGGAATCGAGGTGGCCAGGCCAGGTCAGCTTCAACACATACATCGAGGTCGCAGATACCTGCTTTGAAGGTGATGACGGGAGCTATCGACATGGCGGATGGTGGTATTTATTATAGCAACCAGGAAAGTATGGTTCTAATTGGGGAATTAGGCCCGGGTGTATGACAGGGATGAAGATGGCGGGCACTGCAATGACAAGGTTAAGATTGAGAATGAGATTGCGGAGAGGAGCTTCTGAAGGATAACGTCAGTTGGTTGGTTGTTTGTGCTGAACAGCTGACCTGCGCCTGCGCTTGCTGCTTCTGTGGACTCCCGTATTAATTGCTGCCTCGGTGCCTTGGTGCCTCTATGCCTTCTGCCTATGGCAGCCAACGCCACTACACGCCACTACTTAAGTTCACTAATGAATCCTTCCAAGAATGCTGGTGTTTTTATTTACCTCGGGGCCAAAAAACCGATCATTCATTAATTTACTCAGCCGGAGGCTGGTGGTGGTTCTGAATTTACCGTAAAACCCCGCAAAACCCCGGCGCGGTTCTAGAGCCAACATAGATCTGAAAGTATATAAGGGAGGTGTGTTGGGTCAGCCTCGTATTTCTAACTTGAAGGTTTCGAACACAGCATTACTGCAGGTAGTAGTACAGGACTCCTACTACTAGTAAACGATTCTTTCTCCAAGAAAAATATTCCCTCATTCAAGTTCAAGTTCAAGTTCCCTCTACATAATGCCATCTCTCAAGGTCCTTATCTGCGGTGGTGGTTGTGCCGGGCCTGCTCTGGCATACTGGCTGGCAAAAACTGGCCATAACGTCACCATCGTTGAGCGCTTTCCAGTTCTGAGAGCCACAGGTGCCCAAATTGATCTACGTGGCCAAGGCATCGAAGTCGTGAAACGCATGGGTCTCAACGACATCATCCGGAGCAAACTCGTCGACGAGGAAGGCATAGCATTTGTCGACTTGAATGAAAAGATCGGAGCGACTATACTAGCCAACAAGTCTGGCAAAGGGGCACAAACCTTGACTTCAGAGTATGAGATTATGCGGGGTGATTTGATTCGTATTCTCTACGACGCAACGCACCAAAATGTGAAATATATCTTCGGCACCACGGTTGAGAATTTCGAACAAGATGACCAGTCGGTCACCGTTCATTTCTCGGATGGCTCATCAGACACTTACGATCTTCTTATCGGAGCAGATGGTCAAGGATCGCGTATTCGAAAGGCGATCCTGCCGCCCAACTCCCCAGAGCCTTATCGCAAACTCGGAATGCATATGGCGTACTGGTTCGTCCCCCACGATGAGACAGACGACAATTTGAGCAGGAGCTACCTCAGCCCCGGGGTCGAATGATCATGCGTCGATCTCATAACGAGACCGAAACGCAAGTTTACTTCTTTCTCAAGGATGACTCCCCCGAGTTGTCAAGTATACATCGCGCTTCGGTAGAAACGCAAAAGGAGTTCTGGACTCGAAGGTTCCAAGATGCAGGGTGGCAAACTAGTCGCTTTCTTGAGGGAATGAAGACTACGAAGAATTGGTATTGCCAGGAGGTTGTTCAGGTCCAGGCAGACACTTGGTATAAGGGTCGGGTGGCTCTGCTTGGAGATGCATCGAGTTGTCCCTCGCCATTCAGTGGTATGGGGACAACTGCAAGTTTGGTTGGGGCATATGTTCTCGCCGGTGAGATCAATCGGCATGCAGACGATCTTCCTCGAGCTCTTGCAAGCTATGACGAAGTGTTCCGACCATTTGTGAATGAGGTCCAGAATATCAACATGTCTCTCATGAAGCTGGCTATTCCGGAAACGCGATGGGGGATCACAATTCTCCACTTTATTGTTTGGCTGGTCTGCTTGCTTCATATTCCTGAACTTGCCTCGCGGTTCTCAAAGGAACGAGATGGGGATTGGAAGTTGCCAGAGTATCCAGAGTTGAGCCAGAAGGAGGAGGAAATCAAGAATGTAAAGAATTAATATTGGGTATGCAGTAATTGGAAGGATAGATGGAAGGATGATGTCAGTAAACTCTTTAATAATACTCCACACTCTATAACCGTGTGAATGAATTTGTAAAAAGAAAAGACTAAAAAAGAAAAGTTTTCGTGACACCCGTTGGGTAGAGTAGATGAGTCCGACTCTGTCCACAATAAGGCTTGTAAGTGGGCCGGATAATCTTATCAGCTTCGTTCCATGATCAAGTAGCCCGGGTACCATACTCGTAGGTACGTACTAGTGCATGATTGAAATAAGAAATTACTTCATACTGTAACTATGGAGTTGGTTATGAGCTAGGGTAGGGTAGTCATAGTACGTACTAGTAGAGGACCCACCGGCATCGGCGCTGACTCATCGGCGTCGGTTCGGTTAACCCGTATCACGTGAGATAGGGCTCACACAATTGGGAACCCTCACCCTCAAACTGGACCCATAGGCGTCCGCACCGCACATCATCAACCTCAACACCAACCCCCAACCCGACAACCACCTACACCATCTTCGTCACCATGTCGGACGGCCAGACGAAGCAGTTTGGAAAGGGCCAGCGGACCGTGCCTGCCCAGAAGGCCCAGAAGTGGTACCCCGTGGACGATGAGTCGCAGCCCAAGAAGGTCAGCATACCCCGGGAAAGCACATGGACATACATCGAGAAGGAAATACGGACATGCGTCGATTACTGCGGATGGATGCGACACGACCTTCGAGTTTGTGGATTGAATGAAGCCACCGGAAAAGACTGGCAGTCACACATCGTTCAATGTTCAGTTCAATTCAACACCGCAAAATCAATTGACGATCGGTGAAATTCGAACCAACCACGATCTCGCACACAAACCAAGTCCAAGTCGCATTCATCCGAAGACAATCGATCCATGCTCGCATCGCCTCCTCGAATACTTGAGCCACGCTTTATTTTGGTGTTTGTTCAAATTCCAGTTTCTAACCTTTGATTTGTGTGTACAGGTTCGCAAGACTCTGCGTCCCGCTAAGGTCCGCGAGAGCCTCCAGCCCGGTACCGTCCTGATCCTCCTCGCTGGTCGCTTCCGCGGCAAGCGTGTCGTCCTCCTCAAGCACCTCGACCAGGGTGTCCTCCTCGTCACCGGACCCTTCAAGATCAACGGCGTTCCCCTCCGCCGTGTCAACTCCCGCTACGTGATCGCCACCTCCAAGCGCATCGACGTCTCCGGTGTCGACGCCAAGGCCATCGAGAAGATCTCTGCCCCTGAGTACTTCACCAAGGAGAAGAAGGCCGAGAAGAAGTCCGAGGAGGCTTTCTTCAAGCAGGGCGAGAAGCCCCAGGTGCGTTTTCACTGAGAATCTTCTAATCGGGCTACCCGATTTGAAGAACAACATGGAGAAATTGAACAAAAGACTAACATGGAATTTCCCATCTACAGAAGAAGGTTGTTGCCTCCGCCCGTGCCGCCGACCAGAAGGCCGTCGACCAGTCCATCCTCGGCAGCATCAAGAAGGAGGAGTTCCTGAGCTCCTACCTCGCCTCCACCTTCAGCCTCCGCAACGGTGACAAGCCCCACGAGATGAAGTGGTAAAAAAGTGCGAAGCGGCGGCCGCGGGTTCGGTAGATTAGTTGGGGAGGACTCATCTTTCAAAAACGAGGGGGCGGCTCGATTGCAAATCGGCAATTCCCCTCGCGTGGATGGGAGGATTGGGTTTCACGAATCATGTAACTCCATGCGGAGAAGTTCCGTTTGTTAACAAAACCATGCTCTTCGCTTTTTTCTTCTTAGGAACTGCGGTTTTTTAATCTTCGGACACCCATCCAGCTGTGTTGTTCTTTCAATGTTTCAAAAAAAAGAAAGACCGTCTCTTTTTCTTTTTCCAAATCCCCCCCATTTCCTTCCGCGCGTGTGTGTCGATTATTACTCGCATGACTCCCTTCTCTTTCTCTTGCTGGAGAAGGGGGGACCAAGCCGTGATGATGTGAGAAGGACCTTCAAGAAAAAAAAAATTTCAAAAATATCCCGATCCAGCTTATCCGCTGGATCTCTTTTCTCTTTTTTTATGTTTAGTATGACATACATCTTCAATTCCCAGGTTCAGGCGGCAATACAAAAATTGGGTACATTCTATAAATTGTCCTGGCCTTGGTCATGTAATCATACTAGTACTACAGGAGTTTACTTGCCAGTGGGCATGTGGCCAATAGAACTACAATAGAACAAATGGAAGTCTAGATCGGCAATTTACAGGTCGAATTTCATTTGTGCGGTCAAACGACGTAATTGGTCCGGGGTAGATCTGCCATGTGCTACCAGTATACCCCTTGCTCGGGCGATACTATACCCTTCTACTTCCAGTACACTCGATCTATGACTAGTTGTTAGAATAAATCATGGATTCAATGATTATGCTTTTCAGTTCCCGCAAGATCCATGGATCTGTTGAGTAATTGGTTTTTCAAGCCAATTTAAAGCACAACGGGTCCACAAACTCCTACTACCTGCCCTGGCAATAGGTACAGGACCCCGGATATATATCCACATCAAAAATTCGAACGATCAAATTTATATTCAAAACCTTGGAATCACCTAGGTAGTACCATTTTGATACGATATTCAACATTAAATTCGGTCTCGATATATATACCACGCTCAAAACCAAATCATATACTGGTATCACTAAAATTAACCAATACGCCTCTAAACCAAACAAATCATTTATCCATCCATTCCAAATTTCATTTACCCAACACCGGGATCGACAAAAACCTTCGTTCCAACCCTGGAAACGCCCAAACTAGGACCGAGCAGCATTATAGGTAGTATCTTGGGTCAAGACATGACTCTGAAGATGCCATCCTCCACACATTAGAATACGAGTGAACCGCCGAATTTTACCATTTCCAAGCAGGATACAAACGATTCCTCAATGCAGTAAATCGCAACAAAGAAACTTGAACTAAAAGTGGGCGGCCCCATAAGGTGGACGACGTTCTCGTTCAACTTCCCCTCCTCGAGACGGAGATTTTGATGTTCTCCTCGATCGATTCGGAGAATACGCTCTCTTCGAGCGTAATGGGGACCTAACCCACTTTCCATATCCAACTTGAATCCATGATGGCTATGACCTTCTCGACAGAGTCCCGCCCGTACTAACAGTAGGGCCCCATTTCATCGATTTACTACCACCGCCCTTTCCACCCTTACCACCACCACGCCCACCACCACCCGAGCCCAAGCGCCCATGCCCAGAACCCTCATTATAATGATCGTGATGATGATTATCGTCATCATCATCATCATCACCAGTACTGTTATAAGTCCCAGCAAGCAGATCCCAGAAACCCCAGGGCGAGTAATTACAATGACCGTCGTCGTCGAGATGCCTCTCGACGCGAGCACCAATGCCCCCCAACCCAGGAATCGGGTAAAATAATCTATACCCGCAATGGGAGAATAGTTCCTCGATCGAGATGATCGCCAGATAGACGAAGAAAACAAGTGCGTGGAAGCGGAATAACGCGGGGGGGAGATACATCGGAATGAACTTGTGAATCAGGTAGGGAGGGGGTGGTCGTAGTGCGCTGTGAGCGGGTATGGAACCCTGAGGCAGTGGTGCCAGGTTCCGTGCCTCCAGGAGATGAACGGAGACCTTTCGTTGTGGAGGGCGAAGCGGTGCAGCAGATATGACAGGAGCTATAGAAGCGGGAACATCAGTAAGGTTGATTTGGGGTTGAGGTTGATTTTCAGTATAAAGCTTGAGGAAGAATTCTGCTGCTTTAATTTCAACTTCAATTTCAATTTCACTTACCCCACGAAGAGCTAGCCCAAGTAAGAGGTGCTTGGCCCATGTTCCCGGGAAAGGCAGAATTGATGAAACCTTGAGCATAGTTTTCCGGCCAAGAGTGTGGCGGAAGAATAGCTCTAGCGTGCCTTGCAAAACGATGCTAATAGCAAGATTGAGTAATGACCACCCGGCGACCTTGAATTCCCTCCGTCGGAGATTGAGTGTCTTCCTACCGCCAGGCAGACCCTCGACGCCTCTCCTCTTGAACACCGACGCCGCGGCTGGCATGAACATGTCGAAGAGGAACATGACGGTAGAAGGCAGGGCGAAAAAGATGACGCGCACAATTACGGTGCCGAGTATCTCAACTCGAGTCGGGGAAAATGAGAACACGAAGGTTGTCCATGTTAGCCAGAAAAAGGCGGCGCTGAGGTTGGTGGTCCAGTTGAACATGAAGGGCAGGAGGAACACCATCAGGAATGATAGCGAGAATATCGAGTTGAACATTATGAAGATTTATGGGGGCGACCCAAGACTAGTGGTGATTTTTGAATGATTCGTACAGAACAAAGAAAGTGTGTTGTAGTCCTCGAGCGCTTTGAGCCTTTCGAGTCCCAGGTGGACGACCCAGGGTCGCGATGAAAGGCCTTTGCGGCAGTCAAAGGAAAGTGCAGGTGATTTGAAATTCCCTTGATTTCAGGAGTGCAAACTGGGAGAAGTGTAAAATAGGGCTTTGGTTTTGGGGTGACCAAAGAGATGTCGTCCCACTTGTAGTTAATGAGTCAAGGTGGGCCGGTGCAGAGTGAGGATTGGCGGGACGATCGATGTAATGCGCGGTTTCGATGACTTGAATGAATATGAATTGTGTGATCGCAAAGAGTCAGAGAGGCATTATCGAGCACTCTTCATTTGCACCGAGGCGAGAATTCGAGAATGTCTCGGTTTCAAAAAAAAGGTGGCGGGGAGATGAGATGGCGCAAATTGAAGTGGCAGGAAACGCGCGAGATCCACTACGTCATCCCGCATTCCACGCATTCCACGCATCTGGCACGATAACGACTGGGACTACAAGACATAGTAGTAGTACCTACTCGACAGAGAAAGAGACTGAACTCTGTACCACAAAAAATGCAAAGGGTTCATTAATCACTAATAATACTAATAATAGGTCCCCCTGATCAGAAGAACCTTGAACATCAAAAGGGATTGATCAGAACAAACGAATGGAGCGCCCCAAGGGCGACATCGTGGGTATAATGCAATCACTGCAAGACAGAGGGAGACAAAGGATGGTAATTAGGACGGGGGAGTGGTAGCCTGGGGGGTCTCGTCCTCTTCTCCGGGATAGACATTGGGAAGTCCGTTGGTCTTGCCCCAGTTGAAGGCTTTGTTGCGCAGGTCCGGAATGACTTGAAGGAACACCAAGTTGCTGAGCCAGCTAAGCACAGTGTCGCCGATGGGAGCGTTGCGGGGACTCGGACCCAGAGAGGTTCCTTTCATGATGTTGCCAACAAACATTGTGGTAATCAGATACTCGCCACGCTCGAGAGCACTGATGGAGATCTGTGCAACCTCCTCCGGGGTTTGAGGCTTGTCGGCATCCTCGAGCATTTTGGTCAACTCGGGCTTGAGCTTCTGCTCGTTCTCGAAACCAGCACTGAGAATTCCCATGGGGAAGATAGTGTGAATCTTGACATCCGCAGCCGGGGCGCTGTTGCGGTGACGCTGGGTAAAAGCTCCATTGTACATCTCGATCTCTTGACTGAGAGTGTCAGACAGCGAGCGAATGGCAGCCTTTGCAGGCGAGTAAGGACCGTAGCCAGCGATAGGAGTGAAAGCAAGAGTGGAACAGGTGAAAATAAGATGGCGACGGGGGTTCTTCATCTGGGCGCTGGGGGGGAACAGGAGCGAGCCAGTTTCGAAGTGTGGCATGTGCCGTGTTGGCGGCAGTCCAGTAGACATTGTCCATCTGTTGACGTTGAATTGAGATGGGCACTTCGGTGAAGAATCCGGGGTGACAGAAGCCAGCACAGCACCAAACGACATCAGGACCAGAGCCGTAGTTCCAGCCTGTGACCTCAGCAATCATCCGATCACACTCCGCGGCGTCAGAAAGATCGGCACTGATATAGAAGAAGCGTTGCTTTAAGCTGTTCAGGGCGACACGCTGAAGAGGGTGTGAGTAAGTCAAAGTGGAATAGAGTAACCGGAGAAAAAAAACAATCCCACTCACCCGCATGTCCTCGACGGTACTCTGCAACTTGGAGACTGTACGTGCCACAACGACAACATGTGCACCTCGGCCGGCCAGATTCATGGCAACGGCTCGGCCCATTCCATCGGAGCCACCGGTGATGACGATAACCTGGTTGATATAAGTCAGACACGAGCTCAACAGGAAGAAGAGGATGCACTTACCCGGCCCTCAACGGGGAATTCGTTCTTTCGACCGAACCCGAACATGTTGATAACCGTATAGGCGATGACTGTGCAGACAAGTACAGATATTCCCAAGGTTGGGATGGAAATGCCGGATAAGGAAGTGAATGAGGGGAGTTGAGGCATGAGGGAAGAAGAAGAAAACAAAAAAAATAGAAGAGAAGAGAAGAAAAAGGGAGGGGGAGTGCCAAATGAGGGCGCCTTCCTTCTGTTCGGTTGGGTTGCTGACGGGGACGACGGCAGGTCGATGCTGCGCTGCGATGTGGGAGTGGTTTGCACATTACCAATTTACAATACACACAGGCCGACAGTACTGTAATTAACCCGTTCTCATCTTTCAGGTCCTGCAAACCAGTCAAACCACCCCATTCAGACTAGCGTGGCCCAGGCGGTGAGGGCGGTCACGCCAAAAAAATTATTTTGGCAGCGGACTTTCGCAGAGGATATCAGCTACAAGACGACACAGCCAAACTCGTCATGGCGAAAAAGAGAAAAGCGGGTGGTCGCCCTGCGGCCAAGACTGAAGCTCCTGCGCGCACCAAGTTCGACGTCGAGGAGCGTTTCGACGACTCCGAGGATGAATTCCAGACCGGCCGGGATCAGATCTTACTGGACGAGGCTCCTGATGCGAAGCGCCGACGAAGAGTGGCCGATGATGGTATGATCTATGCAAGCCTCGGTAGAAGATAATGCGCTATACAGAAAATAAACTGACTTGCAATTGCAGAGGAGATGTTCCAACCTTCCGACGAAGAAATCCTTGGCTACGAATCCGTCGACGAGGACGAGGACGAGGACGATGTCGAGAATGAGGACTACGACAGTGAATATGACGAAATGGGCCGACCGAAGAAGGGAGGTGATTCAGACGAGGAGGAAGAGGGCATCGCGGCTTGGGGCTCATCCAAGAAGGATCTCTACGATGCCGATCAGATTGAGACCGAAGTCGATGCCCTCGAGGAAGAGCAGGAAGCCAAGCGACTGCAACAGAAGCAATTGGAAGCCATGGAGGAGGCTGATTTCGGCTTTGACGAGTCTGAATGGGCCGACACCAAGGATGCCGATGACGAAGATGCTGGTGTGGTTACCGAGGTGCTCCCCCAGCTCGAGATCACCGACGAAATGAGCAGCGAAGAAAAGTTGAAAATTCTGAAGTCACGATACCCCGAATTCGAGCCTCTGGCCAAGGACTTCACCGATTTGCAAAAAACCCACGAGGAACTACAAAAGGAGGCGTCATCCACGAAGGCAACGATAGACAATGAGAGCGATGAGCCTCAGCCGGCTTCCGTGGCGGTCATCAAAGCGCGCGCTCTGTCCGCATACCTTGGCACTATCAGCATGTATTTCATGCTTCTGGCTTCATCTTCCGATGGCAGCAGCGGCAGCGTGTCTATGTCCCCAGCCGAACTCCGACAACACCCTGTAATGGGTTCTCTGGTCAAATTCCGCAAGCTTTGGGAGAAGGTTAAGGACCTCGAGGAGCAAGAAATTGTGTCACTTTCTGACGACGATGAATCCGAGGAGGAGGCCGAGCTTGCCACCAAGACCGAGCCCACCAAGCCCCAGAAACAGGCAACTAAGACCAAGAAACTGAGCAAGACCCAGCGACTTGCTCTAGAAGCACAAGCCGAGGCCGACGCTCGGCGTGCCGAGCGTCTTCGCGCGACCGAAGCCGGCTTGGCCGATCTCGACAACTTGATCACCGAGCCTACCCAGAAGCGCAAGACGAAGAAGACTAAGAAGATCTCGAACGAAGACGATGACTCCGACTTCGGTGACGAGGGCGCCCTTACTGCCCGCGAAGCTGAAGAGAAGGCCAAGCAGAAGCGTTCTCTACGTTTCTACACCTCCCAACTGGCCCAGAAGGCCAACAAGCGCAACACCGCCGGCCGCGACGCAGGTGGTGACGCAGATATTCCCCACCGCGAGCGTCTACGTGATCGCCAGGCTCGTCTCAATGCCGAGGCCGAGAAGCGTGGTCGTCAACAAGCCGACATCGGTGAAGAATTGGGTGGCGACAGTGACGAGGAAGACCGTCGCGTTCGCAAAGAACTCCGCAACGACGGTAACCAGTCCGGCACCGATGAAGATGAGTACTACGACATGGTCGCAGCCCGATCCAAGCAACGCAAGGATGACAAGTCAGCTCGCTCAGAGGCCTACGCTGCCGCTGCCCGTGAGGGCGGACAAGTCCTTGTACAGGAGCAGGTTGGACCTGACGGCAAGCGAGCGATTACATACCAGATCGAGAAGAATAAGGGTCTTACGCCGAAGCGGAGCAAGGACTCGCGTAACCCACGTGTTAAGAAGAGAAAGAAGTTCGAGGAGAAGAAGAAGAAGCTCGGTAGTATCAAGCAGATCTACAAGGGTGGCGAGAGCCGTGGTGGATATGGTGGTGAACTTACGGGTATCAAAAAGAACCTGGTCAAGAGTGTCAAGCTCTGATGGGTATACTGGTGGATTTCATGTATGGATTTGGTTACTTCAGGCGTCTAATATTTCATGGAAGATACAGGCATTTATGTATATAACTTTCAATTTCACTGGTTCGACATCCCCCTGGAGTACCACTACTAGTACGAAGATAGTAGAACATGCTAGTAGTACACTATGTAGAAGTAGTCTGTAAAATAACTTGGGACATTCGCGTAACCTAAAACTCGCAACGGGGTCTTTATCTACGTACTCATGCCCAAAAAGCAAGCTTCCAAGTATCTACATCCAATGATATCAAAACAAACACCACACTCGCTCGTTACCCTAAGCCTTCTTCGCACGCATAGGGAACATCGGCAAACCCTCAGCAAACTGGGGACGACCAGGGATTTCCACAACATGAGATTTGCTCTTCTTGCCTGAGGTTGTACTAGAAGTATGGTGTAAATTAGTCCAAATTCCATCAAGGATTTGAGATAAATCTCATGAATTTGACTAAGTTACATACCTTGTTGCGGAAGTCGGCGAGATTGGAAGTTCAGAATCTTTCGTAGAGGTTGAATCCTGGGAACGACGATTTCGCTTAGGCACCATATCCTTCGAAGCGCGACGGAATCTCTTCGACAGGCGCTCCGTAGTTCTCGTGCTGGAATGCGTACTTTCTGGTTTCGGGGTTTCTTGATCTAGATCTGATATTGGGATTGGTGCCGCGTCTGATCTTCGTCGGGTATAGGGAGGGAGTGTATCTGTTGTTGAGGTAATCGTGTCCATGGATGAAAGTTGTCGGGTATGGTTTGGACGATTGGACTCGCTACTAGTAGTTGGTGATGGTGCGACGGAGGTAGTCGCCCTTATAGATGGATGGTCGGTGATCGTTGTACTGCCAGATACCTGATTGCGGACGATTTGTTTATACGTATCGCTATCAAATCCGAGACTCTGGGAGAATGGTAATGGGAGTTGCGGGGGGGTTATCTTCGGTGAGACTATTCTGGTGGGTTGTAGTCAAGTCGATTGTTCCTGAGAGTAGGACGTCTCGGGATGCCTGGGTTAGCCTTTCTGGATTTTGAATTTGTGTCGTAGGTAGTTTTGTCTCCTCTGTGCGAGTAGTATGGACTACTCCTCGACTATCCCCTTCAAATTCTGGCTCTGAATCATGTTGTAAGGGAATCAACCACGCATGATCCAACGCATCTCGAGCAGGTAAACGACTAGAAGGATCCGAGACAAGCATGGCCTTCATGAACAACAAGGCTTCCGGACTAGCTTGAAATTGACCTAAAGCGCCTAATGGTAACTCTATTTCACCTCTCTGGTATGCAAATAAGTCTTTTTGATAGAAAAAAGGCAATTGTCCCGTGAGCAGGTAATAGCTGATCGCGCCAATTGACCACAGGTCCACCTCCGGGGCGAAATATGAGTTAATTTCTTGAATTGTTTCGCGAGGCTGCCATGTGTGTTGGTAGACTTCCGGTGCAGTAAAAGCTGGCGTGCCGTTGAATGATTGAAGACCAGTTAAGCCTTCCATGACCCGTTTACTGATACCAAAGTCACCGATTTTGACCCACCAGTCAGGACCTGCCGAAAGCACGGAAATGTTCTTGAGCCCTATGTCAGTCTTGTATCTATAGGAGAGATATACGGTTGGAAATGAGATACGTGATAGTACCTACCTTAGGCTTGAGATCCCGATGTGAAAAGCCATTACTATGCATAAAATCCAGGCCCTCGAGAAGTTGGAGCGTAATACTCTGAGCCTCTCGTTCCGAGAAAGGTTGAACAATGTATCTTTGCAGATCACCAGCCGGAAGGTATTCCATCGTGATAAAAAGCGACTCATCGTTATCGAACCATCCAGATGATTTCACGAAACAGCCATCGTACTAAAAGTCTTGTCAGCGGGGACCAAACGCTTGGCAAAGTCGGCCACGGGGATTTGATTTGCTACCTTCTGCTGCGAAAGCTTGGTAATTGCTTCTAGCTCACGAGTATAGTCGATAAGCAAGGAGTTTCGACCGACCCTGCGCACCTCCCTGACAGCCCGCAGGTTGCCTCCGCTATCGGATACGCATCTCTCCAACCAGACGGTGCTAAAAGTGTCGATTTCAAGAGGTCTTTGTCTCTGCCATACCTCTTCACGCTCTCGGCGCCGAGCGCGACGGCCTGCAAGGCCTGCGATGTGGCTTGTTTCGAGAAAGGTGTGGGTGGTACGTTCGGGGTCGAGTTTAGTGGGCAGCCTGGCGTCCTTCACGAGTTCGGACTGCGATTGAGACATATGGGTCAGGAAGGAAGGAGGGGTACCCCGGATTTTAAATTAGATGGAAATTGATGATAGAATTCTAGACGAGCGGATATAATGAATACAAAGATTCTCTGAATCGTAAGGGTATCGGCGCGGGGAAGGTTCAAGTTCAGGGCAATTCGCCATCAGCTGCAAGCCACAATTCACAGCCTCCAAGTCATCACACCGGACTGGGGTAAACCGGGGTGAATTCGTATGATTCGGCCCCCAGATCTTTGGCCCCAGAGTGCGTGCGTTCTGAGCGAAACAGAGTGGAGAGGATTGATAGTAGTGTGCTGGGAAGAGTATAGATCGACGGGTAAAGTAACATGGCGCGCCGGGCCAATTAAGAATGTTGACACAGCAGGGCGCAGAGATGAGCTGTGGGGTGTAAGACATAAATCCAGAAAGTGATTCGTTTTGGTTTTCAATTATTTTCGGTCTCACTCCGGTGCTTTAAATAAACCCTGCAGTATCGTCTTCGTTCCCTGTCCGGACCTCATCTGATCTGAGATGTTAACAGCAAGAAAACGTCTTGCTAGCGAGTCCTATTGGATTAATCAGTAAAAGAAAGCAGCTGATACAAGGATCGACAAGTCATACTGCATGTTGAAGGCATCTTGATTCTTCCGTGGACAAGATGGCGCATGCGGCGATCAGATTCTCGCCCCGAGCCGCAAACGATGCAATCTCATCCGCGCGGGCGACGATGGCCGCATCAATACCGTTGATTGCAGCACATCTGTGTCCCAATTGTCAGTCTGTAAATGTGAAGTAAAGTGGGAAAGATCTCATACATGGTGCCGAAGCTCTTGCTGCTGCGACCTGAGCGAAAGCTGCATGATGATTAGCCCCTCATCTAAAATACCCAGTCGGAGAAAAAGCCTTGTTGAAAAATACTTGTACAAATACGTAACCTGATCCTCCACCTCTTGAGACTCCTCGGAGACCTTTACCTCCATATGTCCTAGTTGAAGTCTCGGACGTGGTGCTAGAAAGCTGTTCTCGAAAATCTCATGAAAGTGTGTGGCGGCGATGACCTTTGGAGCATCCTCCATATTTAGCAAGTATTCAAGCACGCCACAGGCTAGCCCAATGCCATCTAATGAGCTTAGTGACAATGCAAGATGTATAGATCAGAGTGTAGTTATAATGTGATTGCAACTCACCACTTTCATTGGTTCCCTTTCCGAATTCATCTATGAGTATCAGGCTGCGTCCTGACACTTGCTTGAGACAAAGGGAAATCTGCTGGAGATCGCTCATGAAAGTACTTTGTATCTGCAAGCTTTGTCAAAATACTCGCACCTTCGCAGTATTGATCGCAGTAGATACCTTCGATACACTTTCTTGCGTGTTGATTTTGGTCAAGATCTTGTCCGTGATGCCAAGCTCGGCACTCTCTGCAGGAACAAAGCTACTATGCCTTAGTGCGAGATCCTGGTCACATGAGAAAGAAGACTATAACGTACCTCCCAATTTGAGCGAGGTAAACGATCAAAGCAACTTGTTTCATGTAGACGCTTTTCCCAGAGTAGTTCGGACCCGTGAGCAAGAGCATGCTTGGAGCTTGATCTGCCTGAGAGCAGTCTTTGTCAGAATCGGAAGCTACTTCGCCACCTATAATCAATGTATCATTTGGAACATAAGAGGGAACGGTCAACTCTTGCAGCAAATGACTAGGAGATGTTAGAAATATTGCATCTCACGCAATGGGGATATTATTACCGGCCGCCCTTAACGCTAATGACGTTCTCTGATACGATTCGCGGTCGACAGAGATTGTAGGCCAAAGCTGCTTGTGTGAGTGCAAGAGTACTGCAGAATTGGTGAGCTGGGTTACTTCATGTGGATCAAATGTTTGCTTCCATTTCGTACCTGTCCAGCTCTCCACAAATATCGGATGCCTCAACGAGCATTTCCTCATACTGGAGTACCTTCTGCGCAAGTTCATAAACGATCTCAATTTCCTTCTCTGTATCCAGGCCAAAAAAGTATTAGGGTGATTCGACAACTCTAGGAGGATTACACGCACCACAAATGAGCCCATAGATATCTCCCAGCTTCCCATCTAATTCTCTCATTCGGAAGTCCTTGAAGTAGGCTCTGTTCTCCGTGGTGAAAACAAGTTCCCAATCATCAGTTCCGAAATACACGGGCTGTTCCTGTCATTGAGGGGAATGGCAATGTTAAAGCCGAGTTGCGGGAAATATATCACGTTCACATCGATGTCGAGATCCTCGGGGATTGTCATGGCAATCTCGAGGGCGACATTTTTCAAGAGGCTGCTAAGGCCATCGTATCGATCCTTCATCATGTCGAGATTTCGGTCAAGACCTTGCTTCACGACCGTTCTGCCCTGCTCCTCTGAGTTGTCGATGTCGACCTGCAAAAATTAGTCGGGCCTCTGGAAGAGTCGAGGTCTCACTGACAACTTCCTGGATCATTCGGCCCACATTGTATAATTGTGCCGTCTCGAATATTTTGAGTGCCTGTTTCTCGTGAATACTTGAGCGAGCCAGGGGGACTTTGCAACTTGAACCTTCGCTTGTAAAGGTAGGCATTCTGCACCTGATACCTCTTTGAGAGAAGACTGGATATCAATCGAGTAGAATGCAAACTGTGAAATGTTAGTGATAGTTCGGCAATGATCGGTGATACTTACAGCTAGCAGAAACGCCCACACCGTTGTCTTGAAACCAGTAATCTTTGCGCTTCCAGTGCTGATTCCCTTGTGAAGATTGGTCATCACAGGCCGAAGATTTTTGATATGCTTCATTGCCTTCGTCATCTTGTCCAAAGAAGCTTGGTTATCTGGCCGCGAAAATACCCCGATGAAATCGTGGCGCTGTGATATGACTTTGGGATCCAAACTTGGTCGGATGAAGATCTGTTTCAATTTGGAGCGCCCTTGGGGGCTATGCGCAAAACGTTGAAATAGACCATAGATTGACAGGCCCTCTTTGCTGGAAGACGATTTTGTGCCTGGACCCTGGTTGAATAGATTCGGATGAGACTCGTGTTGAATGATTTGAAGAGATTGAAAGGTGTTGCTTCCAATCCACCTAGACCGCAACATGTTAGCCAATTTGGTAGCGGCTCTTTGCTTTTGAATAGAATGGCTTACATCGTGTTCTCCAAGCTAAACATTTCCAGAGACCGAACTTGGAATGGACATTCGTCCGTTGGTCCAATGGGGTCTATACTTGTACCCGTGGCTCTGCGTCGCTGTAGGTAGCCAAGGACAGCTCCGACACAGCCAAGTGTTATAGGATTATCCATATCCACCGAACTGGATATATGCAGCAGCCTACCCTCGTGAACTCCAAAACCCATGTCCTCGGGATTCATCTCTTCGGGACCGGAGATACCGCTATCGGGAACAAGAAAACGAAGTCGTTGCTCGTGAGCCGATGACACTTCGAGGGCGACCAATCTGTCTTTGGCGTTCGTAACACTGAATTCTTGAGAGGGACGCGCATCGATCTGATACGGGAGGTAAGACGAGGTGTCTGGAGACAAAAGAATCAGCCCGGAAAATCTATCACATAATCAAAGTAGGTGATACCTGTTTCTTGAGCAGCAGTTTGGCTTTGTTCCAGCAGACATGCCAGATCAACACGCGAGGAAACTAGAATGACGGTAGGCTTGATCTGGTGTATCACTGGCGATGCAGTCAGTATCCATCCAGGCACAACACCCCGAGCTTAAGCATAGACATACAAGCCTCAATTGTTTCTCGTTCGCCCAAGCGGCTGTCCGCCAACAGGTACATTCTCTCTTTCTCTGCTGAGTAGTATGCACAACCCATCGTTCCGTAATCCTTTATATCAATGGCAGCGATGATGTGGCCGAGATCGTCCTCATTGGACAGCTGGGAGCCTTCAAATTCGGCCTGGGACGCTGCTGGGAAAGGAGTTTGTACTTGTTCACCCGTGGAAGGACTTGGGGCCTGGAATGAGCCCTCGAGGTTGATGAAAGCCCGGCTTGATGCATAAGGTGCCTTTCCTGGTCTGGATCCATAGGTGCGAGGAGTGATTGGGTGGCGACGAGAGATTTCTGGGGATCTTTTTCTTTTCTGAGACGAGCGCATTTTGAGGGATCCAAGGCTCAATTGAGTAGATAGGGGGATAGAAGGTGAGTGAATTGGACGAGATGGATGAGAGAGGTGAGTGGCCGAGAGGCAGCAACTGAATGGCGGGTGGTCACGTTGCCCGCTTTCATTATCACCAACTACGAGCGACAGCAGCTTGACTACGGCAGAATAGAAAATAATTGAGAATAATACAGGAAGCTATACAGAGACCAACTGAGAAGCTACTATTTTAGGAATAAAAATTTGACCCAGTAACATTTACTAGTCACTGGAAAATCATAGAGAGAAGTGTTGTGAGAAGAATGTCATTACTATACATTTGAAAGGAGTGTACTATCATTGCTAAATTACAAGTCATGAGAAAATTCGAGTTCGCGCATAAATGCAACCTGAACACCACAAAAAAGGAATGCCCTTATGAAACACCTGCTAAAATGAAATCAAGACTTATCCTCAATCTCAATCTGATCAACAGAAACTTCGAGAGAAGACTTGTCTGCATTGAGAGAAACACGGGCAGTCTGCCCGGAGGTGATTTGGCCACGGATGATCTTGTCAGCGAGGCGGTTGCCAATTTCTTTTGAAATCAAACGGTTGAGAGGACGGGCACCGAATCGGGGATCATAGCCTCGCTCACAGAGCCAGTCTTTGATTTCACCATCCACCTCCAAAGTCATGCGACGGCTGTCAAGACGGCCCTGCAATTCCTTGATCCGGATATCGACGATATCTCGTAAGGCTTCCCGGGAGAGGCGCCTGAAGATGATAAATTCATCCATTCGGTTGAGGAATTCAGGTGGGTATGCACCCTGTACAACATCCATAACTGCCTTCTTGATATCTGCCGGGATCTCCGGGGCGCCTGTTTCCTTATAGGAGTGCAAGGGATCGGCACCGACAAGAATATCAGCGCCCAAGTTAGAGGTTAGAACGATCAGCGTGTTTCTGAAGTCAACCTTGTGGCCCTGGGAGTCGGTAAGGAAACCCTCATCCAGTACCTGGAGCAGAAGGGCGGAGATATCCCGATGGGCCTTCTCGAACTCATCGAATAGAAGAACAGCGTATGGTTTGCGTCTCACAGCCTCAGTAAGCTGTCCGGCATCGTCATAGCCAACATAGCCGGCAGGAGAACCAATAAGACGGCTGATTGTGTGCTTCTCTTGAAATTCACTCATGTCGAAACGTACGACTGCAGTCTCGGTAGAGAAGAGGAACTCGGCCATTTTCTTGCAAAGCTCCGTCTTACCCACACCGGTTGGCCCGAGAAACATGAACGACGCCAGCGGGCGATTCTCACCGCTGAGGCCGGCTCTCTGCATGCGCACAGCATTGGCAACGGCAGACAGAGCTTCATCTTGTCCACGAACCGATTTTCGCAAAGTATCTTCCATGTGAATTAGTTTCTCAACTTCACCGGCCATGAGCTTGTTGACTGGAATGCCAGTTGTTCGGGAAACCACGTTGCCGATGTCGTCAGGGGTGACAGAATCATGAATAAGGGTGTCTGCCTTTTGATCCGCACCCTCTTTCGGAAGCTTTGATTCGAGATCAGGGATAGTGGAATATCGCAGCTCTCCCGCCCGTGCGTAGTCGCCCTCACGTTGCGCTTTGTCTAGTTCGAAGCGTGCGCGCTCTAATTCCTCCTTGGTATTCTTGATCGAGTCAATCTCTGCTTTCTCCTTTTCCCACACCTCTGTCAGTTTGCTAGCCTCCTCCTGTTTGGTTTTCAATGTGTCTTGCAACTGTTCGCGTCGTTCACGGCTGCTGACATCCGTTTCCTTGCGTAGAGATTCTAACTCAATCTGAATAGTGGTGATATCACGCTCTAGTTCGCGAATCGTGTCTGGTTTGGATTCCTGTTGCAAACGGAGTGCCGATGCAGCTTCATCTACCAAATCGATTGCCTTATCGGGTAGGAACCGATCGGTGATATATCGATTACTATAGGTAGCGGCCGCAATGAGGGCCCCGTCCGTGATCCGAACACCGTGGTGTACTTCGTATTTATTTTTAATACCACGCAGGATGGAAATCGTGGATGCCACCGAAGGCTCGCCTACTTGAATAGGCTGGAAGCGTCTAGCCAGAGCAACGTCCTTCTCGATCAAACGATACTCATTCAAAGTGGTGGCACCGCAGCATTGCAATTCACCCCGGGAAAGAGCAGGCTTGAGAAGATTACTAGCATCGATGCTGCCCTCGGCCTTACCGAGACCCAATAAGGTGTGCAGCTCATCAATAAAGAGAATCACTCCACCATGAGCGTCTTCGACCTCCTTCAGCACTGACTTCAGGCGTTCTTCGAAATCACCGCGAAACTTGGCACCGGCAATGAGGGAGCCCAGGTCCAACGAGATCACTTTCTTGTTCTTAATACTTTCAGGGACATCACCTTGCACAATCCGTTGGGCCAGACCTTCCAGGACGGCTGTTTTTCCGGTACCAGCTTGTCCAATGAGGACCGGGTTGTTCTTGGTGCGTCTGGATAAGACCTGGATGGTTCGATGAATTTCCGCATCTCGTCCAATGACTGGGTCTAGCTTGCCAGCCTTTGCTTTCGCGGTCAAGTCCACACCGTACTTTTCCAACGCCGCTTTCTCTTCCTCTCCACTCATATCCATGCGGTGCGTACCACCGGGAGGGTGAGGACGGCCATTAGCATAATGGCGGACGAAAGAGCTCGACAGGATTCGGGGCGAGGGAGTACGAGTAGGTATATGGTGATGTGTTGGAATCCGGGGAAGTGCTGAGGCACGAGAAGTCGCCAGTGATCGAGTCGTGAGGAGATGAGGGGATCGAAGCAGTCGAACTCGACTGGTGAGGGAGAGTCTTGTGGCCATCTTGCCGTGGGATAGCACTACTGTCGGCTGGAAGCAGTGATCAGCAGGGGGGTATGGGTACATGTTAAATAGCTCGATCCACGGAGGCATCACGCAGCTTCTGGAAAGCTCCACTGAAAGTGATTGGAGAGGAGAGCTCCTTAGTGGCGGAGAGTTGAAGTGGAGATGGCAAAGCTCCGTCACCACTTCTAGCCTGGCCCGAGTCACGTGAGTTAGCGCAGTGAAAACCCGCTGCTAAATTTTTTAACTGCCCCTCCTTCCTCCTTCTCTTTTCCCCTTTTCCACTCTTCACATCTCCAACTACCTTCATTCACAATGGGTTTCACTGACTTCGTCTCCGACGCCGGCCTGGCTCGTACGCACTCCTTCGCCATGCTTGATTTTAATGCTTGATTTTGTTTGACTTTGGAACGTTGAAACTGACTGTTGCCCTCCCCCTTTCAGTGGCCAACAACTACCTCTCCACCCGCAGCTACATCGTTGGGTATGTTCTTCCCCCTTGAATCTGATTTCAATCTGATTTCAATCTTCACCTTCTCCCTTTTATTTGTTTTGATCTCATCCTATCGCACTCGATGGATGTTGATTGTCTCAATTCCCTGCTTTTTATGATGAGAAAAATTGGTCCGTGTTTAGGAGGCGGATTTAAGACCCCGCTGCATGACTACACTCCATTGCGAGCAATCGCGTCTCTGATCTCTATTGCATTCATTCCTGAATTTGCCAATCACCAATGCCACGTATCGAACGTCCCAACTGACAGTTTTCGATAGCTCTTCTCCCAGCCAGGCTGATGTTGTGACCTTCAAGGCCTTCAGCGCTGCCCCCGACGCTGAGAAGTACCCCCACGCCGCCCGCTGGTACAAGCACATCGCCTCTTACGAGAGCGAGTTCACCACTCTCCCCGGTGACGCCTCCAAGGCTTTCACTGCCTACGGCCCCGAGGGTGCTGACCTCCCCGCCAACCCCAAGGACAAGCCCGAGGAGGATGAGGAGGAGGACCTCTTCGGTTCCGACTCTGAGGAGGAGGATGCCGAGGTTGTTGAGGAGCGCAACCGCCGCCTCGAGGAGTACAAGGCCAAGAAGGCCGCTAAGGGCCCCAAGCCCGCTGCCAAGTCTATTGTCACTCTTGAGGTGAAGCCCTGGGGTATGTGTTTTTCCCAGTTTTTTTTTCCAGCTTTGATCTCGGTGTTTCGTGTTCTAACTTGATTTTCAACAGATGACGAGACCGACCTTGTTCAGATGGAGGCCAACGTCCGTGCCATCGAGATGGACGGTCTTACCTGGGGTGCTTCCAAGCTCGTCGCCGTTGGTTTCGGTATCAAGAAGCTGCAGATCAACCTGGTCGTCGAGGACGAGAAGGTCTCCACCGATGACCTCCAAGCCCAGATTGAGGAGGACGAGGACCACGTCCAGTCCACCGACGTTGCTGCCATGCAGAAGCTTTAAATTGAGAATGTGTCGGTTAACGTAGAAATGGCGTGATGATGGAATATTGATGTCTTAGGAATACCTAGTTACGAACCTAGAACCTAGCCCGAAAAGAGGCTGGTCTTGATGAAAAAAATTAAAAATTTCATGACCATAAATATTATCGATGTATATATTAAAATTTACGAGTATTTTTCTCTGAAGTTCACAACTTGAAAATGCCTGTGTGTACCGTGTTTGGCTGTCTGTTGTGTCAACGTGTTCCGTTGCCATGGCGGGGCAGAGATTTTTTTTTTTCTTGGTTCAAGTTTCTTTCCTCTTCTTTTCGCGTCGAGCGGGGTTCCAAGGTTGCCAGGTTGCTTCCTCCCTGGGTATAGTCCCCACTAGGGTACCCATAATAGTCCTAGTACCTTGGTGCTGGTGCTCCTGCTGGTGCTGCTGGTGACCGTTGGGCATCCTCGAGCCTTTACTGGTCGAACCCAGCCAATCACTGCAGATCGATCTCAAACAATTCTGTGACCGGCCTGCCGTTCTTTGTTGAATGAGATCTGATCTTCAGTGGGATCTATATCATCATATGTAATTGTATAAGAGATAAAGGAGTCGCTATTTATAACCTCCCTTTTCGGGTCATTTATCGTTCCATATCCGCGGAGTATAAGGGCTCCCAAAAGCATGTGTGTTCTAATTCCGTACCGATGGATAGAATAATGAGCTACTACTAGTATATGGATGCGCTGAGAATCTCTGCCAATAACTTGGCAAGCGATTTGAAAGATCGAGGAGCTCGGCAGCTCCGGAGCCAAGCGGACTAGGCACCTGGCATACTATGTGGACTCTGCTATTGGAGAGTAGCTTCGCCCCGAGGTTGACTGCTCTTGCAGGATGGAAATGAAATCATACCCATCGCCCTAAGGCAAGAGCAGCAGTTCCCTAAAAAGGAACAGCCCAGGATTTTTGTTTCATTTTCATGATGCTGAAACGTGAACCTGGCACTTAACCGAACATGGAAGATGCATTGACGCCCTCAAAGACCGTGGCGCTACCCCTGGCGCTACCACCACAATTTCGAGCTGTGGAATTGGCCATTCACGCCAAGCGTGGAGAAAGAACCCTGAATATGTCTAGATTGTGATACATAGTATCTATGCTCAAAGGAAACTACATACCGAGCGCCATATTGTTTGACATCCTGGAAACCTTGGAAATCTGGGCCTTTGATGGGCAGGGGAGACTCTGACATTGTTATAAAGTAGGGGCATGCAGTCTTTGCTTTGCCGCTTTGGTATTCTACATATCGCAGAAATTCACTCCTTGATACTTACTCCGAGTCTGGTTACTCGGTTCCTGTCATTCTCTTGCTTGATCGTTCACTTTCGATTCTACCGGCTGGATCGGGTAACACAATCCTTTTCTTATTGAGACTTGCTGTATTCTTGAGGCAATACTTTCAAAATGCATATCCAATTCCAGTCTCTTCTTTTCGCAACTGTGCTTCGCTTGGTCTCTGCAAAGGACTCTCGAACCTTTGCCGTCAACCACTTCTATGGCCAAGGTCCTCTGACTGAGGGTCGCATGGATCCAATCGTTAATCCTGGCGTCCCGGCTAGCCATGTGCACGCTATTCAGGGCGGCAGTAACTTCAACTTGACGATGGGCAATGTGGACCTAATGGACTCGCATTGCACTTCGTCCTTGGTTGATGCGGACAAGAGCAACTATTGGACGCCGTCCCTTTACTTCCAGGATCCTACTAATGGAAGCTTCATCGCGGTCCCATTTTTCTACATGAATGTTTACTACTTGTCTGTCACCCATAAAGTAATCCTCCAAAAGGCCCTTACTAATTGATTTGCGAAACAGCTTTGAACCTACCGACGATGAGATCAAACCATTCCCCGTTGGACTCCGCATGATGAGCGGTGACAAAGACCTAAGAACACCACCGACAGGCGGAGCCGCAAACGTACTAGATACAAACCAAGGAAAAATCCAACCTGTTCAATGGACATGCCCTCGATCTTCCTACGACACTCCGTCATACCCAACTGATTCCGATGGACTTCACGGTGTTGGCATCCAAGACCCCAACAATAAAGGAGCTGGTGCTGGTTTTCCAGACGCGAACTGTGATGGATATGCGTCTCCATTGCGCGCAGACATTCACTTTCCTTCGTGTTATAACCCGAAGGCTGGCTTGACTGATTTCAAGAATAATATGGCATTCCCAAGTGGTAAGGGGACGACTTATGGAAAGGCCAATTGCCCCGAAGGATGGATTCATCTTCCCCATATCTTTTACGAGGTATATTGGAATACTCCCCTTTTTGCGGACCTCTGGGAGCAGAATAAGGGCAAGCAGCCTTTTATTCTGGCAAATGGTGATCGTACTGGATATTCCCTCCACGGCGATTTTGTGAGTTCCCTATCAAGATTGTAACACAGATGCATGAACTAGTTTACTAACAAGATGAAATAGATTGCTGGCTGGGATGAAGACGTCTTGCAGAAGATCATCAACAATTGCGATGCTGGCGATAGCGGAATGGACAAGTGTGCCGACGCTGGAACAATCAATGATTCGTCTCAGACCTGCAACATCAAGAACCTGGTACCAGAGCCCATTTCCGGAGTCCTTGAGAAGCTCCCAGGAAATAATCCACCATCAGGGTGGGGTCAAGGCGCAAGTAGCAGTTCATCCAGTTCATCAGAGGATACCGGCTCATTGACTACGGCGACGGCAACTGTAAAGTCTGCAGTCTACACTGGCGCTTCGACATCAGAGAAAAGCTCCGATAACGAGAGCAATGCCGACGAATGGTCATACCTCGGCTGTTATTCTGACAAATTATCTGCTAGAGTGCTAAATGGGGTTCAATTCGCCGACCTTGGCAAAGTAACTTCGACGGGTTGCATTAGCTACTGTGAGAAGGCTGGGTTCTCTATGGCAGGTACTGAGTATGCTGGCGAATGTTTCTGTGGAAATGATTTAGGAGACAGCTCGAAGATTGCAGCTGATCAGTGCAATATGACTTGCGATGGAGACGCATCTCAGGTCTGTGGTGGAAGTTTGGCTCTGAGCGTGTATGGAAAGGCCAGTGACTCGTCGTCGAAGAAGCTGAGGCGACACCTTTCCCATCACCGATTTGGTCGATATAATCACATGAAAAACTGACTTGGTGATAAGGTTGGAACTGTTTCAACGTTGTATAACCACTCTCGAGGTCGGAGACATTGGAGGTGAGAGACTCGGAGCTGCTAGGATATCTGACAAGGTCAATGTGTCTATGTATAATTATAAATTGTTCTTTCACTTTGCCGTCGCAGCCATTTTTAGTGGCTCACAACCTCAGAAGTATTTGGATAAAGAGTACAAAGTCTAGACAAACTAACACTGTAGGGATGGTTAACCAACAAGCAAGCCTGTGCCTTTTAAACATTGAAACTAAGTTTAGACATGATTTAATCGATTATAGAATACAGTCTTCTCAATCTGAGTTTACTCCTAGTAGTATACCAAGAACTACTACTAGTAAGCCTATTGACTTTTGGTAAAGACTAGTTGGCACCCATCCTGGAATAGTTCGAAAATTAGCAAACCTCAAAACCCAGCTGTAACGCGGCTTTTGCAGAATGAAGCTTATGGCTTACCATTGGGAATAGTGTCGCAAAAACCTTGATCTCCTCCGACCTTTCTGTCGGATGGTGCTTCCAATCCAGCTCGAGTGCTGCTTTCCCAATCATGCCAGCCATAGATAGTGGCACATATCTTCTGGCAAGACAATCATGCGGGCCCGCGCCGAAAACCAACCAGTTCTTGGTCTTGGACTCGGCATCTCCGGTAATCCAGCGATCGGGGTCGAATGAATCAGGATCTGGATAGGCATTGGGATCATGCAGTGCTGGGTAGCATGATGGAATGATCATAGACCCCTTCGGCACCGTATAGTTAGGCGTAACCGGAAAGTCTTTCGTCGCAAGGTAGGGCACAAAGATAACGGGTGGTCTATGACGAAGAAGTTCCTTGATCACTGCGGTGGTGTAAGTGAGAGACTCGAGCATAGGAAGGTCGAAGGATTTGTTCCTGTCGCCACCGCGTGCAGCTAAATTTTCTTCTCGCAGTCTATTGAGTACGTCCGGGCGTTGGGCTAGGACTTGGAAAAGCCACGTGGTAGCACTGCTAGACGCGTCTTGAGATGCGAAGAGGAATGTGAAGAGGGTTTCGCCGATCTCCTCATTTGTGAACTCTCGAATTAGATTCGTTGGCTTTTCAGCATCTGTTTCCCCGGCGGCAATTCTCTCCCGGTATCGCTCCGACTCCATCATGTGAAGGACCCAGTGATCCACGATGCAGGTGGGCTTCGCACCAGTTGCCATGTTTGATTTGCATGCCGCGGCGCATTTTGCAAATTCGACATGAACAGCATCGGCCGTTCGCTTACCTAGCCAGGGCTTGGTGAACGGAACGTACATCGAAAGGGGAATGTTGACCAGCTCCATAGCGGCAGTGACAAGATAGAAGTCGTCGGCGATCCTTTTCACAGCATCTTGGGATATGTATTCGCCAAAGAAGGTGCGACAAGAAAGGGCACAGTTTATCTCACGGAACATTGGCATGAATGAAGATGGCTGCATGGAGTTCTGTGCACTTGTCGCGACAAACTTCTCAAAATAATGTTCCAGGACTCGATCTTGGACGGGGAGGTAGGTAGAGATGGCTTTGTTGGTGAACAATGGCGTGAGTCCTCTACGATACTCCGCATGGGCTCTGCCTTGTAGGAAAACCCATGCTTTTCGTCCCAGAAGATCTTTTGCGATCGGGACAATGCATGGCTCAGCGTATGCGGGTGATTTGAACACTTTGTGGGCGATATCTCGGTCGGAGGCGAGCACAACAAATCTGTAAATTCGAATGTGAGAATTATTTTTTTCCATTGAGCAATGAGCAACGCACTTGTGGAAGACAGAAACACAGCTGAGTGGCCCGCTCGCCCACTGTGCAAGATACGCTTCAAACTTGGGGTTGATGGCTTGAAGAAATGGGCCCATAAGCGGAATCTTGAAAGTGGGCCCAGCAATGGAACCCTTGCGCTTGATATACATGACTGTCCGTAAAGGTTAGTCGGTCGAGATTACTCGGTAAGACTTGGACATCACTTACTTTGATCATAGAGGATTACACCGAGGGTTGCAGTAACGACATATTGCCAAAGGGGCCATGTCGGAAGAACGGCAAGCGTCGTAGAGGGCGCGTGGGTCTCTCCCAGCCTAAGTTGATCAACATTTGATGTATTGAGTATATCAAGCTCCATTTTTCAATCTTGAAGAACGTAAACAAAAATGAAATACAACATTTGGAAGAATTTTGGGAACTTGGGCTTCTTATGAAAAACATCGTTGTATACTGATTACCGGATTAGGATTAGACTCCGAGTCTGCTAGTGATACCACTTTTTTGTTACTTGGACCATGGTTCTTTCTAATCCGGATTAGTAGGTGTTTTCTATACAATTTTGGATATTTAGAATTATAGTAGGGACTCCGATTAGGTAGGAACCATGGTCCACAATAGCAAAAAGGTGGTAATTACCAGCACGCTACGACGGTACTACCTTCCCACGCCCAGCTCTTCGTGAAATTCTGTAAACACACCCAAACATCACTCGCAATACAACATAATACATAACTTCACCATGGAAGCCATCAGGGCAGACAAAACCTCAAACGCAATAACTCGCGCACAGTTTGCGGACGCGATCACTCGCACTGTCAATAATCGCTGCCGAGCTTACAAGAACTGTTTCGCTTCGAGTATCCGGTGGGAGGTGGACAACACAATTGCATCTGCCGACAGCGAGAATTTTCAGACTATCTTAAGCACGCTCAACCTTGACCCAGCGGAATTTGCGATCTTGACTGAACAGGATCAGATGCCGTAATGGACGCTTAATGACAGAATTCGGTCTATTTATTAAGTCGCAGGAGATGCCCCCGGCAAATCTATTGTCATGGTCCACTACGCCGGACATGGTGATGTCAGAGGCGAGGAGCTGTTCACTGTCGAAGGCCCATCCCACTGAAGCATCAGAATTCAGAGATAAATCGATTCTGTGGTTGCTGGACAAGTCCAACATCACAGACACAGAAACAGTCTTCGTTCAGATTGTTGCTACTCCCATGTAGCAACGTGTGCCTTCAACCACACGCATCGCACTGTAATTATCTCTGCAAGCGACGATGCCACTCCAGTGGCCCTTGAGCCACCCTGACTGGAAAGTTGCGGGGTGAGATTGCCTGACGGAGGCGAGACGGTCATCAATATGTGGCTCTGTCGGACGTGATGGCGACCATCCGAGGGAATAACTCCGTTGTCAAACCAACGCATCATGTCAAGTTGGGGGTATCCGTCTGCTTCCCTTTCACTTGAGCACTTAGATTCTCCTCTATAGACAAAACTACAGTTGTACCATAAAAATTTCTAATCACCGGTTGCCTATCAGTATTAACTACCTTCTAATCGTAGACTAGTACCTACCTAAGATATATTAAATTAGCTACTCTACTCTATCTTAGGTAGGTACTAGTTCTCCTTAAAATGTAGAGACTAGAATGGTCAACAATGAGTTCGAAACCTTTATAGTGCTACTGTAATTGTCTAAATTTGTACAGAAAATACTAGTAATCCCGAGGTCTTAGAATTTATAGGTGGCCTTCAAATTTAGGACGTTTAGATGAAATACCTCTATAGTATATAGTAGTAACTTAGTACTGACCACCCTGCACTTATGGAGCGCTGTATGGCTGCCCTCAAGTGCCCCCTTTCACAGAACATTGGCCGACAACCTTGGAATGAATAAAAAGCCACCATGATATTTTGAATCTTTGTGACTCGACTAGATCTTATGAATCAATACAAGGGCCTACGATGCCATTTTGTGACCGTAAAGTAACACGTTCTCATTTGATCTACTTAAGACCTAGTCTATCCAATAATATCACTGAAAACCATGAGCTTTCCAGTCGATCTTTCGCAGCGACTCTTCAGGGCTCACCAAGGAAGCGATAGCCTCTTTGGTCATATACTCCTGAGCCTCATGTACCAGTGTTCCGTACTTATTCAAAGCCCCGCTCTCCTTAATGATACGAGTGAACTCCCATTGTCGCGCCTGCTCCTCTCCCATATGCCCAAATAGCTCGATATATGTCTCAGGGGATACTTGAATAACCTTCGTAGAGCCAGGATTCGGTGCAATACCACTAGCCTTGCCCCAAATTGCCAAGAATGATTCCAAAGTAAGATCCTCCACGTTACACCTCACATGAGTGCCACCCGGAGGCTTATTATGAACAAGGCCGTGAACGAAAATCCCCGAATTGATGCGATGATCACCCAGCGATGGGTACATAGCGTTGGGATCAGCCGGGTATATTTGCACCCATTTTTTTGCCGCAGGCTATTTTCTCATTAGCGGGATAATTTGCGATAGTGAGAAACCAGTCAAATAGGCCATATCATACCAGGTAGATAGGCTTGAACACCTCATAAGAGATCAAGTTAATCACAAATGTTGTGAAGAAGCAAAATGTCGTGAGCGATAAGAGATGCTCGTCCGCCTTAATGAACTCATCCACTCGGCCTTTTGCTTCAAAATGGGGCACAATAGATTTTCCCTCGGTAATACGGGTGCTATGAGGAAGAGTACTCCACAGGTAGTGCTCTAGGGTGGCCACCTTGGAAGCTGCCTTGGCCATATTGGTTCCTTGTGTGTACTCGATGTCCATTGACTTCTGCCATCCCTCCGTCCAGAAGTTTTCGTAGTAATCCGTGATGGCGAAAATCACATTGGCCCCGGAGAAAGCTCTCTCAAGACTAGCTAGATCTCCAAGGTCACCCTTGACCATCTCGACGCCCTTCGCTGAGAGAGCCTTTGCCCCCTCACTCTCGGGGTTTCGAGTCAGTCCACGAATTTTCCAGTTTCCATCTTTGAGAAACGATGCGATCACTGAGCCACCTTGGCCGCCGGTGGCGCCAACCACAACGATGAGTTTCTGAGCCATGATGAAGAATATGCACTTGTGTTCAATAGTTGGGGACTCGGAATAACAGCTGATATCAGAAATTGAATACTGGAATTCACGTTTGAATTCACGTTTGAATATATAGTTTTCGCCTTGATCAAATGCTACACATCTCATCAATTCATCTTAACCTGAATGAATTGGACATGGTCGGCAATTGCCTGTGATTGACTTAATCGACCGACTGCACCGAGTGTACCGACTGTGCCGACCACCGAGACCCACCCCCCTCGGGGCCAACTTTAGGTATTCCTGTACCCGGAATTAACTCGGTTGCAATATTTCGAATAACCCCACAATTCGAAGTGCATCTGTTTAGTTTACTTACGTGATAGATTCCGATCGTTATTGATACCCCGCATCAACTCTTGGACTGAATGATTAGATAATTATAGTTTGTTTGGGAAAATTACTAAACCGAAGAAAATCACATCCAATTGATGATGCGGAGTAAACAATTTAGTAGTACGATATACCATACGCGAGCAAATGGGAGAGGAGAATTTTGTGATTAGGTGAGAACTGAGGCATGACTCGGAGATAATTGAACTAGCTCATCCAGACTATCAAAATATGTTTACTTGATGGATTCGATGTTTGGAACTACCTAGCTACTAGTTAGTACTAGTAGGGACATAACTTGAAGACTAGAGAGTTTGAGATAGCCAAAGGAACCCCCTCTCCAGACGGAGAAATATAGACCGACAATTCCAAAATGATCTGGTTCAATTGATGGCCCCATTAACAGAATTGAATACCTGAATTGTCAGTTAGATTGGCTGAACGATGCAATTATGACAGATAGGAGCCCATACCGCCGTCAATAATAACGCTCTGGCCTGTAATCATGTTCGAGTCTTTACCGGAGAGAAAACTAACGCACCCAGCAATATCCTCTGGGGTCTTTCAAGATGTAAGTTATTTTTCATTGTATTAGAGAGGCTTTGAGCATACCGATGGCTTCTTCATAGCAGGGCGCTCCTCTACCGCCTTGCGAAAAGCTTCGCCTTTTGGAATCCCCAAGGCATTGGAGTAACTCTCATCGATTTCATCCCACATCTGCCAATTGTTAGTGGAGCACTCATGATTTTATGTTATTTGAGTTCATACCGGCGTCTTTACAATGCCGGGGCAATAACAGTTGACCTGTAGAAAAACTGAGTATGTGTCCATGTAGTGTCTCCAATGGACCGGCCTCACATTGATTTGATGGGGTGCAAGTTCAACGGCTGTAGCTTGAGTAAGACCTCTCACTGCCCACTTGCTGACTGAATAAGCAATTGCGGTGGGTTGCTATTGTTTTTTTTGGTTAGATATTTCTTGACGGGGACTGTTTTTTTAGGTGTGATCATACCGGTCTATATCCTGAAATAGAACATGCACCAACAATCTTTCCACCACCACCCTGTTTGATCATTTGCTGTCCTGCGTAATGATGTATTAACTTCGAAACCTTATTCGCACCTTTTGAATCTTACCTGCATGCTTGTAACATAGAAAAACCCCACGAACATTCACCTGCGCAATATTAGACAAAAGTTCGGGAATGTTCTTTCTCAATAGAACTTGGAGAGGTTTTTACAGCTTGTACTTGGTCCCACTCATCTGGCGTGATGTCCATGATTCGTTTGTTGAGTATTATTCCGGCGTTAGCAACCATGACCTTTGAACAGTTAGAAAAACACTAGAACATATAGCGCGAAAACCCTACAGTCAGGTTGCCCAGAGCCTCGACGGATGCGGAGATGATGCTCTGTACATCCTCTTCGAGACTGACATCCCCGGTAGCGATAATAGACTTCTGCCCTATCCAGGTATTAGATAAATGAGTTTTATGCGCTTCCCACACCAACCTTTGGCTTCAATTTCAGATTTAAGACTGATTAAATCATTCAACTGTGACTTCATATCATTTATCTAAGCTTGTTAGAAATGAATCAAATTATACTTGGGGGATTAATACCGCCACGTTAAAACCGTCATCCGCTAGGCGCAAGGCAATTGCACGTCCAATCCCTCGGGAGGCACCTGTGACTATCGCAGTTGGCATTTTGGACTTGATCGCGGTAAGCTCTACGCCTTCTGACAATTTTGTTTGATCCTTCTGGAATAATACTTCAATTTACGGTTTATATTACTTGGCTATATGGATCTAGCCTCGGCGATATTTTGATGGTTCCATAACCGGTCGGCTCTCGTAAGGCATTACTCTTTGAACCCGACTACCGACGGTAGTCCAAATCCAGTGGAGCTTCCTAGAGCCATCCGGCTAGCTTATTGTGTACATTAAGAAGACCGGCATAAGAATATTTTAGTACTGTTCTTTGCTAGGGATTCCAAAGGTGGACGGTATATAAGATCCCCGGATTTTCCCCACACTTTCTACTTGCCGGTAATTTATTGATCCACCATAGAACCATGGCAACCAATGATTCAAGTTCGACGAAGGTTAAGGAAGCTGAATCCTCGAGTGTTGATCATGTTGAGTTCCAACATGACCCGGAAAATGAAGCAAACCTTGACAAAAAACTGGTTCGCCGCATCGATTACCACCTCCTTCCCTGGCTTTGTCTTCTCTACGCGTTGTCATTGATTGATCGCACCAATATCTCCTCTGCGAAGATAGCGGGGATGTCTGAGGATTTGAATCTCATCGGTAATCGATACTCTGTCGCTCTCGTCGTTTTTTTCGCTCCATATCTTCTCAGTGAATTGCCCAGCAACCTCATCATTCGTCGTGTCGGTACAAGGTACTATCTCTCCTTCCTCATTGTCTCGTGGGGAACCATATCCATGTGCCATGGATTTGTGACCCGATATTCACAACTAATTGGAGTGAGACTTCTTCTGGGGCTTTTTGAGGGGGGCTTTAATGTTAGTTCTCTTGTGCCCTCGAAGTAATGGCCACTAATATTGAGCCAGCCCGGCTGCATATATCTGATTTCTTCTTGGTATAAACGATATGAAACGCAGCAACGCCTGTCCTTATGGTATATGTCTGGCTCGATAATTTCGGGGTTCAATGGGATAATATCTTACGGATTGAGCACGCTAGATGGGCTCGGGGGACGACGAGGCTGGAATTGGATATTCATCATTCCCGGTGCTATTACGGTCTTCCTTGCAATTCCGCTCTTATTATTCCTGACAGACTTTCCCGAAAGTTCATCATGGTTGAGTGCCAGTGATCTCCAGCGGGTCCAGGAAAGGCTTCGAGAGGACCGCGGTGAACGGCTCGATGATAAGATTAGCTTTCGGAAAGTTTTGAAAGATCTTCGAGATTGGCGGGTATGGGTATTGGCAAGTCTACTTTTCTTTCCTACGGCTGGGTCCTACACAATGGCCTTTTTTACCCCGTCTATTCTCTCTGGACTTGGGTATGACACAGCTTTGAGTCAAATCCTTGTCACCCCGCCATATCTATTGGCTGCAATATTCGCCATCGTAACTGGAATCATCTCTGACCGTGTGCGTACGCGCAGCCCTTTCATCATCGGCTTCTCGATTGTTACTCTTGCGGGGGTTATAATGATAGGCTGGGGTAAAAATACTGCTTGCAAAATGGCTGGAATATTTCTTGCCGTTGTGGGGAATAATTGTGCCATTCCTACTGTCTTAGCCTTTTTGTCTAACAACATTGTTGGATCCAGCAAGAGGCAGATTGCGGTTCCTCTCCAGACAAGCTTCGGTGCCCTGGGAGGAATATTTGGATCATTGGTTTTTCGAGAACAGGATTATCCCGCTTATCGGCCTGGGATATATGCCTCTATCGCTTGCATTGTCATGTGTATTATGATCACTCTTGGTATTACCTTTTATTTCCATCGTGAGAATGAAGCGGCTGATAAGAGGGGCAAAATTCTCGAGGGGCTTGAAGGGTATCGCTACACTCTTTGATTGCAGACCTTCCAGCGAGTTTTGGGATATACATTACCATATTTCAATTACCTAGATATTTGCTGCCTGCGCCATGAGTCTGGATTGATCCCCTCGTGTCATGAGAATAATTACAGTGGCTGTTTTCGATAAATTATATGGTTTCTTTGAAATGAACGAACACCATTGACTACATTAAGCGATGATTCTATTTGATATCTTACTATCTTGAATTTAGCAATTTTCCAGTAGAGTTTCAAAGAGTTGAGTTTGATCATGGACTATAACTATTTGCCAGCTTTGTTACATAGATATTCTGTAACAACCATTCTTTGCAAATACAACTCACCCCCGGGGCTCTGTTGGCGATGCTTTTGAAGAGGAGGATAGAAGGGATGGGCTTCAAATATTTTATTTCCAGGACTGTATTTCTAAACTATACACCTCGTTTCCGACAAAAGAAAATCATATCATTCTATCTGGTTCATCCAAATACCAAGTAGAATTCTGCCCAGGCCCTTCCCACAAAGAGTAGCCGTTGCCCAAATAGCCGAAGCTATTATTGGTCCAATGCGTATAGTCAAAGTCTTCGCCGCGGAATCTCTGTAGCATATGGAACCAATGAATGCGGCTCCCAGGGTGTAAAGCAGTGACTGGGCCGTCTTTTTCGCCATTCTTGAACCACGAACGACAGCTTCCCGCCCAAGCTGTCCGCGGCATAAAAGCTGCAATGTGATCGGCAAGGTCATCCACCGCTTTCTGCTTCGGAACAATCGACTTGATGCACTCTTCCTGGCATTTCTGAATGATTCTAGTGATATATTTGGACGCAAGTTCAGTGATAGTAAGCACACTGCCGTGTCCGATAGGAGCGTTTGGTCCCAGGAATGCTAGACGAAAGTCAGCAACCGTCTCATTCTGCATGTGATAAAAACTTACTAAAATAATTTGGCATACCAGGAACTGCCATAGACATATAGGATGATGGCAATTCCCGAGTCCAGATATCCTGCAGATTGCCCTTTCTGCCGATTATTGGGAACCTTGGACAGAACGAAACATCAAATCCAGTTGCGCATACAATGGCATCGACCTCGATCTTCTCGTTTTCTGTCGTGATGAGGCCCTTCTCATATACGGATTTGATTTCATCTGTGACTACTTTCACATTGCTCTTATGAAATGCTGCTAAGTAGGCTGGGCTTGGAGTGATTCGGCGACATCCAAATGGGAAGTCGGGTACCAGCTTTTCTATAAGCTTCTCGTTGTCTTTCAGAGCTCCGTGCATATATTTGGTCATTGATTCTTTTATGACCGGCGCGATTGCTTTTGAATTCACCAACTATTTGACATCTTTGATCAGTGCTGATAATAATCTCCAGATATCAGGAAAGGTACTCACGTAGTCGAATTTATTATTTACTACCTCTTCTGTAGCCTTAACAAACCTCTTGTATAGTTCTTTATCGTTTTTGAAATTTTCAATTTGAGCAGCTGTGAAAACTTCGCCGTCTAATTTCAGCTGTGAAATAACATCGCCAGCTGTGCTAGTGGACATTCTTTCTATGCCTCCTGGTGCTATCCATGTAGGAGAGCGAAAGAAATGGACGAGTGTTTCGACATCTATCTTTGGTTAACACAAATTATCTTCTCTATCGGAACTAACTTACCTGGTTGCATTGCAGGAACAATTTGGACGCCAGAGGAGCCGTTGCCTATAACAGCGACTCTCTTGTCCTTGTAGACAAAATCATCATTCCAGTTCGCACTATGGACCAAGTCACCCTGGAACTTGTCTAGGCCCGGGATGTCTGGCCACTTCCAATTGCTGTTTGTGGGTTAGAGTGTTACTTGGGGAACAAGTCTTTATCTTGAAGCACATACTTGAGAATTCCCGAACCATCAAGAAGAAAATGGGCGGAGTCGAGCGTCAGAGCATCGGTTTCAAGATCTCTTACTCGAACATGCCACATACCTTCCTCTTCATTCCATTCGGCATGTTCAACTTGATGATTGAGCTTGATTGAATCATAAAGTCCCTCTTTCATAGCCAAATCTTTTAAGTATTGATGAATCTCCGGTGCAGGGGAGTAAAACTTGCTCCAGGTGGGATTGGTTGCCCAGGAAAATTGATAATTGTGAGACGGAATGTCGCATTGGCAGCCCGGATACCGATTCTCGAACCATGTTCCGCCAATATCAGGATTCTTTTCGTAAACAACATTTTCGGCCAGAGGAATATTGTTGCGAAGTGTTCGTATCATGTTCAGTCCGCTCGCTCCAGCTCCAATAGTGATGATCTTCACAGCGCTCGTGGAGCCAAGTGGTTGCTCTATGATAGTATACGCGGAATCCTTAGATGCACTACCATTTTGATTGCCTTTGTTTGCCATACTGTAATTTATCGAAGGTTTTCCGAATTCAAAGATGGGAACCTTGGAAAATAAGAAGAAACTTGTTACTTCAAGAATAAGGTTGACGACGCTTCCAAGGCTTTTTGTAAAGAGTCGGTAACATAAATATATATCAGGTTCAAGTTCTGCCAATATCCAGTTCAATTGAGCCCTGGAGCTTTCAGCTATCCCCAGTAGTGTAAATCACGGCTATCGTGTCTTTTCCTCGGTGCATGTCGGTATATAACTTCGGTATACGGGAGGGGGTAAACCAGGGGCCATTTTACCGACTGCCGAGCAGGAGACTGGCCTGGCCTCGGTCTCGGCAAAGTACATCCGGCGCGCTGAAAGAAAGCCGACCTCTTCTTTAAAACGGTAGTTCACGGCTGTGAGACTCATCATATGAAATATAATCTTTGAATAGCAATTGCATGATGTCGACCTATATGAAAGCAGCGGTTTTATCCACTATTGGAGGCCCCGAGGGCTTCAAATGTTTAGACGACATACCGATTCCAGAGCTGCAAGAAGGCACAGTCATAGTCAAAAACAGCATTTCCAGCATTAACTATGCTGATGTTTATTTCCGTACTGGGATTTACCCCAGTGCCCGGCATACGGATCTGATCCTAGGCCAAGAAGCGGCCGGGGTTATTGTGGCCGCCCCTGTCGACGAACCTCTCGGTCTCAAAAAGGGCGACCGGGTCGTCTGGATTGCACAGGGCTCATATGCGCAATATACGTGCGTTCCAACATCCCAAATTATCAAAATTCCACCGGGGGTCCAAGATGAAGACGCAGCTGGTGTTTTTCTAACTGGAATGACCGCACTGACCCTCATTGGCGAAGCCTTTCCGGCCAAAGCCGGGGACTGGGCTCTCGTTCATGCGGCAGCGGGCGGCGTTGGATTGCTCCTCTGTCAAGCGCTCAAAGACCTGGGTGTCGTGGTGATCGGAACCGCCGGTGGTCCGGAAAAGTGCCAGCTGGCGCTTCAGAATGGAGCGTCCCATGTGATTGATTATCGGGCGGAGCAAGACTGGCCAAAGAAGGTCCATGAACTGACAGGTGGTCGGGGTGTCGATGTTGTAAGTATATCGTGTTTCCCTATACATCGCACCTGAATTGACAAAGGATAGGCCTACGATGGCGTTGGCAAAGACACATGGGAAGGTACTCTTCAGACTATTGGACTTTTTGGAAAGGCAGTCTTCATCGGCAATGCAAGTAAGTTTCATATTGCAGTCTTTTCATTGAATCCAATTGAAAGCTGATCCTCGTAGGTGGCGCTGTGCCTCCAATCGGTCTCGAGAAACTGACCTCAAAGAACATTTCTATTATGAGACCAACTCTCCGAAACTACATCTCCACAAGAGAACGTTTGGAGAGATATGGAAATAAAGCTCTCAAGATGATTCAAGAAGGCAAATGGAAAATACTCAAGCATGACCGGTATTATTCTCTGGAAGAAATTGAACAAGCCCATCGGGATTTGGAAAATCGGGCGACAAAAGGGAAGCTTTTGATCAGACTCTAGGCTTCCCTACGGAAATAGTGTTCAACAGACCATCTTAAATCAAAAATTCCGTTTAAGTATTTCGTATTTTGACATATTTCCAAGTTGGAAGACGTGATCATAGTTGCCTGAAGAACTGCATGGTTATTTATGTTAGCTCGAATAACGTGGAACAAAAGTCGAACGCTGGAGGTTAACTTTCAAGTTATTTACTGAAAGATCGGTTCATGATAAGTTATGTATTGACAAACTGTGCCCAGGTTTAATTGAAACTTTATTCTCAAGATAATCAAGTCCTCTGTCATATCACTACCTCTCTATTTCTGGAGAACTTGGGCTTAGACTAAACTTTCGGCTTGCCCTTGACTACAGCAACAACCTCACTCGCAATTGCAAGTGCATCTCGACCCGCAGGAACTCCACAATAAATCATAGCATGTCTGCATGCCTCACAAATTTCTTCTTCACTCAGGCCATTATGGAGTGCCGCGGAAACATGAATTCTCAGCTCGGGGCCTCGATTTAGGGCAGTAAGCATGGCGATATTCATCAAGGACCTCTCGCGGAATTTTAGGCCTGGGCGGGCATAGCTTGAAAAGCAAACTTCCGCAATGTATTCCTGACTAGTTCTTGTGAAAATATCGTCGCTCTTGACTTCCAGTTAGTTATCACAAAGAAGAGGATTGTGTCAATTGTAAAGCAGCTTACAGTATTTGCTCTTAATTTGGTCAAGAGTTCTTCCCCAAGAAACTCCTTCGACATTTGCGCTCCAAGAATAACTTTTTCAGAGGGTAATTGGGCCATGGCTTAAGATAAGTTTTTATATAGATAGCGATTTGGGTGACAATGGTAGTATCGGTAGCAACTTGAACTTGGAAGATACGGCGTTATATATGAAATTTGAACTTGCCGCTGAATGTACTAGTTGGGATTATGTGGAAAGGACCGAGGCTATTTCCCACTCGTGGATGAGAGGTCGGTATCTCTATCTCGGTATAGTTAATGTATGATCCTCCGGCATTACTTGCTAGTTAAGTGAGACGTTATCCGGATGGTAGGAGGGGATTTGGATGTTAGTCCCCGGGTATCGGCATTGGCTGTAGCCCCAGGTTAACCGAAGCATGTTAGCCGAAGGCTCGGCAGCCGCATCGTCACCGCGGGCACCATCGGTACTCAATTTCTTTCCTGCTACCAATTTTCATGTTTCCTGTCAGCAGAATAATTCATTGAATTGAAATATTCTCCACAACTTTGTCTAGCAAGGTTCCAAGGTTATTCAGTGCGATTGCCGACAAGAATTGCCGTACACCTGGGCAAAAATCAGAATGCGTCTTAGAACTATCTATGAATTTTTTGTTTGAAACTCAGACCTGAATGATCGGCCTCGAGGGAATTGCAGTGCCCAGAGCCCCAGGTATTTTAATGAATGGTATATGGATAGAAAAATATTAGAAGTCAATTCCCCTTGGTAGTAGTAGGTATAATAATAGTTTGTGTCCAAGATTGGTGCAGCTTCTTGCTATAAATACAAACCTGCCCAGGTGTACTCACGATAATGTCTTGGGAATTATGTGCCAAAATAATACTAGCAGTATGATTCCTTAAAATAAGTGTCATTTCTGGCGGTCGGTAGGATACATCTCTACGAGTATGCCTAAAGTTGCCTTCGCACTGCCTTCGCACTTGATTATGATTTTTTGTTTAGAAGTACGACGGCCAGCCCCGGAAACTACCCCGCATTGTTTTAATAGTTCATCCACTGTTAAGGTCACCTGACCTTCACCTCTCTCTCATTCACCACTATTCATGCCATCTCATATATCCTGCGTAGCATCGCCTTCGTCTATCTTCAAAGACGCATCAGCTTTGAGATGAATTCCAGTCTTCCCGGGAAAGAGCACATACGGTCTGTACTCAGTGCCATGGGCGGAAGGTATGTTTTCTCATTGCCTTCGTGTTGCCCCCACCCCATTCTCTCAATGACTGAAAATGACCAAGTCCGCCTAGGTTAAATGCAATTTGGAAGAAAGCGGAGGTAGCACATGTAGTAATTGTCTCAGATTCGGTCATCAGTGCATGTGGGTTAAACTGAACTGCTCAAAGTCGTGGATAGTTGCTCAACGTCATATTTGAAGACCCCGGACCGCCAAACGCCTAAAGCGAATCCGTTCAAAGCATTGTTCTTCGACGTCAGCAATTTATCAATCAATAAACAACCACGAAGCTCCAGTTGCTAAATCCCAATCACCCTGCACGTTGACAGTGCAATGTGAAAACGCGCCAAATGGAGATCAAAGCCAACCAGAACAGCATACTGGTTTCATCGCCGACCATTCTGTCCTGGCATACGACAATCCATCGCCTTTGACAGTTCCAGAGGGCTGGTTGTCACCTTCAATACGCATCAAAGAAGCGGTCCTGGCTGCTACAGAGGCAACGGTTCTTCCTACCCCGCCGCTACGAAGAGCGTTGATTGACGCGTATTTTGAGCATGTCTTTCATAACTATCCGATTGTGACTCGAGATGATGTCTCAACACCCCATGCATCTCTCCTACTACAGCAAGCAGTTTGTCTTGCCGGTAGCTTGGTGATGCGTCAAACCGGTAATCTTCAACTCGCCTATTCATTATATGAAAAAGTCAAGTCCCTCATTTATCTAAATTACGAGCCTGACAAGCTGGCAACACTGAAGGCAATGTGTCTTTTGTCATGTTGGAGCGTGAAGCCACCGGATAAGATCAGTTTGGATGGTCCATGGTACTGGACTGGAGTCGCCTCCAGACTTGCGATTCAGATGGGTCTTCATAGGGAGTCGACATACACCGGCAAACCCGCCTCAGGTCAGCTCCGAGCAATATTCTGGAACTTACATGTTTGTTTACCTCGTACCCTCTTTTAAACTGTCAGACTGGAATAACGTTTTGAAACCACACAGAATGGAGATAAGCTCCAAGTCGCATGCTGGGGCCGTCCACCGGCCCTGAGCCTGAAGTATGCAGACGTTCGTCCATTGGAGTTGGGCGATTTCGAGAAGCCAAACATACAAATCAAAGTATTTATTCACGCCACCATGCTATCGAGAATTCTTGGAGATATCGCAGAACTGCATCTGGAAAGGCAAACTGTTCCGCCCAGGAAGCACTGAGGCTTACCCAGGCACTATGCAACTGGGTAAAAGAACTACCCGATGAGCTTCAACTCTACAATGCAGATGGTAGTAGAAAAGCTTTCAGTCGGCCGGTTTGTGAACTGTTTATCAAGTATTTCGCTGCAATAATCCTTTTACATCTTCTCCAAAGCGAGATAAGTCGACAAAGATGTCCATCTTCAAGATCACTAATAGCAGCATCATGTATATCCCGTCTCTATGAGGAGATCCACTATAGGGAACAAGCATGTTGTCTGCTTCCGATAAACGGATTTTTCTGCATGGTTGCATCCCTTCCACAGCTATACTACCAGCCGCAATCGACGAAAAAGAAATCCATTCGCAAGGAGGAGATTGAAATCCTTTGCTCGATTATGAAAAGCATGCAACCAAAATATGGTGGTTCTGAGATGGTCCTGACAAAAATCCAGCGACTAGAAAAAGAGGTCCAGGCGTCGGTAGAGCGATACCTGCAGGAAACAGGTGCGTCTGGTCTCCCTGGAGACGGCATATTACACACACCCCACCAGCATTTGGAGGAGCTCTTTCCATTTCCCTCAGCCATGTGTACCCACATGGATCTAATAGGGGAGTTTGAGGAGTTTGAACGGGAGACACCTGACGAATATACGGCGATTGATGAGGAGTGGGCCAGCTTACTTTTTTTGGAGGGCCACAATTTTTTTGAACTGTTTGAATTCTCCAATTACGCGGCTATACCTCCAGAGTGAACCAAATATTGAATCCAATCATTCTACCTCTGCCAACTACTTCTGTTAAGACTTTTCTGTAAAAGAAGACCGCATTCCACTGCAAACTACAAGTTGCAAGAGATGTCGAAATTCTGGACTTCCATCTTACACCACTCATTTAAATTAATACGAGAGATGAATCATAAAGTTAAACAATTTGTGAATATCTTCCTTGGGAATCAAGGGAAAGGAAAGTCACAGCTTGAAACCAACAGTCCGTAGAACGCTCTAAACTGATGGATGCGCCTCCTTCGGTGAATCCTCGGAGACTGGATTGTACCATTCCACAGTCCCATAAGTAATTGCACGATGGACCATAGAATCTGCGCTATCTGCTCCGTGCCAATGAACTGTCCCAGGTGGACACCAGACAATATCACCCGCTTCTACTTTCCGAGGCTCTTCTCCTTTGTCGCATACCCATCCCGATCCCTTGGTTATCTCAAGAAGCTGGCCGTTTTCATGGCGGTGCCAGTAGGTTCGAGAACATGGAGAAAACTTGACATCGAGTATAGAAAGATTCTCATCTTTGAAAAGTCGTTGAAGGGAAACGTCGCCGCTAAACGTCCCCATTGTTTCTTTTGTAAAGACGCATTTGGTCACCTCAGCTGCAGCAATGATGTTCATTGTAGAGTTGAATTTTGAGTCTTCGGAGTCGGCTTCAAGTCCGGGAAGAAGAATTGAAAATTATTTATTGAGTATTATGAAAGCTCATGATCATGGTGCGTCGCCTCATATTTGTAAATTATTGATTGGTGAAAGCTACCCCGCCAAACTTTCTGCTCGGTTCTCGGCAAAGCGTTTGGGATGCTGGCATTGCAAATGCCGAGCCCACCCTTTCCCTGTTACCGACTGCCCGCGGCGCAAACTGAGGATGGTATTTTCTTTAAGTGACTCTAACGGCAGACGGGGCTCGGCATACTTAAGAAACGAGCTTGCACCCAACATCGGGAGTAGTCTGTGAGCCTGAATCCCCAAAAGGATCTTTCCAATCCGTATTTCCCGAGTCAATCAATTATTTTCCGAAATCAATATGGTGGTCATCCCTGATTCAGATCACACTGTACGCGTCAAGTTACTTGACACTACGACATATTTAACTGGCATCGCAAACGTCTTCGTTGATCCAGTGGTTGCCGGTCATGAAACATTTTCCTTTTATGATTTTGCCTTTCTCATTGAAAATGAACGTCTTGGAAAGAAGGTGATGTTTGACCTCGGCACCCGCAAAGATTATTGGAATCTTTCCCCGCCGTCCAACGGGTCTTTGGTATCGATAGTGTGATGACAGGAATGAGGATTGATAAGGATGTTGCTGATGTTCTCACCGACGGCGGAGTTCAACTGAATGAGATTGGTACGTGCAGTATAACATCTTAAAAAATTGAGAACACCGTATTAATGACCTTTTGTAAGACTCCTGTATCTGGTCTCATTATCACTATGATCATTGTGGTAATATGGCACCATTCCCACCATCAACCACCATCACAGTTGGAGCTGGGTTCGCGGCAGCAGGTCTTTTGCCAGGCTATCCCGAGAACCCAGAATCCCCTGTTCTAGCGACCGACTTTGAAAACAGAAGTCTGGTTGAAATTAAGTTTGATGATGGTCTTACTATTGGCGGATTTCCGGCCCATGACTATTTTGGAGACGGCTCCTTATATCTGCTCGATTCTCCAGGCCACTGCCCGGGCCATATTTCAGCGTTGGCCCGTACGACACCATCCTCTGGGGAGAGAGAGGCTACATTTGTATTTCTGGGTGGAGATATCTGCCATTTTGCAGGTGACTTCCGGCCATCGCCTGATAAACCCCTACCAGATCATCTTCAGGAAGGGCTTCTTCGTCGGCGCAAGGCACCAATTAAGTGTCCATGTTCCCTTAGATCTAATCACCCCAATGCGACTAATGAAGCCGATGCCCGGACAACACCATGGTACAAAATGGCCAGTGAGTATCCCACGGTCTACAAAGATTACGAAATTGCCAAATCCTCAGTTTTGAAAATGCAAGCTCTGGACCAGGATGACAATGTTCTGGTTTGTCTGGCCCACGACGCGATTCTTCTGGATACTCTGCCACTTTTCAACAAATCCCCCGGAGAGAACATGAATGATTGGAAAATCAGAGGCATGAAAGAAAAGTGTCACTGGGGGTGGCTAAATGATGTTTCCATTGACGGCAAACCAGCTCAAGATCCACTGGTCGAAGGATTCTGGAGAGATGGGAAGCTCTGGGACTATGGGGCATTTAAGAAAACTTTAAATATACCTCCACTTTGATCATACGTACCAATTGATATCTGGAAATATTATTTCGGCCATTACTGTGACAAGACAAGTTCATCGAAATGAGCCTGATGACTTTTTTTCACTACGAGTAGGGCTATTGGCTTGGATATCGATTTGTCATCACTGAAACCCCCGAAATAAGGATATCGGAGTCTAGTCCTATTTGGGAAATCTGCCTAGGATTATATTCGAAGCGTTCTGACTCGCATTGACTCGCGTAATCGGATGCCCCCGCCGCCCTAGGGGTGGCACCATTGACATACATCTCTCCCCAAACTCCTCATCTAGCGACTCTTTCAGAATGCGACAAACACTTCGGCGATCTTGTGCTGCATGTGCGAAGTTGAAACACAGCTGTGATCTCCGGTTACCGTGTTGCTCAAGATGTGTCAAACGCAAAGTCCTTTGTGTCTATGCGAATGAACCCTCCACGACACCGGTAGCTACCGGGACCAACATTCCATCGTCAATAGCACCCCCGATTGGAGCTGTGTCATTATCGGGGTATAGATTTGGATCCCTTGACCCCTTTGACTCGTATCCGCCAACGAGACTTCCTCGGGAGCAGATCCAACGCCTCATTTATAGCTGTAGGTCCCAATTTCAATCGCCCATTGCAAGCGGAGTAAAACTTATTTGTTCAGTCCATCACAAAATAGCATTTCAATATTATCCTCTTGACCTCGAAGCGACCTCAAATCCATTCCTCATCTCATGGTGGCCACTTGCCCTGGGCGACCCTGCATTATTCCATGTCTCATTACAGACAGCATGTCTTGATGAAGAGCGAGCGGCGCAGAAGGGATTTCGAAGTTCTGAAATTCTGATGGCTGACTCTGTAGCCCTATTACGGCGTAAGATTGAGGATACGTCTCTGGCCGTTCAAGACGGCACCATGAACTCCGTGATTACATTGGCAACAATAGAGGTAAGATTATAACATTCAGGGATCCATGTACGCGTCATTACCTCACAGGCCTTCACGCTGATATGTTGGGATTTTTTAGTTTGGCAAAGGAAACCATGAGATCAGTCAAATGCATATCGAGGGCGTGAAACGACTTGTCACCTTAAGGGGAGGCATTAGCTCGGTGAGACAGACTAGTCCACTAACAGCAAGAATGATCAGTTGGTCAGTATTCTCACAACACTCCAAATTTCTATATACTCATTCCCGCACAGGGTGTCAATGCTCATCATGGGCCACCCGCAATTTGGGACCCAAGATGACTTTGGAATCGGAGATGGCATCCCCCCCATCCCAGAATGGCAAATTGAACCCACTTTCATTTACAACGACTTGGATGAAAATCTCGATATGGAGGGAAGTAATGAAGTGATGAATGTTTTTGTGCGGCTGCACCATATCTTTCAAAGGGCCAACCAGGGTCCGTTCACAAACACACAACTTCACGATCTCACATGCTTCGTCGTGCATCGCCTTCTCCTTTCAACTGCGGGTGCCTCGATATCTGAACTACCACCAACCGCCGAGTGCATCCGATATGCCATAATTCTCTATTTGTTCATTGTCCAAGGGCCAATTTATTACCCTCACGAGGTAATGCTCAATGCGATGGTTGCCAAACTCATAGAGAATTTGGAGCAACGGAATCACACATCGCACGAACCCGCGTCGCTCGACTTCTGGCTCATTGCAATTGGGATGGTGGCTTCAACAGGAACATCAAAATATGAGTGGTTCTCGAAGAAGGCGACCACAACCGCCGGTTCTCTACATATTGAGAGTGCCCAAGAAATCCTCGATCGGATAAAAGGTGTTTTGTGGCTTGATAAGCCTCAATCTGAGTATATCTTCAGTGTGCAGTGCGAAGGATTTCTCACTTCCCAGCCCCGGTCTTATTCGCCAGATCTTCAAACAACAGTTCAACCGAGTAGCATCATGACCGAGCTCCTCTGACCAAAGAGCCAATACTAGTAGCTCACAGCTACCACTAGTAGTAGATCACAGCAATTAATGATAATCAAGATCTCATTTGACGCCAAGGCGAAAGTAGCTGGAAAGGGTTATAGATAACGGGGCGAGCATTTCATACCAGTCCATTATTCATGTATCTGCCCGGGTGGTCATTTCATAATCTTGAATTGTAGAGTTAAAAGTGGGTTGGACGACGAAAGGCCTCGAATGTACTTTATATGCATTCCGAGTCGATGGGAGGGCGCAAACATGGACGAGAACTGGCAAGGTTCAAGTTTTAGAAGAGCGCCCTGGGCCCGTTAGTCGCTCAGATACCAACTTTTGTTCCAATCCTCAGTGCATTTTTCCGAGGCGACCCCCGTAAAATTCCCGACGTAATGCGCATGCATGAATCTATCAACTCGAAAATCGCGCTAACCCAACCCCTTACATACTACTAGTACTAGCACCCGTCTTCGGCAGCCATCCCCCAAAATCCCGTAATGAATTTTTCGATACCCCACAAATCGTAATTATTCTTAATTAAAATCGGCATCATCTCATACATCTCAGTTTCAAACTGCCGAGATGCCTGCTAAGCTCCGATCACAAACGGTGGAGGAGTTCCGGTCGCCGATCTCGCTTAACCGCTGGCGTGTTTCATATCTCCCGCCATGTGCTATGAACTTGCATAGCGCCACCTCAGGCCGCGCGCCAAATTTGTTTGCTCAAAAATTGAATCACATCTTGGCGGAAACAAACTGGGCCGGCGATCGATTGTCCAAAAGTACAATGAGGACCTGTGGTACAGCTTCGGCGAACAATGGTGTCCTACGCCTATTTTTACATGAAGGGCCAGATGGAGCCGACGTGGTTGTTAAATCCAAGCTAAGCACGGGATACATACAATGGTGAAACACGCCAAAGAAGAACATCATGAAGAATGAACCGCCCCTCAATGCGCCTTATAGTGACTTGATCGGAGTTGTCGCTTTGTTATTCTAACTAGGGGCTGCAGGATATCCACATTTTCGACCGCTGAATTATTATTGGATGACTCGAATAACCGACCCCAAAGGCGTGTTTGAGCTACTCACAAGGCTCATGACTACCGAGATGAAGGAATAAAGGAAGAAGAGAGCCTCCTCAGGCATTTAAGAGGCAGGTCTCCTGCCATTTTCTACTTCGTGGTAGAACTCCGGCTGAGACATTCTCACTTTCCTTCACTTCACTTCTTTTTCTCGAGCTTCATTGACTGAAGTCTCTTACATTCTTTCCCCAGCTTTATATCTATTTGCGGATATCATCGCTCCTTCTCAACATGTCTTTGTCGAAAACCGCAGGTTTGCTTCTCGCCTCGGCTGCGCTGGTCGCAAGCCACGGCTACGTTACGAGCATTGACGTCGATGGCACTACTTACGGCGGATATCTGATCGATACCTATTACTATGAATCCGATCCTCCCGAGATCATTGCGTGGTCCACCACTGCCACCGATGACGGTTTCGTTGCTCCGAGTGCGTACGATTCATCTGACATCGTCTGTCATCGGGGTTCAGCTCCTGCAGCACTCTCTGCACCGGTTGCCCCCGGTGGCTCCGTGAAGATGACCTGGAACACTTGGCCAGATGACCATCATGGCCCAGTGATTACCTACCTCGCCAAATGCGATGGCGACTGCGCAGATGTGGATAAGACCACACTGGAGTTCTTCAAGATTGATGCTGGCGGACTCATCAGCGAGACTGCCATCCCTGGAACCTGGGCTAGCGATAAGCTCATCGAGGATAGCTTTAGCCGGACCATGACTATCCCATCTGATATCGAGGCTGGCAACTACGTCCTCCGTCACGAAATTATCGCACTTCACAGTGCTGAGAACACCGACGGTGCCCAGAACTACCCCCAGTGCATCAACCTGAATGTGACAGGCAGTGGCACTGCCAGCCCCAGTGGAACTCTTGGAACTGCCTCTACAAGGCCAGTGACCCGGGTATTTTTGTTGATATTTGGAACACTCTCAGCACTTATGATATCCCTGGTCCCACGCTTTACACCGCCGGTGGCGCTGCTACTGCTACTGCTGCCGCAGCTTCATCGACCTCAGCTTCCACCGAAGCTGCTGCTGTTGAGACTACTACTGCTGCTGCTGCCACAGCCGCTGCTGTGGCCAGTGTGGCGGATTCTGCTCCCGCTGGCTCTACGGAGGCAGTCTCGCAAGTCGTTGCTGTCGCTAGCTCCACTTCAACTGCTAGCACCTCTGCCTCTACCTCCACCTCCGGTGTTCTCAGTGGGTCGTGTAGCCAGGAGGGATACTGGTATTGCAATGGTGGTTCCGCTTTCCAACGCTGTGCCAATGGAGAATGGGACGCTTCTCAGAGCGTGGCTGAGGGAACACAGTGCACTGCTGGCATCTCTGAAGATCTTACCATCTCTGCCACGGTGCAGCGCCGACAGGCTTCGCACCTCCGTCGCCACAACGCTCGCATCAACCGCGTGTATTGAGACTTTATCAGGTCTTCATAAATGCTTTTTGACAGCTTGAGTCACAAAGGATCAAAACATGGGGGCTAGTTTAGGGTTCAATTAACCACCGCAGTAGCACATGGGCAAATGTAAGATAGTATGTGCTCAGTCTGCGATATCCTAGTGAGATCATGTAGTATACTCTGAATTTCTATATTTCTGTTCCAATTGTGTAGGTAGTAGGGCATAATGTGTAGTAACGGATAATTATTGATTTCATGAGTCAATATGTCCGCTGGCTTATCTTGGCCTAAGTTGGCTTCAGATATATACGCTAATACGTGCCACTGAAAGTACTCGTAGACTACGAGAGCAGTTCTTAACACGGTACTGAGTATACGCGGCATCCGATGAAATTCATCTGCAGAACTTGACATACCCAGCAAGACTAGCAGGCCTGAAATCGTATTTAAGCACGGAAATCGCGAAGTTCCTCCACCTGCGTGACATCTTCAATAAACGTAGCGCCACTCTCTCTCATGATCTGTATCTTCTCCTATCTCCCTATCCAAATATCAGTATAATTCCTGGCTGAGGAGTGTGTCCAAATATTCGAAAGCTGCCTCAATTGTTATTCAAATAAAGGATATTCATTTTCCAGTTCTTTTCATGTAGATTCCGAGGTCATTTTGATGTGGAGGCAATCTCTATAGATCAAGCCTCAGCGGACCAATGAGGATGACTCAGTTGCCCCACTCCTTGCTTAGTCATTCAAAACTTATCCGGCTTTTTTGAAAGTCGAGTTTGACTTGCGTGGATGTTCCGCAGAACTATACACACAATGGGTAAACGCGGCGGCAAGAAGGTATGCGCAGATATTCCGATGCAATTGGAATATTCCCCCCGAGTATTGACTGACATCCTCTTTGCAGTTTAATCGCGGTGGCCGAGGCGGCGGCGGTGGTCGCACCAACTGGTCCGAGATCGCCAGGACCAACGAGAAGCTTGAGCGATACTACAATGAGCTGGGTATAGTCTCAGAGGCCGAGAAGGATGATTTCTGGGCCGCAATCCGTCGGGATCTGCCCAACAGCTTCCGATTCACCGGCTCTCGTGGGTGAGTTGGCGCAAATTTGCGCGTCCCCCATCGCGCTGCGAATTTCATTTCTTGCCTCTCTAGTATCATTCTAACTGTCGCATTGCTGTATTATAGACACGCGCTTGCTGTCCAGGAACGTCTCAAGGACTTCTACGTTCCCCAGATTACCGCAATCAAATATGAGGGCGAATTCGTCGAGCCCCCTCGTCCCGTTGAGTGGTACCCCGACCAGCTTGCCTGGGCCATGACCACCCCGAAGCAAATCATTCGCCGCTTCGCCCCCTTCTCCTCCTTCCAGAAGTTCCTCGTCGCTGAGACCGAGGTTGGAAACATCAGTCGTCAGGAGGTCGTTAGCATGATCCCCCCTCTTCTGATCGACGCGCGCCCCGGCATGACTGTTCTGGATATGTGTGCTGCTCCTGGCAGCAAGTCCGCTCAATTGATGGAGCTGCTTCACGCTGGTGAGGAGGAGACCATCCAGGACGCTTCCCAAAAGGCGCGCGAGGGCGCTATTGGCCCCGAGCCTTTTGGGCCGGAGGGATTGAGCGACGATGGCCGAACTACTGGCCTGCTGATCTGCAATGACAGCGACTACAAGCGCGCGCACATGCTTATCCACCAGATGAAGCGTCTCAGCTCGCCTAACCTGATCGTCACCAACCACGACGCTACCATGTACCCCTCCATCAAGCTCTCCCCCAGCACCCGCTGCTGAGGGCAAGCCCCAGATGAACCGATACCTCAAGTTCGACCGTATTCTTGCCGATGTCCCCTGCTCTGGTGACGGAACTCCCCGCAAGAACGTTTCCGTCTGGAAGGACTGGAACCCTGCCAATGCGCTTGGACTCTACGTTACCCAGGCCCGGATTCTGGTCCGTGCCCTTCAGATGCTTAAGGTCGGTGGTCGTGTGGTCTACTCCACCTGCAGTATGAACCCTGTTGAGAATGAAGCCGTTGTCGCATCTGCCATTGAGCGCTGCGGTGGATCCGTCAATGTTAAGATCATTGACTGCAGCGCCGAGCTGGCTGGTCTGAAGCGAGCCCCCGGAATGCGTGACTGGAAGGTTATGGACCGCGAGGGCCGTATCTGGAACAGCTGGAAGGATGTCGAGGAGCACAAGGAGAAGGAAGGAATCGACGGTCTGGCCCGAATTGCCAAGGGCATGTTCGCCCCCGAATCCGACAGTGATCTCCCTCTCGAGCGCTGCATGCGTGTCTATCCTCACCACCAGGACACCGGTGGTTTCTTCATCACTGTCCTCGAGAAGACCCAGGAGATTCGCGCCAAGCCAGAGAACGTTGCCGATGTCATCCCCAAGGCTTCAGTGGCGGCTCTCGCTGACGAGCTGGATGCCCGCAAGAAGGGCGACATCGACTCCTACAAGAAGCTGGATGCTCTGGACGACCTCGTTGCCCCTGACCAGGAAGCTGCCAAGGAGGTCGCAAAGAACGCGACTGTTGCCGAGTCCAGCCACCAACCCCCATACTCCGTTACCCTCGACGCGGCTGACCCTGGCTCGCCTGCCAAGCGCGCTGCGGATGACTTCGAGGCAGAGATCCCTGCTAAGAAGGTGAAGCTGGACAATGGCGAGGAAATTCTTCTCGGAGACCGTCCCATCCACAAGCCCGCGGGTGCAGTGGAAGCTCAGGCCGTTGAGACCTCAGACAGCAACACCCCTGCCTCATCTGCTCCCGCTGCATCGGCTAAGGTTTTGAAGAAGAAGGTTCACCAAGAGGAGCCTTACAAGTACCTGATCCCCAACCACGAAGAGTTAGAGCCTATCTACAAATTCTTCGAGCTGTCGGAGCGATTCCCGAAGGACCGTTTCATGGTCCGCAATGCCGAGGGCAACCCCACACGCACTGTTTACTACACCAGCGCTCTCGCTCGCGACATTCTCCAACAAAATGAAGGCTCCGGTATGAAGTTCGTGCACTGCGGTGTGAAGATGTTCGTCAAGCAAGACGCTCAGCGCGAGAACGTTTGCCGTTGGCGTATCCAAACCGATGGTCTGAACATCATCGAGCCCTGGATTGGCACTTCCCGCTCTGTCACTCTGACCAAGCGCGAGACCCTGCGCAAGCTTCTGGTCGAAATGTTCCCCAAGGTCAATGACGAGGGCTGGAAGAACCTGGGTGAGATTGGCGAGCAAGTCAAGGACATCCCCATGGGTTGCAGCATTTTGCGTGTTGAGCCCACTGGCAAGGAAGATGGCCTCACGTAAGTTATTCTCTCGGCTCTATTCCTTTTCACCAAAGTTATTTGCTAACATGAACTAACAGCGAGCGAATGGTGCTGCCTCTTTGGCGATCGCTGCACTCCCTCAACCTCATGCTTCCCAAGGAGGACCGACGCGCCATGCTTCTCCGTATCTTCAACAGTGACACCCCCCTCATCAATGCCACATTGAAATCAAGCAACCAGAGCCCCGCGACTGCGACTCCCATTGAGTCTACCGCTGGCGCCGAGGACAAAGCGCTGCAGGCCGAGAGTGAGCAACTGGGCGAAGTCGAGCAGGACCACACTGATGCCCGTGAGACCTACACCAAGGCTGGCGATGAGGAGGACCGCACCAACACAACGGTTTAAGCGCCAACTAAGTTAAAAGGCAAAATATGAACTGGATCTGGACTATAAGACGTGATTGGGTTGAATTTATTAGGAAGCATTGGCTCACCGACTGTACTAAATAAAAGCAAACTGGAAATTTACCGTTTCAAGCATTAAATAAACTTCCCTCCCCATTCAAAGGTAGGACCTTGAGGTCGTATCGGATGATCACAGCCAAGCTTGAGCGATCTGCATCGTATAATGCCCTACCAGCCCGGCCTCGGGGAATCGTCGGCAGTGAAATAACCCGGTTAAATTCATACTCTTGGACCCCGCAATTAATTTGCTTCAGTTTAAACGAGATGTTAATTACAAGCTCTACCTTCAACATCCGGTCGGTCCGGGGGAAATTACTATTATACATCGGCATTAGTTTTCCCGAAGACCCTGGCAAAGGACTGGAGCCCTAGTTACTACGAGCAGGAACTGACTATCTACAAGTACTCTCTCTCTCTATACAACTCAGAATGCAATTCAAGCTGAACTATAATTTATTATCACACATACTCTCAACATCCAGTTAATGTACAACTATCTCAATCCCACATCCATCTGCAAAAAACGGAAAAATTGCGGTGGACCTCCACAATCACCCCCGCAGGAGGCGCGCGGGGAGAGGATCATCGGCCCGCCTTCCTGGACAAGCAATATCTCCACCACACCACTTGGGGCCATCAGGCGAGGTGCATGTACCTCTATGCAACGGAGCTATGACCGAAATCCCCCGCTGCCCCTGTCGATGACGATATTTCAATCGTGGATTCGAGTGGCATGCCACCCCGGGAATTGGCCAATATATGAATCCGCGTTGATCCCTGCCTACCTGCATGCCAGGGGAGAGCTTTTTGATTTCAAGTTCCCAGCTCTCGTTCAAGTTACTGCGCGTGTGTGTTCACCGTCCAATTGAACCATGAAGCTCTCGTCTACGTTGGCTATAGCTGCACTGGCTGCGCAGGCTGCTGGTGCTGCTTTGAGTCAGTAAGCTTGATGGGTTTACAATTACTGAGCATCCGGATCCCGTGAAGCGAGCTCTGTTGCAGAAATATGTGCGTGGTTCAGCCGTTTGATTGTATGCTTGAGACTGGGGAAACCTATTTGCTGACTGTGGTTGTTTATCCTGCAGGTCACCTGGGATGAACACTCCCTTTTCATCAATGGTGAGAGGTTGATGGTGTTCAGCGGTGAAGTCCATCCCTTCCGGTAGGTACTTGGCTGCAGCAATTGAGATTCTCCCAAATAATTCATTCTCACACTTCTCTTCTCTAGTCTCCCCGTTGCATCTCTGTGGATTGATATCCTTCAGAAGATCAAAGCTCTCGGCTTCAATGGTGTCTCAATCTATATCGACTGGGCTCTTCTAGAGGGTAAACCAGGTCACTACCGTGCGGATGGAATCTTCGATCTCGAGCCATTCTTCGCGGCTGCCAAGGAGGCTGGTATCTACCTTCTTGCACGACCTGGGCCTTACATTAATGCGGAGGCTTCTGGTGGAGGCTTTCCCGGTTGGCTGCAGCGAGTAAATGGCACCCTACGAACTAGTGACGAGGCCTACTTGAAGGCTACCGATAAGTAATAAAGCCCTCGCAGTCGGACACGAATTTATGGATGGGTGACTTACTTGAGCCTATAGTTACGTTTCAAACATTGCTGCCACCATTGCCAAAGCCCAGATCACGGAGGGAGGACCAGTCATTCTCTACCAGCCCGAGAATGAATACTCTGGCGCTTGCTGCGGAGTGGACAACTTCCCCGATGCTCCTTACATGCAATATGTTGAGGATCAGGCCCACAAGGCCGGAATTGTGGTTCCTTTGATTAGCAATGATGCCTATGCTGGTGGTCACAATGCCCCTGGAACTGGTGAAGGTGAGGTCGACATCTACGGACATGACAGTTATCCCCTAGGATTCGATTGTGCCAATCCGAGCGTGTGGCCTGACAATGCTCTGCCTACCAACTTCCGCGAGTCTCATCTGGAACAAAGCCCTTCGACCCCGTACTCTCTAGTTGAGGTATGTACAGACTTTCAAGTTACTCTGGTCAAAAACTTACGTTTTATAGTTCCAAGGCGGTGCCTTCGATCCCTGGGGAGGTAACGGCTTCGATGCCTGCGCCGCGCTTGTCAATCACGAATTCGAGAGAGTATTTTACAAGAATGACTTTAGCTTCGGTGTTGCTTTCCTGAATCTTTATATGGTACGTGATAGATTACGAAAGATGCATAGTCACCTTTGCTTTAGAGATACTGACAGCAACAGACATTCGGCGGTACTAACTGGGGTAACTTGGGTCACCCCGGTGGATACACATCCTATGATTATGGCTCCCCCATCTCCGAGTCCCGCAATGTGACGCGTGAAAAGTATAGCGAATTGAAGCTTCTCGGAAACTTCGCCAAGGTTTCTCCATCGTACTTGGTTGCGACCCCCGGCAATGCCACAAATGCTACCTATACGAACACCGCCGACCTCACTGTCACGCCATTGCTCGGAAGTAACAGCACTGCATCGTCTTTCTTCGTGGTTCGACATGCAAACTACTCTTCCCCCAGCTCCGTTGACTACAAGCTCAAGGTTCCCACCAGTGCTGGAGACCTGACTATTCCCCAACTTGGGGGTAGCCTGACGCTGAGCGGTCGCGATTCGAAGATCCACGTTGTGGACTACGATGTTGCTGGTACGAACATTTTATACTCAACTGCTGAAGTTTTCACATGGAAGAAGTTCGGCAATGAGAAGGTTCTTGTGTTGTATGGTGGCCCTGGCGAGCACCACGAGCTTGCGGTCTCCGGTAAGACTTCGGCTTCGGTTGTTGAGGGCTCGTCGTCAGGTATCACCACCAAGAAGAAGGGCAATGCCGTCGTCATTGGCTGGGATGTATCTTCCACCCGCCGGATTGTCGAGGTTGGCGAGCTAAAGATCCTACTCCTCGGTATGTACAGCTCCAAACATTAAAGTGGACTCGACAACTGACTGTTGTTAGACCGAAACTCTGCCTACAACTACTGGGTTCCTCAGCTTCCTGCATCAGGCAAGGCCCCGGATACAGCACCCAGAAGAACACTGCCTCATCTATTATCGTCAAAGCTGGCTATCTCGTACGAACCGCCTACCTTGATGGAAGTGATCTCCACATCACGGCCGATTTCAATGCTACCACCCCAATTGAGGTGATCGGCGCCCCATCAAAGGCCAAGAACCTGGTGATCAACGGCGAGAAGTCCCACGTCAAGGTCGATAAGAATGGCATCTGGACTACCAGCGTGAAGTACTCTGTGCCCAACATCAAGCTCCCTACTCTGAAGAGCCTGAAGTGGAAGTCTATCGATACCCTCCCGGAAGTCAAGAACACTTACGACGATTCTACCTGGACTTCTGCCGACCACGCCTATACCAACAACAGTGCCAATCCTCTCAAGACTCCCAAGTCTCTATACTCTTCCGACTACGGCTTCCACACAGGAGCACTCATTTACCGTGGACACTTTGTCGCCAACGGCAATGAGAAGGACATATTCCTGCACACGCAAGGAGGATCGGCATCTGGGAGCTCGGTGTGGATTAATGAGACATACGTAGGCTCCGCAGTTGGAATCGACGCAGCCTCAGATTCCAATGCTACCTACACTCTGCCAAACCTCAAGTCAGGTAAATCCTACGTAATCACCGTGGTCATCGACAACATGGGCCTAGACGAGAACTGGACCGTCGGCCAAGAAGGAATGAAAAACCCTCGTGGAATTCTCGCCTACGGCCTCGACGGCCACTCCGCCAGCGCAATCACCTGGAAGTTGACTGGCAACCTGGGCGGCGAGGATTACCAGGATACCGTGCGAGGCCCGTTGAACGAGGGTGGTCTCTACGCCGAGCGCCAGGGCTTCCACCAGCCTCAGCCGCCTACCCAGAAATGGAGTTCTGGCAGTCCGTTCACTGGTCTGTCGAAGCCTGGTATTCAATTCTACAGTACAAGCTTTGATCTGGATCTGCCTAAGGGTTGGGATGTTCCGCTGTATTTCAACTTCGGAAACAATACCACACCCCCGGCTGCTTATCGGGCTCAGCTGTATGTTAATGGATACCAGTATGGCAAGTATGTCAACAATATTGGCCCGCAGACCAGTTTCCCCGTTCCTGAGGGTATTCTGAACTACCGTGGTACCAACTGGCTGGCGTTGAGCCTGTGGGCACAGGAGGAGGATGGTGCGAAACTTGAATCTTTTGAATTGGTTCATACTACTCCTGTTCTTACTTCTTTGGGTGAGATCGAGTCTGTGGATCAGCCTAAGTATCATTCTCGTCGTGGCGCTTATTAGGCATGGGCACGACATTGGTTGGTGATTAGTTTCTATTCCTCCTGTAGACTGGAAAATATTTTCCAGTTCGATTAGCTCATAGTAAAAAAACAGATGAATTATTTCAGATCAAATCAGTGTTTTTTCTTTAATTTTAAAGTAGGATAGAATACATAGAGTCAACCTTATACACTAGAGGAGACCCACCGATAACGCGGCTCCACTCCGCCGATCCCCAGCCACCGCGTCCAGCCTTCTTGTGTACTCCGTATGACACCTCCTCTCTCACTCTCATTTTCACTTCCACTCTCACCTCTCTTCTTCAAAATTCTCACACAGCTTGAATCCATGTCCCGCTGACCCCAACAACATCCACAACCACACCATACCCACACATACACTCACAATGGAAGACCTAAACTTCCCCCTCCCACTCGCAAACAACAACCTCCCCCTCCCTACAAACAAACACAACCCTCCAAAAACGCACAACCTTCATCTCCAGCGACCTAACATCCCGCTACACAACCGTCTCAATCCCCGCCTCATACGGCGGCCTCACAACCGGTCCACCACCCGGCACAGTAGCAGGAATCGTCCTTGGCAGCGTCGGCGGCGTAATAATAGTCCTCTACCTAACCTTCCTCGCCCTTAATCCGGGCGGTATAGCGCGAGGCGGGGGCATGGGCGGAGGCTCGTCATCCATTGACGAAGAAGTCGTCGTTCGCAGTCGTCGCGGTGGTTCGTCCCGGCGTAGCGATGTGATCGAGGTTGTTGAGGATCGCGGTGGTCGACCGAGGAGTTATCGACGACCGCCATCGCATGATCAGGTTATTGTTGAGGAGTCGGTGACTGGCACGACGACTTCGGATGGGAGGGATTTTGTTGAGGTTCTTGAGGAGGAGTCTTCGGGGGTTTCTTCTTCTGAGCCGTCTAGGAGGGGTGGGAGGGGGTATCGGTCTGTTGATCCGCTTGCTTATGGGGGTGGGAGTTCGCAGGGGGGTCGGTATCGATGAAGGAGTTGATAGGAATGGGTTGGTTGATTTTATGGGTTGAATTTCTTGATGTTTATTTTCTTCGAGTTTTGCATTGCGATACCCTTTCTTTGCTATATTCTATTGTGGGCGCTATTTATGCTGCCTACTTCCGCCATGCGTTATGTTTATTAATGAGCCAAATGCTGCCCAGGTGTATATCACGAACTATTTTCAGCCACATACTTTTTTTTTCTTTTGGATTCGCAGTAACTGATGTTTTTACAATAGACCCGTAGTGGTGTGGTAGAAAGAGTGAATTGAGGATTATACAGAAGGATTTGAGAGCGCATAAACAAAGGCCAACTCCGCATCCTGTTCTTGCGCCGGATGATAGAAGATAGAAAGCAGGGAATAGTATGTACGAGCGCGGAAACAAAAGAAAGACAAGAAAAGAGAGCAGAACCCCACCAGGCCCATCCCAAAGATACCAAAAAAGTCCCCAGCCGAGCTCTCGGAAACGCCAATAGAGAAAAATGAAAGTCGTATAGGACGCGTTCTGCGCGTCAACCCCATCTTCCCTTCATCTCGGTCGTTGGATCTGAAGGGAGGGGATTTTTGTCTCCCAGGGGCGAAAGGTACGTGCCAATTGCATAACTTGCGTATCGGAAGGGTCGATCGGATCAAGAAAGCAGTGCACTCCAACCAAGTCCTCTAGAACAAAATGTCCAAGCAACAACAGCATGCCATTGCAGCCATGATACCAGCGCAAATCCCACCAGCACCGGATCCACCCCCGCTGTGACGGCCGCGATCGTCTTGGTACTGCTGAGGCGGGTATCCTGGTTGAGGATATTGCTGTTGGGGGTATTGCATCGGGCTCTGACCACCGTAGTAACCCCCCGGCTGTTGTTGAGGATAACCACCGCCGTAGCCTTGCTGCGGATACCCTTGTTGCTGCTGGTAGTATCCAACCTGTTGCTGTTGGCCGCCGTAATAATCGCCTGCGGCGCCGGGGCCGGGACTGGGATTCAGCGCGTTCTGATGGAAGTTGCCGGAGTAAGCCGGGGCTTGGTAGGAAGGGGGCGGACTGGTCTGTGAAGGATGTTAGAAGGATGCTTAAGGTCGTGGATATAGTTTGGTCTGTGGATAGGATCTGAGGGGAACTAGTGTGGGTGAACGAACCGGCTTGTTGTAAGACATGTTAGAGCCTTGTGGAAGTGGATCCGGGCGTGGCAGCTATGGGGATTGTGGATGTGGATGTGCCGATATGGCTGTGACGTGTATTGATGGGGATGTGTAAGAGGAAGGGTGAGGTTAAGAGTGAGTCAGGAGAGAGAAAGGGAAATCGTCAAGGAGGGATGTTGGGGGGAAAGCCAAGGGCCAAGAAGGTCGAGCCATAAAATGTAGACTACGTTTTTGTAGAACGCGCGGTTCGGGAAGGCTTGTGGCGCAGCACCGTGGCGGGGCGGGGTTCCGAGGTATACACTGCCTGCATCTAGGCTATCATATTCTGGATTCATGAAATTGAACCTTGGAAAACTTGAAATTATTTATTTAGAGGACTATTCGAAATGAATAGCCACAGACCTCGGGAAAAACTTGAAGTTTCTACATGACAAGTGACATCCAAGTTGAATTACTAGAAACATCGCCGGATTTGTAGTGTCACGTGTACCTAGGTATGGCGGACGATAACTCGCGCCCAAGGAGTCTTTCAAGTTTTTGAATAGATGAATGGTTCGTGTAATTTAGCATAATGATACTTATCGACCCATTTTACCTGTCACGAGTCAAGTAATTCAAGTCCACATCATTGTTGTAAGGGTTGAAGGCGTGGAGACGAGATGATGATCAATCACCTGGCCATGGACATTCAAATTTTGGAAAACTACTAGTAGGTCTATGTTTGCAACGTGATGCGATCCCAATATACTATACCAAAGGTATTAATGCATTCTCCCCCCCCTCTGCGGCTTTGGACCATGCTTAATTGGTCGAAGACCCTTTATGAAGCATACCAAGTACTGGTATCAATGGAAGCCGTTGTGACAAGAGAAGGAATTGATCGAGCCCGTGGTATTTCAGTGAAAATGATTGATATTACATATAGAATTGAAAGATGACTGGAAAGCAATTTGTTTCTGCGCAGAGATACTTCTTTTTCCTTCTCCAAAACTAGGTGGTCTTGCAGAACACGGAACCGACTCGGAGTGGGCAAATTAAGGGTATAGATTCCAAGGTTAATACCACCAGAAGATGGCCTTGGGGAAGCTACAGGAAGGCTCCTGGCAGGAGCCTGAGGTGCAGGTGATTGACTCGGATTTTAGTACTAAGGTTATCTTTACATGCCCGGAATATACAAAGATCTCACCAGCAAGGAGGTATCGATTCGGACTTTTGGTAACACTGTCCATATATAAACTTGAACGCAAATTATAATGCACACGAGCCAAGATAAAAATCAAACCAATAAGAATGCTAGACAAATGCTAGACTGCTCAGATGTACGTAGGAAAATGCAAGAGAAATGCACATTTCACTCAACTTCACTCATCGACACTTTGGAACACTTTGATGAATAAACCCCAAATTAAAAGAAAAGAAATACTTATTCCTTATCCTCCAGCGAAGCCTTCTTCAGCTCATCAGCTGCATCAGCAGCACCATCCTGCTCCTGGGCCAGCTCGGCCTCGGCGGTGGGGGCACCGTTAGCCTGCGCGGGCTTCTTCGCGGCGTCGGTGGCACGGCCGTTGGCCTCGATCTTGGCCTCCTCCTCCTCCAGGCGGGCAATCTCCTCCTTGGCCTTCTTGATGTTCTGTGTGGGTTGTTAGTAAATGTTCCAAACATGGGACGACCGGAGACGCTTGGGCGCGACATATTACTCACCTCCTCAGTCTTGCTGGCCTGGTTCTTCTTCCACTCGGTAATCTTGGCAGCCAGCTGTTCAACGGAAGCAGGGACAGCGGCCTGGTTCATGGGAGGGTCGATCTTGACCTTGGCGAAGTCCTCGATGACACCAACGTTCATGTTGAACTTGCCAGCAGCCTCAGCACCACCAGCGGCAGCACCACCCTTCTTACCCTTCTTGCCCTTCTTGCCACCAGTACCAGCGAAGTAGTCCTCCTCCTCGTCCTTGCGGACGACCTTCATGCCCTTCAGGGCAGAGTCATCAACGGTACGGCCAACACCGGCACGGAAGTTACTTCCCTCAACCTTCTTGTCATCAAGACCCAGAGAAGCAAAGTCATAGGCGGGGTCAAAGTGACGGATCAGACCCTGAGCAGTCAGGATCTCATCAGCGTAGGCAAGAGCAGAAGCCTCCTCGAGCTTCTTATCAGCAACCTTCTTGCGCTTCTCGCGCTCGAAAGCGTCGCGCTCGACCTTCTGGCGCTCACGGCGCTGGCGCCAAGCCTCATCCTCATACTCCTTGTAGGCACGACGGGCCTTGTAGTAGGCGTCCTTGATCTCCTTGATGGCGACGTACTTGGCCTGTTGGTCGTTACGGAGCTTGGTGCGTTCGTCACGGAGCGAGTTGAGGTTCTTGTAGACGCCGTCCTGCTCGGCCTTGATGGTGTCGAGCTCCTTTTGAATCTCGGAGTACTTGTCGCTGAGAGCCTTGGCCTCGGGGTTGTCGAGGGTCTTGCGCAGGGCAGAAATTTGAGCCTTCAGGTCATCGATACCCTTCTGGGCCTCTTCCAGACCGGCGAAGCCCTTGCGCTGCTTGCGCATGTTGGAGATATCGCCCAGAGCCTTGCGCTCGTCGACCAGACGGAGGGTACCAGAGTCGACCTGCTTCTCGAGCTTGGCGATCTCACGGTCAATCTCATCGACGTTCTTGAAGGCCATCTTGCCGCGGGAGTTGTTCTGCTCCGCAATGCGGGCCTTGAGGGTGGATTCGATGGCATTGATCTTCTCCTGGGTGCTGGAACGGGAGGACTTGAAGCCGGACTGCTTTTGACGGATGGTAGACAGCTCAGCGCGGAGTTCCTGCTGCTTCTTGACGGTTGGTGAGTCCTGGTTGTTGGGCTTGGCGTTGTCCAACTTGGACTTGATTTGGTTCTATTTGCGCACGTGGTTAGTTATGGACACAAGAAAAAGCAGTGGAGTCGCAGCAGCGATCGCCTCGGGAGGGGACAGATTGGCGGGACGCAATGCAATGCAATGTTCCCCCCAAATCAAACAGGAGGAAAGGAATCAATGGATCGTACCAGCTTCTCCTGAGCAGCAGTGTGCTCCTTCTCGGCCTGAGCGAGGCTAATCTTGTAGGCCTCCTCATCGGGCTTGGTGGGCTTAACCGCCACGGGGGCAGGGGAAGCCATTGCGAACAGAGAACAAGGAACAATTAAAAAGAGAGAAAGTGGGGGATAGAGACAGAGAGAAAAGAATCAAGAGAATTGAAGAAACCCACGAGGGGGAAAAAGGAGGAGAGTCGGAATCGCCGTCTTGACAAGTTCAAGTTGAGTGGAAATCCAACGGTTCCGTTGGTTTCTCCGCTTTCCCGGCAGAAAGTTCCCGCCGATTTTTCGATTCGACCTCACTTCACCTTCACTTTTACTTTGACATTGGTTGCAACTTGCACTGCTCGGCGCAAGCACCTTCTTTATTTCAATTAATTGAGCAGCTGCACCTCACAATCATGGACGGAGACGTGTCTGCGCACAGCCAGGAGGCTGAGAAGGAAACCACTCGGCTTTGGCGCACCTTCCGGACTGTCTATGAGATGCTCGCAGATCGAGTGAGTTTGGCAATCGCGCCTGGACACAATGCCTTGATTACTTTCGCATAAATGAGAAAGCACCCGAATGGTAAACTAACCTATCATTCCTCGTTGCAATAGGGCTACGAAGTCTCCGACGACGAGCTGGCGATCTCACTAGACGAATTCCGCCAGAAATACTCAGACCCCATGGGATACCCCGAGTACGCACTTCCCACGTCCTAGATATGAACTTATACTCTTGTTCTGGCTGGAATTGCTGTGAGATGCAGACTGGGAGCTTTCTAGCTCGCCAATCGCGGTTCCGCAGCAGTACAAGGCCTTCGGAAACAAAACAGAGAAAGAAGAAAAAAAAAGAACCTCCAAAACTAACACCACCACCACAGCCGCAACAAGATGAAAATCCAAGCCCGCCCCACCAAAATCATGGAAATGAAATACACCCTCAAAACCAAGTCGAACCCAAACCCCACACCCGACTGCGGCACAGTCTACGTCGACTTCTGCCCAGACGCCTCAGGCGTCGGAACCAAGCAAGTGCGCGCCTTCAACCACATCGTTGGCGAAAGCAACTATCACACCGGAATCTTCATCACGCAAACCCCGATCTCGCCCTCCGCCGTCCGTCTGCTCTCCAGTCTTCCCAACCACATCTGTGAGCACTTCCAGGAACAGGATCTGCTGGTCAACATTACGCGCCACGAGCTGGTCCCCAAGCACGTCCTTCTCAGTCCTGAGGAGAAGGCGCGTCTCCTGGAGCGCTATCGTCTGAAGGAGTCTCAGCTTCCGCGTATGCAGGTCTCTGATCCTGTTTCTAGGTATCTTGGTCTGCGACGTGGACAGGTTGTGAAGATTATTCGCAAGTCTGAAACTGCTGGTCGGTATGCCAGTTATCGCTGGGTTATCTAAGGAGGGAACACGATTGATAAAGACCGATTTCTCGGGGGCGAGGTGGGAAGCTTTTCCTTATCTCCAACGGATTGGTCTGTCTGTCTGTTTTTTTTTTCTGTCCTCCGTTTATCCTTCTCTCCTCTGGCCCCACGATGGACCTCAATAGAGGCGGGCGGTGGAGTCCATACCATACCACACCATACCCATCTGCGCATCAAGTCCTTTCCAATACGGTCCTTCCCTCGCTCGCCAAGCTCTACTCAACCCAGCCCAACGAACGACCGCAAGCACAAACACAAACAAACACAACAAAGCACCTCCGTACCGGAAAAGGGCCGCAGGATCGGACACGGAGTTCTCTTTCTGCTCATCAAACATGCAAAACAAAAAAAGTTGGTTCCCCCTTGTTGTATTATGGGCAGCACGGCGTACAGGCGAAGTTTCTCCAACATTCACGTGGGGTGAGGCGGCGGGGGAACTGGTTGTTCTGATCTGATTATGTGAATTGTTTCTTTTTTTTCTTTTCTTCACATAGTAATCTCTATCCCCGTGTTTTGCTACTTCAGCTAGATGAATACATTGAATGTCGATATTTCAAGTTCAGTTCTTATTGTTATGCATTTGGTCTCGTGACTTCGTTGTAGTAGATAAATAAGGGTTGGTGTACAAAATCAAGCCATCGATCAGTAGAGGAAAGCGTTCCGCTAAGGTTGCCTTCGCGCCTGAGTAAATAGATATGGGCAGATAGATAGTAAGAACACCTCCGACGCCAGCGCTAAGCAAATTGTGGGGGATATACAGGACAAAAATAGACAGAAACACCAACGCAAATAGGGGTATGAGGGTATGGGGAAATTAAAATCCAACAGACAATCCAAAATGAAACAACAATCAAAACGCAATCAGTCAAAGATAGGGCATGTATAATGAACCAACTGATGTAGTTCATTGATCGTGCGTGGGAATATGCAAATAATATGCGTCATGAATGGGGGGGTCCTGTTCCTGGACAAGAGGCCCCCGACATCTTGAAGTTCGACATCGACATCAAGCGAGACGACGGGAGAAGCTCGGTAAGGTGGAAGAGTGTGTGATACAGTATCCGATGCAGCTGGCGATGTATATGCTCTCCGTGCAGTGGATAGAGTTGGGCGAGGTAGAACACCGAGATCTTCGAGGAACGCTCGACTCCCGCGTCGATTCCTTCGCGGTTCCTGATTGTTTGTGGATGGATGAGATGGAATGAGGGTGAAGGAACGAGGCATAGGTTGGACTTGAGGCTCTTCTTGGTTGAGTAGACCGCCGACATCGAAGAAAGAGATACGACGGGATGAGAGGTTTGATGATGAGGTAGTTGCTCTTTCTCGTGGTGATTGGTTTGTTTGTATATACTCGCGCGGACTAACTTTGATGTCAAGGCTATCTGGACTCGAGGCCTGGTCGTCCGATGAGCGGTCTTGGTTGAAGGACCAGGCTGGGTCTATGGAGCCGGTGCGGGCGACCAGAAGTGGTACGGGAGGAGCAGGGACCGGTATGGTGCTTGCGGGTGTGGAGGAGTATAGTTTGGGATCAAGTTTGATTCCCATGCCGGTGGCGAGATCGGAATCACTCCCCCAATGAGAGTGCATGACAGTATTGCGCCGAATAGTGCTGTTGTCCATGCTTTCGGTGACGGATGCAGAGCCTTGATCGCGTTTGTACTTAAGTTTCTTGACACCGCTATCTCGAACGAAGGAACCGATAACAACCATGTTCGAGACAGCTGTGGCGGCAAGGATTTCGAATGATGCAATCAGGGAGCGGTATTGTTGCGAGCCAGAGTGTTCAATAACCGACGGAACCCGATAACAGGTTATGGCGACTAGGATCAGAGAGAGACAGAATAGGATGGTGAGGGCAAGTTTGCGTTTGAGTGGGATTTGGGCCATGAGGATGATCGGGACAGGGAAGGCGATCAAAAGTAGATCGGTGATGACATCGCAAGTACCCATCGTGATGAGGTTGGCATATCCACTCCGACAACTAGGCCCCGGGTCTGGTATGACCTGCCAGTAATGGTCGAAGGGCTGGCATTCGGCTAGCGTCGCAATAATAACAGCAACCAGGGTTGATATAAGAAAGAAATGGATGAAACGTAGGAAGATAGAGATGGAGCGGCGCGTGACGATTCCCGTGACGCGTTTCAGGAATTCACAGACGGTAAGTTTCGCCGTCCAGATACTATCGATGTGGTCAGTCAAGTTATACCACTGAGCCATTGGACCATTGAGAAGAGTTGTCTCACAATATAGCATAGAAGATCCGAGCCGCCAGAACCAATTTGCTTCCCATTTCCCTCCTCGCTATTTCATCCGTCGTCACCTGTCCGAGCTGGGTGTTGTTGGTGCCCCAGATAAGGACGAAATGGATAAGGACCATGCGAATGGTTAATGGGAACACACTAATCATCATGACCTTGTCTTCAGGGAAGAATCTCTCAATGCGGACATACCGACCACAGAGGCGGACGATAATTATGGCTAGTGAGAACGCCGTGGCCCACCAACTCATCATCAAGGTAGGGTTTATTTGGTCGCGCGTCTCATACTGTGGTGGGATCTGGGGGGTGAAGGCCTTGGGAGGCCGTCATATTTGTTGCCATCAGCCCGGAGAGGGCCTTCTCCCAATAGGAGGGTAAAACCGTTGTAAAATATCCAAATCTCCCAGGAGGCTGGCGATGCTGGAGCGCGCGATTTACATGTCGCACGTGAGACAAGCCGTGTGGGGGAGGGTCGAAAAGAGGGTCCTCGGGGCGATCAGAGGGGAGGGTCGCCGCTAGCGATCGTAGGATTCACAATCACCGTAGTACTCGTAGTAGGTTCCCCTCAAGATGAAGGGTCAAATGGTGGTTGAGAGAGCTTGTATAGTGTTCGAAATATCACGACAGGGAAACCCGGAGAGGGGGGATGAAGGGGAATCCTTGGTAAAAGCAAATTCAAGCCATCGGTCGGTCTCGGAGGGCCACATAAGAGCCACACCGTAGGTGAACAAGGATCCGAAAGTCAGAAAAGCTCAGTGATAACGGCGGACCCCAACTTTGGGGCAGGGCCAGTGATAATCCACGGGTTTATCGACGGGGCGTGCATGTTGGACCCGCTGGCGTCAGCAATCACCATTGCCATCTGGCAGGTGCCAGGAGCTCACTATTGCACCAATGCTGACGCTTCGGTTGAAAAGGCGATAGACCGTATCGATGTATCGCACATCATTTGAGCAGCGGTGACTGGGGCGGGCCACCGGAGTCCGAGAGCTTTGGCCTTCGCTTGCGGGGGATTTGAAGTGTCATCGAATCAGAGCCGCCGAGCAATCAGGGGGCCACAGTGCTGGCCAGTGATGGCGAGTGGTTGAGATGAACTCGTGATTAAAGGCGAACCCTTAGGAGGAGGAGTGGTCGTCGATATTAAGTGGAGTGGAGGTTGGATTGAAGTTGGAGTGGGAAGATGGCTGCTTGCATAGGAGCTCTCGCAGTTCTCGCAGTTGTCGCACGTGGGTGCTTTCCTTCCTGGGTACTCGTACTCCGTGCTACTGTATACACTGCATACCAGGGGCAGTTCCCAATCACTATTTACAATACGAGCGTATTTATCTATTGCAATACTAGGCTTGTCTATGGTAATACTAGTAGTAGGCCATATCTTAGGCTACTTAGCATATCATACCATACCATACCAGGAACGTAGGATGAGGGCAATGGCATCAATGACCCTATTCTATTCCAATATCTATCTTTTATCTCCATAAAAGTGACACTACCGAAAATTACCTTAACCATCCCATGATCAAGAGATCCTAGGATCTCCTATTTCCAATTCCATGAGCATCCGTGTCCCTAGGCGACCACCGCAGCCGCCGCGTCTTCCCGCTTCTCCTCGTCACGAAGCGACTGAACCCCAGTCCCGGCACGAACCCCGGTCAGAACCACTCGGAGCTCCTGCAGGAACTTGGTGACCTCGGCTTCCGTACCAACGGTGATGCGCAGACAACCCTCACATCCATACTCCTTACCACGGAACCGCACCACCACTCCACGCTTCTCTGCCATCGCCTCATACGTCGCCAGCGCAGCAACATTACTCGGACGCCCCTCAGCATCCAAAATCTCCACCAGTAGGAAATTCGCATCGTAGCCACCAAGGAATCGGCCTACGCCGGGGATCTGCGGTAGCTCGCTGATCAGCCGGTTCCGCTGAGCGACGATCTGCTCGCGGAAACGGCGCATCACGGCCATATTGGGAGCTGTCAGGGCGGCGGAGGCGAGAGCACTAGTGGGGCTGGAAATATTGTAGGGCGCTTTCAGGCTGTTCAACAATTGCGTAATCTCGGGACTGCTATAAGCAACGCCGAGTCGGATACCCGCCAGACCAAAGGCCTTGCTGAGTGTTTGCATCACGACTAGGTTCGGCCACTCGGTCACCCATTCGGCCAAACTGGATCCTTCTTCGGCAAAGTCGATGTATGCTTCGTCGACTACCACGACACCGTTCCATGTTGGGTGCTCCAGCACCTTGCGGATGTCCTCTTTGCGGATGAGGTTTGCGGTTGGGTTACCCGGTGAGCAGATGTAGGCCAATTTGATAGAGGCGTCGGCTGTGAGGGCCTCGTTGACCTTCTCGGGCTGGAGGTGGAAGCCGTTTGTGGAGTCTAGAGGCACCTTGACGATCTCGACGTCATTGACCTGTGCGCTCACGCTGTACATTCCGTATGTTGGTGGGCAAGTGAGGATCTTGTCCTTTCCGGGGACGCAGAAGCATCGGAGGAGCGCGTCGATCGCCTCGTCTGATCCGACGCCGACGAAGAGGTTCTCAGGCTTGAGGGTCTTGGGTGTGTGGTGGTGGGTATTACGGAGATTGCAGAAAAGCTGCTTCAGTTCGATCTGGTGACTGTATGGACCGGCATTGCGTTAGAATAACCTATCAAGCAAGTCTCCTTGTAGAAGAGGGACAGGGAGGTTCACTCACGGATCGGGGTATCGGTTCAAGCCCAGGAAGTCGATTTCAGGCTTGGAGGCGCCTGTCGCATTGCCTGTCTCGGACGCCTGTAAAGCGCCTTCGCTGCTTAAGGCCAATCCAGGACCGTAGGCATTCTCATTGGCGTCGAGGAGAACGTTCGTCCCATCGTCTTTGTAGTCACTGACTCATTAGCGGGGATGCGGCGTCTTGCGGTGGGGTGGGTGGCATACTCTCTGGCGCATCGGTAGGGCTGCAATTGCAAAATATTGGGCCTTGCGCATTTCGACAGGTCGAATGGTGATGTTCGTGAAGCCATTGTTGTGGTGTGCTGGAGTGGAAGACAGAAAGTCGAGAAGCAAAAGTTGGTGGGGGTCGGCGGGGAATCGGAGTGAAAGCGGAAGCTCGGTCGTACTGGAAATCAGTGAGTCACTGCCAGTGTCAATTGGATGGATTGGATGGAGTAGTAAATATTTAAAAATATCAGAATGAAGAAACAAGTCGTAGAGAATCACTTCTCTCTTTATAAGCCCAGGAAATTAGCAGTATGACTATATTGTAGGAATGACTCAGTGGATAGTAGAAGTGCCGATATATCGGAGCTGCGTGACGGGATACTAGTCATCGTATCCACAGCACTAGTAGTATACTAACATAACTCAATTCGTTCAAATTCCCTTGAATAAGAAAGGAGAAAATACACATATGATTGGGGACTATTTGATGCCGATTAATTTATGTACAAACATCCATCAAGCACCATACTACTAGTATGATGCGACCTTTTGTCCTTGACATGCATGAGTCAGCAGAGTTGTTGCTGTTGTTGCCTCAGGCACTAAGGCACTAACTAAGGCATCCTTCCTCGAAGTAGATGGTTCACTAAACAACTGGTTCACCTCCTCAGTGATTCTCTCCAACTTCCATCAAACTATTTCGTTGATTCTGTCTTGTTGAATATCGTTACTCGAGTTTCGTATCAACCAACCATGGTGTGCCGCCTTTTCACCAGATCCGGAATTGCAAAGAAACTGTCGAGTCTCTTCTCTACGTCGAGAAAAGCTAGCAGTAGCACTTCTCCTCCGACTGATTGGAATTCTCATTCCGAGTTCTTCAATTTCACAGGGGCTAGATGGGTGCGCAATGAGGAGTATGAAATGGCAATGCGGCATGTTCCTTTCGACATGAACGAACTGGCCAAGCTGGTTGCGCAGTCTGTCGGTGCAGTGAAATGCGTTCATGTCGAGAAATTGGGTGAAGGCTTGTACAACAAGCCGTTCCTATTTACTATGGAAGATGGATCCCAGGTCGTGGGCAAAGTGCCCAACCTAAGTGCAGGCCTGCCGCATTTCACTACGGCAAGCGAAGTGGCCACGATGGATTTTGTATGATGCCTGACTTACATTTCGAACTCGTATACTAACCCATTGTTTACTCCAAGGCTAGAAATATCCTTGGCACTCCGGTACCGAAAGTCCTTGCGTGGAGCTCCAAGGCAAATGAGAGCCCCGTCGGTGCGGAGTTCATCCTCATGGAGGTAGCCCCAGGAATACCACTTTCTATTGTATGGAATGTGATGGGCATAGAAGCCAGAAGCAAACTTATCCTGAGCCTCGGTAAGATTCAAAACGCTTGGGCGTCCACCACATTCTCTCAGTACGGATCTCTGTACTACGCATCTGATCTTGATCACCCGAGACCATGCCTTCTCACGAAGCGCGACGGTTCCCAGGTAGAAGAACCTCGCTTCGCCGTTGGGCCCTCGAACAGCCGGTATCAGCTTGATGATGGAAGAATAAATGTGGAATTTGATCGAGGCCTATGTAGGTTGATTATGATCCGAAATCAGAGAATGCTTATTGAAAGATTCTAGGGGATACAGTCGAGCAATACAAGCGGGCAATCGGTTATCGAGAAATCTCCTGCATACAGCAAATGGCTGAACTTCCACTCCCGGTCGTGGGACTTTACGGCCCCGCGCACATACACTCGGTCTCGACCCAAGAAATTGGTCGCTTTGAATTACTATCTTCAGCTGATCAATCATCTTTTACCGACAGACCCGTCGATCTCGTCGTCCTTCCTTTGGCACAATGATCTTCATGACGATAATATCTTCGTCAACCCTGAAAAGCCGTGGGAAATATTGAGTGTCATTGACTGGCAATCCACTGATCTTCGCCCTCTTTTTGACCACGTCCAGAAACCCTTTTTCCTGAACTATGACGGTCCAGCTCTCAAGCTTCGTGAACGGCCGAAGCTACCAGAGAATCTCAGCGAAATGTCGCCAGAAGCCCAAGAGGAAGCAAAAGATCTCCACTACCTCATGGAAATATGCGCTTACTACAAAATGGTTATCTACCGTGATACTCGCATCCTCCATCATGCAACCGAATTTACGGAAACAAAATCCTTCGAGATGATGTTACTCGGCCAGAAACTCGCGGAGGATGGCGGAGCGATATATCAATGGTGCGTCAAGGAGTTAGAAGAGGACTGGCCAAGCCTTTCAGGTGTTCAAGCAGCTGGGAATCCATCGTTTCCATTTCACTTTTATTCTGAGGAGATCAGCACCATAGATCAAGATGCCGAAGACGCAGATCGAGGAATGGAGTTGATGAGGAATTTAAATATGTCACTCGGTGATCTATGCCCGGAGAATGGCTTGGTCCGTCATGAAAACTATGATGTTGCAAAAGCACTTTTGAGACAAAAAAAGAAGAGTTAATGGCTCAATTAGATTGTTCTGACGATGAGCGACGTGTCTGGGATTATTGCTGGCCGTTTGACAATTAGAAGAGCAATTAAGTTCAGAATATCTTGTTCAATAAGACCGACTTGAAAGACCTGATTTTAATTCTCCCGCAGGAGTCTTCTAGGTCCTCACTAGTTATTGATAAATCGATTGTCCGAATCTTATTGTTTCACTAGGCATTAGACTTAAATACCCACCCACCTAGCAGGCATCTCTCCTCCTTTCGTTATTCCTGCCACCTTCTTGCCTACATAGTCATGCCTGCACATAATTGGAAGCATTGATTGTGTCTAAAGACGGCGATCTCAGTAACAAAATCTTCGTATTCTCTCCAACAATCGATGCCTACTTCAGTGCCGGGGTCAATACTAGTATTGTATCCCGTCCCAAGTACGCAGGCACCTACCTAGGTAGTCAATTGCTTCTCTACTTGATGTCTGCCCAGTTGTATCACCGCCAGGCATCGAGGTTGCTTGGATACCTAGCGTCTGCGAAATATTAGGTAGCCCTTTCTGGAATCATATAAATTAGGACTTTGAACCACCAAATACAACGATCTCCTCAACACAACTCCAACCGTGCACACAAGTCTCTACTAAAGGATCTCAACATACTTCATCCACTTTTCTCCAAAATTCAAGCAACGCTGCCATTAAAGTAAGTCCGATCTGCCCTGTCACTTTTGAACTACGGGGTAACCAACATAATCAGTCAAAATGGCCCCTCGTGCAGTGTTCCGAGGCCTTGGATTGCTGCGAAGCCATACCAAGGCGCGAGATTCTAAAGTGACAATGATTGCTGGTGGTAACCTAGTAAGTACACCCAGAGTATGCCTCACCCGCGGGATTAGGGGATAGCCGAACCGGTGCAGCTCTGTCAAACAGCATTTATTTTCTCCCTCGGTTTTATCATAGCTCGCGAGAATGGATGAGGCATTTCGTTGCCGATTGAAATCACCTCAAACCAACTAAGTTAGTATGTTTGTCCAACAAAGTGACTTGATGAATGATTCATTAATTTCTTGTTCGTAAGACCTCCCCTTCAATATGTACAATATCATTCCGAGTTTGGGGCGAAGCTGCATCACAATCAAGAGACCGAGACAGGCGCTTGCTCGAGCCACGCCCAGTCCATCAAGACTCGACCTTGATCAACATCCGCCACTTTTTTAAACACAGTCTCCGTAACATCGAGATCGGTCTCTTTACAACCGACACAGCGATCAACGACCTTAACGTCCACACTCGCGCCATCGCGCCGAAGTCTCAGTTTCATTCCGCATAGTGGGTTTTCATTCGGATTCGATCCTGTCGAAGCCGCGTCAAATAGGACATGCGAGACGGCGCAAATGAGGTCCGTGTCGGAGTTTGTGTAACCGCACGAACCAAGGCCTGGATTGTAATATGTGAGGTCTCCGCTATATGGGCCGCCATGAGAAGTTGGGAGAGCGAGATTTGAGCTCGAGCTGGATTTTCTGTTCGCAGTGGTCAGTATTTAGTGGGCATATATGGGATCGAACTACATTGCTCGCTCACTTTTTGCCCACGGTTAGTCCCACCGCAAGACCTATAATCAGCGCGAGGAGAAGCACGCCGGCTATGGCTGCGCCGATGATGAGATATTTGCGCTTTTGCCTCTGCGAGGCATCGCGATACCAATTGAGGGTCAGAAAAGCACTGAAAGTGGCCCCGAACCCGGCTAACTTGGTTTTGCTTTCTGTTTCTTTGGTGGGTGAGTCGGCGCCCGTCGCTGTCGCTGGTACTGGGACGGGCTTGCGCTTTGGCATAGAGTTCCAGGCATCATGTGAATTGTTGTCATGTGGAGCCGAAGGGTCAGAGATTGGAGACACGGGAGATTCAGGGTCTGTGGTGGAGTGCTGGGGGTGTTTCTCTGGTGAGGTGGTGACCATTGCGCCGGCAATTCATAACGGGAGTTCAAACGGAGATAAGGAGTGCAGGTGGCAGGCAACAGGAGGGTGGTAGACAACACAACAATCAACAGATCTTCGATTTTGGGCTATGGTAGCTATGAATGAAGTGAGATATAGAAAAAGATGTGGTGGTGTGGGGGAGATGAGGTGGAAAGAAACGAAAAGAAAGGGAAAGGTGGGGACGGCCCGTTTGCCGCTGGTTCAGGGGCAACATTTAACACTGACACACTTAACCGCTGCAAGAGACAGCTTCATCTGATTCGTCCATGGAATGCCTGCTAGCCGTGAACTCAATCACAAGAGTCCTTGCTTGCCTTGGATTACCCTAATGCCGCCACCCGCCCTCACAGCTTCCTTGGCCCCCCACTCACAGTGACAGTCACAGTCACAGTCAATGGACATTAAGCGATGCAGATAAAGCGCTTGTCATATTGAGACCGACAATGACAAAAGCATCCGGATATCCCAGCTTGGACAGCTGCCCAGTCGAGATCTTAAACTTGATATTCGAATTGCTATCACCCACCGAATATCATTTACTATCTCTTGTCAATCACAAACTGCGTGTAACCGCTGAGCCATTTCTCTATTCAAATCTTCAATGCATCTGGGAAGAAGTTTGCTTTCCTCCCCGATCATTCGCTTCCTCCAAACAATCATAAGGAGACCTGACCTGGCCTCTCACCTCAAAAGAATTCACCTCGATGGTGATCGTTTTCTGATCGGGTATCAGCGAAATATCAAGCCCAAGATTCCTGTATCTGAAGTTGAGCTGGACGAACTCAGCTCATTCATCCGAGCCACCGGAGCCCCATATTGTGATATGTGGATACAGGAACTAGAGAATGGTAGCACCGACGCCATTATCGCCCTCCTTCTAGCGCAATCTTCGAATCTGCGATATCTCTATATAGGTCCTGTGTTCACTCAGTTGAGTAAATTGATAGGCCTGGTCCTCCACTCAAGACTCTGCGAGCCCACGATAGATCTCCAACACCATTATAGTCTTCATGACAAAATTCCCAATTTTGAGAACCTTCGAGACATTACCTTCCTGATGAATGTCGAGGACGACCAAGACGCCCACCTGAACCGTTCTAAAAACACCGCCCACGTCCTGCCCTTCTTCTATTTGCCGAACATCCAGCGCTTGTCGCTCTCGGTCGAAAATGAGAGGACGTGGACCTGGCCTACAGCAACTCAGCCCAACCCGTCAACGCTTACATCGCTCGATTTGACCTGCATCCGGGAGCTGCACTTGGCTTCAGTTCTCTCAGTCGCCCAAAATGTTCAAACCCTCCGCTGGCAACTTTATCACCACGAACGCCTTAATCCGCCTATTACTCCTCACGACGACCCTCGTTCACGAAAGGTGGCTAATAGCAAACAGATATATCTTGATCTGATGGCCGATGCGATTTGTCTTGTTCGAGATTCGTTGACTGAGCTGACTATTTCAGCTACTGTCGACATTACATGTTACGATCTAGACACTCCTTGGATGGTACTTCGTGGCTCATCCCATGCATTACATAACATGTACAAGGTGAAGAAACTCCAAATCCCATTGGTATTTCTGGTGGGGACTGGTCCGGGAGGGATGGGCGGGATTGAAAAAGAATTTGCAACTCACTTGCAGGATGCGATGCCGAGGAATGTCGAGTTTGTCACTCTTACGTACGACTTACGAGATGCAGATGTCGGGTATTGGCAATGGAAGGATCACGAAGTCTTAGAATTGCTTGAAAGATGGTTGGAGGATTGGAGAGCCTGCACGCCGAAACTTCAAGGAATTTTTCTGCTGTTTGACTGGGAAAGTGAGGATGAGTGGTGCCCTAGAATGAGGGATCAGGCCAGAGAGCTAGGCGCTCGAACTGGTGTTACGCTTGAGGTTATTCCTCGAAATAGCGCTTGGGGTATTCTTAATCAGCGAATGCTCATATTGAATGATAGAAATGAGGATGCCAGTGGGGTACGTTGGCTGTACTAGTATAGTATGGTCTCTGAAGTCTTAGGCTTCTAATGCTGAGGTTTTAGTGGCCCTTTACTGAAGATTTGAATAAGCCCTAACTCATAACCTACCGGGGCCGTTGATATGTTCGATATACAAATCAACCTTGGAATTTCCTGCATAAAACCAAGGCATTTCTTCCAAGCTTTACGCCTTTGACTCGTGGTCCAGCTTTTGCGAAGGTCTACGCCAAGCGTCACTGCGCCTAGAGGCTCGGCGAGAAAGCAAAAGCATTTCGGCCCCGAAACCCTTACTAGGGGTTTGTACCAATTACTAGTATTGGGCTCGGTAGAAATTAATTCATAGATACATCTCTACTGGTTGAGTTGCAAGGTTAGCAAATCTCAATTGACCCCTAACCAACCTTGAACCGGACGATGTGATTCATGGCTCATTGGATCCCACAATTATATGAATTTATCCCAATTTTTAATCCTCCATGTTACACCACGATAGCAAGATATTAGCCTGGTATTATCATATCCCGAGCGCTTCATAGACTAATCTTGGAACCAAGGTTGAATATCTATGGTCAGACTTGGAGAACAAATTTTGACAGCTATCTTGGAAACATAAGGACCCTGATTAGACTGTCCTGATATGAGTATTACATCTGGGCACATGTCGAAGTTCCTTTCGTACGGAGTTTATTCCTGCATATCTATATACAAAGTTTCCATCGCACGTCACCGGGGAATACCTGATTCCCTCTGGCCTTGGAGTTTATAACGAATCTCGCAAATACACAATCATCATGAAGCATTAGAATCGACAGTTCCAAGCCGTCTATTTGGCAGTGGACCCCTGACGTTCTTCTGGGTGCTCAGCATGTTCAAAGTTTTGCTTCTGCAGGGTCGCTTCCACATCAGCTTGTCTCTGTATTTCATCGACAGTCCCAAACACAAGGTCCATCTCCTCCAGGGTCTTCCCCTTGGTCTCCTTCAGGAAGAAGGTGACGAAAATGCCCATGCCAGTGCAGAAGCATCCGAACATGATGAAAGTCTTCCAGCCGATGGAGTTGATGGCACGCGGTGTGATCTCGGTAATGACGAAGTTGAAGAGCCACTGGGTGGCAGCTCCGAGGCCGACACCATATGAGCGGAGGCGGGTGGGGAAGATCTATATAAGAATTAGTCAAGAATTCAGTGAAATATAGCGAACGGGCCGCATAGTAGGATACATACCTCGCCGAGATAAACCCAAGGAGTAGGGCCCCAAGAGAACGAGTAGCCGATAACATAAAGATAGATCATGGCAACCATGGCAATTGAGGGAGAGGAGACTGAAGTAGCACCTGTGACCGGGGGGTGAGTGGCCAGAACAGCGCCGATGATGAACATCATGACCGCCATCCAAGCGGCGCCACCCATCATACTATACTTTCTTCCCCAGCGGTCAATTCCAACCAAAAGGAAAATTGCTGTGGCAATGACCTTAACGGTTCCATAAATACCGGTCGCGAACAGCGATGTGTTTGTTGCGCTGATACCGATCGAGTTGAAGATCTGTGGGGCATAATAGCCGATGCTGTTTGTGCCAGAGAACTGCTGCCAGAACATCATAACAAATGCGATCATGAATCGGTATCGATTGCTCGGCTGCAGACATTCCTTCCAGGTCACGCCTTCAGTGGCAAGAGTCTCCTCATCAATCGCAGCACGAATCTCAGCCATCTCCCGTTGCACTTCCTCGCTGTCTTCGGTCTCATTGCGGATGTAGGCAAGAGACTTGAGTGCCTCCTCTTGTCGGCCTTGCTTCATCAGCCAGCGGGGAGATTCTTTAAGGAAGAACAGTCCGATCAGCATCAATCCACCGGGAATGAGCTGGATGGCAACGGGAATTCGCCATTGGCTAGTGCCTTCGGGGATGCGTAGAGCAACTCCGTAGTCGAGCCAGTAGGCGAAAGTACTACCAATGACCAAGAATTCCTGGAAAAGACCAGCAATCCGACCTCGCTGTTCAGGAGGGCAATTCTCGCTAACAAAGACAGGAGTAATACTAGACATTCCACCAATACCAAGACCGGCAATGACACGTCCTGCGTAGATTGTGCCAATCTGGTGGTGGGAGCCAACTTGGACTGCTGCACCAATCAAGAAGATCATAGAGAAGATCATGAGCGAGTAGCGACGGCCAATGCGATCGTTGATATATGCGGCAAAAATGGATCCGAAAAAGCAGCCTGCTGTCAACAGACTGACCACGTTTGAAGAAATCGAGGCGTTCTTTTCGTCAGCGAAACCGGACTTGCCGTCTGGTAAGCCGAAATCTTTCTTGAAGCTGCTCAGTGCGAGCACTGAGCCCATAACACCCGTGTCATATCCTAGAATAAAAATTAATCGTTAGGGGATATTTTTTTTTTCATAATTGGAAGGGTAAACACAAACCAAAAAGTAGGGAGCCCATATAGGCCACCGAGGTGAGGATGTACACCCGGTAGTTCTTCATAAAGCGAGGCTGCACCATAATGGCGGCTGTGTGAGAATTATCTCACTGGTAGTATGGGTGGGTGGATGAATGAATGGGTGAGACTGGGGGAATTTGTGGGGAGCAAGCTGGCGACCTAGCTCCTCATAAACTGGAAAAAAAAAAAGAAACCCATCTCGACCCCCTCTGGGGATGGTCTTATATATTCGGCACTGGTTCGCCCTCTGCAACGGTACTAGTACAGTAGTATCAGTGGGCCAGCCGATGACGGCTTCGGCTAATGCTAAGCATCGAAGAGATCTAGTGGCACTTTTGCCATGTTCAGACCTGCCAATATGCGTAGTGATCAAGGTTTTGGCTGGGGACGCCACGCCAAACTGGGGGGAATATGGGGCCGAATGGGGGAAATTGGGCGGGGAGAAGCCGCGGGGATAAGTCGTGGGGAAATCGCCGGTCTCTGGACTTCATTTTTCCGTCCAGTCAGGGCTGAAAGACGAACCTCTTGGCGACCCAGAATAGCTAGTGAGTGGCATGAGGTCCCCCAGGGCCGTCAACCTAATTGGCTTTTCTTCGGCGTGCATGGCACGGGCCATTCCACGCCTCTCGGCTGATCGGGTTCACAGTGTGCGCTTTGATTCATGGAATTCTGGGGAGGAATTTGTCCGTCGGCCCACTCGGTATGCTATCTTCTGCCATTAAAACCTGGGGATGTCGCTGTCTGGGCATCTCACTACTTCTGCATCCTTTCTTCGACAATTCATACTAGAAACTGATCGCAATTTGATGTTTGCTTCGCTTAGAGCGACTTCAAAGACGATCGTCTGCCGATATACCCACTAATGCTACCCTAACTTTTCAAATGCCGTAGTCGGCAAGAATGTCAATTGCCGACGTGGCTCAGGCTGTCGACAGGCAAAAGATGCAGTGCTATGGCGCTATGAATCTCTTATATTATATTGACAGATGAAATCGGTCGCTTCAAAACCCCTGTTGTCAGTACATGCGTTCTCATTGGAGATCGGGTAGCTGGCAATCCTGCCGAGCAATTGGCATCCACGATCTAAAGTCTAAATAAGCCATCCAGAAGCTCGGGGTCGGTGTGGGAGTGGGATATCTAAACTTTCGCATCTTGATCACGGCATTTAACACAAATTATGCTTCTGTCATACAGAAATGCAGGAACTTGAATATACATAGATTTAATTATGCTTGGACGAGTACCCTGGTCCTCCGAGTCCCACCTGTCAAGATAGCTCTCAACAGCCCACCCCCCTTGGAAGACCTTAATGGCTCCATCCATGGTATCAGCCACACAAAATAATTGCTTGGGCATGATCTATTGATCTTCCCAATCCCTTTGTTGCTGTATAATATAAATAAACGCCGCTGGAGGGGCGTTACTTTTGCTTCAAGTTCTGCTTTCTTTCCATTTTCATTCTCACAAAGTTGCTGAGATCACCATAGATGAACCTTGAACTTGAACCTATTAGTCAAGCCACAAATATCAGTTGATAAATCTCAACAGTAGTAATGTTGCAGCCAATAGTTCTAGACGAGAGCAATTATTTTGAATCTTCTTCAGCCTTAAACCTTCTTATTCTGTTTTCTTCTTTCTTTTTTTCTTTTTCTTGGAGTGAAAAATTGTTATAGCACCCTAGTTTGAAACTTCAACCATACTCACCATTGGAACTACCTCGGTGTGTGCCGTGACTTACTTGCAAATTCTCAAAGTCGAGGACAGGAAACGTGATTCGCCGTGTGTACGTGGGCTGAATTCTCTTCTTAGTCTGTCTCCACAATTATCTTGGCAGATATGAACCCACATTTCATCAACAAGCTCGCGTAGCTCAGTTGGTAGAGCGCGGCACTAGTAATGCCGAGGTCTTCAGTTCAAATCTGGACGTGAGCAGCTTGTTTTTTGAAATTTCATGGCTCTCGTCGTTTAGCTGCATTTTTTGGTCGCTTGCCTGTCTCGTGTTGAAGCGCGGACGACGGAACCCGCGTCTCGAGAACCCCGAAAGACTCAAACAAGGGGGAAGTGAGATCCAAGGACCAAAACCAAAAGCATGTCTTAACCGGCCCAACATTGGTTCTACCCTTCAAGGATTAGGGATTCGTTCTTGTAGATCCACAGTTTGAAATACTCACAGGGGTTAAAAATTACAAGCAAAGCCTGCCAGGAATTTTGAAAACGTGAACTCGTGATTGGAATTAAGAATATTATTATCTTCATACACACATGACCACCGATTCTCTCGACTGTCTGGACTCAGGAGCTTCATAGTGATTATTAGAGATATCATCATGACTAGCATAGTCGTCTGACGCGTCAATGATTCTCTTTCCGTCGATAGAGGAGTCTCTCCTTCTCGCCCGCGTATTATGCGATGAATTAGTTGCGTGTCGGGACCTCGAGCTGAGCTCATGAGTATTCCCACTACTTATTTTTCGGCTTTTGGATGAGCGGAACAGTGACCGAACGCAAGGGACTGAAGCTGTTATTATGACAAGGTAGGTTTCGATATACAACCACCGATCGTAATTGACGGTAGCAATGGTCGGGTCACTGTCAGACGTTCCGAGGACGTGGGTTTGGACTGTTTTTATGATAGCTGCGACCATGGCACTGTAACGATTATTAGTTAGCATGTGTTTCATGAATCAATGGAAATATTGTGACGAACAAGATGCCCATGCCCAGTAAAGCCACCAGGCCTAGCTTCACACGTAGTTTCAAGTTCAAGTACCAAAAAATGTATGTCGAAAAAACGGCAAGGTATAGGTCTGTCGAGGCATTGAAAGCTATTTCGCAGTCCCGTGGTTAGTACTGGCAATTCAATCATGTCTGGAGATATGCACGACTCACCTCCTTGGAAGTACCCATAGTATTCTTGGACATGAAGATTCCAGCATTTCGATTTGCCTGAATGATCCCAGATTGCGGACGCATGCCCAGGACATTGAACAAATATTATGATGATCACCATGCCATTGACGATCACCTGTAGAGCGGCCAGGACCCACAGAACGATTCGTTCCGACATCCTCTGAACCAGAAGCCCAACAATGAAGACAATGAAGGATATTCGTCCGAGTGTCCCACCCGCAAGACTGAATGTCTGCGAAAGGTAGTCGTACATAATTATCTTCGATACCTCCGAGTCATTATTGGACGCCGGCTGACCGAATCCATATTGTATAGCCAAGGTAAGCAGAATTGACCCAGTCAAGGCCAGACACTGGTGGTAAAGAAGAGTTAGGGTAAGTCACTAGGGAAATGTGAGAGCCGATTCTTCCACTCGGATCTCAATTGCGAGCAGGAGGTGTGAGCTGACCAATGCAAATGTCATGAGCAGATCATCCGTTCCGAATTTCCCGATCCTCAATTTCGCAATGATCCTCAAAATGACCATCAGAATAGCCACCGCCGTTAGGCCCCAAACATCTCTCAGTAACTGGGGCCCATAATCATTCGAGGAATTTCGGCGTGACAGAGGCATCATGATTCCGCATTAGAGCATGACAACCCGCCAAGCCAACAAACAGCCCATCAATTAAATGATTATATGCTGAAAGTCATATCAGTTCGTTATCATCAAGGATGAGACGAAATCTCGACCATCGGAGATCTCCATGTTCTCCTTATATTCAAAACCCTGACTGACTAACAATGCCTTGGGTCTAGAATAGGGTTTTTCGGAGGTCTCCGCATTTTGCCTCTTACGCCTAGTCCATGCGATAAGAGACCACATCCGGCAGTCTTCGGGTCACGAGACATTCGTGAAAGCTTATTGTTACCAAGGATTGTGATAAAGTTTATAGTCTTGATTGGACTCATCTGGCCTCCAGGGGGTCATTGATATATCGGTTATCGCCTCGAGATACAGCGGTCGCACAGACCTATTTAACCCGCAAGCCATCGACAGATGCGATGAACAAGACAATGTCGTTCTACTATTTTGTATATCAAAATCTCTTGGTCTTTCAATTAATGCGAGTGAAGTTCAGCCACCTCCCGTCAACTTGACCTTTTGCGAGATACCTCCCGATTTCCTCTCTCTTTTGGAACCCATAATGATGACCAGCTATTTTGCTTCATATAAAAGGATATTTTCTTTCTTTCATTTCCCTCTCCATCTTCGTTTGATTTCCCCTCCCTCGAGGCGCAATGGCTCATTATGAGACCAATAAAACCACTAGCCGGTCGGTAGGCAGGTATGCTGAGTATTGAAATCTAGCTCACGCCACCCGCAACTTTTACCACAGTTGAATGGATATTCTGTAAGCCTCAAGCGAGCCATCCCTAGAGCTTGAGCAGGAACAAAGGCCAAATTCTAGGTCTGATCACCCAGAACCAAAATCAGGAAGGCGATGGCGAGACGGCCGGCCCGGTTGTTTCCGCTCGAGGCTAACGGCTCATGGGTTGAATCAGTATATCAAACTACTACTAGTATCACAGAAGCTCAATTTGAAGGTAAACATAGCTTGCCACTGAGTGATTTATATGTTCCAGCAGCTTGCCAGCCTTGGGTTCTTCAGTATTATTAGCTAGTCGATGAGACCCCAAAGTAGTGCAGAACAAAACCCATTTTAAGACAGAAATTCCAGCAAGTATTAAGTTATACGGTAGGGCCTCTCAGGGATAGTTTTAAGCCCGGGCCTATTTATTTATTCCGTAGTATCAGTGTGTTTGAAGGTTGAGGCTGGAAATGTTGAGGTTCCCGGCCCCGGCCCCAGCTTACTTTGGGGGCCATTTCCGTTGTGTAGATTGATTACTGATTTTCGCTCTGGGCTGACAAATTTCCATATTGCCTTGACGGACGAATTCTCGGGCAAATGCACGCATGACTCGCGTGTCCAATAGTTAGCACGATGCCAGGATAGTGCTATCCACTGTCAACAAACCAGCACTCAGCTCATCCAGGATAAAATCGAGTATAAATCAACCCATTCTGCGACCTCCTGGACGCATTCTGCTCATTAAAATTGCTCTAAACAATGTCTATCGCAAAACTTTGTAGCATACGTTCGCAGTGGTTCCCGCCGACTCCCAGTTCCACAGAAGAGGATTTGTCCTCACAGGAGGGCAAAGTGTTCATCGTGACTGGTGGAAACGCCGGTGTTGGATATGAGCTCTGCAAGATTTTGTATGCAACTGGTGCGTTAATATACATGGCATCACGATCAAAAGTAATTATTCTTTGCTTCAAGGTAGCAGTTGTTCCCTTGGGTCGCGCCAAGCTAACTATCGGCAAAGGAAAAAGCCGAATCTGCGATTGAATCGATAGTTTCTCTCACGCCAGCTCCTAACACTTCCGGGAAACTCAAGTTCCTTCACCTCGATCTGAATGACCTTGAGTCTGTGAAACAAGCGGCCAACAGCTTTTCTAAAGAAGAATCAAAACTCGATATTCTCTGGAATAATGCGGGGACTGGGGCCAATATGGTTGAGCCTGGGGCCAAAACCGCCCAAGGCCTCGACGCTATGATTGGGATGCACTGCGTAGCAACACTACTCTTTACGGAGCTTCTCGTGTCGCAGCTTCAAGCATCTACAAGATCCGAAAATCCAGGATCAACTCGGGTGGTTTGGACATCCAGCTATCTAGCCGAGGGCGCCTCACCCATTAACGGGATTTCGTTCGAACATCTTCAAAATGGTATCTCCGACCGTACCACCAACTACGCCGCATCGAAAGCAGGAACGTGGATTCTGGGCCGTGAATTTGCGAACAGACACGGGAACAAAGGAATTCTGAGTGTCATCCAAAATCCCGGAAATCTGAAGGCGGGCTCATATGCAGGTACGCCTGCGCTTGCCATGTGGCTCATCAATCCTTTGCTCCATCCGCCTAAATTCGGGGCTTATACCCAACTATATGCTGGCCTATCCCCCGAAGTCTCTTTGGATCACAACGGTGCATACGTCATTCCTTGGGGAAGAATTCGACCCGATAACGATTGCCCCCGACAAGATATCATAAAAGCCATGACATCGACTGAACAGGGAGGATTAGGCTATGGCAAACTGTTTTGGGATTGGTGTGAGGAGCAATGCAAACTATTTATCTTATAGACTCTGTTTGTCAGTGGAAAATACGAGTCGGTTATCAAGCAGACAGAGCGGGCTGGAATCTCAAAAGGTAATGTGAATTTAGCTAAGCTTATATTGTGAGGAGTAGGACTGGAATGTCTGTTTATCTGGAAAGACCCCTACCGGCCCAGGCCATGTGCCATCTCTGAAATCTGGGGAATTCGCGGAGTGAATGCGAGCAAGTCCATGCGCGGGGTCTTCAACTCCAATCAAAATGCGAATATTTGGCCGATCGCGGGTTGAGAATCCACAATCCCATTTCGAGGGGTCACAACCGCGCGTAAGCCACCCGTTTCAAGCATCCCGCCAAAGTTACATCATGGTGAAGGCCTCACTCTAAACCCGATTGGGAGGTTCAGAAATATCGGGGATGAAGTGGAACCACAACCTGCAGAACTTATAAGGATGTAAGATATCCCCAGATTATTGTTCCTGTTTAAATCTTCCACCTTGCCAACGTCTTCACTCCTCCCAGCTTTACAATATGCGATCTACCTTCTTTTCCCCGCGCGGAATGCTGCTTGGAGCAGTCAGCCTCCTTGCTGCCGCAACTGATTGCTCCGCCATGGGAACTGCGAACAGTCTCCTACTCACCCAAATTGCCGAGACAGTCCAACTTCCCATGTTCACCTGGTCCGCCAATGGAACCCACACTGCCAAGGGATTTACCACCAAAGAAGCGAATGTCGCCAGTGTCGAGGGTTTGAAGGAGGACTGCGACAATATCAATCTGAACAAGAAGCTTTCGGTTGACTTCCGCAGCGATGTCTTCGGCGAGGGCCTCATTGGATTCTTCTACAAGTGCGAGCCGATCAGCCATGATACCAATCTGTACTGGTTCACCATTAGCTCGGGCAACCGTACTCAAATCGACAGACTCTGCAGCCAGAAGTCGAGCTATCCCATTGTACACGACTCGCAACACAACACCTGGTTTATCGACGAGCCGTTCGACTGCACTCAGCGTACTTCTCCCTCAAATGTATTTTAGTTGTCTCAGGCTGCCTCTCGATGTTTCGAAGGAACTCGCGCCGAATGAAGTGTTAAATGACGATTATCCGAGTACACGATATTTTCTCCACCTTTTCGATACTGTAATAGAGGCCAGGTTGTAAGGAACAAGTATATTGGATTCTAAGGATAAACAACCTTAAATAAATACTTCTTTGTTCTTAAAGTTTCTTTAAGAAACAGTCTCTATCTATTATTATCGTTGATTATTATAATTTAATTAATTCCAGAAAACCGTTGCAGAATTCCAGGGTACAAGCAAAAACAATCCTTGAAAAATTGAATTTGTTGAAACGATCTTTTCAATATTTTCGAGATTCAGTTTTCAAGCATGTTGATAAACCGATCGAAAATAGTTACCCTTACCACGTTTCCTAAAGCAACTCATGATATATGAGAGGGAAAAGCGATCGTTTTTCCCAACCTTCAGAGCGAGTTCATTCAATTTTTTGTGTACTGGAGAGTAAAGTGTAGAGCGATACTATGGCCAGTCGAGTGTCATTGGAAATACGAAGTCTAGAATTTGCTTGCGCTCTTGAATTGGGAGCCAGCAAATAGGCATTTTCCACCATCTGCCAAAATTTCAGCTTCGATGTCCATAAGCCTATTATATTTAACAACTCGTTCCCGCGACAAGGCGCGCCGGACTTAAGATGGCCCGTTCGCAATCCTACCGCCAGATCTGCAATAAAGTCATCAGTCATTTCGCCAGAGCGATGAGAAACAAATACCCCCCAGTCGTAGCTGTAAGCAAGGTTCGCTCTGTCGACAGTTAAAATTACAGTGGTTCTATACCGCCAATTTTTCAAAGGAAAAAAAAAAAAAAAAAAAAACTCACCCTTCAATTGCTTCTGAAATAGTCCCAATCTGGTTTATTTTCAACAGCATAGCATTGCAGGCGTCTTTGTATCTTGCCATTTGTACATATACCGGATTGGTGACGAGTAGATCATCACCAACCAGTTCAACTGGACATGCCTTGTTGAATTCCGTCCAACTGTCCCAGTCATTCTGGGCAAAAGGGTCCTCAAGTAGAACGACAGGGTACTCTTCCAGCAAAGATTGATACAAGCCCATCATCTCCTTGGCTGTTTTCAATTTCGTAGCACCTTTAAATCCGATGTCGTATTTGCTCTCTCGGAAGAACTCACTGGACGCAGGGTCAATGGCAAACTTGATCTTGCCGCTGAGTCCGGCGTTCGACACAGCCTGTACTAAGAGGTCTAATGCCTCGTGAGGCTCCGAAATTGGGGGAGCGAAGCCTCCTTCATCTCCAATCCCAATGGCTTGGTTTTTGAATGTTAGCTTTTGTGCTTGCGAATTTCTCAAATACTTTGAGACCGGCTAACCAGAAGATCCAAACTTCTCAATAATGACCTTTTTCAGGTGCTGATAAACTTCACTGCCCATTTTTACGGCTTCTGTAATTGAAGATGCACCGACCGGGGCAATCATGGTTTCCTGAAATGCCATTTTGTTTCCTGAATGTACCCCACCATTGAGAACATTGAAGAATGGAACCGGCATGACAAATGGATAATTTGCTCCGGCCTCACGTCTAAGAAATTCGTACAAAGGGATCCCCTAGAAAGGTTGAGATAGGATGATGCTCAGCCATGGACTGTTGAACTCGAAACTTCCACTTACCGAATGTGCTGCACCCGCTCTAGCACATGCCATACTCACGCCCAGAATACCATTTGCCCCAAGCCTTTCTTTGTTTTTCGTCCCGTCCAGTTCTTTAAGAAACTGATCAATCTTCTTCTGATCGGTATCCACCCTGAAGTTGCTCTCAAGCAGGCTGGGACCGATGACGTTTTGGATGTTTAAAACAGCCCCCTGCACGCCTCGACCGCCATAGGCAGACTCATCTCCATCTCTCAGTTCGACGGCTTCATTAATACCCGTCGAGGCACCAGAAGGAACTATTGCGCGAAAAGTTCCTGTTTTTGTGTGAGGCAAGTATATTTGTGACAGATAGCTTAGGGGCTTCTCACCTTTCTCGGTTGTGAGCTCAACTTGAACAGTTGGACATCCTCTCGAATCAAGCCTTTGAGCGGCGTGAATAGATCTAATCATTGTAGAGTGATGTGTCGTTTAATGAGTAGGAGAAAATTCGAAAAAACCGTGCGCTCAATGTTCGATTGATACAGATACACTAAAATAAACCAGGCTATGACAAGTCATTAAAAATGACGTATCAAGCTGTATATGATCAAGTAACCACTTAAAAAACATCCAAGAATTCATGATGTCAGTTGGTCCAATTCCGGATTGGACGGAAGGTTAACTCAGAACACCTGGAGGGAGTAGAGGTTTCCACAATCGCAAATCTCTTAGCGCTCCTATACAGGCCCATTACATGTGAATGTTCTTATATGCAATTTCAAAGGTTATTACCGGATATTCTGAATTTGTCTGACTCAGTGCGGGAAACAAATGCATGGTGGTTACGTAAATCATTTTAGACCTAGCATACATCCGAGAGTGATGTCGGAAAAGCCGGATAGTACGTGTTGAAACGGAATGAAAATCCCATTTACCGAATACGGTTGTATACTTAAAGGACCTGGGTAAAGCGGGAGCGGCGTCTAAAAGTGTATTTAATTCCGGGTTTTCCGGTATTGCCGTGGATCCAGTCCCTGGAGCGGAAGTTGCTTTTTAGCACCCCCTTATCACTGTTGTGTGTGGTTAGGATACAAACGTCAATTGAGGCCTTGTGTGGTAACATCCACAATTATTTGGACACTTCAGCAGGAATTTCGGACCAATGGAAATAAAATTGACTGCAAACGTCGGTCGCAAGGAGCTCAATAACGTGAAGACAAGCTTAAATCGCCCGCCGCCGTATCTTAAATATGTGCTGCTTGTGTTTATTCATTGAAAACTATGAAATATCAGGCAGAGAACGAAAATTAAGACGCCAATTAAGCATCTAAATAAGTATGGCAGAAGACCAAGGCATATTGCCACAGAACGATACCAGTGGTAAAGAAAACCAAGCTTAGAGAAATGGAGCACGACAGAGTGAGCATGTCGCTGCTGCCGCACGAGAGGGTGCCATGATATCGCAGGTGCTTCATCCTCAATACATGAAGTTAGCCAATCCTGGTCCGCTGGGACTTCTTTCCTTCACGATCGCAACGTTTGTTGTATGACTGTATGAGTGCGGTGCAGGGTAGGCCAAGACTACATTCTATGATTATCACTTGCGATGAGTTAACCCACATCAATTTTAGTCTTCCGGACGAGAACCCCGAAGAAAATGCGGGTCCTACGCAAGCCGCATTTGGCCTCATTACCTTCATTGGTAGAACTGCGCAGTTCATCGCCGGCATCATGGAATTTCGAGTCGGTAACACGTTTGAACGACGGTTCACTGTTCCTACGGCACTTTTTGGCTCAGTTTTGCTATGTGTTTGCTCCCGTACCTGGGCATCCAGTCGAAATATGGCGGGGAGAAGACTCGAGCATACACATTCGCCGTTGGTATCTACTTGATATTGTGGTGCTTCTTGACCTTGCTGTTTCTGCTAGCCGCGCTCCGAACTAACTTAGCGATTTTTTCGGGTTTTTCTTTCTCGTTCTGGCCTACCTTCTCCTCAGCATCGCCAGCTTCATTGTCACCGAGCATCCAACTTCTAGTGTACGTATTAACAAGGCAGGTGTGGCGTTCGCTGTTATATGTGCCTTTTGCGCTTTCTATGCTGGGGCTTCAGGTCTGATGCAACCTGCAACCACATGGATTCGCTTTCCGCTCGGTGAAATACCTAATGCGGGAAATAATGCTTAGGAATAAATCCAATGTCGGGATTCGGAGAGCACGAGGATTCAGGAAAACAATTAGAAAAAGCATGTGAAATAAATTCATGAAATCCATTGCACAGGCCCACTGCAAGCCAAGACCTCTTTTCTTTGTCGACGTAGGTCATTAGGAGGATGCATTATGCGGGTCACCAGAGTCCGTAAGAATATAAGATATGTGAAGTTTTGATACTCCTCCAAATCCGAAAATTTGACATCAGACTGGACTTTGTCACGTCGCCCTTCAATGTTCCAAGCGGTTAGCTTCGAGGAATTTCGCTCCGCTCTACCCGGCTTACCCAGCTCGAGTCCATATCTATCCCTATAATGTCATCATAACCAACAACGCTTTTAACTTCTATTCTAACGAAACGAAAACATCGCAGACTTTATTTCTTTGCGCGAGTGCACTTTCTGTTACAGACCGCTAAATGACTTCAACTTGTGACGAGAGCAACGCCATTAAAATTTCCGAAAATGGCGAAGACTCCTTATTCTTTGAGAGCGGTGGCCGCAGGATCTCTCCGTGGCAAGATATCCCCTTGTTCGTCAATCCGGATTCTGATGTGGTGAACATGATCGTCGAGATCCCCCGTCAAAGCAAAGTAAAGATGGAGGTATTTGATCAAAGATCTGCCATTTCCCGGGACGCCATGCTGAGTCGTTCGTGTCTAGATATCTAAAGAAACTTATTACAATCCGATCAAACCGGATTCTGTTAAGGGACAATCAAGGCAACTATCAGATATTGCTCCCTTTCGCGGATACCCTTGCAATTATGGAGCTATCTCGCAAGTAAGCCAAGCGTCTCGCCCATTTAGCGTATGCAGCACCGGTGGCTAAGACACAGATAGACGTGGGAAAGTCCAAATGAGATTGATGATCAGACGGGCATTAGTGGGGATGACGATCCCTTGGATGTTTGTGAGATTGGAAACGTTGTTGCTTTTTGTGGCCAAATCAGAAAGGTCAAGCCTCTGGGCGCTTTCGTTGTGCTCGACGAAGGACAAACGGATTGGAAGATTGTCGCCATTGGAATTGATGATCCCCTTGCAACCAAGCTATCCGATATCGACGACGTGGAAAGGTTTTTACCAGGGTTTCTGCAGGCCTTAAAAGGCTGGCACTGTCGATACAAAGTCCCAGAGGGTAAAGACGAGAACACAGTCGCACTGGGAGGGAGGCTGATGAACAAGCAGTGAGTGACACGCCACGAATTATCTAAACAAAGGGTCTGACTCCCAAATTTAGGTTTTCAATGGCTTTAATAGATCACTGCCACTCAACATGGGTTCCTCGAAAGAATTAACCCATTGAATGACGTGCTGATTCTAGAATATCAAATCGAGTCTAGAAGAGCTTCGCTGCCAGTCATTGAACAGTATTTTCAACCTTCAACGCCAAGTTTCAAGTTTTGGGCTAGTTGAAGACTGACAGGCACAATTGAAGTATTAAATCTAAACAACTCTTTCTGGGTGGTTCTGCTGGAACGTGACGAGTGTTATTTGTATTTCTTCACGATGGTTACAGCAATGAGATGAGACGGAGGCTTAGTTTAGATGTAATGAACCCAAGGATATCAAACAACACTGAGAGGCTCAATCAATCAGACATGTTCCGCTTGAGAGATAAAACTTTTATCAAGGTGATCAAGGGCACGACACCCAGTTTTTCAGTCTACACATTCGGGACAATTACATAATTCTCCCCAGCATTATTCCCAGAATTCTTCATCTAGTACCTGGTAGGACGCGCAGATCTGCAATCTACCATCGGTGCCCAGGGTGGACTTTTCGCGTCGATCATAAAACTGAAGAGGTCATGGACTATTGTATGACTCCGAAGGAGCGATTGGCAATGCTCCGCAGCAACATCGGACACGGTTTTCCAACCGCCAAAGGTAAAACGGACGCTGACTCTTTTTTGAAAAGCGAGATTGAGAACCGCAATGGTTCCTTTGATCTTGCAACCAGACTGTAACGACTCCAGATTCTGGAGTCGGACGGGTTGCCATGGGATGGCAGGCTCGGGGCTGCATTCAAGGTGCAAATTCGTTCGTCGCGATTAAGCTGAAATGTGTTGTAACCTCTTAAGTTCAGCATTCACTGCGACATTGGTACCTGAACACAACTTGGATTTCGAAGATGATGGAGCATCAGCTAATGAGAATACGCGTGTCTGCTCTGGCTGGTCGTGAAAGTGCACTTTCTTCGAAGAATCAGCATTCTGGTCGGCCGGGTGCTGCGATTGATCCGGTTTGACTCGCAAAGACGATCTGCGACGCGGAGAGGTCGGGGCAGCCGCTGAGGCGGGAGCAGGCCCAAATAGTGGGGATGATATTTTGACAGGCGAGTGATCGCCCCAGTGAAAGGATGCACTGTTATTCGATTCGGTCTTGCAGCCTATTACCCCTGCAGGTTTGGGCCGCTTGGGGGCACAATGGCTGCCATTGGGTGCGTAAAAAGCATCGAGGGCCTTTTGGTTATCCTGATTCAAGTATTTGGGGACCACATGCACAGCACCAGATCATCCCTTTTTTTTTTCTTATATGAGAGGCTGGCTACAAACTGGATATCTCTCACTCGTATTCTAGCTTCATCTTGCCGGACCGATCGTTCCGCTTCGAGCAAATGAAGTTTGAGTTTAACAATAATGAAAGCCAATGAAGTACGTGCAGCCACTGAGTAAACCCCGTGAAGGGTTATGAAGTTATGATTGCACCTGTTTGACGGCGATGAGTTAGCTATGGTGCCGCCTTTCATTACCGGCCCGCCCGTTCCGTCCAAACGCAAAATTCAAGTCTCGATTGATGGTGACTTCATGACTGGAAAAGGAGTTCATTCAAGCTAGAGATAGAATAATGAAGGGTCTCCTGGAGCTGACACTGCAAACATGAACTGAATCTTATTTGAGCGTCTCACATTTTCAAAACTATACGATTCAGTATGGGTCCCTTCAGAGAAAAGATCCGGCAAAGAAATGGTGCTTCTGGCGGGTATAGGTCGCGATGGTCTTTGCCAAACATCAAGTTCCGTCGCGACTACCGCAGCCAACTGCCTGAAGTAATATCACGTTTCACTGGGTATCGTGCTCCAGAAGCCAGCCCGCCGTATTCCCCTCTTCCGTTCCCCCCCTTCTCGTGGCTCACTAAAATTCCGCTGAAGTATGAAACTTGGCTGTTCGCTTGGATCGGCGCATTCGGGGGAATCCTCTTGATCGAAGCCATCATGTCCACCAGTACGGCATTTCGGGACATATACCACACCCCGACCATCATCACGTCTTTCGGTGCCTCCGCTGTACTGCTCTTCGGAGTAGTAGAATCCCCGGTAGCTCAGCCACGGAACTTTGTCTTTGGGCATTTTCTCTCTGCCCTGGTTGGAACGTGCATCACGCGCTTGTTCGTGTTGAATAGGCAATACCAAGGGTACCTAGACAATACGCATTTCCATCCCTCTACCTTCATCAATGGAGGTGTTTCGATGGCGACATCGTTACTGTTGATGCTGATGACTGGAACTGCTCATCCTCCGTATGTGCAAACAGATTTCTTTCAATTACGTATGATAGCAATATTGAGATATCAGGCAATTCTCTGCAGCATTGCTTTAAGCCCATTCGCAAACACCGAGTGCTAATGAAAGATTGTTAGAGCCGGAGCAACAGGCCTTAATGCAGCAGTCCAGTCGGATGTAGTGTCCCTCTCCTGGCACTACCTCCCTACCATCATCGCATCGTCTTTGATCATGCTGGGATGGGCTGTCATTATCAATAACCTTGGGAGACGTCGTTACCCATTGCACTGGTGGGCGCCGGGCTCGACTTTTGTTCGCGATCCAGTGGAAGAGCACGATGAAACTCTTCAAAACGTTGAGGAGGGTGAGATCCAAAGAGAGGAGACAGAGGAGGGAAATCTGGCCCTTGAAAATGACAATACCAGTTCTAGACTTGAGATGTCTGCACCTGACCCAAACGCAGACACGGCAAGCAAGTAAAGCGGCCTTCGCTGCTCTCTTTTTCAAAGATGTGATTCTTTGCAAGTAGGTAAAAACATTCCGCGAGATATTTATTCAATGTGGCTCTCTTTCAATTCGGGTACGGAGACAGTCTTTTCTTTGGGATATGTACTATTTCTTTGCGACAGACAATGCCTGGCGGTATGAAGACAAAATTGATTCGAAAATGAACAACAAGTAGAAAACCCTTGACGAAAATGATTAAGCCATGAGTGAAATACACAGTGTTTCAATCAGCTTCGCGGCCTTCAAATTTCCATTTGTTTTCATTAAATATGCCTGCCTGAGGGGAGAACGCCAGTTGATTTTACCGCACACCGCACTTACATCAAATTTATTTTCGACCTGATTTCTGCAAAGATCTCTAAATCGCAGTGCCACTTTGAGCCAGAGCCAAAGCCGTGGAACTTCAGTATCCAAGACCATCATATATGCCCTTACGGCTACAGGTCTCGAAACTTCGTGCGATTTCATTACCCCTAGAGCGCTTCAAACGTGTGAGATCATTTGATTAGATGATCCCCACGTATAATGTGCATATCCTTGTGACATTTAATCAATAACGGGCTCAGCTGCTTGAACAGACTCAACCAATGATTACTTGGATAAGGTACAGTTCACCAAATTTCTTTAGTCTACAATTATTTTCCTGGCGATCCATAATCTCACTTTTCTCAAAAGGGTCAGCACGGAAGGCCCATAATTGAGAGATTGATCTGTTTCTAGAATATAGATCAGCCGTGGCCGCCTGAAGTAGTAGAATGTGCGACGACAGTAAGGACAACTGGCATCTTGGGATCGAATCCAATGGTCGATACAAGGTAAGTGGAAAGTATGACCACATGGGAGCTGGCGATATGAGGATTCGATGTCAAGCGTGTTCCAGCATAAAGTACAGCTATCTGGAAGAGAGCCCGGGACTACCTCGCACAAGCAAACAAGGGGTGTTAGTGGGATTCTTAATACAATCCTAGAAAACTTACTAGTCGTGCAATCTTGAATTCCAAAATAGCATGGCATATGAGCGTACACGAGTTCCTCCGCCGTCAATCCTCCCCGTTCTGTGGGGGATGGCATATGGATGTAGTAGCCAGCCATGATAAGTGATCTAGGCATTTTTCCTCCAATCCAAATGAAGTCAAGTCACAGTTCTTCCCTTAGCTCTTATAATTAACTGTCGCTTCCGCGCTTACCGTCCTACCCGTCGTGAGTGAAAGAGAAGGGGTGGCCGCTCCTCTGTAACACAAACGATACCATCCTATGATAAAATCAAGTTCACACCAGAAGAAACCGGCAACCCGTCAAATAATACTAGCTACTTCAATGCTGTGCTATGAAAATTCTATTGCGGCCTTCTCGTATCGCTTGCTTGATGGTTCTGCTCCCCATGTCAGCTGATTTTTAGCCGTGCGGGGGGTCGTCATTCATTGAGAGTTAAATGGCTGAGCAATGACCTCCATGAAAGTTTTCAAACCATTCAATATATCTAGTGGCATGACTGCCCCATATTCCATATTATTGATCCACCAAACATTCATCATTTTCATATCGAGCTCCTGAAGCACTCTGCATCACCCCCAACCCACCATGCGAACTGCCTACTCTGCCAAATATGAGGTGGACTTGGCGCAGATGCCTCTCGTTGAAAATATCTTAACATTACTTCCCGGTGCGTGAGCAGCCGAGAGAGAGATGCGTCCCTGTGAATAATTGATATTGACTTACATAAAAGAAGGCCGGTATTCAGCGCCAGATGTTTGTATCATATGCTTAGAGGAGTTGCAACCGGGCTTTCCCTTGAGGCAACTGCCATGCGAACATCTTTTTCACCAGCCTTGTATAGATGATTGGATTTGTGGCAGAGACACAAGATGTCCACTCTGCAGCGAGAAGTTTGACTATCTTCGTCGGCCACGGGAAGGCAGCACTGCTCCGAGTGATCGGCCAGTTTACGAGAGAATGGGCGAACGACGTGGGAGCGACGCCACGCGAGGTAAATTCAAAATCTTGAAGGCTTGGTGTAAGAACAGAAGAAATGGCTAAACAGAAGCCTCTCCTGTGACTCCCAAACAGCAGTAACAAGCGTGGAGTCGCTGATTCGGTACACCTCCTTGAATGATTGTATGAGAGTGATGACCAGTTTTATTTACATGCCTTTTCCTGAGAAAACCTGCACTCCTTTCAGACAAATTTACTGTAAGAATTCAGATTGAGAGGAAACAAACAAGCTAGGCCAGATATTCGTTTGCATGATTAGTTCTAAATTGACACGTATTGAGTTGTTCGGATAAGCGTCATAATGATCAGTGATATCGGGAGTTACGGCGGGTTGTCATCGCTCTTGACTTCAGAGTCGGTCCGCGCGGGCCGGTTACCAGACCGTGCTGACGTCATCCAAGATGGACGGGTAAATGACGGCTACCGATGTTAACGTGAAAAGTCCGAGTGCTCCACCGGTTCGCTTTATGGGTTATATACACTAAGCGAGAGATTCATACAAGATACACAGATATCTCCATATAGAGACGTGATGACTACCACTGTCGCAAGAAATTTTCAAAGCCTGGCTTCGAAATGTTATTTTCCACCGGCCGCAATGAGTGGTGGTCGGAGAAAAAGGCTCTGCTTTACCAAATTGATACAAACTGCGTTGGGGTCTAAAAGTGTGTTTAGACTAACGAATAAGTCGACAATACCCCCATAGATTTTTATTTGCATTCATGTCTCAGTGTTTGCCTACTTGAGATTTCTGGTATTGATGGTGATGTTTGGTGCCCTGAAAAAATCAACTGCGGCCCTTCAGAACATCCGTTCGTGCCAAGATGACGGTTTCTTGCATATTAGCATTGCTTTTTTGTGCTGATGAAACCTCACGATTATTTGCTAGAGCTCATACTTTGTAACTCTTCGGTGGTAGACGACCAATTCCTTTCCCTCTTCGTATTCATACATTAAGCATGATAGATTTTTTTCTTGGTAAATCCACTTGCTAATTGAGCTTCATCGTACTGAAAGACAGTAGACTTATCTAAAGTGAGAGGCTTGTATTAAATGAGCCGCAACGGGCAAAGTTGCCGCTTTCGCAGTATTGCTCGGCTCGTAGTTCATGATGCAAATATACCCGTACGGACGTCGTATTCTCTGTCATATCCTCCACTGCATTGTTTTGTGCTTCGTTTGCCGCAAACAAAAGCTTAGCAGGCACAGCTAGGCCTTCGCTCATCAGGGCTGTGGGTCTTCGCCCGGTAATAGCGGAAGATCAAGAGACCAAATTTGGCTCGAACACTCGATACACAAGGTCAAAAGGAGTGTAAAGTCCCTTTTACCCACTATATATTAAAACCATCAACAATAATCACCCACTTTGGCTGTGCCCAACGCCGCTGCCCCTGACCAAGAACAGGGCTAGGCTTATCAGTCGGCATACAGGTTCATGCTGCGCAAATTAGCACTGTCTGTGCAATCCAGCCGATCCGCGAGGACACGCACACACCGGAATAATATCTCGTCTAGCTTGAACCTTCGTCCGGAATTCATAGAGTTTAGCAGTCTAACATCGCGTACCCTGGCTGAGCTACAGCAGCGTCGGCAAGAAAACTTCCCGAACGGCCGGATGCGTCTAGATTCCTGGTAAGCAACCTCTCATAAACTGAGTCTATGCATAAAAGATTCATGGCCTGATTTCAGTTCTGTATGCCTGGAGGATGTCTGGCCTCACGATGTCGTATACGATCTGGACTGTTCGCATATTTTCCGCAAAGGCTGTTTGGAAATGTGGCATTTAACCTTTCAATTCACATGCCCACTCTGCCATCGTCTTGTGGAACATCGCAATACTGAAGCCGATTGGGTATAACAAAATATATCTGGCGGCGAGCGCTACTCACTGGGCCTCTTCAAAAAATGGTCTCCTGTAAATCAGGTATCAACGAATCATTTCATGGTATTAAATCTCGAAAACCATAGTTCAGCAGTGACCGCCATCAGTTGCCGTTTGGTCTGAAAATTTATGATTAACGAATGATCTGTTAAACCCTAACTCTAAACTTACCAATGGAAATACAAATACCTTCGTCTAGTCACATAGTGAAGACAGATAGAGACAATAACAGTCTAATAATGCACACGGTCGATGGTGGCGAACAACACTACTTCACCTGCAATTTCTAGACGAGCGATGCGTAGGACCTCCGGAGAGGAAGCGATCATGGCGAAACTGGAAACCGACAAAGAGCTGCATAATTTATAGCCTCATATTGCGATATGATGCTGGTGCAGATCAAGGACAACGCCGCACCATCGGAAATAATTCCCAAAGTACCTATACGAAGAACCAAGTTGAATGGAAATCCACTTGATTCTCCCAACCTTGGAACACAATATACATAATCATATTTTTGAAAACTCTTCATATATATATATACATATCGAAAGATGGAAATTGCTTGCCGGTTATCTGCGTGAGCAGATGGGTCGATCACAAAGGCACAAAACACCCACATACGTAGCGTGCACGTATCGTGTACGTTGTAGTAGACGATCTTACTGGGATCCAGGCAATCGGAGATTGTTACTATACGCGAGCGAGCCTACCGAGGCCGCAGGAAAGAGAGGATTCCGTAAGACGCAAAGAGTGTGTGTTCCTCCGTGCCCTCAGTTATCAACTACTACAAGGGGGCTTATATGCTACCAATGCTTACGCAGCTACGGCGTAAACGCCCGCTACGTCATCTGATATCGTGTTGAGACGATACCCCCATTACAATATTCTTTGCTTTGTTTCATCAAGGCCAGCAAACCTTGTTCAATGAATCTCACAATGAGACAAGATTTGGCAGAAATTGTGTTTAAGCAAGTGAGAGGTATTGACTTTAGAATTACTCTGGGGCCTAATACACTCACAGGCTATATCATCCAAAAGATTTGATATTCATAGTTTCTCTCTTGTAAATTTGCGCTTTCTGCGTTCATGGCCTCTCAAACGCCGGGAGCAGTCTAAGGGTACCCCAAATAATGTATTACTTGTGATGTGTATTCATTAGCGTATGGCCAAGGCGGCCAATAGCTGAGCTTTCCGTCTCAACCGCTAGCCCTCTCCCACTTTGAACCTGTTCGACAAGTTCGTGACCGTGACCGACTGGCGTACTTTTTTCAATCATAGCCTGCCCGTCCATAGATAAATGTCATATGCATCTGAGCCAGCTTGAGCTGTCCAGAAATCGAACTTTGGGAAGTTTGCTCGAACAAGTCTTTAAAAAGAACAACCAATGGATGCCAACCACGTAACCCGCGTCAACCCTTTTGTGGTCAGCGACCATCAGGTCGACCTCCACATCAACCTAAAAGGCTCGCATTGGTACTGGGCATTTACCTCGACTACGGGATTCACGCTGCTTGCAATTCTAACGCTGGGCTTGCGGAAGCCTGCAAACAGCCGCATATTCTTTTATATCCTCTCTGCCATGACGTTTGTGGCCATGGTTGAGTATTACAGTATGGCATCAAATCTTAGGTGGATCCCTATCGATGTCCAATGGCAACGGAGCAGCCTCGTTCTCTGGCATCCAAGGTCAAGTTTGGTGGGTCCGGTATGGTGGCTGGTGAGAACGCTTCTCTTTACTTTTCACTTCATTTTTCCCTCGTTTTCCTTCATCTATATATTTTTGGATCCCCTTCTTCGATAAATTATGGTGGCGTTTAAACTATCCGACTCGGATGCAAAGGCTAACAGCGTAAACTAGGTTTTTAATTTGGCCATTGCTCTCAATGACACTTCTTTTATCATGTGCTGCTCCAACCGTTCATGTTTTGTGGGCATGTTTTCTTAGTTGTATCATGGCTGTGATGGCTTTCGCAGGAGCTTTAGTGCACACTGATTATAAATGGGGTAATTACTGATCGGCCTCCTTTCTTTTCAGTTGATCGCTAATATTATCCTAGGTTACTATGGCTTTTGGATCTTCGCATGGTTGGTGCTAGGATACTCTCTCGTTTATGCTCCTCGGCCATATGCACGGGTACTTGGTCGACGAACTCAGCGGGCGCACATCGTTTCTAGCAGCTGGGTCTGCTTTCTCTGGATGCTGTATCCTGTCTGCTGGGGTATCAGCGAAGGGAGTAACTTAATTAGCCCGGAGTCAGAATCCATCTTCTACGGCCTTTTGGACTGCTGTCTGATTCCGATCACCTGTATGGCATTCCTGGCCCTCCACTGGAGTATCGATCCCGTCACCCTAGGACTCGAGATACGGGGTTTTGAGGACCCCATTAGGGCTAACCAAATGCCTGTTTTTGCGAGTGGAGCGTTGCAGGTGGATAATAGCGGGACATTCTCACACTTAACCCATCACTCCGGGCATCGCTACGGCGTAGAGCCTGACAGTACAGGAAATATGCCATTGATTGTATTCTAGCTGCTGAAAGGGCAATGGAAGTTATGCGCGACTCCGAACCGAAACAAATCGTTTTCTACGACATATACAATTTTTTGCTGAACGTGGAAACCTATTAATCTGTTCAAAATAGTTTCAGATTCATGTGTTGAATTCGTCACCCGCAGAATGACCCAAGAAGAAATAAAACAAGGATTCCGACTGCCGGTAGCCACAAAGCCCCAACGTGCATTACACCGAGATAGATAGTACAAGCCAGGGCTGGAAATAACCAACAAGTCTGACTAATGTGAGCCCGCAACAGGAGGCTCAGATGGTTGGAAGTGAGGGTAATCTAAAAATCTGACCGACCATTCCATAGCATTGGATATCTCACTTGGCCAGTCACACAAGGCCGATATGTCGATAGGTAACTGTGGCGAGGGGAAATAGGGAGGGCGATCTGGCTCAGGTGGAGGGTGCTGTTGTGCAGATTCCGTGGAAGCATAATTGGTAGTTGGAAGAACGAAGGCGGTATTATCAGACTCCGCTGGAGATTTGATCATTGTCAGTGGATAGTCTCAGTCCAAGTAGGCAACAGAGTAGGACCCACCTTCCTCCGTAGGTCGACGCATCCGCGAAAGCCCCGCTAAGATGTCCGCGGCCTTTCGCGCCGCGGCTGAGTTGACGCTGAGGGCTTCAAATACCTTCAAACAGGTCTCTGCATCTTCTCTCAGGTTTTGCGACGAGACCCCTCCCGTTCGTACCGTTGCTGTAATGGCAATAACTTTCTGCGACAAATAATATGGAACTCGCGCAGATCAAGCAAGATATCATCTGCCACCAAGGGAAATCATGAACCAAGCTTTGCTCGTCCGCTACGTGGTGCAGCAGATGCGCAGTCTGCTGGGCTTCATGCACACAATTCCATTCTGCGTCAGCAATTCGTTCTTTATGACGCAGAAGCAAATTCATGAAGGGCCGGTTGTTCATCTGAAGCAATGGGAGGCAGAGGAACGGTCTGTGTATGAGTGCACGCAGATGATGGTATTTCACTGCAAGCATGTTACGCTAGCTAAACTCAGCATTCCTGATGACGTTGAGAAACAATTGGGCAAATCGTGAGCAAAAAGAAAGACACTCACCTGGCGCTTGAAGGACAGTGACTTTTCAAAAGTGTGTCCCAAGTCAAAGCGTAGCTGCCGTGGCAGCCTCATTTTCCAGTCCAACAAGCTTTGATCAAGCCTGGAGGCACTCTGTAGCATCTGGTCTGGAGACAAGTCAACCTGAGACGGCCGATATAGACTCTGGATGACTAATCCGACGATGTGCGAGAACTGAATAACTTGGAGGAAATATGCCATCACGCATCCGTGCTCTGCGGCGCTACCTGAGCCGAGATCTTCATCAGAAGAGGAAGCGAATGGCGACTGGTCGCTCACGGAGGGCATTTCCACCTGAAATTCGGCTTCATGGATTGCCATTGGTCTGCCTAGTTGAAGAGCTAGCAGTCGATCCAAGACGTACATGGAATACCATGTTCGCCGCTTGTGGTCGCGATCCGTCATCCACGACTGATGACAGCTGACGGTAGAAGAGAATTCCACGTGAAGGCCGATGCTTTGTCCCATTCGAATCGCAAAACCCAACGTATTCCAGCAACTGAGATGTACGTTCAGCACTGCCGAATATCTACCCAACAGAGAAATTGGATGGCCGAACGTTCTTACCGGTCAGTATGGCAAACAGCCAGCAGGAAAAAACACTGCACCAGCAAGACCCAGACATTAAGCAAGGAACAGTCCGCACTCAGCTCCCGGGAATAGTAGAGACCTTGGTCATAGTATCGCAGGTGATGTTGCACGCGGGCATGCTTCCTATGTGGAAAAGACGTATAATATGATCCGATGGCGAATATAAAATCTGGAAAAGGGTCAACGAAAGAGGCACGAGCCACCCTCCGACAAGAAATCAAGAGACACATATGAGAGGAAGGTGCCGCGGGAGGATGTTGAAACGAAGACTCTGGGCCTTACTAAAAATTGCGAGCCATGGGCGAAATTCTGGCTCATGTACTTCTCCATTCTGGAACCGTTGAAACGATTCCATCAAGATTGGCTTAGATATAAAAGGATACGCAATATGTATCGTCGATAAGTACACATCAAGGTACTGATCCGCCTCCGTCTGCGACGGGAATAACAACGGATGTGTCAAAGCGCTCAAACTCTCCGAGATGTAGGTCTGGATATAATTCTGAGCAGGCACCTCTTCTTCTGCCCCAGTCCCATGAACACATTGACGTATGCTTTGAATAAAATGAATGTCGCTTGCCTTGCCTACATATGTCGGTGAGGAAGCCGTTGCAAGTTCCGCGCGTGTGATAGCATCTGCACCGTCAGAAACCTGCTCATTCTCTGCCGGCTTCTTTGGCACAAGCCTGCGGATATCTTGGAGGCTCAAATCCAGCGCGGCCTGATGGGAGCTATCCAACCTGGCCCGGATTTCTTCGATCAGTGTCTCGTACGATTTGACCGCTCTCGAGTATGCCGGCACATAATCTTGCAAGGACAAGCCCTGCCGGCCATCCGTGAGCACATCGGTCATAGCTGTTGCACCAGTCCGGAATGCTCGACGCGTCCTTGTGGACCAGGTGCAGTTGAAGCTGTAGCCCTCGCATCTGGAACACACCGGCTGTCGACCATCGCACTATGCCCAATTCACAAGACTGGTCAGGATGTCGCACGGAAGACAGGGAATGGATAAAAAATCACACCTTAGCTTTCAGTTCCCGACATTTATCACAGGCAATTCCCACGCGTTGGCGTTTCATCGTGATGATTTTCGTCTTTAACTCCGGATGGCGGGTCAATGAGCAGTGCCGAGCATGCCTGCTCCCCAGCGGATCCCGGAAAGTGGAATCGTTGGTCAGCTGCCCAGATTATGTCAGCATGACGGTGTTGACATTGACCGGGCAATTCTACAGCTCATGGAGTAATGAAAACGGAATTGAACAAAGCAATTATGTCGATGATGGTGCTGTACTATGATTTGCCACTGAACCACGGTCGTTGCGAACAGACATCCAGTGGAGGTTACCTTTACCATTGGGGATTCCATCAATGTTTCGACCGGGCCGCCCGAGCCGGTAAAATACATGGAACAAAAGGTTACCGGTTCCTTATTCGCATTCACATCTTAGCGAGAAGGTATTAGTATGCTTCTTTCCTATCACATCTGGTTCGAATCGCATGGTTGGTTTCGGCCTTTCACTCATCCTGCCCCAGCCCTCCCTGGGACCATATGTTACCTTTCACAGCTTCGAGCAATCATGGTCGCGCCGCCCGGTCGCAGGACGACCACTCCAGCTCTACAGGAGCAGTAGCAACCGCGCCGAATGCAGCGTCGTCGGCTCGATCATCGGAATCCGAGACCAATTTGAATGAAGTCGCCGCCCCGGGCCCGGTCTATGACCCGTCCGAGAAGTCAGTACAGCGCCAAGAGTACCTAGAGAATCGGATTCTAGATGACTCGGAGTCGCATCTACAGGAAGTGAAAACCGAACCGGCCCAGGCCGATGATGCTGAACTCCACGCGTCCGGTGCCAGCTTGGGAACCAGGACCGACAAGCCGACCGGCGATCGGCTATCCAAGATAGTCCGGACTACGTGTATTGTAGGCTACCTCATTTTGTTTTCATTTGTCGGCACGCTCCTCCGCATCGCTATTGAGTGTTTGACATTCTACCCCGGGTCGCCGGTGAACACCAGCGTTCTCTGGGCCAATGTTGGAGGTAGCTTCATTATGGGCTTTCTGAGCGAGGATCAAGAAATCTTTCGGTTCGAAGAGGTTGAGGCCAAAATTCCGGCGGAGGCGAGACAAGACGGTGCCCGGAGGGCGGCACATTTGAAGGCGCACAAGAAAACCATCCCGCTATACATCGGACTGACGACGGGGCTCTGTGGGAGCCTGACGTCCTTTTCCACCTTTATTCGAGATGTGTATCTGGCACTGGCTAACCAGCTTCCGGTACCGATCGGCCCATACTTGGATATCTCCTTATTCGCTTCGGCCCCAGCGACGGCCAGAGCTCCAAATGGAGGGTTCAGCTTCATGGCCCTAGTTGCTGTGCTATTTACAGAGATTGGTCTGTCGCTGGCGGGCCTTTTTCTCGGTGCCCACCTCGCGATCGGCGTATCTCCTTGGACTCCAACCCTTCCCCAACACTGGCTGCGCAAAGTCCTGGACCCCACGGCGATCGTCCTCGCGTGCCTCTCATGGGTCGCGGTGATTTGCCTGGTGATTCTACTGCCGGGACATCTGCAACAGGATTCTTTATGGAGCCCAGAATTGTGGAGAGGGCCTGTTCTCTTTGCTTTGGTCTTCGCTCCGGTCGGCTGCCTGGCCCGATTTTTCATTTCCCTCAAACTGAACGGCCGCATCCGATCCTTTCCCTCGGAACCTTTACGGTTAACGTCGGCGGTGTAATGGTACTAGGAATGGCGTATTCAATCCAGCATGCTTCGATCGGTGCATCCAGTCTTGGCGGTAGCAGCATCGTTGGTTGCCAGGTACTACAGGGGATCATGGACGGATTCTGCGGGTGTCTCACGACGGTCAGCACGTGGGTATTGGAACTCTCAGATCTTCGCAGACGCCATGCGTATTTATACGGTGGTGTGAGTGTCGTCATCGCCCTCTGTGCGCTCGTCGTGGAGATCGGGAGCTTACAGTGGACTCGCGGTCTGGCGACTCCTGCCTGTTTTGTCCATTGATTTCGTCACCAGCCAGATAGAATTGGAAATGAGGAAAAGGGCGACGTTGGTCATGAAGAACAAAACCCAACACCAAAGCGGAGCAGGATAATCCCCGGACCACGTTGCGGGTGTTTTTGACTTCTCCATCAGGGTATTTGATTTGACTGATCTATTTTTGATTAGCCGCAGCTTTCACTTCGACCCAGCGCAGCCTGGAAATCTTTGAACTATGCAGGCGTGACAGCTTCAACCAGCTGTCAACCCGAGAGAGAGAGAGAGAGAGTGTGTGTGTGGTCGGCGTGAAGTTGCATTGTTTGAACATATTGGATTTTTAGACTTGAAACTTTTGACGGCTGTCGATTGCATTGCTTGCGTTGCATTGAAACCAACAGGGCCAGATTTGGAGACAGTCAATATTAAAATTGCTTTCTCATTCGATTGCTTTTGCGAGCGAAATCACAATGTACAGAACAGGTGGAAACTGTTCAATTTGGCAGTATGGGTTTAGATTTCAAACCCGAAGTGCCGGCTTATTGTTTGGTGGTGCTTTTTTCATTCAAAAGAGGGAATATCAAGGTAAGTCCTGAGGCAAACTTCAGCGATCGGGCCTTGGATTTTAACCCCCACGCATCCAAGGAAACCACGTTCCCGTCCACTCAACGATTCGAAGGGAAGGATCAGGCTCTTTAGAGGCGATCTCTCCAGCAATAACTCGGCGCTTGTTGCGCAAACTTGGGTAATTGCGCCGTTTTAGAAACCGGTAGAGTTTGCATTGAAGTCCTGGGATTTTGCGGTGCTCGGCAAAGGGGAATTCATAGTTGAAGTTCTCGCACACATGTTTCCATGGTCTACCGAGCTTTACTCGCTGATACCAGATAAAAGCCATTTCTTCATCTTCGTTGGGCCCCGGGCTTGGCTGAGAAGTACGCGTAGCTCCTTCCTCGCTTCCGGTGTGCTCTGTCAGCGGCCACGTAGCGCATATATGCACGTTGTTGCGACTTTCATTCTTAATCTGCGGAGACCAGCAGTTCCAGGTATAAATTGGGGGTTCCCTGGCATGTCGAGGTGGACAGAAACAGCATTGAAGGCGGGGGTGGGGGGTTGGTCTTGGTGATCTCTAACGGCAGCTATTTTATTCTGGTTGCCTGGGGGGGACTCAAGATCGACCGAATGTCCATTTTCTTGCGCTGCGGTCGACAATCCGTCTCTCCATTTTGAGTTCCCATTTTCCGTCAATTGAATCATGATGAAAATGTTTAATCATCATAACTTATTGCCAGTGAACCTACTGACAAGTCTAATTGCTTCTTATTCCCTGCCAATAAGATTTATGGTTCCAGGAGAAAGAGCTGGCGGCGTCGTTGTGTTTGGATTTCCATCAGTTCATATTTTCTAGGATGAATTTTGCTTTCTGCTAACGGAAACAAGAGGGGGACGAGTGCACCTCCAGATCGCGAGCGCCAACCCCACGAGTCGATGAATTTATGATATGCTCCCGGGTTGTGATAGAGTCATTCCTTATGGAGAGATAATGAGAAAGCCTCCAAACAACAGGTTTAAAGAAAGGGTCGCGAAGTAAAACAGTCTTGATTCTCCTTCAATACATACCCGCGAGCGGAAGTTATTAAAATGCTTCGCGTGGCTATGAATGACCGTCGGAATATTTTTGGGGTTTGAATGTGCGAGCGGAAGTCTATAAAAGGCATTTTTACGGTTGTACCAACCCGTCTCTTCTGCCCTGAGAGTCAGGAAATGGATACTGTATTGTGACCGGAAAAACCGGTAAGTGTGAATAAGGCCACGTCATCATCCATTGTGGTGCCGGGAAGCGAGGCGGCGGGAAACATAAAGTATCCAAAAAATTCATATATTGATGGATATATTTCTGAGGCCCACTATCCGCTTAGTTTCCTACTTGACCACAAGATGACCTACTTCCGGAAGCTCCGATCATTCTTCGCAACTGCTGCGCGCCAATGTCCGCCCACTGAGCCACCTCATAACGCAGAGAATACGCGTGAAGCGACGCAGCCCAAGAATGATCCAACTTTACAGCAAGAGCAAGAATATTCGAATGACGATCCATACGCAGCACTTAGTGAGATCGCAGCTCCCGAGCCTGTTGAAAGGATCTCAGAGGCAGAATTGGCAAGGCATCCATCCTTGGAACAAGGCTATGCAAACTCCAGAGGCGACTATTACGGGGCCCTCAGCGAAGTAGCAGCCCCAGAGCCTATCGAGAGACTTACTGAGGAAGAAACAGCGCGCCATCCTTCTTTGGAACAGCGTCTCTCGAGGATTTCAAACCACCGATTTGTCACTCATCGAGGATCTGATATTATATGACTCTACCAGTTTTCTACCAACATCATTTCAGCTTTATTGATTATGATCCTCTCATGAATGTATTAAAATCACATTGCGAGGAAGCTGATACTTTTTTCGCGTTCTTTAAGGGAGATAATCTTCGCACGTATTCTTGAAGACGTTCTTTGTGCAAGGGAAAGTTAAGGAGGTAGATTCCAGCTTCCAAAGTCTCGGAGCTTTGTTCCAGAGCTCATAGAGTGACGCAATGAGACGCCAGTCATTATGCTAATCAAATTGATGATGAGAGGTACACAGTCGTGCAAATTCTCACCCCAACTTTTGAGGGTTGAATTCGTGTCTGATGCTGGTCATGACATCATTAATTTTGCATGATCAAGGTACCAGATGCTCGAAATATCCAAAAAGCCTACCAGCGTCGACAATATAGACCCTAGGTGGCACGTTGTTGTACGATGTAATTCTTCTAAGACTACCAAAAGAAAAGCATATTTCTCCTAGAAACGTTCCGTACAAAACGGTTTCCGGGCTTGTTTTGATTCCGGGGTAGATTGATTCTGTTCCGGCAGAGGCAAAAGCAGCCTAGATTGCCCATTTCCTAGGCAAACGACCACATTAGAAATTGCCGCCCGCGGCCTTACAAAAGTTCTTAACTTCAGTGCGTCGGACGCTACCAGCCATGGGTCGCGAGGCAAATAGATCCGAATATCACTAGCAAAAAATAACTTTCCGAAGGTTTCTGGCTTCAAGATTCAAGAAGCTTACACATACAAGTTAAAATCGGCTTTTGTTGCGTTAATTGCTTCATTGCTTCACATACTGAGGCACATTTCCGTCACGAGACGTACTTTATCCATCAACAAGCATGTCAATCATATCATCATCTGGACCCTCTTTACCTTTTTTTCTTCCGGATAAACCGGGTAAGACGGCCCTGAACACGTGATAACAGCAAACACAAAGAGACCTTGCAACAGTCGAAACCCCCTTCATTGTGAGTTGTTATTTCTCGGTCACTTCTGTTCCCTTCTCTTACAGATCATAAACTCATCTCCAACAGGTATCATTATTTGGCTTGGCCAAAATTTGCTCATTCCCGAGGATATGACAGATTCTGAAAGACATTTTTTTGAGACCCAGGCTCTTCCTCACAGTTTGCGACCCCAAATCTTTGCTTCTGACAATGCGGAAATCGCTCGCAGAAGATGAGTCAGCCGTCCCGCTATAACTATCCTATCCAGGCTTTTCATCTCTAGCCATTGGAAATATTCTGATCAACACAATCGTGATTTTCATTGACCTAAATCTAATGAGTATGTGCTATATTTTCCATCATACAACGGCAGCAACTCGGACACAAAGAGGCGAGCTTTTTTGCGTGGTCAGTTATATTTGACGGTTCACGAACCAATCGGGATTGAACAAGTTATCATCCGCTTCCGTGGAAAAACAACTTAAGTGAAGGGCGGTATTTCTTTATGGAGATGAGCAGAGGTGATTTATGTGAAATTTACGCTATTTGTTGTAAGTATGAAACAAAAGCTAAGAAATATAGTTCTGATGCCTTAGCGGGTTTGCCGATGGGTATCGGTCGATCGATTTGGGAGGGTTTGGGGCACCCCAAAGCTGGCGGCAATACGGTGGGAAACCCCCATTTTCTTGCCTTTTCTTATTATTTAAAAGAAATAAGCCCCGCGCCCATCGAATTCTCCAAGGAAACCCGGGGAAATCTGGACAAGGTAAACCGCAGAAAATCATTGGGCCCTCTTAGCTAAATTACAGAGTAAAAGACTCACTGGACAACACAAACCTTGCATCAGACCAGAAAAGCGGAGAAACTGAGGAAACAGGCTAAATGATAATACTGATGGCCTTGCACCTTTTCGTTATATCTTAGCGAATGCGGCGAAATGAGTTTCCGGCAATGTAAGCCTAGTCTAAGCGTCATACTTGAAGCATTATAAATTTAATCATTCCATGCATTAGAACATGATCAATAGGTAACGAGAAAGGTGGGAAAATCAATACTGCGACTTGCAACTGGTTGAGAATTATTACAACCGGGAACACAATCCCCCCCATCCCACTATATTGCACGAGTAAAATGACCACAAAAAATTGTTTACCTACAAGATATCATGGACAGGATGACCACAACGGTTAATCACGAGCAGGACCGGCCAGATGATGTAATCTTGTGAGTCAATAACTCCGCACCGGACCGTCCGTTCCGCGCTCCAAATGACGGGTTAAGCGATTTCTGGTTCTGGTTGCTCTTGCAATGCGGACAAGGTATAAGGGAGCCCAAAGGGCAATATTTATTATTCAATAAATTATCTTCTTCTTTGTGCTACTTCATTTCAACTATTTGTTGACTTGACGTTCACCATGACAGAAAAAATGCCTCGTGCTGAGAACGTTGAAGGCAATGCTTCGCGAAACGAACCCAGAGTAGACGATAAATCCAACTTCGACGAATATGTTGGTTTGGACCTTTACATTTCATCCCTTCGTGATTCCCGTCGACTTTCAATTGTCAGCAGAAGTGATGGTGAAGCTCTTGAGGAGAAGGATGTTCCTTGGTGGGCACCTTGGCGACGCCTCCGTAAAAAGAAAAGAGATAGCGAGGAGAGTAGCAATGAAGAGAATTCTTTCTCCATTCCAGATAAATGGCTAGACACGGACATGCACAGTGGCCTCAGTGAAAATGATATTGAATCTCGTCGGAAGAAGATAGGATGGAATGAACTGACTGCAGAAAAAGAGAACCTGTTTCTCAAATTTCTGAGTTACTTTCAGGGACCTATTTTATATGGTATGATTGAACAAATCGACATGGAACATTCTAGCATTCACTAAAGCCTTTTATCGTCGCAGTCATGGAGATGGCTGCAGTGCTCGCTGCAGGTCTCCGCGATTGGATAGATTTCGGTGTCATCATTGGTATTCTCATGCTAAACGCTACTGTAGGTTGGTATCAAGAGAAGCAGGCCGCGGACGTTGTGGCAAGTCTCAAGGGTGACATTGCGATGAAGGCCTTGGTAGTCCGTGGGGGGCAAGAGCAAGAGATAAAAGCACGAGGGATCGTTCCAGGTGATATTGTATGTACAACCGGACAATAAGTATCGTCTTTAGTGGCTCACTAGTGGCAGATCATTCTGGAGGAGGGCTGCACTGTCCCCGGAGAGGCTCGCCTGATTTGCGATTATAATGATCCAGAGGGCTTCGAAAAATATAAGAGGCAACAAAATTCTTTGGACGATAATATACCAACAGAGAAAAGCGACGAAGACTCGACCCATCGAAAGGAAGCAGCGTGGGGATCCTCTATCGTGGCAATTGACCAATCCGCGATGACTGGAGAGTCCTTAGCGGTACATCGCTCTCATCTAGGTTCAATCGCACTCTTCAAGCAGACTGACAGACCACACTTTAGGTTGATAAGTATATGGGTGAAGTATGCTACTACACGACGGGTTGCAAACGAGGCAAAGCATACGCAATCGTGGTGACGAGCGCGAAATATTCCTTTGTCGGAAAAACCGCCACACTGGTTCAAGGGGCTCAGGACCAAGGACATTTCAAAGCCATCATGAATCAGATCGGCACGACACTCCTTGTCCTGGTTGTCTTTTGGATATTGTGTGTGTGGATTGGAGGGTTTTTCCACCACCTGAAGATTGCGATACCTGAAGACAGCTCTCAGAATTTGCTGCATTTTGCCCTAATCCTCTTCATCATAGGAGTCCCTGTCGGCTTGCCTGTCGTCACAACAACAACCCTGGCAGTCGGAGCAGCCTATTTGGCGAAGGAAAAGGCCATAGTACAGAAGCTGACTGCCATCGAAAGCTTGGCGGTATGTAGACTCATACGCTCTGAAGGGAGCAAGAAACCTAACTTGAGGTATTTAGGGCGTCGATGTATTGTGCTCCGACAAAACGGGTACTTTGACGGCCAATCAGCTCAGTATTCGTGAACCCTTCGTTACCGAAGGGGTTGACATAAATTGGATGATGGCAGTAGCAGCATTAGCTTCGTCCCATAACGTCAAAAGTCTTGACCCAATCGACAAAGTGACAGTTTCCACGTTGCAGCGCTATCCAAAAGCCAGAGAGATTCTCCGGCAAGGTTGGAAGACCGAGAAATATTTTCCATTCGACCCAGTCTCCAAACGTATCACCACGGTGGCAACCTTAGACGGCATCCGCTATACTGCTGCGAAAGGTGCACCGAAAGCAATCATCAAACTCACCAACTCTTCAGAAGAGGTGACCAAAATGTACCAAGAAAAGACCACTGAATTCGCGCGGAGAGGGTTCCGCTCGCTTGGCGTCGCAATTCAAAAAGAGGGAGAGGACTGGCAACTGCTGGGCATGTATCCTATGTTTGATCCTCCTCGAGAGGATACGGCCCGCACAATTACAGATGCCCAGAATTTGGGGCTGAGTGTGAAGATGCTCACCGGCGACGCCATCGCAATCGCCAAAGAGACATGCAAGATGCTTGCTCTAGGTAGGCCGTCGCGAAGCCAAGTGGACTACATTATTTACTAAAATCTACCCAGGTACCAGGGTTTACAATTCTGAGAAATTGATTCATGGAGGCCTCACTGGATCAGCTCAACACGATATGGTTGAGAAGGCGGATGGGTTCGCGGAAGTCTTCCCTGAGCATAAATACCAAGTGGTGGAGATGCTCCAGCAACGCGGACATCTTACAGCTATGACCGGGGATGGTGTCAACGATGCTCCCTCTCTGAAAAAGGCCGATTGCGGTATAGCCGTGGAAGGAGCAACCGAGGCTGCTCAATCAGCAGCCGACATTGTGTTTCTGGCCCCCGGACTGAGTACCATTATCAAGTCCATCAAGGTAGCCCGGGAGATCTTCCAGCGCATGAAGGCTTACATACAATATCGAATTGCCCTTTGCCTTCATCTCGAAATCTATCTCAGCACTTCCATGATTATCATTAACGAAACCGTGCGGTCCGAACTCATCGTTTTCCTGGCTCTCTTTGCCGATTTGGCCACCATTGCTGTTGCCTACGATCACGCTCACGTGGAGCTTCGCCCAGTTGAATGGCAGCTTCCCAAAATTTGGTTTGTTAGTGTCCTTCTGGGTGTTTTGTTGGCCTTGGGGACCTGGGTGATCCGTGGAACACTTTACCTACCCAACGGCGGAATCATCCAAAACTTTGGCTCTGTCCAAGAAATTTTATTTTTAGAGATCTCCTTGACAGAGAATTGGCTCATTTTTGTCACTAGGGGGGGGGTAAAACGTGGCCATCGTGGCAACTAGTCGGTGCAATTTTTGGGGTTGACGTTATCGCAACATTGTTTTGTCTGTTTGGCTGGCTTTCCGGGCCTGGAGAAATCAGCGATCCCGCGGATCAAGCTAAATTAACATCGAATGGATGGGTTGATGTTGTGACTGTGGTCGTGATCTGGGCTTACTCAATCGGGGTTACCATTGTTATAGCTCTGGTCTATTACGTCTTGATGAACGTATCCTGGTTGGACAATCTAGGTCGCAAGTCCAGAAGCAAAGCAGACACCAAGATTGAGAATGTCTTGGGCCATCTCTCAAAGCTTGCACTTGAACATGAAACCGAACCCAATGGCCATGATGTGTATCGTCTCACGACGAGAACTGCCGTTGAGGAGGAAGATGAATGAGTATCCCATTCTACTCAACTTTAGGGAGTACTTGAATAGTGCCGCCTGATGATTTTACTTACTTCAACGGCTCGGTCAAATTACTTTCGCACAGCTCCTTTCAACAACACTCTCAAAAAAAGAGAGTATAGTGAAAGAGTAGGCGGTAAGAAGGAATGGCAGTGAAAAGGAAGGGTGATAAAAAAGATAGTGGAAGTAAGGACTACTGAGATAATTATAGGCCTAGACCTTGCCAAAGCCTGCAGGCTTCTAGGCCTAGGCTATCTAGATCATAGAAGTAGGGTATTAAGGTTAAAGTAAGAGATAATAAGCTCTAGTATTAGTTATAATATATTAGAATATATTAAAATAGCATAGTTAGGATAAAAGAGTGGGTGAGGGTGTAACGAACTGGGGTTGTTACCATTTGCGGATGCCTGACGTAGATGGCATCCACTTAGGCATCCACGCCTACATGTACTTAGTTCTATCTCAGCTTCCTCCTTCTTCTTCTCCTCAAGCTATCTTTTTTCGTCGAACAGCTACTGTTTCCTTTGCTTCGTATGCTACGCCGTACCTTGATCTCTGTGAGCATCTGAGCATCTGAGCAGAGGGTGTGTAGATAGGCTACAAGACTGAAAACTGTGCTAAGGCTGAAAAGAAAGTTGCCTCTGGTCTAAAGTGTTATAAATACATATTATTCCAAGATCAGTAATTTTTATCTTTGTGACCACCGAGTATACTACTATGGTCTACCAACTACTTGAGTGACGTTGAGAAAAAATCTTTTTAGAGACCGAAAATCCAATTTGTGCAATTACAATCAAATACAGAAAAGCCAAAGATACAGATACAAGATCACTCAACGCCATTCCGTACTTCAGCAACATCCAACCCCCACTCAGCCTTCATTTCAGCAGTGAGAATACCCGACTTTCTCAAAATATGTTCCGCAAGTGCATGTAAGGAATCACTTGTTAGAATCTCGAGGATCTGAAGATTGGCCTCCAGCTCTCGAGTGATCCAGTTTCTAATTTCAATCGCAACCAATGAATCAAGACCGTAAACTGAAATGGGTGCTGAAGGATCCATATCCTCCATGGGACGCATGAGAATGCTTGAGATTTTCTGCGCAAGAGCGTTGACCGTAACGGCTTCAGCACTCTCACGGCCGCGAGATTGGCGAATTGCGGATGCAGGTGATATCTCGGTGTTGGACTGCACGGCATCGACCAAGTCGCCTGTGCCTGCGAGAGTTGACACGCGTAGCAAGTGCGACAGCTTGGTATCGTTGACCCAGAATGGTTGCTCGCTAGCAGGATATTTCTTGACACCATCGAATCCTACTACGCAGTGGCCTGCGCAGGTATCACGCATTTCCTTTCGAATGGCAGCGGCGACAAGGCCGCGGATCTCAGCTGCACAAACAGACTCTGTTCCCAGTTGAGAGGAAATCTGTTCGCGTTTCTTGTCATCTGAGAGATATCCAATACCACGAACAACGGGGAGGTCGATTGTTGTGCAGGGAATGTTTGAGACCTGCGAGTATTGAGCGAGAGCGGCCATGAATGTTCCACTGGCTGCGTATGCTGCCTGGCCCATATTTCCGACAAAACTGGCTGCTGATGAAAGTGTAACAAAGAAGTCGAGGTTCCCCTTCTCCAGGTTTTGCAGGGTATTTTGCAAGTTCCAGATTCCGTGTACTCGGGGTCTCATAACTGTATCGTAGTCGTCGAAACTCTGCTTTTCGAAAAGCATGTCCTGTTTTTCAATTAATACGAGTTCTTCATCAAATATTTCAATTGAATGCTTACTCGAAGAACCATCGCACCGTATACAACACCTCGAGCAGGAGGTAGCTCGGCGAGGAGTGGAGACAAGTTCTCTTCAACGCTTTGCTGGCTGGAGATGTCACAGCGGCACACGTCTACAGTCACGCCTTGTTGCTTCAGATCGTGGATCGTGTTCTGAGCCAGCTCAGTTGCCGCACCGCTTCGGGATACAAGCACAATATGGCGGGCGCCCTTTTGTGGCATCCAACTGGCAATATCAAGACCGATTCCACTAGTTCCACCCACAACGATGTAGGTAGCATCTGGTCGAAGAAGCTTTTCTTCTTTCCGTGCCGGGTATACCTGCAAGAATATTTAGTTCAACTCCTCATTGCTATGTTATAGATAGTAACCCACCTTGACCTTAGAATCATTCGTGATCGAGACAACCATCTTGCCAATAACCTGACCGCCTTGCAGGGCACGGAAGCCAGCTTCCACGTCAGATATCGGGAGTGTAGTAATGGGCCAGCGCGACTGAGCTCGGGAGTCGGCGAAAATCTGGAAGGAATTACGGAAGAGTCGCTTCAGAAGCTTGGGTCGCTTTTCTCTCACGATGCCCAAGTCCACCGATGCAAACGAAACGTTCTCATTGAAGTGGGACATCTCAAGCCGCGAGTTAGTCGTGATATCTCGCTTACCAAGCTCAATAAATCGACCAAACGGTGCGATACACTCGAATGTAGCCTGTAGGGCATCGCCACTCAAGGAGTTCAGGGCAACGTCCACACCTTCTCCGTCAGTGGCCCGGCGAATGCCTTCAGCAAATGAGGTATCACGGCTGAAGAAGATCTGCTCGTCCTTGAGATTGTAGGTGTCCATCAAGAATTTCTTCTTTTCTATACTTCCGACTGTTGCATAGATTTTGGCACCGATGCTTTGAGAAATGATAATGGCGGCTTGACCAACACCACCGGCTGCTGCATGAATGAGAACAGTCTCATCTTGCACCAGACGACCCAAGTCAACAAGAGAATAGTATGCTGTGCAGAATACCGCTGGAATCGAAGCTGCGATCTCAAATGACATATCATCTGGGATGACCCATGCGCACGATGCTGCACAACGTGTGTATGTCGAGAGGGAGCCGGGTGACATGGCACAGACTCGATCGCCCGTGGCGAAATTGGTCACTGCCGAGCCAACCTTTGAGACGACACCACTGCACTCTTGGCCTAGCTTGTCTCCACGAAGCTGGCCCATCGCCATAAGAACATCGCGGAAGTTCAGACCTGTGCAAGTGACTCTGATCTCAACGTAATCTGCGGGAAGTGGATCGTTACGGGCATCATCATCGGTAAAGTACATTTCATCCAAAGTCCGGCTTTCTCCAGCAGTGAGACGGAGTGGACGATCCGCTTGCTTGAATGGTTGTAATGCTGGCGGTGCATCCGCTGTTTCTTGTTGAACGCTGATATTGAGTTGATGGTTGTCGATCAGACGGGGAACACAAATGTGGCCATCGCGGACAACGAATTCCATGTCACTCTGCATCAGTTGCGATTTGTGACAGTAGACTCCCTTGAAGACATTTAGCATGTGGTGGACGGCTTGAGCATCTGACATGCTCTCCTTTTCTCCCAGGTCGAGCGTTGCGAAAGGCACGCCGGTTTCGGACCGAACGGTGCGAGCCAATCCAACAATCATGTTTGCCCCAAGAGATTGACGATCCAGGTTGGTATGACGCACAATCCATAGGAGACCACGAGCACGACTCATCAGGCGTTGGAGCTCTTGGAAGTTCTCGGGTGTAAGGTGGGACATTAATGACTGATCCATGCCACCGAGGAAGATGCACCATTTTCCAGACACGTCAACCGATTCGAGATCAGATACGCTTGTCGGCTTCACGCCAGTTGCATCGGCCAGGCCGGCCTCAAGACTCAAGAAGGAAATGCTTCCAATGCTCTCACCTCCCACAATGACGATATCTCCAGGGTTTGTGGGCCCAGCTGTGGGACCGTTGGCGGTTGACATGATCAAGCAACCAGACTGGAAAGAGGCTCCCGGGTATTCTTCGACGCAGAGATCAACCCCAGAAAAGTCGTTCGCTTTCATGACATCGTCCCATCCTTCACGGGTCAGAAGGGGCCCATCTGGACGGACCTCGTCACTGGCGAGCCACCATCCAGGCAAGAGAGCGAAGGGGAAATGGCGGGGTTTTGATGCAGTCTCTTCAATCAACATGATCTTACCGCCCGGTTTCAACAATGAGCGGATATTAGCCATGGTCTCGTTAATCTGTGGCGTGGCGTGGAGAACATTGCAAGCGATGACCATGTCGTACGATCCAAGCTCAAAGCCCTGGCTAACGGGGTCAGTAGAAGCATCCAAGGTCTGGTAAGTCATGAGATGACCCCAATCCTCGAACTTCGATTTCGCCTTCTCGAAAAATCCAGGTGAGATATCGGTATAAGTGTAGTGTCCAAAGCGGGGAGTTGATCCTGGCTCGTTACCTCCCAGGCTCTTCAAAATCGGCATTGTGGCTCCTCCTGTTCCCGCACCGATTTCCAAGATGTTCATGTCGCAGTTCTGATGAGCGATCTTGTCAATACAAACCGAGGCATTGGCGTACGCCTCGCGGAGTCCATCCAAGTCCTCGTAGTATTTACTGAGTAGATCCTCCTCAAGCATGAGAGTAAGTGCATCTACCTCGCCGCGCAGAATCTGAGGGAGTAGCTCTCCAACTTTGCAGTTGAATTCACCGGCACCGTTCGCATTACGCGTCTGATTAATGATTTGTGCGGGCAAATCTTCCACCATTCCTGCCTCTCTGCACGTTTGCTGTGCCCAACGATAAAATCTTTGCAGGTGATGTGGCAGAGAAGGGAATTGCTCTTCGGGAACAGCGCTCAGCATGCGTCGCAGCCAATTCTCTGCGACTCTGTCAAGCTGGTGCATTCTCTGAGTACCCTTGCCACCGTCACTAACATCAGGTCGCGGGAGTTGACGGTAAGTATCTTCAGAAAGAAATTCAAAACAGGGCTCCCAGTGAAGTTTATAGCAGATTTGGTTTGGCGCACTGTCTTTCGATCCTTTGATATCATTCGAAATAGGGACCAAGGTGATGCCATCAATTTCCACCGCGATCTGGGAGGGGTCATCAGAGTGCGTAGCGAAGATTCGGTTGCTCAGAGGTCTGCTGGCAGACTCCACGCCAAACTGAGAGCCGTATACATTTAGCGTAGCGCCATGACCAATCTTGGAGCCCAGTGATACAGAGACGTGCTTCACATGCGAAGGAACATATGTCACATGTGGACCTGGCTCGCCAAATCCCTGAAGCAGCCACATTGTCTGGGTGCAGAGGTCGAGAGTCACTGGGTGGATGATGCAGTCGGTTTCGTGTTCATTGGGCATGCACTCCTTGGTATTGGGGACCTCGATTGTGGCGACAGCTCCCTTCGTTGTGTTGACGGAGATATTCTTCAGGCCTTGGAAGAGAGGGCCATAGTGAATACCACCGCTGGAAATATTTTCATACAGGGTGTCCGTATTCACAGCCGTTCCGCAGGAAGAGTTGATTTCCTGCACCGTCCGTTTCATGGAACCAGTTATTTCCATTTCTTCCCGGGAACCGCTCACGGGGTTGGCTTCCTTTGCTTCTTGCACCATGACAAATCCACTGACATGTTGATCCCAGCCTCTTCCTTCAGCCCAGGAGAAGACTTTGAACTCATGCCAGCCGAGAACAGCTCTTCCCGGAGCATCAGGTCGCACAGGGCGCAGACTTAACATTGTTTCTACCGTCGCGTTGTCAGGGATTGCGAGGACTCGACTGATGAAAATATCGCGAAGCTCAATCTTCCCCGGTATCAGATGGTGGATCTGTGCTTGTTGGGAGATTGCTTCCATGGCCATGGCCAAGAAACCAGTCATGGGATATACATTGCTGTCATGGACGCGGTGCTGTCTGATCCATGGATGATCGTCTGCCCGAATGATATTTCTCCACCGAGGCTCGAAATCTATGTTTTCGATGGAAAGCTTTCCCAGAATATCGTTTCGGGCAAATTGAGGTCGGTACAGGTTATCGCATAGCCTGGCATTAATCCAGTACCTTTCCGAATGGTTCCAGGGGTACTTGGGGAGGTTGGTCAAAATAGCGGGCTTGCGTTCACAGGTGTTCAGATTCGGAAAGTTGATCTCCTGAAAGTTGAGGGTCATCATGCCAGAGTTAAAGAGGGAGATGGCGAGGTCCTGGACAGCTTCTATGGCGTCAAACTTTCTGTTCAGAGTATGTTCAAATTGCATGTTGCGGTTGGGAGCGTGGGTATGGACAATGTCTTTCGTAGGTGTTTGCAAAGCAGGATGGGGACCGATTTCGACCAGCGTATCGATCTGTCCTGTGGGCTCCTCGGTGTTGAGCAGACTCTCCACACCTTTGACGAATTCAACTCGCGAGACAAGATTCTCAACCCAGTAAGAAGCATCAAGCACACTTCCCGGGACAAGTTTACCATAAACGGTCGAATGGAATGAAACGCGAGATGGCTGGGGGGCAATTTTTCCGAGCAACGATTGGTATTGCTTGGATACACTCTTCATGTGGTGGGAATGATAAGCGACATCAACGTGAAGCATGCGAGTAAAGATCCCTTCCTTATCTAAGGCGACCTGTAGATTTGAGATGACGTCCTTGTCGCCGGAAAGAGTGACACTGGTATGGCTGTTCTCGCATGCAATGACAGCCCGCTTGCCTTTGATGGCGTCTAGGATCTGCTGGATATCGGAGGCTTTAGCACCAACAGCCAACATGGCACCATGGATAGTGTCATCATTAGCGACGATGTTGGCAGCCACACCTCGACAATATGCCACGCGTACACACTCATCCAGAGTCAAGACACCTGCAGCGTATGCGGCAGCAATCTCTCCGCTGGAATGACCCACAACTGCCTTGGGACGAATACCCCACGACGAAAGAAGGTCTACAAGTGCCAGTTGAACTGCTGTACATGCGGGCTGGCTCATGTATGCGGCGGAAATCTTGCTCGCCGTTGAGTCTTCTAAAAGGAGTTCGTCTGAAAGATAGCGTTAGGAACCGAGCCAATTATCTGCTGGTGATATCACGTACCAATGATGGAGAAAGTTGATCCAAGAGATTTCAAGCAAGTATCCACATCCTGCATCGTCTTCCGGAAAATGGGGTATGTGCTCAAAAGTTCTTTGCCCATGCCATGCCATTGGGCGCCTTGTCCAGTGAACACGAAACCGATCGATGGCTCACGGGATGATCGAACAGGCTCTGGGATTTTCGCCCAGGATGCGCTAAGGTCCGAATTGTGTGAAGATGCCACGGCCACGCGCCAAGGGTGGAAACTCCGTCGTTGGCCAAGAGTGTAGGCCAAATTATCCATTAGGCTGTCATTAAAGATGAACGGGTTGAGATCCATGTATGTTGCGAGTTGTTTGATTGTATCCAGAGCCGCCTTCTTGTCATAACCGGATGCAACGAACACCTTCCGTTTGAGAGGATCCGTGTTCTCCGAGCCTAGGCCTTTATGACGAGGGGCACGCTCCATGACAATATGGGCATTGGTCCCGCCAAAGCCGAAGTTATTCACGCTTGCGTAGTTTTTACCCCGGGGCCAGGGCTGCAATTTCTTCGGAACCTGCTTGAAATGAGCAAATTGAATAAACAAGTTTAATTTTATAATTTCTCACCTTCATATTCCACTGGTCCATTGGAATCTCCTCATTCGTCTTTTGATAATTGCAGTTCGGCAAGACAAATCCGCGTTCCAGCATCAAAGCCGTTTTGATAACAGCTACAATACCACTGGTTCCTTCCAAGTGACCCATATTCGATTTTATGGAGCCAATGAGTAACGGTTGCTTCGGCGTCCGTCCTTTTCCAAAGACAGCATTCAGGGCCGTAGCCTCGAGTGGATCGCCAACTTTGGTACCAGTTCCATGAGCCTCAACGAATCCAGTGTTGGCGGGGTCGACCTTCGCTTCCTTGTAGACTGCTCGAATCAATGCCTCTTGGGCCTCTCCATTTGGCATTGCGATACCTCTTGTCCGACCATCCTGGTTGATTCCGGTGTTGACAATAACGGCTCTGATGGCGTCTTCGGCAGCTTGTGCATCCTCAAGGTCCTTTAAAACTATGCATCCTGCTCCTTCTCCACGACCGAATCCGGTTCCTCTATTATCGAATGCATATGATCGACCAGAATCAGCGAGCAGTCTACATTTCCCTCAGTCAGCAACACAGATATCAAAAAGCAAACAAAGTACCAGGGACTCAGGTCTCACCTTGACCGCGTCATAGAAATAAACATCTCAGGAACAAGATTAAGATGACAACCTCCCACAACCGCCATCGAACATTCCCCCTTTCGAATACTTTGCGCAGCCAGGTGCAAAGCCGACAAACTAGACGAACAAGCAGTATCAACCGTAATACTAGGACCGCGAAGATTGAAGTAATAGGAAATGCGATTCGACTGCAACGCAACCGAAGTTCCCGTCGAGTCGTACATAGGAATAGAATCTGCATCCTTTGTGTTGTTCACCTCATAATCCGGAAACGAAGCACCAGCAAACACGCCAATATCCTTGCCAGTAATCGAGTGGTTTGAGACACCCGCATTTTCAAACGCTTCGTAAACACATTCCAACATGATGCGATGTTGCGGGTCCATCGAGCGCGCCTCTTGGAGAGTAATATTGAAGAATGGCGCATCGAATAGACCGACGTCTTCGTGTAGAAAGTGCGCTCCTTTAGGGTTGAATGAGCCGGGTCGATCGGGGTTCGGATGGTAAAAGGCTTCGGCGTTGAATCGGCTCTTTGGCATGGGTGACCAGGCGCTTCGAGCTCGCGAGCATAGTTCCCACAACTCGTCTGGTGTTGTCACCTCGCCTGGAAGTCGACAGGCCATGCCGATAATGGCCAGCTTCTTCGGCGCATCGCCGAGGTTTTCCTCATGATGCTGCTGTTGCTGCTGCTCCTCCTCCTCCGGCTGTCGCTGCTCGACATCGCCGGGCACTGGCGTGCCAGTCCCATTAATCGGCTCTAAATGCATTATTGAGGTTTTCGATTGAAAGAGTCGGTCTTGCTGTTCGAAGAACAAACTATGTACCCTCCACTACCGATATCGATATACGGCACGGCACGTGTTGACAAAAAGAAAACAATGAAAAGAGTGGCAAGTGGTAGGCGAAAAGAAGAGTCGGAAGAATTTCCGTTTGTTTTCTTGGGCTGGGAAGGAAAGAAGTTGTATGTTCACAGAGAAGCCATGAGCCCTTTCCACGATGTATGTGGCGAGACGCGACAACTAAAGGCAGGACAGGGCCCTCGCGGCCCACGATAGGGCTTGTTATGGAGTAGACGTTCGCCCTTGCATGACGATCAAGTGCATGACTGCAGATCAGTGGACAACAGAGGCTCTCCAGCCGGGGGATTTTTGAGACACTGTTCAATGATAGGTGGATCGAAGGGTCCATGCCTTCTTCCCTTGATGACGCGGGCACAAAAATATAGTAGCTACTAGTAGTCTCGCGCCGTTCCACCTGCAGAAGGGTATTGAATCCCTCATTAGTCTCTCCCCCGTGTCTCTCTAGGGTCGCAGATCGGGGTCTCCAGGATCTGATCACACTACACGCACCATTCTTTGGCGAAGCTCCTCTCGCGCGTTGTTGTTGTTGCCGTTGGTGGCCCTTGCTCAAGTGAGGGTGCATTCCAGCGCAGGGGCAAACGGTCACTTCTCCCGGTCCTAGCGAGTACTTTCGCAAGGGCCTACTATTGTTCGGTGGCGGTAAGCTTTCTAGTGCATATTTGCTTCCTTTGAGTATCTTGTTCCCTTATTACATAGGCTGCCTGCCTGGGGACCTTGAGGAGCTTTGAACCTCGTTCATATCGCCACTATGAAATTTCTCTGCTTACTGGGGGCCTACTGCAGTGCAAAGGTATGCTGTGATTCCAGATTTGCGTGATATGTAGATTTAGTTTTTCCTCTAACTAATCACTCCTACCATGCAATAGGGATTCACGGCGCAGCTCGGTAAGTTGGGTGAAGTTAGACGTCGACAGTCAAGTCAGTTAAGGATGTCGGTATACTAACGGGAGCACCCGCGGGGATACAGGGCCGTTTATCACTTCTCTTCAACAGAATGGAGAAGCCAAATTTTTCTTCGTTCAGGGAGAGATAGAGGTTCATCCCCCCGAGGAACATGCTGCGTTCTTCGGGCCTCCGCCATATTATTCCTTTTGTCAAGCCACCAGAGGAAATCTAGGCAAATTCAATATGAGCGACTTCCCCAAGCGCGAGTCGGCCGAGGTATCCATGAGAGAAGCCATTGAGATTGCAGATAATCCAACGTATCTTAATATCGCAAGTGTCCTCGATCGCTTAATCAAGATCGTTGATGCAGAGGGTGACATCGATGCCGTCATTGGATACTCTGAAGGTGGTCAGATAGCTGCATCTCTGCTTATTGAGGAAGAACGGCGACGGAAGGAATATGGACGAGAGCCTCGTCTGAAATTGGGCATTCTGTTTAGTGGCTGGCCTCCCCTCGATCCAATCAAGGGACATATCATGGTTGGAGATGAGGACTCGGATGAGTATGAGATAACTGTTCCGACCTGCCATGTTATCGGGGCACAAGATCCCTTCCTGGATGGGTCGATGGTTCTGTACAACATGTGTGACCCCGATACTTCTGAGATCTATGATCATGGCGGGGGCCATATGATTCCTCGTGTGAAGAAGACGGTTGATGATCTGGCGAGTTTTGTTCGGGAGCAGATGGACGCAATTGTGGGAGCTTGATAAATCATGTACATTCTAGTAGTACTCGTACTTACTTCTCTACTTCTCTTGTTCATGTCATGTCACGTCCACATATCCATATCCTGTGCGGGGTATTCGGAGCTTGAGTGCAATCGTTTTCGTCTCAATCATGTCGATTCATTTCATATCATTTCGTATCAAATACAAGCCTTCAACTCACATTCCTTCTAAAAGAGGCCTTGTCTCCGAGTCCCCTTCATCCAGCCCTTCTTCCCCTTCCCCGTCCCCTTCCCCTCCATCCATCCCAGAAGCCCGTGACACCCTCTCCCTCTCACCCCGCCACCCAAAGATAAGCCCAGACACCGAAGCAAGCAGTCCAATACCCAGAACCCCCCGACCATGCAGTCTCTCATAATCAGACTCCTTCCATCGTCGACGTACCAATCTCACCAAGCAAAACCCAACAACCCCCATCCCAACCAATACCACCATCCCCACCACAGTCCCTATAACAGAAAGAAACGTCAATGTACTAACATTACAGCCAAACGGCATTGCCCTCAGTTCCCACCGCTCCTTGGAGCCGAGCGGGCAGATCTGGGCATTGCTGATGGGGGCTAGGATCGGTAAGCGTGCGGCATTGGGCACGCAGGCCAAGGACTAGTTTGGATACGAGGTTAGCAATAGTAATGGTGCAGGTCAGATGGGCAGGACAAGGCTTGCCCTGGCCTGGAAGGTGCAACTGCTAAACTAAAGTCAAGTACGGAGGTGAAGGAAGAGAGGGGTAAATCAAGCCCAACTGGGACAAAGCAGTGTCGAAACTCGGAATGGGGCGTGAGAATGCAAGGGAGAGAAAGGTGAAACGGTATGTTATGTCGGGGGAATGCGAGAGTCCCACGAGAAAGAGAGAAAAACAGAATAAGCCTTTAGACCTGAATGAATCAGGGGGGGAGGAACAACTTGAGGTGCTGGGATAGGATAGACTCGGAATAGAATAGCATAGAATTAAACATTCAAGTCAAGGTTCGTGTCACATACAGTAGCGCACCAGCTGCAGGCAACATCGCCGGCCAGACAATACGAGCACGACTGACGGCGCCAACAGACGTGGAAGAGCGGATCGCTTGTGTCGAGGGTATCTAGGGATGGATATAGGGACTCTGATGACTCCGACTCAGATTCGGAGGTGGTGTGATTCCGACTCGGAGCCCTGTATTCAAGCTTAAGTTCGAGGGCCATGTCGATTCGATCTTTCATGTAAGGTACCACTCTGCGATCGGAGATGTCCTCCAAGGAGATTCAAATTGGAGGTTGGGCAGTTTTTTCCTTGAGGGTTGCCAATATATAAGCTCCTTACATGTAAGTCTGCAGCAAAGACGAGATGAATGAAAGGAGGAACAGAACAAAAGTACGAGAGGAGTGCAAGTGGAAGTGGAAGTGGAAGTGGGATGTTCAAGTTGGGCGGAGGACGGGTGTGTTCCTTGGGAGAAGAAAAAAGGACCACCACAACTCCAAGAGCGGTTTTAAGAGCCCAATCCGATATTAGCATTAAGATCGGGGTTGGGAATCGTTGATAGTCCCAGTTCTCTGACTGGTTCCCCTTGACTATTCAGGCTTAGTCTTGCGCCGGTTTCTGTACGAGGCATTTCTCGGCTTTGGTATACATCTCCAACTACGCTGTTGTGGCTGGTGGTACAGGTATATTAGACTATCAGAAGATGTTTGCATGGTACCATGACATAAAAAAAAGTAGCAATCATGAGAAATGGTTGGAACACAAGTTGGTCACATTTCCAATATCCACATGCAGACCGTCATCGTCATCGCTCAGCAACGCATTTCATTTCTTTTCGACAAGGAAAGGGAAAGTGGTAAGAAGGTGGGGAAGGTTTAGACAACACGCTTGACCTAGAAATTCGAGACAATCAAATCAGTATACGTTCACGGACACAGACCCGGGGGGCATCATCTCGCTGTGCTGCAGTGCAGTGCAGTGCAACTCACCTCGAAAAAGCGCTTCAACCACCACACCTGGAAGATACCCTCTCCAATAACAACAAACAGCTGGAAAAGACTCCACCACTTAACACGACCGTTGGTGCTCTCGGCCGTATTCCGGTGCACACGCTCGCGAACAACAATGTACCCCTGCTCATCGCGGACCTGAGCCATATTCTCGGAAAGTTTGCGGACCTCAGCCTCCAGGGGATCTTGCGACATTTCCGATTCGGGCACGTAGACGATTCCGTGGACGTTGAAGGAGACTTCCTTTGAGTTGGAGGTCCAGCCCTCGTTGCTGAAGCAGTAGTTGTATTTGCCGTCGGTCTGGGCAGTGAAGGAGTAGTCCTCGTTGGAGATGGCTTGCTGGTAGTATTGGCGGTTGCGGAGAGGGTCCTCGACCTGGAGGGGTCAAACAAGACAATGGTTAGCGGGAGTTGGGATATTGAGATGAACATATTGATTGGAGAACTTGAAAGGTTTGCAATTGACACTCCCTTTCACTCATTCCATCCACAACTCGAACCAGGGGAAGGAGGGAACCTCCAGCGAAAGAGAAGACGTACCCAGAAATCAATCTCCAGATTACCACTGCCTCCAAACTCACGATCTCCAACCTGGAACGTCACGGTCATGAGATCATCCTTGTGTAAGGCTTCGTGGAAGCATTCGCGCGAGTGAGCCTTGAGCTGGATGGTGTGTGCGGTCGCGACGGAGAACCAGCCCAGCGCCGAGACGAGGAGGGTGGCGGTGGAGAAGCGCATGGTGGATGTGAGCGAGTGAGCTAGTACCCGTACGAGGCGTATGATGGATGGTTCTCGTTGCGACGGGGTGTCTGGTGGGGTGGACTTGGAGTGTTGATGTTCAAGTTGGCTCGGTCTGCGGAAGGTGAAGGTGGAAGGTGTCAAGTCGCCGGGAGTGGAGACGCTCGGACCACTTGTAAACAGCAGAGGGGAGTGCTGTCTAGTAGTAGTATTAGGGAAATTCCAGTGGAAGCCAATATTATTATTCAATTGAGGGAAATTACATCGAGAGGAAGCAGGTACTAGTACTACCTAGGTAGTATCGCTCAAGCGTAGTTAATTCAAGTTGTTCGCCGATTCAAGTTCAACTTTTAGTTAGTATTAGAGACCTACTAGTACTAGTAGTAGTGGAAATATATACAGCCAGGTAGAAGCCAACTTCCACTTAGAACAGACCTGGGATTCGCCTCAATAAGATGAATAGTTCGTAAATACCGAAATAGTAGCTATATAAATACTATATATTCATGAAAATACTGCAGTAATACCACATCATTATTCAAATACGGTTGGAGCAACAGTGTTCCAAACCTTCCTGGCAGGACCCCATCAAAACCATAATTATGACCAGGTAACAGAATATAGAGTACTACTGCAAAGATTAAAAAAGTACTAGTATTTTCTTCAAATATACTAGCACTATGAATACCAAGAATATAAAGAGCGGACAGCGTATTGATTAATATGTAAATGTAGGTTAAACCTCAAGTTTTAAATATAACGATAGGACATGAAAATAGGCGGTGAAAATATACAGTTGGGGTAGAAGCATGTAATATAGCATAACATGAACAGAGACCAGAAAATAAAAAGTCAAAGTCAACTTGAATTATCGAAGACAGAACAGGGTGGTATCAAATCAAATCCGAAAGGACATCACAAATCACAGATCTGAGGGGTGTGAGAAGAAAAATGAAAGGAGGAAGAAGGAAGGAAAGAAATGTGGATGGATATGTAGATATGGGAACGAATGGTGGGGGACCTTTTCTTGTTTTTGAAGGTCGGGTGAATTGAGTTGAGTGAGAGAGAGGTGGAAGGGGTAAATGTAAAATGTAAAATGTAAGTGTAAGTGTGAGTGTGAAAAACAACGCTAGAAGAAAAGGAAATCGAGATCGAAAACGAAGCAGACATCAACTAAATGACACGGGCATGATTTTCAACAGTCTAAAAGATGATCACGGGGGAAATGGAAAACGGAAGGGAGAAGAGGGAGGGGAGGGTGGATTCAAGTCGAGTTTGAAATGAGTGGAAAGGAAACAAGATCAGATCTCCGGCTGAGGTTGAGCCTGAGCCCGAATCTCATTTTCGACCTCGGTATCAATCTCAGTCTCAGTCTCCTCGCCTTCATCCTCATCATCATATTCACCCTGGCCCAAAACCTCAGCATCAGCATCAGCATCGACATCATCCTCACCAAGCCCCCCAATTTCAGCCAACGCATCCGCATCAGAAGTAATTCGTGGACCGAATGGTCCATCCTTGGGTGAATCAGAAACAACCCCATCAACCGTACTCTCAACATCATCCGCAAAGCTACCCTCCTCGTAATTCCCCGGCTCCGCATCATGGTCATAACTCGAGCGACGAAGTAAAGGGGGTGTCTTGGGCGGTTCAGCGATAGAAGCCTGAACCTCCTGACGAGTCGAGCCACGGCGCGGAGTAGAATTGAGTCCTCTCAACGGCCGAGTCTCAAAAGTGGTGGGAGTAGATCGACCCGGTCCCTGTCCCTGTCCCGGTCTTCCAGCAGCGACAGAGCCACGCGGAACATTGGATCGCGCATGCGAACTGGGCGGAGTCAAGAGTCCGGAGAGAAAGCTTCCCGCATTGCTGGATTTAGACGGAGTGTTCTCGGCAGAGCCATTCCCATTCGCCGCGTCGCGGGATTTGCGCCAGTTACCCCAAGCCGCGGCTGCGGCGAGGGGAAGGGCGGCGCGGGGAGAAGCGGCAATGTCGGAGATGGAGGGTAGGGAAAGGGGGGAAGAGTGGCCTCCTGTAAGTGCGCGTTCGCGCTCTTGTTGTTGCATTTGGAGGTTGGCTTTTAGGCGGATTGCGGCGTCGCGGACGGCGTGTTGGTTGAAGTTTGGCTGGGAGACTGTTTTGATTATGTCTGTGAGGTCGTCGATGCGGACGCCAAGGAGTTCGCGGAGCCAGTTGATTTCAGTGTCCTTCTCGTTGATCTTGTTTGGTGCGTCTTTGTCTACGGATGCGACTTCTTGCTCGAGTTCTTCGATGCGGGTCTCGCGTTGTTGGAGCTGGTCTTGTAGGACGAAGATGGATTCACGGAGGGCCTGGGGGGAGATGCGCTCTGGCTCATTGGATCCCTGGTTGAAGGACATTGAGGGCGAGTGTGCGTGTCTTGGTGCTGGAACTGGACCGGGGCAGGTGCTTTGCCCTTAGCGGCGGCAGCAGCATGGCGAGCAGCGGACTGGGCGATTTCGAGTTTCTCTTCGAGATGCTGGACGCGCTCTTGGAGATGCTTGACTTTGTCGTTGGAGAGAGCGAGTCGGTCTGTATTATGGGCTTCACCGCGGGCACGATCTTCAGAGGAGTTGTGCAGAGCACGGGCGTGGCGTTCGCGAAGATCGTTGAGCACACGCTCGTGAGTCTTGCGCTGGTCGTCAAGTGCAAGTTCCCGGGACTCCTTAGCAGCAGCTAGAGAGGTCACCCTGACTTCATTGGCTTCTTCCAAGAGCATCTCGTAGCGCTCACGGGAGGTGTCGGCATCCATGCGAACACCATCGAGCTGGCTCTGAAGACGAATGACCTGGGCCTCAAGTTCAGCTCGGACAATGTTGACTTGGCTATTGGAAGCTTCGATATCAGCCTCCATCGCAGTACGTGTGCGCTGGATCTCAACACGGCTGCTTTCACGAGCTTCGTTGAACTCGCGCTCGAAGCGAGCAGCCTTAATCTGCAGGTCGTGGTTTTCGGCGCGCAGGCCTGCGACAGTCTCCTCAAGTTTGACGTTCTCTTGTTGCGATTGCTCGTGGATGAACTTGATCTTCGCAGCTTCCCTCTCTTGCTTAGAAAGTTCAACAACCTCCTGCTCAAGCTGTTCACGCAGCTTAACCTCCCGAGCGTGCGATGCACGAAGCTCATTGTACTTGGCAAGTTGCTCTTCCTCCTTTCTGCGGAAGTTGGCCTGCTCAGTAGTAACATCGGATGTGACAGTCACCATATCATGCTGAAGACGATCAAACTTCTCAGTAATGTTCTGGCGAGCAACCATGCTATCCTCAATACGAGTCCTCAAGTGATCAACAGTCTCATGGAGGGACTTGTTCTCATCCTTGGTGGTCTCAAGCTGACGGCGGAAGTGATCGCTAGAAACACGGTACTCATCCAGAGTTCCTTCGAGGGCAATATTCTTAGAAGAAAGCTCGGCAATCGTGACCTTGAGAGTCTCGCTCTCTTCGCTGAGAGACTCGGTGCGGAACTGCATCTTCTCCAAGTGAGGAATCTTCTCCTCCTTGAATTGCAGGAACCGGGTCTCGGCATCCTCGGCGGCAGCGCTGTGCTGAGCAGCATCCTCTTCAGCAACCTTGAGAAGACGCTGGAGCTCAAGCACAGAGTCCGACGCCTCGCGACGAGCCTTGTACTCAGCCTCGGCGCGGTCATCGGCGAGACGCAGCATGCTCTTCAGCCCATCGATTTGCATCATCAAGCTGTCGGCGCCAATTTCTTCGGCCTCGGACAGACGAGGGGTCTGTTGAGCGAGCTGCCTGGCAAGAGTCTCCTCGAGAATCTCACGCATGTCACCGACCGGATCTTGGGCCAGCTTCTTGATAGTCAAAGCTTGCAGCTCGGCGATGCTCTCCTTCAGCAGCGCCATTTCACTGTGGCTGGAGTGCTGGATGTTGCGGTGGGGGAGTTCATGGGTGAGCAAAGCCTCTGTGACAACACTCTTCAGCATCTCCAGCTTACGATCACGCATGTGGTGAGGCGAACGGTCACGGACAGTGACTTCGCGCTCCTCATCATCATCTTCATCGTCGGCATCGCTGTCCTCCACATCTCCGGAGACACTGCGAATTGCTCTCCTGCTAGCAGATCCAGAGGCAATGGTAGCCACAGAAGTTTGAATGACAGCCAGAGCACGCTCCATGGGGCTAAGACGATCATCGATAGCGGAACCGACAATGTCGTTAATGCGGCGATCGAAGAAGCGGTTCCGGTTGAAGAACTTCTCATCCTCACCGGAGGAGATCATGTCATCCCAATCACTGACATGGTCATTCTCGGTAATGAGATGGCGAACCGGGGACTGGAGACGAGAGACAATGCTCTTCGGGGGAGAGAAGGTGAAGTTGCTCTGAGCGTCGCCATCCGAGCCAATATTGGGAATATCGAGCTTGTGTGTCTTCGGGCCACCGCCAGGGCTGGGGCTGGGAGCCTCGGTTCGGCCCTCTGCAGGACCGAACTGGCGTTCCTTTGTGGGAGCGGAGTCTGAAATCAGCTGGCGTGGCATGGGGGTAGTCTGTCGCATGATACCGACGTCGGAGTCGTCATTGAGTTGATCCATGACAGCGTTCAGCTCATCATCGTCGAGAGATTCATCGCCAGAATCGGAGTGGAATCCCTTGTGCACTTGACGGGCAGGTGTCTTTTCTGGCTCAGGGGTTGGTTGTTGAGCCTTTGGTGGGCTAGCAGTAGCGAAGCGAGAAGCCATAAGACCACCGGTTGGCTTTTTCTTCTCAACAGGCTGGGGCAGCTCGGGTTGGGGTTCGGGCTCTGCAAAGCTGGACGGCTCGACAGTAGTAGGGAAGAAACTGGGAACAGCCGGCTTGAACTCGAAAGGCTTGGCCGTTGCCGACAGTGTGGTGCTCTTCACGGAGCTCTTAGAATCGGAAGGACCATGCGCGGAAGCCTTGTAGTCAATCTGAAGACCGTCTGCAGAGCGCTTGCGCTGGGGTTGCTTGACACTCTCCTCGGTCTCCTCGGCGTGTTCAGCCTGGATCGGAGATGCAGTGTAGGATCTGGCAGCTGCACCTTCGGTCTTGTAATCGAACAAAGTCCAGGTCTCGGCTTCGCTGTGGGGTGTGCCCTTACGTTCAATGGTCTTCTCGTCTGGCGAAGCGTTCTCCTTGCCCTCGGCAACGGCATGAAGCGTAGTCGATGCCTGAGCGTTACCAGTCTCGCCCAAGGGGTGAGTGGAAATGCTATAGCGGGCTTCACCTTCAGCATGACCGATTCCGCGACGAGCACGCTTATGACGATCGGTAGGAACTGGTCGATCACCATCGTTATCAGCGGTCTGGACTTCACCGTCGGCATTCGTAGCTTCAGATTCATCCGGTCGGACAATTGGAATCGCCTTGGACTCCTTCGAAGGTTTAGAGATCTCATTGAGGTCGATATCGCCGAAGATCTTTGTCCGATTGGCAGCTGGCTGCTCGGAGCTAGCGTTGGAGGTGATACTGGCACCGGGGTTGAAAACAGGCGCGTCAACGTTGAAAGATGCCGCAGAGAACTTGAATGCACTTGGTTTGGGAGCCGGGTTGTGCTCGATATGATCGTCCATCATGCCATTGGGAGCAAAAGGGGCAGGAGGAGGAGGAGTAAAGCCGAAGCCTCGGTTCATACCACCAAACTGGAACGCGCTGTTGACGAATGGCGCAGGCTGGGACCCGAAGGATGCGGTTGGATCAAATTCCTTGGCCTCAACATTGAGAGACGAAACCGAAAGCTTGGATTGGTGGCCAAACGACTCGTGGCTTGGCTTGGAATCATGCCACGGGCCGTGATCGGGCAGAACCCCGCGGGTATGGGGGGTTCCAGCAAGGCTAGGGTTGGTATCGATGTCGGAGCCTTCGTGGTGGTTGTTACCCTGGCCGAATTGCTCATGGTAGAACTGGTGTGGCTGTTGGGAGAAAGAGTGCGAGGGATGACCGGATTGGTCGTGCATCTGATGTTGCTCATGCTCTGGCATACCCCAGCGAGATTGAAGCATGTTGGCATTTAGTGCATGATGAGCAGCATCGCGGTCATCCTCTTCCAATTGATGATCAGCAGATTGATCCATGTGATAATTATTGTGGTTCATCTGCTCCAGTCCTCTCTGTAGAGTTTCGCTCAAGTTATGGCCATGACCACGCGGGGTGGGGTGTGCAATCTCAACATTTGATGCGTGGAAGTGATCGGGGGCGTTGACAGGGGTTTGGGGAGTCTGGTATGGCAGACCCTGCTCCTGACCCATGTGCGCAAATTGTGCATCGAACTCATTCTTCCCATCAAATCCACCACCATGGAAGCCACCCTGGTCGTTAAACGCCGACACGGGGGACATGATCGAGTTGAAGTTGTGGAGCGCTCCTGGGGCACCGGATCCGCTTGCCTGGCGGAGATTGATCAAGCTCTGAGGTGTCATGGTACCGTGTGCAGGAGGCGTAGGCTGGAATTGGAAGGGGAAACCGGGCATCATATTCTGGTCCATGCCCATGAATGGAGTCTGGACACTAAATTGCGAAGCCGGCGACGCCAAAGAGCCAATACCAGCACTCGTAGTCGCAGACTGGCCAAAGTTTGGAGAGAAAGGATGAATGGCACCGAGAGGGTTGCTCCTGCCGAAGCGGTTGGGATAGGTGGTGATGCGAGGCCAGGGAATGGCGTTTGAGAAGCATTGATTGATGGCGAAACAGAGGGTTGGGGCTCAGGGTGACCGAAGTCGACACCTAGAGCTCGTAGCTTCGCCTCTTGAAGCTCATTCACGTAGTCATCCCACACAGCCTTGTCTGGGAATTGGATATGAGCCTTTTGGCCCCTAGTTTCCTCCCACAGCTCAGCTGGATCCGGGTACAAGGCACGGCTGAGGCCACCAAGTACAGCGGGTTGGGACTCATCGACCGCATCGCCAATGGTGAAACCGCGGGTATCGTATCCATCCTCCTCCCACTTCTTCATTCGAGCTTCGACATCGGCAGGGGTCAAAAGGTGGATACCGGATTGCTCTGTACCACGTCTATCGTCCGTAGGTAGCTCAATGATGCATGCTTTCCCGCGCCAATTCAGCTTCTTTCTTCTCCTGGGAGTCTGAGCCGCTGATCGATTCACGGGTTCAGGTTTTAACTCCTCCAAGACTCCAGTCTTTGTTTCCTCTTCCATGGTACTTGACGGGGGAGGCGGCAGTGGCTTCTCTGACGGTGATTCGGCATCAAATATCACCTCGCCGGGAGGATGAGATTCCTTGGTATCCGACATTATGTTTTTAGACGGTTCCTTATCGTATGCAAATCCCCAAAAGTCTTCCTGGCGCAAAGTATCGGTGCGCTTGTGCACGGTTTTCTTTCCCTTGGCACGAGCGGCAGCTCTTCGACCGACGAAATCGGAAAGGGTCGGTGTTTTCAGGAGGTCGTTGTCACGGATATTATCTTCCAGACCAAGCCAGTCGTCCGAAAGGTCGTCCGCAAGGTGATTCTGCGCGGTAAAGAACGAGGGCGCCTCGCTTCCGGAGTCGTCGCTCAACCAGTTGCTGCGCTCGGTTCTCGGTTGACCGGAGAGATACTGATTAATCCAATCCTGGGTGAAATCCCGGATCGATTTGCCTCCTTCTTCTACTTCCGCTGGATCGTCAAGATCGGCTGAATTGACTGCGACGCTTGCTCGACGAAGCTCTGGGATTGCGACCGAAGGGGCGGGGGAGCTGGCCTCGGATCCGTGGTCGATGCCCGCAAATTGGCTTAGAGTCAGAGAGAGGCGACGGGTACTCGGCGCGGCATACGGGGATCCCCAGGCTGTGGTATAGTAGACACTGCTCTCTGCTCTCGTGTTCTCGGGAGAGGCAGTCAGAGATTCGACGGGCCGACGGTTTGTCGAGAAGAACGGCAAGGGCGGGGGGTCGAGAGTGATACTCGGGGAGAATTGCTGGGAGGGAGAGCCAGTGTCCGATGGGCTACTCGAGTCTCCTGAGGAGGGAGAGGACAAGAGCAACTCTGGGGCCCGGCGTGAATCGTCAGGCGGGATGCGCGCGTCCTTGGGATGGACCGACGGGGACGATGCCGAAGAGGCGGAAGAGACGGTGGGGTCTAGATCTGATAATCCATGAGAGGTGGGATGGTTAGCATTCCAAGACAGTCTTCAAGGATCTCCCTTTCTTTTCTTTTTCTGGAAGTGGAGGAGGGGTTTCGAGGAATGGGATGAAAGGGAGGATCGCGTGGCGGACGCGGGTAGACCGAGCACAGGGACAGGCACAGGCGATAACTCCCTGGAAGCTGGAATGGAAAACGAGAATATGGAGAAGCATAAAGTGAATACACACCTTCCGTGTCGACTCCTGCAGCAAGCACTTGCTTGCCGCTCCGGTTATTGTCCAGAATGTTGACGCATGGAACGGGCAGTGAAGAACAGACAACCCGTGATTGGCGGTGGGAAGGATCGCGTTACCGGATGAAAAGGAGGGATGTGTAGATTGGGAGAATGCAAATTGGCAGCAGGAGGAGCAGCAAATTGCAGACACAGAATCACAAACACAAGTCACAAATCACAAATCACGGCAAGACCTGAAGCATCGCGGGAGGCGTGGAAAGGGGAAAAAAAAGACGTGTGGCTATTATGTCACGTCACGTTGAACTGGGGAAGTTTACTAGTAGTACACTACTGGCGAACTAAGTCACTGTACTTCCGAGGTGCCCCTTTTCCCCTAATGTACTAAGTACCAGTACTCACCAGTACCTACGGATCATCTCGTTATTCATTCCACTTTAGTCTTTCGTGTTAGTCTTAGCCTTAGTTGAGTAGTGTAGGTGGGCCACCCTTGCCTGGAAGGGATATTCACTCAACGGGACTCTACTCTGCTCTCTGCTGTCTGCTGTCTGCTGCCTGGTTACTCTCCTCTTCTTCTCTCTCCCACTCTCTTTACTCTACCAGTACCCACTCCCTTGCAGCACCCAATGCAATGCCATCACACTGCATCGCAGTCAATGGAACAAGAACTCGAATGGTAAACAAGCAAGTTCGGTTCGTGGGGGCATTTCAGGGGTTGGCGAACCACGGTTTGGTATGACTAAGCTGCATTACTATGACATAGGACTGCACAGTATAACATACTAGAGCTGTGTATACTGTAGAGTATAATATACCTATAGCAATAGAATATATTTACATGTTATAGAAGCAGAGAAAATACGAGTACTATCACTCTACTGCTGCACCATGCACTCTGCACGCTGTCACATTCACATTCACATCGGACACGTCAGGTCAGGCCGAGGTGCCACTCTACATTACATCTACACCGCACTCATGCTGCCCAAGATCACCAAATTAACCAAATTATTATTTCCATTCGGTTCAGTTTCGACCAGATGCAAGACCCCATCCATCTATACGGGGTCCACAAACAAAACATACAAGCAAAAAAAAGGTACAACGAAAAAAAAGTCAAACAGCTGTATCTACCACTCCTCTCAACAGATCCGCTCATTGCTGATCACTGAATCCTTATTTCGGGCAGCTGGTGTCAAACTTCTTCACGCGCTTATCGGTGAAAAGACCCCAGTGCTTCTCATCCTGAGCCTTACCATTGTCACCAATGCTGTCAGGCTTCCAGGACTCATCAAAGGCCTCGAAGTAGAAGAGATCCACGTTCCACGCCAGCATGCCGCAGATACCGTGCTTCCAGAAGGTCTTCGCATTATCGGTGCCGGCCTTGGCAGCTTCGTAGTCGGAACCACCATCTAGAAATAGTCAGTTATTTGGTTCATTTGACGGATCACAGAGTCAGTCTAGTACATACCCGTAGGCCAGCCAGTCTCGCCAGTAATAACGCGGATCTTGTCAGCATTGCTTCCGGCAATCTTCTGGATGTGCTTCATGGCACCGGTCATATCATCAAAGTAAGTCTGGTACGCCTTGTCGGCGGCGGTACCCTGCCAGTAGGCAAAGGCATTGGCGAGAACATAGGTGACCATGGGGTTGTCATCGGTGTTGGTGGTGAACAGGTCGTCGGCGGTACCATCGGCGAACTTGTTCCAGGAGTCGGCAGTACCGACAGTGGTGCTGGGGAAGGCCTTGCCAACGGTGCTGATGTACTTGTGGAGCTGGGGTCCGGTCAAATCACCACGGTACAGGGTCTCGGATCCGACGGTGATGGCCTCGACCTGGCTCTCGTAGCCGGGGATGTACTTCTTCAGGGCGGCGAAGTCCTTGACGAAGGAGGGGTCGCTGGTGCTGGTGTCGCTCTTGTCCTGGGCGCCGACCCTAGCAGAGAATAAGTGTGTTAGAGGGAGAATTGGTGGTGGTGCTGGCGGGGAAAACATACCAGATACCCAGAACAACCTTGAAGCCCTTGGACTTGGCAGCAGGGAGGATCTCTTTGGGGGTGTCGCACTCGCTGCCGGAGTAGGTGCGGACCAAGGTGGTCAGGTCCTTCAGGGCCTCAAAGTCCTTTTCGTAATCATCGGTGGTCTTGCAGTCACCGCTGGGCAGCTTGTCGCCAAGGGAGAATCCGAGGGTACCTCTGGCTGTCACGGCTGGGGCCGCGGCCAGCATGAAAGGAAGAATGCTAGAAACGCGCATGGTGGTTCGTAGAGGCTCGAATCGAACCTAGAGAGAGTGTGGGGGAGGAGGAGGAGGAGGAGGGGAAAGAATTGATCGAAAGAATGTGGTTGACAAGAAAGGAATGTAAAGGGTGGGAAAGACGTGAATGGAAAGAGAGAACGTCAGATCAGATGTGGAGGAGGAGGAGAGAAGGAGACCAACAACATCAGCCTGTCCAGCCTGTTCAGCCTAGTCAAGGGTCGTCCCTGAGAGTCCCTGGGAGTTCCCTTTGTGGGGCTAATCCAGGGGTTGCCCAATAGGATCCCCTATAGATGAAACATCCAAGGGTCTGGACTCCACTCCTTTTCACGAACTGTGCTGTTACACCGTTTGTTATGATCTTTGGTTTTGAGGCTGGGCAGATGCAGAGGCAGATGCAGCGCAGCGCAGTTCAGTGCAGTGCAGCTCTACACAGATCTTTGGGTACACATAATTAGACACTCGCCCTGAGCACCTGCATTAACCGAGTCTTGCGGTCGGATGTCCCCGATGCAGATGCAGCAAGGGATCCATCTGCCCAATGGAACAGTAATAACGTAGTAACGATTACTAATTCATATTCAAGTCACGATATGGATATCGGAAGACTATTTTTATAGAGTATCCATGGATATCATTGTGAGGTTCGCGTCAAACTTAGCCTTTCCATGACCATGGTATGCCCGATCTATCCCAAGATTCTAGCACGATCATGGATGATTTCCCACAAAGAACTAATGGTGTATTGAATATTTGAGCTTCAAGTGATAGATATATAGTCCTATGGCATTGACATGAAAACTTGAACAAATGATGAGATTTAGCTTTCATACAAGCTCGCAGCACTGTCAATTTCCGACTTCTCGTCCCTCTTTGTTTTCCACCCATGATAGATGTAGGGCAATGACTTTATATTGGTACGTAGTTTAACGTGCAACGCGCAGTTAAACATGTCCTAAATTTACTAAGGGCCGCTCAATGATGGGCCTAGGCCCTCTTTATTTTCCACTTCATTGGTGGACTCGCCTTGTTTTCTTCTTTGTGTGCGCCTTTGCCCTCTCCATTCTCTCTCTGTCTCTTTCTCTTCATCACTCTCTGCCTTCAGGGTTTGACGCCACCTCGGGCGCTTACCGTGCCGCGCGACTCGCATTCCCCAGACAAACCCTCGTCCACCTTAGTACGCTCGGTATCACTCAATTCCTCATTGACACCTCCGCGCATTCAAAGGACGTTTGTTCTTGTTCAAGTCGCCTGCTTCATTGTCAGGTTGTTAGCTTCGAGTTCGGCGCCGATCTCCTCAAACGGACTCGACCAAAGCTGAACTTTCGGCCCCTCCCCGAGCTCATCGAATAGAATGTCATCTTTTGTCACAAGTCGTTTTTTTCACTTTGCGGTATCTGAAGTCAGCTCGGAATTTCTAGCATGAATCAGATTTCTAAGCTCCAGTGAACTCGGCTCGGAGGAACGAAAATCATTGGAATTCAGACAGGCATCAAGCACCACAGCGTCCAGCAACCTTGCTTGTAACATGGTTTAACCAAAAGGTTCTCAATAATGATCTTCGAGATTTCAAGAAAATTCTAGAACTTGACCTAAATTATCCCTTTCCACGAGAAAGTCAAGTATAGGAGAAGAAAAGAGAACAAAAAAGGGAACTATGTACCAAGATAATGATAAACATGTTGAGGCCCTCCGAGTCTAGTGCCAATCTGGGAACCGCTTCCGACCAACATAAATGGGTGCGTTCTTGCCGGCGGCCGCCGGGTTTCTGAAAGCTAGAGGAGACAGCTCTGTCAGGACTGTTCCGTGAAGATGGCTCGCCGCTCCTGACTGGGCAACCTCAAATCTTGAGTGCTCAGTATTCATAATATCACGCATTATTTGCTGCCCAAGAACAGCAAGCGAGAAGCTTTCGTTGAGCCGGCTTCTGTCCGTCCATTGAAACTTCTCCAAGGATTGAAGAGCGAAACGCACAAAATGCTGGCAGTTGGCGGTCAAGAGAGCATATTTGTCACCGGCGTACTCAGGGTTAGGGTAGACAGCCTGACGAATAGCTCGTTTCCTCAGGAAGATCCGTAGGATCCATTGAACTAGAGTTATTGGTAGTATCAGTAATAGCCAACAGGCATCGAGAATAAAGACTTTCGGGACTCACGATGCAGAACGAACTCCTGTAAATTGAAATACATCACCTTCTCTTCAATCCCAGGTTCGAGGACTTGCTTGAACTCGTCCTTACAGATCATGTTCTTCCATAATCCTGCTCCGCCCTCTCCAGGAGTTCCCCAGACATCCTCCAAAATCAGATCACTTGATGTGTCCGTCAGAAAATTCATTCCGAAAACTCTGTACATAGGCCCCTTGAAGAAGTCAGTAATGCAGACTTTTTTAACAAATTCAGGTAGCACTACATACCTTATCACTGCTGGAGCAGGGTCGAATGTAGACCGCCCAGTGTGCAAGACGCTGCTGAGCCGCCTCTGGAAAATTGTTGACAATTTTCCAAGGGTTGTATGCCACGCCAACATACCAAGCCTCTCGTTTGTAAACCGCATCAATGGGCATTTCATGTATACTGGAGCCATTTTTCTGATAAAAAGCAACCTGAGGCCCGGAATGTATATCAAAAGAGAAGGAAACTCGAGGGTCAATTTGATCTCGACCAGGCCATGCCAGTAACCGCCCCGTCTTGCCTTCTATTTTGTTTCTAGAGAAGATTCCCATCACTACCGAGGGCGCTATTGACTTTCAAGGCGCACACAGTTTATCCGCGATATGGATGCAAGGTTCTGAATATGGAGGTAGAGGGTCAACAGCCGAGATAAAATGGCCAAATGAGCCGAACAGCATTTGAAGTAGGAATATCAATGCAAACAAACCGAGGACTCTGTATGTTGAGAGAGTTGCCACGGCGAGTTTTCTCGTTATCCTTTCTAGAAATGGGTGAATGAGAAAGGGCGGGGCTTTTCAATCGGAGGAATGGAGGTTACTTTGGACCATCTTCCTTTTTGCTTTTTTTGTTAATTTGAATGCTGGTCGCAGCAACGTCATCCCACATGCGCAAGTCCTTGGCCCCATTGATATGTTAGTACATACCAGGGCTTTCAAGGCCAAACTGATTCTCAGGCCGTAGCGCTGTCCGTGATCTTACGTTATCCATTTTTTATGCCCTTTGGATTCTAGACATATCATTTCTTGAGCCCTGTATTTCCAAATAATACCAATAGTGAAAACATTTGAAGGGGTTTCTCATTTCTAGCAAGGGAGTGTAGTGAGGTTTCAAACGTATTTAGCAACATCTTGGAAGACGAAGTTTGGTTTTTTAGCAGTCAATACTATGCTACCTCGGGGTACGAGGTAGCATCTGCAAGGCTGGAGGCCCAACATAGCCCCTTCACAGTCAGACCTGGCCACGTAGCAAGACGAAAGTTGCTTTTTTATATTTGCTTTTTCACCTAGCAACTAATACGAGGTGACACTGTCAGAAGGCATCTGCAAGGCTCAGCCTTGCAGATGTTATTGGGCTATTTTGAGCCGCCAGGCTGGCGGCTCAAAATAGCCCCTTCTCAGTTATATCTCGCTACGTAATAAGACGAAATTGCCTTTTAGCAGGACGGCGTAATATCTGCACTGCTCAAGTCCTGCTATCTATAGCTCTCTAATATTGTTTCCATGATTTTGTTCACCAACTTGAAGCAACCACATACAGTTTATTCCACACATTGTGGGTTTCGTTTCACGCCGAAAGAGGCATGTGGTAGCTCCTTAATTCATTTGAAATACATATTCAAGATTGCGGGACGCCCGGGTGTCGTCTTATCACCGTGCTGGTTTCAAAATCCAGAAAAGGACTCAAAAGGTGATTGGAGAGGTATGAATCCCACGACTCAACCCTCGCAGAGCTCGATACACTACCGGTGTAGTACTTTAACCCTAAAAGGAAAATATACACTTACCAGAATGACGAAGGACCCCGATAGACTCGAGAAACTTCATTTCCCCAGGGTCCTCATCTTACTCGATATCAGTTGCACTAGTCCAAGTCTCCAAGATCCACAAAGAATAATGAAATGGCTCTCATTTCTCGACTGAGAATCAACGGGTCGGCAATTTCTCATACCCTCCAGATTTGTCTCGCTCATATCAATAAGGATGTTATATTTTCTACCGTGAGGAAGCTCCTCCCGCTCCATGTGGCGGCCTGGGAGGTGGCGCATTTGTCCATCAGTCAGATGGTTAATGCGTCCCCTGGTGAGGAACGGACACAACTCATGAAAAGGTGGAGAGAATCTGCACTTTCTCAGTTGTCCCAAGTAGGGATCATTGTAAGTTCACTTGATATGGCTGCTTCGAAATCACTGGGCAGATAATAAACTAAATGCTCTTATCAAGGGGGCAGTAATGAGCGCCGTAATCGTCGGGTCGTTCTCATGGCCTGCATTATCGTCAGTACATGTCGTGCCGCTTACAATGATTCGCATTGCGTGGTACAGCAGTCTCATCTTGGCCATTGCTGCTGTCGCAGTTGGACTGCAGCAAAGTGTCTTTCTTATTAGAGTTGGATCTTTGTTGAATTGTGAATTCATAATCCAAGAGCTCCTCAGTTTCAGGTCTCCTGCCGGCCAACATGTACCCCGTTGGGACCAGGTTTTCATCTGGCAGGCCGCAGTGGGCTTACTAGAGTGGAGCATCTTTCTCTGGGTGGGCGGTTATATTGTCTTTATCGGGGATCTTACCAAACTCTTCCAAGAGGCACAGGAAAGATCGGATCAGGTGGTGAGCAGCACCTTCAACTCCCGATACATAATCCTGATTACTCAATCGCACACTCTATATAGGTTGCCGGCTTTTGTTTTATTGCTATTCTGGGGGCAATCATAGTCTATTTAACCAGTATGCTCCGTCTTTGGTATTTCGCATCCGTTTGGAAATTCGATTATACCTAAGTATATAGTACATTGGATAAAAAACTTGGAGACTTTTTTCTCCCTACTTTCTATATTTCAATACCAGTAGATAGCCATGGTTTAAGTAAATCTATTGATCCCCCCCCCCCCCCTATTTACATCCTATATCTAGTTATACTGCATTGCTTAGCTTAATTTCTAGAGCATTCCATATCCAAGGAACAGTTTAAGAGTGCAAGTGGTGGCACCAGTTTCGGGACGACCTGTAGAAGAACAGTAGATATGGAAAATGCAAGGATTTGATTTGTCATGAATACCGCTACATCAGACAGATTATCAAATGGTGCTCAGATTGCCATCTATAGACTAAGGAGACTCGTTCGTATGTCCAGCATGCGTTATGGGTTGCAAAAGAAGATTGGAAAAACGCTCTAATTAGTGATGATGTGAAAAGACACCCTCTTCTGCAATTGACTTCCGACACTCTTCCATAATGCGAAGCTGCTTAGCAACATCGCCGAGTCGGCTAATAACTTCCTTATTTCCGTCGTAGAAGGTGAAGATAGGGTATGGAATCTCGGTCTCGCGGCAGAATTTTAAAATATACTTTTGGGCCTGGCAGAGATTGTGACGTGGCATGCGAGGGTAAAGGTGATGAATAGCTTGGAACTGCAGGCCGCCATGGAAGAAGTCCAACCATGGGGCACAATCAACGTCCATAGTGGTGCGCAGCATCTTCTGAGGGAAGGATTCGTGTACACTGAGATTGGCAGTCGACATGGCGAAATGTGACAGTGTGATTTGAACATGCAAGGGGGACGGGATAATGTGGGACACCAAGAGGAAGAGCACGCGGCTACTCCAGTCGGGAAGAGTCTTATAGAGCACGAGGTAACCGTACCAATACCAGAAGACTACCTGGCCAACAAACTCAAGATAAACGTGCCACCATGTCGGGCCCTTTTTGGGGGCCTGGCCCTTCAACAAGTACTCCCAGCTGAGGCGAGTGAGATTAAAGCGCGCCAGCATCATGATAGGATAATAGGTATAGTTCTGGACCTTAAGCAAGAACTGGGAGGGCACGTCGAAGGTCATTTCGCGATCATAGTAGGTGCTCCGCATGCTGTCAAAAAAGCGATGGGAGATGCCAAAGAACGGAATGTGTTGAATATCGGGGTCGAGAATGCGTATAATCCTCCGAAGTAATCGATAGTAGTTGGTTGTATGCCTGTATGTGTTCAAACGGCATTGGTAGTTCCAAAAGAATGTATTCAACGGATGACAGTGTGTTCACCAGAAGAGCCCTAGGTAAGGTTCACGGGCTTCCCTCTCATCCAGATAGATCCAGAATGTAGGAATGCTACTCTACTGTGCGAGGTAACTGTTTGAAGGGTAGAATACACAGATCAGTCGCCACGTGTTGGCGAATATAGGGCTCCAACATCTGCTGGACCAACTTTGTCAAGACAGGCTTTGATGGAGTTTTAGTATGTTTGAGTTGATTCCCAGCAGCATCTGTGCGAGTATTAGACCATGTTTCAAAATTTCACCGCTAAGGTAGAAATGATGTACACTCACCTGTTGAGCACCTCACTTCAAATTTCCGACCGTTCTTTCCCGTGACTACAACATCATTTCCTGGGCCTGGGAGGAAAGCATTAGTAGGCCTTCCTAGTGGTTGAGAAATAAATAACTAACATGTTTTGCCGACAGGGGCTTCGTCAATTGAACCGTTCTCGTGATTCTTCAGGTCAGCCTTGCAACCATCGAGGTCGGCTTCGATTTTGTGATGAGCATCCTTCAGGTTGTCTAGTTCATTCTGAATATCACCCTTCTACCGCCGGCAGGTCTTGTTGTTGGTATCCAGTTCGTCCTTCTCTCGCAGGCAGGACTTGCTCTTGGTGTCTAGGTCATCTTGCTCTTGCCGACAGGCCTTGAGCTCAGCTTCCAGCTCACGATTTGCATCCCGAAAGTCGTCTAAGTGTCTCTCAGTATGCTCATTGTATTCTTCTGTGGCGTCGAGTTGACGTCTCAGGGCGTCGAGTTCATCTTCACATGCTTGTTTTTCATGTGGACAATCTGACTCCTCTTCTTTCGGCGTGTCGCCCACTGTACCAGTAGGCTTTAGGTAAATGGAGCCGCGAGAGTGGTAACTTAGGTTTACCCTAGTGCTGTAAAGTAGGCATCGATTCTTCGTGTATTGCCAGACTGCATTAGAGCAATTAGTACCACACTTCGCGGCGCATTCTTCGGAAGACTTCGCGTTCTCTTCGATAGGATCAGTATCACTGGATGCCTTCACGCGGCAAATATATTCCGCTGTGATACCGTTGTTGAAGGTTTTTGTTCCCTGTTCTTGGCCAGTGGAACAAAGAGACCGAAAGTCGTCTAGGGATGATTGAGCCCAGCCACGAGAAGCCAAGAAGGCCAGCACGGAAAGTGATTCGAATCTCATGATTTAATCTCATGATTTATTTTGAAGTCAAATAGATAGAAGAGTAGAAGTTTGAATCTTGGGATCAATTCTACTGTTTCCTTCTATCATGGGTTGGCAATCTTTTATGTCGGGCCCACGGATTGAGAGACTCATCTGGACTATACCAAATCGCATTCCAAACCATTAGATATGAAGTACTGAATCTTGAAAGAATACTAGTATTTAGCCCTGATTTTGTAAAGAAAATTGAACGAGGTCAAGTTATATCATGCACAATAAGCTTGGAACCGTGGATTATGCTAGCCGGCAGCTGTAATGCTGTGGTTCACTAGACAAGTACAGCTGGGATGTACAGTATGCTTCTGTAAGGGATCTTCTGTGACTAGCTGGAAGGAAGATCTTCAATATCTCTCCGCTACCCCGCATTACTGAGTCAACTATTTCGTCCCTGTGTCATGTCAGCCTTTCTCTCTTCTAGCCCCGCTACAGGTACAGATGTGATGTCAAGGTGTGCCCCGGAGTCACTTTGTTCAGAATAAACAGTATTATACTAGCAGTCAAATGCCCTACATAGGAAATTACAGGGGTCGCGCAGAAAGGACTCACTTAGCTCTATCGAGCCATTTTATAGTGAAAATTTGATGGTACATCCATGATTTGAATGCCAAATGGGGCAAATATTCATCTACTATGCCAAGTCTAGACATAAATTACTCCTAGTATCCGACCAGTAAACCCCAAACTCCATTCTCCATTGCACAAATGCCAAACAGGAGAATTTAAAAGATAATATGCCTCTCGTCCCGGTATATGTCGCGTAAAATCTTTAACTGCGTCACCGACATCGAGTGCGGCAGAGCACCGGGTAAATCGATAATAGCCCGGTGAAGAATGTACACACCGAACTGGCCCCAGAAACCGATAATGCGATCACCCGAGTTGTACAGCATTGACTTGATAAGCATGACATGGGTATCTGTGATCTCGGCCGTAGGGATGGAGAGGAGTTTCCGAATAGAGGACCAGAAGATCGTATTCGGGAACGGATTTTGACGTTGCGCTTTGCCAAAGTTGCGAAGTGTGATTGCGGCAAACCCACCGCCTACGGCAGTCATACGGTCCAGATGTTGTTGTTCGCCGATATGTTTGCCTAATTCTCTTCGCCAGCCTAGCGCGTCTCGACCAGCCTCGGTATTGGGGTTGCCGTTGAAGCCCCACAGGGCTGGGCAGATGAAGCGGATCTTTGCCCAGAGGATGTCGGACATGTGGATTCCGTTGTACATGAAGTTTTGCATTGAGAAGATTTGGGCGGCGATGATACCGATTGGTTCGGCGTGGGCGGGGTGGAGGGATGCTTCGTTGATGAGGCCGGAGATGAGCTTTTTGGAGAGGATGTGTAGGCCGTAGATTAGGAGGGCGGGCACTGGATGTTCTGTCTGGGCGATATTTTTCGGGGGAAATGCGAGGAATTGTCGGACGTCGACTGTGGGTTCTGGGACGGTGAGAGCTTGTTCAAGCTCGATGCGAATGTCCTGGGTCTAGGAGGTTGAATGAGTTAGCATTTTACAAAAGTTGTACACGTAGAGAGAGAGGGAGAGAAGAGAGGGGGAAACGAATTGCGTACCTGTTTCTTGTTCGTACCCTTTCCATCGCGAAGTTGACCAACACACTTGGTAATGTTACGACGCATTAAACCAGCACTCTTCTTGAACGCGGGATTCTGTTTGCCATAGTCCTCGAGCAGCCACTTGCGGAACTTCTTTAGATCCTGGTGCAGCTGAATATATCGCTCATGCACTTTAACCTCCTCGGGGGTGAGTGTGCTACCGCCGAGTTTCTTCTGTTGTTGAGCTTGTTGCTGAGCTTGTGCCTCACGCTCAGCCTCCTCCTTGACTTTCTGGGCATCTTCCGCTTCCTTGCGCTTAGCAGCTTCTATGCGCTCGCGCTCTTGGCGTTCTTTCAGTGCTTTCTCTTCGGCTGCAGCTTTGCGAGCTTTCTCAGCCTCTTCCGCGGCCTTTTTCTCCGCGGCTAATTTTGCTTGTCGTTGAGCTTCGACCCGGGCGGCCTCTTCTTGCTCTCGGCGGAGTTTCTCGGCCCTTTCACGCTCAATGCGCTCTTGTTCTTTGCGCGCTGCTTCTTCTTTTCGTCGGCGCTCTTCTTCCTCAGCGCGGACGTACTCTTGTAAGGTCTCTTCGGCTTCCTGGCGGACTTGCTCGTGGTAGGCGGCGGCTTCGTCGAGGGCGGCTGTGTGGACGGCTTCGCGTTCGCGGTCGACCCGGTCGAGATTTTCGTAATAGGAGTTTAATTCATATTCTTTGACCTTCTTCAGGTCTTCGTTGAAAAGTCTCACGTTCTCGAATTCGCGGGCTAGTTCGAGGACGAGTTGTTTGGATGGACTGTCCAAAGGTGGGACGTGGATCTTTGGTCGCGTCATGGTAGTGTTTTCAAACTCGGAGTGAATATGAGAGGTGTGGGAATGGTCGCTGGAGCTGAGTCTTCAGCCTCAAGGGCGCGGGTGGGGAGGGGAGTTGATACACGCGGCAAAGAGGAGATGGGACGAATGGGCGGAGGGAGCGGCGGGAAGAGGTGCGGGCTAGCTTGGGAGGGGATGTTTTATTCAAGGAGAGAATCGAGTCACGCGGGACATGGTCAATTGGTGCTTGAATGGTGACTTGTGGTGGTCGTGTGGGTGTGGTTGAGAAGTTTGGAAGTTGTCGCAGCTGTCAAGGATCCGAGTCAATTTGCCCAGCCACGTAGATGAAAGAGCGACAAGTGGCCCTATGGGTTACCAACGATGGTATCAAAGGAGGGAATGCAAAGTCGCCAAATCAATAAGGACAGGGAAGCTATCACTGGCAGGAGTATAGAGCCATAACCATAGCCAACAAGGTCCGAAAGGGTAAACTGACACTGATACTGATACTGATACTGATAGAGAAGCAAAATAAAATACATGAGTCAGCAAGACCCACCACCAAGTTTGGTTCTTCTTTGCATCATAGTGATTGTGAGCATCATCCACTTTCTCCAGAGCTATAGCTCTAGCTAGCTATACCTAGCTATACTTAGCTATCGCTAGTGGCAGTTTACTGTTAGATATACTTGGTTGTACCACTTTCCAGCTGCCTAGGGTTACTATTTATCTTTCTTGATCCCGTAAACCCTGTATCAACTGATCTTGTCGCAGCCACTCGGACTATTCCCTTAGCGCGAGCCTGTTGCTCCAGCTTAAATGGCCCTAACGCCGCAGACTTATTACCCAATTGTTTTTGATGAACTGGACTCCATAATTGAGAGGTATAATACCGGAATAACATAATAGAAGTAGACTTTCCGGCTTTGGGCACTTCAGGATGGACATCCTCAGTGCTGCATTGGGATAATGATGAGGTGGGCAATGGAGATCATCCACCGCATCCGCCATGGGAGAGTGTTTGTGGCGGGTATGAACGGGTAATAACGGGCCGGAGTGGTGTGAAGCGGTGGCTGTTTACCAGTAATGACCGTACCATTTCCATACATACGTATCCCCCCACACCCGCTTTGTATGGATCCCATCATCACCTTTTGTCTTCTCCTTTCCCCCTCCTCGACTCCCCTTCTCTTCTTCCCCATCTCTCTCTCTACTCTCTCTCTCTCTTCCCACCCATCGTTCCTTCAGTTCGATTCGGTTGATGCTTGCATCCTCCGTCCTATCCCTCTTAACAGCTCTTGTTGTCATTCTCTTCGGGGACGTGCAACCACTTCTACCCGTTTGCTAGAAATCCCGGCAATCCTCGCCGACCAGAGCTCTCCAAAGCTTCCTGTTTCGCCCTCTCGAGGCTCAACCCCGCCGGCTTTCGCCATTGAGTGACAATTCTGATTTCATCCCACACCTTTTTGTGCCTCGGTGTCGTCGCCGTGCGTTCCTCTGCACCGTAACGTCATCCGCCGCCTCGGTCCCTCAACTCCTAATCTTGAATCGAGCAAGTCTCGTTCCTTTCATTCGGTTCGAAGGACTTCCCCGTCCCAGGTGCTTTGAGCGTACAATTGACTTCAACTGTCCGTTGCGCTCTCGTCACTCTGACCGCCGACTTCCTTTTCACCGCTCCATTGGCCTCTGGTAAATTTCATCCCACGTTGGAACTAGGCTCAGACGTCATTTTGGAATGCTAGGGCTCCGAGCTTGTCATTAGTTTCTCTTCCAGGTAAGGGCTTTCTTCTTGAGGTGTTTTGGCCTTCACGCAGTGCCATCCACCGATCCCCGATGAACAACTGACTTGCGTGATGCCCTCGTTGGCTGCCCATCGCCCCTCCCTGTTCATCCCCTCCTCCTCCCGCCTCCCACACCTCCCCAAACAATCACTTCCACTCCTTAAACTTGTTTGCTTGTTTGGACACCTTGCCCCGCCGTGGAACTCGATCATCGTAACTGCCAACTTCATACACTTCCCCTACCTGGCACCTTCTGTTATTGATTCCCATTCACTCCACCGGGCCGTCCATCCCTCTCCCGCCTTTACCATCCCCATTTGTTTTCATCCCGGAATCTCTCTTTCGCCCTAACTAACCCACTCGTTTCTCTCCACCACTACAGTTCATCACCATCCTTGTGTTGAAACTTCGTACTTCGAACATACTCAACCCATTTGCGATCGGTTTGCGATCTAAACAACTCGGTTCGATTGCCTTTGGAGGCAACGCCAGTCACTCCTGAATCCGGATCCTCTCCGACACTTCGCATTTTACACACTTCCATAATCGCCGTCTTCATCTAAGGATCATGGATCAACAAGGCGGCCAGTCCGGGGTACCAGGCCCCGGTGGGCGCAAGCTCCATATTGCTCACCGGAGAAGTCCCTCTGAGCTGACTCCTTTGATGAGTATGTCCTCCACCCCCTGACCGAGAGTTGTGGTGCACCTCAACTAACCACCTCGGGTGTTTGTAGTGGAACAATTGGCCATTCAACAACAGATCGAGCTGCTTCAGCAGCAACAGCAGCAAATTGCAGCTACACACCAACAATACGTAAACATGGGACTGTTGCAGCCTCAACAGCTGGGCCAGGTTAACGCTTTCCAACAGGGTGGCAACATGGGTGGTGTGAACCCCCAGGTCAACGCCTTCCAATTTCCGCAGCAACAGCAACAGGGACAACAACTGAATGTTCCCATGAACCAGCCCGCCCAACACTCGCACCGCCGTAACCAATCCGCCCTTCCGGGTCTCCCTATGGGCCCACCTCCTGCCCCCTCCTCCGGAGCTTCTGGCTATGCCGACTTCCAGCAACAAGGACAGAACCAGAAGCCTGAGAATAACGGCCACGGCCGCGGTCGCGGAGGTCCCCCCTGGCGGTGGCCACCAACGTCGTCACTCCCTTGCTCTGCCTGAAGCTAAGAAGGCAGCTGAGCTTGCTCAGCAAAAGAGAACTGCTTCTGGCTTCCAGTTCCCCGCTCCTTCCTCCGGCGGAGCCACATCAGAGAACCAGGCCCCGTCAGACGATAATCCTGGCTCCAGCACCTCCCCAGCACCCCAAGGTCTTGGTATGCAACGGGCCGGAAACATGCGAGCCGGCGGCCACGGCCGGAGCCAGTCCATGGCTATCGGTGGTAACCGAGGTTCCATTTCAGGCCGTGGTGCAGGTGGTTTCCAGTTCCCAGCACCCAGCGATGGGGGCTCCGCTGATAACCAGCGCCGAGGCAGTCAGCCCGGCGGCCATGCTCGTTCGGGATCCCGTAACTTTGATGGCAACTGGCGCCAACCCAACAACCAGAACCAGGGTCAAGACCAGCAGAAGTCCTTTGGTCAGCAGCAGCAGCAGCAGCAACAAGGTGGTTTCCAGCCTGGTCACCGCTCGCGGGGCTCCGTCAACCAGTCGATGGGATCCATCGGCCAGTTCCAATACCCCGGCCAGCCCCAGCTTCTCCAGCTGCCACAGGGCATGGTCATGGCACCACCCATGTTCGCCGGCAACCAGCAACTGAACCCGATCCAACTTGCCCAGCTCCAGGCTATTCAGCAACAGCAGCAGAACGGACAGGGCCTGGGCGGTCTTCAGGCTAGCCAGCACGCACCCCCTCAGCTGTCTGTTCAGCAGCAACAGCAGCAGCAGCAACAACAGCGCAAGACGCTTTTCACTCCTTATCTGCCGCAGGCTAACCTGCCCGCACTCATTAGCAATGGCCAGCTTGTCGCCGGTGTTCTCCGTGTTAACAAGAAGAACCGCTCGGACGCTTACGTGACTAGCACGGACTTGGATGCCGACATTTTCATTTGTGGCAGCAAGGACCGTAACCGCGCCCTCGAGGGTGATTTTGTCGCCATTGAGCTTCTGGATGTTGATGAGGTCTGGTCTCAAAAGAAGGAGAAAGAGGAAAAGAAGAAGCGCAAGGATATCACCGATGCTCGTTCCGGTAGCAATGCCGGAAACGACAAGCTTGGCCGATCCGACTCCAATAACGAGAAGCAAGAGATTGGTCCGGATGGAAGCATCCGTCGTCGTGGCAGTCTGCGTCAGCGCCCTACCCAGAAGAAAAACGACGATGTTGAAGTCGAAGGACAGAGTCTTCTCCTGGTTGAGGAGGACGAGATCAGCGATGAGCAGAAACCTCTCTACGCCGGCCATGTTGTTGCAGTCGTCGAGCGTATTGCCGGCCAGATGTTCTCTGGAACTCTGGGCCTACTGCGTCCTAGCAGCCAGGCGACCAAGGAGAAGCAAGAAGCTGAGCGACAGGCCAGAGATGGTGCCCACGGTCGCCACCAGGATCGTCACCAAGACAAACCCAAGATTGTCTGGTTCAAGCCCACTGACAAGCGTGTGCCCTTGATCGCTATCCCCACTGAACAGGCTCCCCGCGACTTCGTGGAGAAGCACCAGGACTACGCCAACCGCATTTTTGTTGCCTCTATCAAGCGTTGGCCCATCACATCTCTGCACCCCTTCGGTACTCTCGTCGAGCAGCTTGGAGAAATGGGTGACCTGCGGGTCGAAACTGATGCCCTGCTCCGTGACAACAACTTTGGGTCCGACGACTTCTCCGATGCCGTCATCAAGAGCATTGGCTGGGAAGATTGGACTGTTGCCAACGAGGGTGAAGCCCTGGCCTCCCGCCGTGATTTCCGTGAAGAGACCACCTTCACCATCGACCCGGAGAACACCAAGTCCCTTGAAGATGCCTTCCACGTCAAGAAGCTTGCTGATGGCAAGGTTGAAATCGGTGTCCACGTTTCTGACATCGCCCACTTCGTCAAGGGTAACTCTCTTGTGGACCGCGAGGCCAAGAAGCGAGGTACTGCAGTGTACCTGGTGGACCGTGTTATGAACATGCTCCCTCCCCGTGTCTCCAATGAGCTTTGCTCTCTTGTTCCTGGCGAGGATCGCCTGACAGTCAGTGTGGTCTTCCACGCCAACCTCGAAACTGGCGCCATCGATGACGACGTCTGGATCGGCAAGGGTATCGTTAAGAGTGCAGGCCGTTTCAGCTACGAGGCTGCCAACTCGGTCATCACTGGCAAGTCTAGCGTGACCGGTACTGATGTTTCCCCTGAGAACATTCAACTCCTGAGCACTGTTGCGAACAAGTTCCGGGATGCTCGTTTCGGAAACCGTGTTGCGGACGTTCCTCCATTGCGTCTGATCCAGCAGCTTGATGATGAGAATGTCCCTGTCGAATTTAACATTTTCGACTCCAGCCCGGCCCATGAACTGGTCGAGGAGCTGAGTCGCCAGGCCAACTACTTTGTTGCGCGTAAGCTGTCCAACGCCCTGCCCGACAAGGCCTTCCTGCGCCGCCAGCCGTCCCCCAACTCTCGCCGCCTCACCTTGTTTGTTGAGAGAATGAACCGCCTCGGATACAACTTTGACTCCTCTAGCAGTGGAAGCCTGCAGAGCGCTCTGTTCAATGTCTCCGATGTGGACCTCCGTAAGGTATGTCGATGGAGCGCTACCAAATCCAGATCTGGAAACATTTACTGACAATCTACCTTCAGGGAATGGAAACACTCCTTACCAAGGCCATGCAGCGTGCTAAGTACTTCGTTGGACCCGGCCCTGCCGATGAACAGCGCCAGCACTACACCTTCAACGTGGCCGTTTACACTCACTTTACCAACCCCTCTCGTCGCTATGCCGATGTGCTCGTTCACCGCCAGCTTGAGGCTGTCCTGTCAGACGGCGCCATCGAGTTCACTGATGATATCGAGTCACTGAACAAGACTGCCGATCTGTGCAACAATAAGAAGGACTCAGCTCACAACGCCCAGGAGCAGAGCGTTCACATTGAAGCTTGCCGCAACATGGACAAGAAGGTTCATGAGATCGGTGGCGACCTTATCAGCGAGGGTATTGTTCTTTGTGTGTACGAGTCTGCCTTTGATGTTCTGATCCCCGAGTATGGCTTCGAGAAGCGAGTGCACTGTGATCAGTTGCCTCTCAAGAAGGCCGAGTTCCGCAAAGACTCGCGTGTGCTCGAACTCTACTGGGAGAAGGGCGTTCCTTCTTCTGCTTACATTCCGAGGATGAGCGCCCCAAGCCCGCTAACTCTCGCGCTGCTCAAGCGGCTGCTGCCGCTCGTGAGGCGGAGGCTGCCAAGGAGCGTGCCCGTGAGCGCGACGAGGCCATGCGTAAGCAGACGGAGACTGGTACCATGTCTGCGGACGATGTTGACGCTCTTTTCGATGACGATGAAGAGGATGTCGACGAGGTGACTGAACAAGTTGCTGGTGTCTCTCTGAACTCGACTGACCGATCGACCCAGAGCATGCCTCCGTCGCCTACTCGCAACGGCCACCACCAGCAGGGACCTCACCGCACTCGCTCCGATCCTAAGATCGCCTCGAGCACCAGCGATGCTCCTGAGAACAAGCTTACCAACAAGGAGAAATACCTGAAGCTGTTCAAGCTGAGAGAGGAGGACGGAGAGTTCATCCAGGACGTCACTGAGATGACTCGCGTTCCGATCATCCTGAAGACTGACCTGAGCAAGAGCCCACCGTAAGCTTTCCCCACCATGATACCCCACATAGAGCCTCACTGACCGATTTTCTAGATGCCTCACTGTTCGGTCTGTCAACCCTTACGCCCTCTAAGGATAGTCTCATAGGTGGTTTTTTTTTCTCCTTGGGAAATATTATTGCATGCGTATCCTGCAGATTCTCTGGGCTGTCGTTGAATCCCTGTAATTTTGCAGACTGATTTGACTGACCATACCCACGAACATAATCCTCACCCCTAGGCGCGGATCGAACACATCATTATCAAAGACTTTGTTGTCTCTTGGTACCCTTATTATTCTCTTTGATCGGTGGCTACTCCATTCCAATCAATGGCCTCAGTACCTTCTTCCCCCAATGTTCGACCGCTAACCCCGGGGCTCGTATACTTATTTTTTGTTATATGCTGTGCAGCGGTTGTTTGTCTTTTTGTGAGCATTTCAAACCTTCAGGAGAGAGAAAGAAGAAGAGAAAGTATCCCATGCTTGATCTTGAGCTTGAGCTTGAGCTTGTGTCTTGGTCTTGGTCTTTCTTTAACCCAGTCGATGTCGTCATGGTGGTCATTGATTGATTGCTGGAGAGAGAGATTCGAGGGGAAAGATTGTCGCTCGATAGTTTCCAGAGTGGAATTCAATTAATCCAGGTATTTACATAGTTCTTTGGTGTTGGACCGCTAGTAGTTTGCAGGTACCCGTAGTGCTTGTATCATAGCAGTAAGAACTTGAAGCAGCCCACACTTTACAATTTTAAGCCTTGAGGTTGAATACAGCCTCGAATCCATCCTATTACCTGGTGCGGTTGTTATGCACAAGAATACTACTAGTACAGATCTGGGCATACACAACTTTAAACAGCCAGATACAAAACAAAATACTAGTAACAGAGACAATACTAGTAGGAGAGATAACTCTGATGCATAAATTTCACAATTCAATTCCTTCCTAACTCCAAATAAAAATGCACATCTAAATGTCCCAAACATATTGCCGCACGACCATTGGGTATCAGATTAAAATGACATTCAGGTCCCACCATCCATCCATCCATCCTTTGCAGCCGTAGAAAACAAAATCAAGGAAAAGGAAAATGCAAACAAAACTGGCGGGCTAATTCAAGCAAAACCCCCATCTCATATGATAAGAAATATCCACCAGATTACTCCAACCTAGCACTGCTAAAGCACGCAAGCACAGCATCTAAAGTCTCCGCACACCGATTCTGGGCTTCGCCTTCTGTACACCTTTTCGAGGACCGGAAGGAACCTTTTTCATGACCTTTGACTGTATCGGAGCTGTGAGGGCTGAAATGGGATGCATCGCACTGGCTGTATTGGGATTTGAAAGAGGCGCTGTTCCCCCATGACCTCGGTGCGGGCTGGGGACTTCTTGAACGCTGCGCGACATTCCAGGACCAGCGGTTCCGAAACGAGATGAGAAATCGGACAAAGTGCGGTCTGGCACATCCTCATAGATTTGCATGTCGTCCCTTAGTCGGAAGGGAGGGATTGTTTGGGGTGTGGTTGTTGGTGATAGGGCTTGTTTGCCGAGGAATATGCGTTTGGGGGATTTGCGGGGGGAGCGTGAGCGGGAGCGTGTGTTTGGGTGATGGGTATGGTTATTATTTGCGGTTATGTTTTGTTCGGAGTTTGATGAGTGGTGATTATGTTGGTCTTGGTCGTCGTCTGTGTCGATGATCATCATTTCTGTGTCTTGGTCGTCCGGGTAGGGTATTGAGAGGACGGAGAGAGGTCGTTTGCCTAGGGCTTTGCGGGGGCTTGGTGGGGTGAGATTTTGTCGGATTGGTGTTGGGGAGAGGGAGGGGTTGTTTTCTTTGCTTGCGCTGGCTGGGTCTTCGTTTTCGCTGTCGCTCATGTTTTCGTCTTGAGGGGGAGGAGGTGGAGCTAAAGCTGGGGCAGTGGGTTGTTGGTTGGTGGGAGGGGCAGTGGGAGCTCTGCGGGTGGGTTTCATTGTCATTTCGGTGTTCAGACGAGGTTGCTTGCGTAGACGTGGGTGGACTGTTGTCTCCTTTTGCTCCTTCTTCTCCGCCTCGGAAATGGAGTCCGGGTCTTCGCCTCTGTATTTTGCCTCACGGACGGCGGTTGCAAAGTTCGGTGGAATGGGGGCATGAATGGAGGTCATCAGTTTAGCTTGGTGGGCAAAGGTTTGAAAGTCTTCTCGGAGGAGATTGCCTGCGCTGGAATTGAGGGCGGAGTCTGGGTTTGGGTTGATGAGGAGGCATGAGATTGTCTAGCGCGAAGAAGTTAGCACAAAAGATCATGGCACATCGGAACAAATGAAGCCTTTGGCTAGGCCACTTACCACGAGGACGTCACGGAGGGTCAATTTTGACTGCCAGTCCCGCTTCAATGTGTCCACGCATACAGCGCCGGTGTTCTCTTCGACATTGGGGTGCCAGATTTTGGTTCGGAAGGCCGCCTTGGGCGGGCTCTTCGGGTAGTCTGCTGGCATCTTGAGATGTAATCGCCATAGACCTTGCGAATATGGAGTACCAGCTGGACCGGCCAGAAGGATGGTGAGTTGTGACAGGTCATCGGCGACATGTCCGTCATCTGGTGACAGCATGTAGTACGGCGGAAGCTCGTTGTGGAGGGCGGCATGGTCTGCGGCCAACCGGCGCAAGTTGGAAGGCTGAAGAGGATTGTTAGAGAATGGGTGACAGGCAGCATTAAAAAAGCATTTGAGTACTTACCATGACGAGTCTGATGTTGCGACTGATGATGCCGCGACTGCGATGACGATGTTGGATAACAAACAAACAGAAGAGTTGGTTACTTCAACGACGGGTTGGGGCTGGGCCCGCTAGTCCCCTTTGGGATCACGTGTGACGCGACGCGACGCGTTTCAATTACATCCCAATTAGGAAGGGACGACTGATACACTACGGATTTCTTTGCACAACACTGCAATTCTGCCTTGGGACACTTCCTACGAGTACTGCACTGTACAGTATTGCCCATTGTTATATTGTACCGCGTACTGACGATCAATTGGGACCTCACGAGCCACACTCGACAGGGCTGAGTGGAGACATCACATTCCATGAAGTGGATCGATCTATCTAGTTGATCGGTGGAGATGAGTTCTCGCCCAGTGCATTGCATTATAAGCACCGCAGGAATAGAGTTGATGTAGCAGGTGGACGTATCTCCTGCAATGTGCCAGTACCTCGCTCATATACGTCTACTTCAGATCGATCACCCAGGGGAAAGTTTCATCGATTGTCACCAATCTTGTCATATTGATCACGAATTAAGCTAATCATAACCTCGAAAGTATCCATGAATGTAAAAGAGTAGGAGCATGAGGTAGAGTTGAAGATGCAAACACCGTGAATATGCCATCACATTCACTGTATGATAAAAAAATCACAGAAAAAACAAACCAGGGCCCATAGATGATGGAATTACATGTCCCCCAAAATTAATAAGTGTCAAAGGAAAGGAAGAAAAGAATTATCTCGCTTGCATTTTTCATATCCCTCGTCTCGACTTGGGTATAGGAATAAAAACTATCCCACGAGTCGAGTCCGCCATTCAAATTGTCTCCCAGCATAGCTACAGATATGTAACTCGCTTACAGAGCGAAAGCAGCCAGGGCAGCACCGGCAATGAGGCCGAGAGCGGGGCCAGCAGTAGCAGCGGCACCGGTGGAGGAGGAAGAAGAGCCGGTGGAGGTACCGGTAGCAGTGCCGGAGGAGGAGGAGTCAGTCGAGTCGGTGGAGGTACCGGTGGAGGTTCCAGTGGCAGTGGACGACTTGGAGCGAGTGCTGGTGGTCAGGCTCTTGCTGCCACTGCCGGAGGCAGAGCCAGAGGCAGATCCAGAGCCGGTGGCCGAGCCGTGAGCAGAGGAGCCAGTACCAGTAGCGGTGCCAGTGGCAGTGGCACTGCCAGTCTGACCGGGGTAACCAGAGGCACCAGAGGGCTCGGATGTCAGACCAGCGGGGGATGCTGGCAGCGGGCTCCTGGGAGGTAACGGCGGCAGCCTGGGAGGTAACGACGTCAGGCTGGCCGGTCACAACTCCGTTGGAGTTGGTCTCAGTCAGATACTGAGTGGCAGGGTTGCTCTATTAGCTCTGAGGTTAGGGGGATTGGACTCGACAAGGTGGTTGATGTTGATCATGAGTCCTGAGTGGATACTTACCTGGGCAACAGCACCCTGGAGGGCGAGAGCAGAGAGAGTAGCGAAGACGACGGAGTAACGCATTGTGAAGGTGATTAAGTCAACAAGTAACGAGTGTTGAGTAAAGTAAACGGAGTGAACGACCGTGGGGTGGAAGTGGAAATGGGAAGTGGAAGTGAGATGGAAGAGCAAGTTAGGGTAAGAAAACAAAAACAAGAGCGGGTGGCCAGGAGACACGACATGGTCTTATATGCCAGCCCCCATCGGCCCTGAAATGGCTTCAGCTCTGGCCAGTCACTCTCCAATGGACCAGGTGGACCAGTGAGCATGCAGACTCCAGTCTGGCTGCAGTTCTAGTGCGGCGCTGGATCTGCAAGGTCGGCACCGGCTGCTATTTTGGTTTGGTCCGGGGGTCACACCGGCTGCCTGCCGTGCTGCCTCGATACGTAAGCCGTTGAATTGAGTACAGAGTACGGAGTACGGAGTATGTATCTGCTGTTGTTCCCTTTGATCCTCTCACCCACTGTCGATTCTGCTCTGCTGATACTTGTTTTACGGGGTTTGGCTTCCAAGTTTAGCATCGCCCCACCCGTCATCTATTCGCGGGACCCGAGCCTAGTGGCGTTGTTAGGTCAAAAGTACAACACAATCCTGCCGAACCCAAGCTAGAAAAACAAGAAATTGCGTGGCAGCGTGGCAATGCCTCCTTTGCACCCTCTCGGGAGACCCTTCGAGCTTAATCCAGGGTCACTGTGACCCTGGATGTTGCGTTGTTGACTTGTATCATCTGGGGTATACGGTACCCTCTTGAGTGGACCGCGTGGAGGCATACGAATCTCGGGCTTCGCCAGCCACTCACCATCGACCCACAGACCGATGATCCAAACATTTGGCTTCCTCGGTCCCAAGTCCGATTTTCCAGCTGTTAGAGGCTAGACCTATTCTCGATTTGAGTGGCGCGGGTGAGACAAGAGGCCACTCTCCCGTCTCCAGCGATCAGCACCTGAGACATCACATTGTCCATTCGTGTTTTTTTATTAGCACATACATGTATGTACAGTTTTCTTTTGTTGTTGCTGTCTTTTACGATGTCGCGATCGACGGAGAAAGGATCGCCTGCATCTTTCACCTGACTCAGTCGGCATGGCGTTTGATTATTGCAATATTGTGTCGACCCTGCCGCAATATGCAAGGCTGTCCCATTTTTCAAGGTTCTTTTGTCTTCGACAGAGCTCCACCTCTTCCTGCCCTACTGACTCTTCTCCGCTCATAAGGCATGGATCGCCATTGATGTGTCTTGGAGAAAGACAACCCAACCTATTAATATACCTACCCTATACATACTCGTAGTGCGTTTGTCAAAGTTTCATGCATTCGTCGCGAGACCCTTGGCCCATTATTCTACAGTGTCATCCTGTCTCTCCTGAACAAATATTCAAATATTTTTAAAATACGCCTTAGAACCTTAAGCCCCCATCCAATGTCCAGTCTGTTTGATTCTCCGTACCGCCTTCCTTAAATCCTCCATGTAAATATCATGCTGTCGCTGCTTAATACTCTGCGGAATCCACGGGTACATGATTCGAGTAGACGCCACAAACGCCTGATAAGCAACCCGGCTGGCGGGAGTGGGTTGAAGATCATATTCCTGCGCCAGACGCTCCGGCAGCCAGTTGACCGTAATAATCCGCGCTAGCGGCATCGATGCAGCCACACTGAGCGGGAGGTTGATTGGATACATCAAGTCCCGACTCAACTTGCGCGCCATATCAGTAACCTCTAACGTAGCGATATTATGATCCCAATAAGCCCAGAACTCTGCCAGAGTTGCCGGCCACATTTCTGGCGGCATGCGAAGCGACGTGCCGAAGATAGCCGACTCTTTGAGCAGAACTTCCATCTCTGCGTCGGACATCTTGCCGAAGAAAGTTTCACGGACTAGAATGATGCCGAAGAAGAGAGTTGCTGCCGTCCACTTGTGTAGCTCGGGATCATTTGCGTCGTAGTCATCGCCCTTGACGCGGGCGTGGTACTTGTGGATGACGGAGAAAATGGCATTCTTTTCTTCGGGCGTTCCGCATACAGCGGCGTTGAGGAATCGCGCCGTGTTGCGGAGGCGTTGCGGGATTCGGGTTGCAAAACTAGAGTGCTTATAGCTACCCTTGGCGAGGGCCGGGTGAGCGAACTGGCATAAGATGGCTACCTGTCCACCAAGTAAGTAGATGTCGTTCTCCACAACGTTCCGGAGTTCCTTCGGTTCTGTGATGGTTTGGAAGATGGGCGCGTTTGTGGCTTTCACTGGGATCTCTTCATCGTTCGACATGGTGTTTCCTTTTTTGCAATATTCTGAATGATCACTGCAATCTATGCCAGGCCTTTGCAGTTCATGCAAGGCGTGTGTGTGGAGATATATCAGATTCTGTCAGTGGTGGAGCCGCGGACCGAGGATCGCGGGATGCTAGACTCGTCGAGTGAAAGGGTTTGGAGATCGTCTGTTGTTGGCTCTGCATATGAAGTTGATTCCCGCTATTTGGCATGAGCCTGAGCTGCCCAGGTACTTCAAGGTTTTCCATGAGATCGAGGTTCCCCGTGATCCCCATCCACGGAATCAATTTGAGGGGGGCTTGCCCCCTCCTTCCACGGTTCCGGCTGTCACATGCTGGGGAAATGTATAATTCTGTCGATCACTGCACATTTTCACTAGCCACTAATATTTTCCCCTCCAGAATGACTTTTATTCAAGCTTGCATTAAAATATAGAAATATTATCTCTACTGTGGCCTAAAAGCTGCAACTGAATCATCTCTCTCACAAAACATAGTATCATATAGTACACAACACTCTTGTATTCTCCAGAATCTGTATACTAAGTAATTTTTACAAACTGAACCGTTAGTTCTGGCATTGGTTTCGCATAAACTGATTCGGCTGGCTCAAAGGCTTGTTGCGGATCCTCCAACAAAACTTGATAGTGGCTGATAAATGCGGCTGTTAAGCATGTCAGCGTCAGTCTAGCAATAGACCGACCGGGACAGTTCTGTGGGCCATAAAGTGAGCCACGGTAGACTCATGATATCCTACCTCACACTTTGATCCCATCCTCTTGAAACCCCGAGTCTCATAAACGTAAATTTACATGTCACTTGTTGAGTCTAGAAGCAGACCTCGTATTGTTTTGTTCGGGACTATAACTACAGCCTAGACCTACCGTTATAGCCAGCTTATCATATGCTTCTGAGTCCTTCTCTTGGAGGAATAGGACAGTGGGGACGTAGTACGTCTTACTGGTCTGCCTTGAATGATTGTCAGAACCATGGGATATAGAAGGGGAAGTGGCATCAGCCGGTTGTACTTTCACGCTTCATATTGGAATTAACTACTGCATCAATTTCCCCAGCTCTATCATATTGCCAGAAAGATCAAAAATATTTTCCATCTCATATGAAGGTCATGTTTATTTTTCTGTCGCTCTTAGTGTGGGCGAGTGCAGTACCGGCACGCGGCGAAGAGTTACGCAGCTCGACTCTGAGTCTTATCAAAAAAACCGAACTTATCTGTGAGATTGTGAATGCTGTTACTACCGTTGACTGCTGTTACTGGGGAAGTCATGCTAGTACCTGGAATGGATATTCGAATTACATCGTGACCTTATTTGCGGGTTCGACCTATCACGACTTCGACTGTTTTTTGTACGGCCAAATAATTGGGGGCGTCTCGTAAGAACACCCTGCCTTGTTGGAAAGATGCGTTTTGACATATAATGTTTTCCTAGGGCTTGGGATTATGCCACTGACTACGATTGCTTCGTTCCCGGGTACTATACTGATTCTCATTGTACCCACCGTATGTCTTGTCCCTTCCTCTTCAATCTTTTTCCTAACATCCTATCTAATGATTTATCCATCAAAGAGGCCCTGGGGGCGTGTCCCTTCTAGGTTCGTCGAGCTGGCAATTTATGACTATCGGTGATTCCGCGCTGAAAGTTGGCAGTTGAGGCACGTGACAGCATTGATAGTTGCTTTATCTTCGATCCATGCATTCATTGCTATATCTCTAGCAATGGTAGTGGATTGGAGCTGCTAAAAATAAAAACTGGAAAAAAAAAGAAAAAAAACGAGGATAAAAGCCAAAAGAAAGGCCTTGTTCCGGGGAATAAATATGATTTTTATAACCCTGACTGACAGACCTTTACGATACATGTGCCATATTCCACGAGCCTCAGGGGGGCTTCAAGGTATTTTATACCGATCAATCATTAATCTCTAGTGTACATAGCCGGTAAAGAATAGAGTGTAGCTTGCCGAGTCGGATATCTGGATATCCGCTCAACAACATTACTAAAGACTTATCCCAGCCCGGTACTACTCTGCTGATTATCATTTACCACTCTCGGGTTGGGATTGCATTATAAGCTAGGGCGAAGGAACCAATTCACTTTCGAGCACTAATCACTAATTTAATTGAAAATCTCTCATTTGTGGACGGATTTCGGGCTAAGTTCATGGCGACATATTCAACCGCATACCCCGCAATCCCCGCATCCACCAGACACCACATGTTATGCCAAGCTGTATATCCATCTACTATCCTGGTAAAGTGCCTATATTTGTATCAAAATCGCTATCCCGGGGCGGGAGAGCGTTCATCCAAGATGCGTATAAAGGAGCAGATCAGATGGTTACATTGAAATCCGATTTAAGTGTTACAAATTGCAATGCATACAAGTATGTTCCATAAATTGATTATATCATCTCTGCTATGCCTGGCTGCAGCAAAATACACCGACTCATCTCGTGAGTCAGCGTTGAGAGTCAAACTTCCAATATTCACGGTTCAAGGCGTGGTGTCGGATAACTCCTCGTCGGTTCGCGTTTTTCGTGGTGTCCCTTACGCCGAGCCTCCTGTTGGGGAGCTCCGTTTCCGACCTCCAGTAACCAAGAAACCAGTATCCGGTATCGTTGATGCCACAAAATACAAGGATATTTGCCCTATATGGAATCAGGGAGGCCCGAGTATCTATAGCGAGTATATTACTGGCGATCAGCCTTATCCGTACTTGGATCAAGGAGAAGATTGCCTTCATCTTAATATATGGACTCCTATGAATGCGACATACCACAGTAACTTAACAGTCATGATTTGGGTTCATGGTGGCGGGTATGTATTTCCACCTGATACGTCGCATGATTATAGCTGATAATTTTGCAAATTAGGAACACCGGTGGCAACGCCGCCCAGCCCTTTAAGGAAGGGACTTTCATTGCCCAGAACCAAAACGTCATTGTAATCTCTCTTGAGTAATCAACTTCCCATTTTCATATTCTCTGAAATCGAGCATTATTTATTTGGCTAATATTGTGATTTCCTAGCTACCGACTGAACATTTTCGGTTATCCTGGATATGTACCCGCATTTGGAGGCAAAAATCTGAATCCTGGCCTGCTTGACATCCGAAAAGCTGTCGAATGGACCTATACTTATATCAAGTCTTTTGGCGGAGATCCAGAGAGCATGATTTTATTTGGGCAATCTGCGGGTGGAGCGAACGTTGATTACTACACTTATGCGTGGCCGACTGACCCCCTTTTAAAAGGATTCATTTCAGAAAGCGGCGTCGCAAGTTCATTTGGGAATTTCGATCTGCCTGGCAACAACTGGACCTATGTGGCCAACCACTTCAATTGCACCGGCGACCAAGATCAGCAGCTCAGCTGTCTGCAAGAAGTCCCGTGGAGAGACTTGATTGACCTCTCTTTACTCCTATAACTCGACATTAAATGGCGGCAAAACACTGAGCTTCGGACCTCAGCCTGACAATCAAACCATTTTCAGCAATTACAAAGATCTCAGGCGACGTGGACAGTATGCGAAGGGTGTAAGTTTGAGACGATCATTTTTTCCATACTGAAGCTAACTTTGGCATAGGGCTATCTGACTGGTAACAACGCAAATGAGGGCGAGAGTCTCATCACGCCTTTCTCCGAGGCAAACGGACCAAACCAGAACTTGGTTTACATTCAATCCGATCTACTGTTCAATTGTGCAAGCAATTCATCAGCAACGTGAGACCTGACTATCCACCGAATGCTTCAATCAGTACCTAACATCAATTCGTAGTGAGCGCTCGGATAATGAAACTCCACAGTGGAGATACTATTACCGTGGGGTGTGGCCTAACCAAAATCCCCTTCGCTTGGCTTGGGTCCTATCACTCAAGTAAGCTAACTCCGACATCATTGTGCACGGGTATTGACTGAATTTTGTCTCAGGTGAGATTCCTCAGGTTTGGGGTACAGCAGAAACCTGGGGAGGTAACAAGCTCGGTGGTCCCAACACCCCTGAAGAGGCCGCCTTTAGCCGGTACATCCAGAGAGCATGGGCAACCTTTGCTAAAGACCCCATAAATGGTCTTTCCAGCTTAGGCTGGCCAAAATACAACGTAAATGAGAATACGTTGGTTCAGCTGGCGTATAATGGCTCAACAATTCCACAATTCGTGAGCCCTATGGTGGCTGATAAGAACTGCACTTTGCCAGGACACTGTATGTTGAGAGATCTTAATTTCAGCGTCCAGGGTATTACTCACTAACTCACTAATCGAAATCTAGCGGCCTAATAATTGAAGAGTTAGTTATCTTTCGGAGAGGTTCAGTTATTTACGACATTCAACATCTGAAAGGAAAGAATTTGGCAACCAAACTTGAGTTTCGGAGATAGTAGGATTGAAAATCTACTAGTATGCTAGCAATAAAATGGCTAAGCTTAGTAAACCCAGAGAACCGCAGCACGTCCAGTCGGCTTATCTATCTTTGAAATGGCTAAATCTTGGGAATCATATGAAATAATGTACGTGATTCTCGAAATCCTCAACCGGAATTGGAGAGATCTATCTAGCGTTCTATTACAAACGTGCCCACCGGATATGGTGATCTATTAAATGTATGCTAGAGACACTTTGAAAGGTGACAACCAAAATCCCAAAAAGAAAACAAAAAAAAAATTCGCCATCGTTATTAATCAATTGCGCGAAAGGTCCGTGGTTGGACCCTACGTAAGATGCTAAAATTCAAAGCAACATGTCGGTCTCTGTCATGACAGAATGTACTCCTGTGCCTACTCGCCTTGGTCGTTGTTAGTGCCTGTTGTCTAGCCGCCAAAAAGTCCAATGGATGCGAGAGGCGGCACTAATATGCAGTAGGTTTGAAGTCTTTCCATGGTTTTTTAATCGATGTAATCTAGTGATTTGGGGCCAAACGTGCCATGGAGCCTAGTGATTCGGGGCCGAGGGGGCCATGGATCCTCGTGGTTTGGGGCCAAGGGGTCCATTGAACCTAGTGATTCGGGGCCGAGGGGGCCATGGAGCCTAGGGATTTGTGGCCTGGGTTAGCCATGAATACCTGCAGGTCCATGATGTTTCGCACTGGGGCGAAGTATCTAATATGCAGACGGCAGAAATGACTTGTGGTGGAGGAAGATACCCTGGCTAGTTTGTAAAAGCGCATAGAAAAATGTATACCGGCCTAGACAAATATATTGGAAGTTCTAAGACGCGTCATCAGGAGACAATGGCTTAGCCCGAACAGACTGCCAATCCTTCGATCTACTAGGTCTATCCAGCCTTTTCTCAGAGCACAATGTTTTTTTTCTCGGCCGGCTATGCTTACAACTGATTGTATTAATATTTTAGATGGGAAATTGCCATGCAGTCTTTGACATACACGCACGCTATCTAAAATGATATCCAAAGTCTTTGTCTCGGTTTCTCAGTAGGATGATCACTAAAACTAATAGGCATGTCACTCCACTAGGAGCTCCGATCTCGCTGCGCAATTCAGCTTTGCCATGTTGTCATAGCGGATTATTCCCAGTTCCGCCCCTGGCATGAAACAGGAATGCGAGTAATTTCTTCAGTGTGGTTCATTTATCAATTCTACGGCCACTTCATGAGAAACAAGAGGGAACAGATTTGCGCAAAATTCCGCCAATCAAGAAAAAAAAAGAATTACTCATCGTCAGCGGCAGGTACCTCCATCGGTACTTGAGGTTTAAAGACTTGTAAATGTGGTGGTTTGAATATAAAGAATTATACTGATGATTTGAGTTTTTCGTTCGATAAGCGGCAAGCCACGACTTCAGGGGTGTAAATTCAGTATTCGGGTTGGGAGCATGGGCCAAAAATACTTGAGATATTCTGTAAAGAGTAAGAAAAGGCCGTCAAGGAAAGCCTAAAGCCTTCCAAGGTTGTGTAATTCACGGACCCCCAAAAGTGCGAAATTCCATGATATTGAGGGGCTATATTAATACTAGTATCGACGCCCCCCGCGCCCTTTCTATGAAATATAATACGAAAATATATCTCAAAAAGATATTCCAGCCCATTCTTTGTGTGCCTTCCTTCCAAGGCTTTCTACTAGTATTACTTCTTTTCCTGAGCTTCGAATTGCTTTTTCTGATTTATATATTATTTCAATATCGGTGTCCACCATCAATCAAGATGAAAGCAACTCTGTTCCGCTGGGGTCCATTCTTGAAATTATGTCTTCTTTTCTCAATCATCTTTGACACTGGGGAGGCACAAAGCTCGACTGGGGATCCCACGCCACAGGCTTCTGCATGCGCATTTCCTGGGAGTGGTAGTGGCTCTTCTACTAGTGCCAGCCGTCGCTCAGATTCTATGAGCAATGGAGGGAGCAAGAACTTGACAAGGCGAGTTTTGCAAAGCCAATTTGGCCCTGGCGATTCAAGCGGCTATCTCCGGTCCAAGCTTCAGGTAGCAGATTTCATGGACTACGATGACGTGTGGTCTATGACAACATTTGAGGAGCTGCAGGATGAGGAGATCAAAACTGCCGTTGTAACACTTTCTGGTTGTGTCTCTGTGGCCGTTGTCTCTCGAAAGGGAGTTTATTTGACACATCATTGGGAGAAACCTACCTTTAGTCCATCGGGCGATTTCTCGCAGATCGGTACTGAGGAATTCTTCAAAGAACATGTTTTGGATGTCATTGAACAGGGTGGAATTGATGCGCCGAGTCTGAACAGTGGTGGTCCGAGGCAGTGTAATGTGATCCCACACAAGCTGGCTACAGGCTCTGGGTAGAGGATAGCCTTGCTGGCCATGATGAATGGGAGCCATTACGCACGCAAATCATCCCCGAGTAAAGCAGCAGTTGGGATAACACCGGGCAAAAGGCCTAGAATTATTTTTATGGGCTCATGGTCATGGATACTAGCGAGAGATTCCAGGGCCGATGAACGATGTTCTTTTGCGGACACAATGTCAAGTAAATCATTTGCCAGCCAGTAGACCTAGAATGTATTGTGTCAGAATTTCAAAGTCTCCCTCCGAGATCGCTACTAATAAACTCCGTTTGGCTCTCCCAAGGTGCCCCGTAGTGGGCTTTTACAGATCTGATCCATCGTGTAGCTTCAGGAGCACCTTGGAACGGTGCAAATGGCATCTGTCGAAACTTGAGTCCCTTCGAGAAATCGTCTGCTATAAAATCTTTCGTGTGCACATAGTAAATGCTAGAGCGCCTATTAACTTCCAGCTCTTCCGGATGATCATCCCACGATGGGTGCAAGTTAATCGACTGACGGTCGCCACCTCGCAATATAGAGAGATGAAGGTGCTCGAGCCTAGGCATTCTTTGTTCAAGATGAGCAAAGACGGGTTTCCATGACTCCTCAGAAGGAAGTTGAATTTGACTCAGGGCTAGAATGGCGATGTTTGAGTGCTTAGACAAAAACTGAAGCAAAGAGTCTTCAGTAGTTATTATACCCCCAAGGCTGCATTTGCGAAGGTGAGGCAGTAAGGTTTCCCTACTGACGGCTTCGAAAATGAAGTGAGAATCAACAAACTTCTCCTGCGTTGTGTTATACATATGTATATCGAGAGTTTTTAGATTTGACGTGAGGTTTAGAAGCCGCGCGAGCCCGTCAAAATTCTCATTACCTCCAGAAGGGTCTCCTCCAAGTGAGCTGATATACGCAGCATTCGCTGGTCTCTTTCCATGCCATGCCACCGTATGGCATGCGATCGGCTTTCGGGGTGGTCGATCTGTTGCACCAGTGGTGACCTTGTTCGAAATGCTAAGGGAAAGACATTCCAAGCCTTTACCTATTTGGCATAAGTGATTTGTGTCAAGTATTTCGAGATTGGCCGCAATATCGTATAATGGCACACTGCACCTCGGCGTCCGTTGATAGACGATCAGAGTCTTTAATTCAACATTACTCCGAGTAATAGCCTCCATAGTTATGCAATAAGTGCGGGATGCGCGCATCCACACCGGATACCAATTTGTCTTCCCGGTGTCAGTAGTCACTATAGTGATCGGTCCTTGAATAATAGTGGCGTCTAGTTCAATACGCCGAAGTTTCCGAATTCGACTCAAACAGAAGGCAAGCTGCTTCACTGCCTCATCATAAGAGAATTCGTCCTGGAGAAGCTGTTGGGTCCGAAGCCAGGCCAGGTCAGCTTCGGCCTGAAGAAAATCCTCTCGACTAGGATCGGGAATAGGTCGGCGGAACCCTGTGCCTGTAGATTAAATGGCGGGATCGGCAGGAGGTTGATCACGAGTTTTCTGCTTTTTCTCCAAGCTTTCACAATGTCCATTTGGGGAGTCTGATCGTAAATTGTTGCCACAATCTCCAGCTCCTTGACTGCGGGGCCTAATGCAGGGTGCGCAAGTAAATCTTGGAGAGACTCCAGACTCGACTGTCGCAGTTCTATTGATTGAACGCGGATAAACTGCTTGAAGCGAGAGCCTGTACCGTCTTTGTAGAGTGCACGGCTACTTAAACGCAAGGCTTTCAGGGTGGCCAGATCCAGATACGTCATAATTTCTTCCAAGATTTCGGGTGGTAAAACACTCAGAGTGAAATGTGCACTTGAGTCCATTCTGGGGATGAGAAGTGTGAATGGGCGGGTCCCAGTGGTTTTTGGCTAGCGTGATAACAGTGCGTAGTAAATTCAAAGTGAAATCGTTTCCCCATCAATAACAACAAAGTAAAGAGATAGGCGTGTCTAGGTGTGATGCGATGTGACTCGATCTAGGACGGGAACAAAGACTACTTATGAGGGCTGCAGCTCTGAATACTTGATCCTGCCCAGGTGCCCGAGTGGGGGCGATGCTGGGCGGTGACGGGTAACGCTGGTCCGCGACCGGGCGCAGGTCTGGTGGGGCTCGAGGGGCCGCCCTTTGAAGATGGGGGCCAACCATACAGAGGGTACAGATCGCTTTTCCTCAGCTTCGTTCTTAATCCGAGATGTGCTTTTATTACCTGACTTCCTCATCTTGAATTATTAATGCAGGTACAGACCACTCCACGGATACAGTTGTACCCATAAAAGCTACTACGGTCGTGGGAATGCTCAGATATTCACAGATCAATATACGCAATAAAGTAGTAGCGGTTCAAACGAAAGGAATGGCTTGAGAATAGAATAAGAAAGAAAGACGAAAGTAGGCATAGGTATAGGTACCTAGGTATATGTATAAGTCCCTAGGGTAGATACGATATAATAAACCACATCTAAAGCTTTAATAATCTAGTATTCCAAGGTTATGGTATTATAAATATAAGTTGACTAATTAGAGGCCTTAGCTGATATTATAACAGAATATTGCTAGATACCTTAGTTAAATTACTTGGTCAGACGGAGGTGTACAGAGCCCACCAGAACAGAGGTATACCTAGAATTCCCTGTGGTAAGGAACTTTCTGATTTCTAACTTGAATATGTCGCCCAATAGCCAATCGTCCTATATACTGTGTCCTTCTACTTCACGTGCGTTCAATATATCCCAAGGCTCCTGGCGGACAAGTAATTTCGAGAGAAATGCCAAGGCAGTCCAAGATCGCCTTGATTGATTTGTCTTTGCCTTTTTCTTTGGTTTGCAATTACCTATGAGTTTCTATTCCCAGCTTTGATAATGAAAAGTCATTCCAAGGTTGAATCGCAGAAATGGTTCTCGGTGGGGGACTTTCACGACTCGTAGTTTTCAAATGACAAGTCAGATGCAAACAGGTCTGCTCTTTGAAAAGCGTCGTAGAGAAAATCCCTGGTTTCCGCGTCCTCGCTAATCTCAGGCTGATATCCTTCATACTCATCGTATGATATATTTTCATAAGATATGTCCGAAATGCTTCCCATATCTGCCGACAGGATAACGTCATGCTTAGCGACAATGTCTTTATACAATTCTGCCCAGAAACCACCTGAGTTGAAAAATGGCATATTGGTATTCACAGGCGAAGGCCCTCCGAAGAATATGGTCACGCCAATGGGGAAGAGATGACCTGGTAGGGATAGAACCCACTGAAAGAGAGTACCCATACGTAACCCCTCATCTTGGCGAGGCCCTCTTGATCTCTTGAGACTCACTCCTTCAGCGTTCACACTCCGCGTTATAGAAGCAAGTGTAAATGCCGGCGGTTGTTGGGTCAACATGTGGCGCCAACTTGCTTCAGGGCGAAGATATCTGGACTGTATTGTCTCATGAAGAGCAATATCGAGGACTGTCAGGTCCACGAACCTTGCTGGCTGGTTGATCGTTCGGTCATTTTTGGGGATTAATGTGGGAAAATTGGTCGCTAGAAGCGGGTTGAAGACAGGCGCGAGATTGTTGTCTTTTGGGCTGATTGGGGTAAGGAATAATTTTGCTTGCAGTGAGGGGGGTCTCTTTGATGACAGCTCTCCACATCCGAGAGACTCGCTGGGCGGAAACGAGCAGTGTATGCATGTCTAGTTCGTGTAAGACCAAAGTCAGGACCTCTGGCACAGCGAGTGCCCTAGACTGGGCAGTCATCTTGGCACTGTGCATCGTTGGCTCTGGGGTGAAGTAGCCTTCTGATCCTTTCCGCAGTATAACCAGATGATGAGACTAATATTTTCGTGGGTTTCTGGAAATATAGAGCGCCCGATGGGATTGGGAGTGTGTTAAGAAGGTAAAGGTTGCCTGATCAGCCGCTTTATGTCCAGGTGTCTTTGTTTACGCGTTGAGCACGGTCGCAGCCTACGATCGTCAAGGCGACCGAGTTTTCATAATTAACAGCCATCACTATTATCACTTCAATTATACCGGTAAATTGAATTTACTAGATAATATGATTGCGCAATTTATTTTTTGTATGCTTGGGTGAGCAGTGCTTCACTTCAGCAAGAGGGTAATGGTAATCGTCAATCTATTTCATTCAGACGCGAAGGCTTGCGTAAGCAGTCACATCACCGATTCTGTCTAAAATCTTTCTAAAATACATTATAGATATTAATAAACATTGTCTCATGACAGAGTCGCCAGACCGGAGGTATCGACGTTTCCATAGATCCACTGGCTGAAATTGCTCGGGGCTGCCTGGTTGCAGGGAATGCCGGAGCCCTTCTTGTTGACGAGATTTGTGCACTGGAACAGTTCGCGCTGAATATCGGTGCCATAGTAAGGAAGACCAAGCGAGGCGTTGACACCTGTGATGTTCACATTGTCGAAAGTGATGTTGGGGCAGGGACGCTCATCAGAACAGTAGAGAGACGCAGCAATGTTGAACCGCGATGTTCCGCGAATATCTTGCCACTTGACGTCTTCAATCTGGAGCTTTGATGTGTTGCAGCCCTTGTTAGAATCGGCCGAGTAAACACACTGCGACATCTGAATGGGGAGTCCCACATTCTCCATCGTGAAGTTGCGGAAAGTGATGTTCTTGACCAAGCCAGAGCCACCACCACCCCAGTCACCATTGCTAGGGGTGTAAATGCGAGTTCCCTGCCAAGTCTTAATGTAAGCACCATCCATTGCGTTCTTGATGTGAACATTTTCGAATGTGGTGTTGAGGTTGTAGTCAGGGGTCTCAGGGTACTGTCCAATGGATCCAATGGTGATTCCGGTGCCACCTTCACAGTAAATGTTCTTAGCGTGGAGGTTCGTGGTGTTACCCTTGGCAGCAATACAATCATCACCAGTGATAATTGTAGCATTCTCCACCAGGAGGTTGTCGCTCTGCCAAGAATCGTAACCATCGCAATTCATGGTATACCACTCGCTGTCACTGGTGGCGTTCACGAACAGATTGGTCATGGATACATTCTTACTAGCCCAGACAAATGTGGCCCAGAATTGAGGTTGGATGATCTTCAGCCCATCAACAAACAGGTTGGTTGAGTTATAAAATGTCATACTCATAGGGCGTCCGGGCTGGTTCGATTCGTTTCTGTTTGCATTGTACCAAGCTTGGCCTCCGCCATTGTAGAAACCACCTTCACCATAGAAGTTCACGTTGGTACCTCCGAATAGCCAGGCAGTGACTTGATCTTGCAGAACAACACTAATGGCATGGGTTCTCCAGTAGGGGATGTTGGTAGAGAAGCGCAATTCTCCGCGGAGGTGAACATCGCAGTTCAACAAGTTGGTGGTGTTGAGAACGGTGTTGACATGGAACACGTTCTTTGAGAAGATGACAGTACCGTTAGTGCCACACATCTCAAATGCTTGCTGGATAGATGGCGAGTCATCCACAGCCTGGCCATGGTGGGCAAGGGATTCAGGGTACAGAGTGCATGTCGTGCCTTGGTTGTCAACCCAGGCCGCAACCAGGGTGACCCAGAAAGTAAGTCCCAACAACAAATTCATGGCTCTTCGTTTCGACGTCGTAGAAAACCCTATTGAGTAAAGCCTTGCAGCGGAGGGCAGCCTCTATATACTACTCTAATGCACAATTGCCTGCGGTATTTTCCGACGTATACCCCCACAGACATGGAGTTAGTCGACTTGGACGTTACATCATACTATCCACTGTCAACTATGGTTAAACAAATAGCCTGCAATTGCACATAACTTCTGAGAAAACGGCAATTGAGATGAATTATTTCAAAGGCCTAGTGAAGCGGGGTGACTAGGTCGGCTATTCTCCGAAGTTGGTGATTCGTTCCTTGTTCAGGGTGTTAGTAACGCCCCGCCTCTCCAACCAGGGCCTTGGCGATAAAAGGCTTAGCTTCGGATTACCTTCTGAGATTCTACGCCACTTACGGTATCCGGGGTGATGATCTTGATTTCGTTCTCTTCCTTTCAATGGAAATTCATGTTCGATATATTGATTTGTTCCATATATACAGGCATTTCGGGGCATTGCTGACCCGAATGGCATGCAAGTTTCGTTGCACTAGTAGGTAATTTCCAAGGTTGTCATATGGAGATGAAATGAAGATTTTTTCGGCGGTTCATCGGGTTCTCCTCCATCAACTAAACTACCCCCACGGGACTGACAGAGACACACTCACCCCCGGACTTTTCCCGAGACGAATTTTTCGCTACAATATCGGGCCCAACCCCCGCCTCGTCACGAATTCTTCCCGAGATCGGCACCTGCTGACTTCCCCGAAATCGAATTGATCGGCGCCGAACTCGGCAATGAATCCATCTGTACGCCGTAACCGTCCGTGAATTCTACGGCTTCTACTCTTTGGGCTCTACTCGTACTCTTCAGGTGGCCATGGATGGCCGACACATTTACTTGAATCAAATTGAATTTCTAGAAGCTACTATAGAGACAGCTGAAAATTCCTTATCCGAGTTCAAGAACCCCTGAGCTTGTCAAACCTTCTATCGAAACTGACCTACGTTGCTCAGTACGCGCCGTCCCGCTTGTGCCACTGTGACATCGGACTCATTTCGATCGGCCGGGGTAACTGCTTTGAACCACAGGACCAGCAACCAAATCTAATTTCTCCACTTTCCCACCACCCTTCTCAAGTGCCCAGAGACTAACAGCAAGATAGTTTTCACCATGGTAGTCCCAAATGCCTTCCGGAACCGGGAAAATATCTTGCGGTCCGATATTATGAATCCATTTGCCAAATTGGTAACCATTCACATATACTTGGCACCGAATACTGCTGGTCGTGTCGGTGTTGTTTGCAAAGGATAACGAGATCGGGATATCGTATCCAGTCGGCATGTCAAGTTTGAAAGTGGTCGCGTAGAAGGCCACTCCTGGCTCTCTGAGTCCTTCCATGGGGCCCAGATTGCTGTTCTTCCAAGATGAAATCGGGGCGCCAGGTAAATGGTAGCCTTGTCGCTCTGCAAATAGTCCTCCTGTGATCGTGTTAGATGCTTTCCTGTCACTCACCTCTATGAAAAATTTCATTCTTACCTTCGTTAAGTGGACCTCGAATGCGATCTCTATAGCTTTCCCCGCCGAGATTTCCGGTCATTTTCCAAGACAAGTCCGATTGTTTGAATCCAGAAAGCGAATAGTTCAAGATTCCGCGCGGCGTTTTCATGTCGCTCGACCCAGCGGAACCATTTTCCTCATATCCCATTTGGTCGATCAGCACAGTAATGGTATATCTTTGACCTTTTTTCGCTGGGAGACCAAAGGTTTGATTCCATGAATAAGCTGTAATTTCTCCAGAGAAAGAACCCACAAAAGTGTCGTTGAGCCATACGGAATGGCCATAAGCTGATCCACCCTGAGTTTCTAGGTGAAGGCTCTCCCCTCCATTTGAGGTGAAATTGGTCCGGTATAGAATGTATCCTGAATGGAATCCATAGTCCGAAGCATAGAGGGACATTGGGGTGCTGAGATTGCGCTCGGTATTGTTGCTTCTGGATAGAGAAGCTTTCATCCAACGACTATCGTCGTAGTCTGAAAATATATCAGTTTGGGGCTCCTTCAAGAACAGTACATTGTTGATTGGGTGTTCTGACCTTTCTGAATCTCTGGCAGGGTGTCGAGTACTTTCCAGCTAATCTCTGAGAGGACAGGCAAGGAGATATCAGGTCCCTTGAAATTTACCGTAGCTTTTATGACGCCATGACTGTCTTGCTGGAATTCTGTTGGTTCATTGTTCACGACTAAAGTTGAGATATCATTATCGGCCCCAATGATCTCGATCTCTGTAGTGGAATTAAAATCTCCCAAGAGATTTATCGTTTTGTCGGTGACTTTGATGCTCCGTACCAAGTAGCCGGCTTTGACGATTGGAGTCGAGAGAAATGTGGTAGTATTGGTATAGTTTCCCGAAACGGTATCACTTGGTAGATCGATAGACCAATAATTGTAGGCAGAATAGCGATCTGGAAAAAAATGAGAAGCTTGAAACTGATGTTCGAAAAAGCACTCACCGAGCAGATAAATGTAGAGACCATTCGATAGCTCAACAATTGTTCTCTGATCGCTTGCAGTATACTGCATGATTGTTGAGTCCTGCTTCTTGTCAAATTTGACAGAATTTTGGGGCCCCTCCACAATGCGAGTTGTTCCACTACCTTGAATAGCAAGCTCGTGAGTCTCGCCTGGTCCACCATAGACGACCAGAATATGGTGATTTCCAAAATTTCTCCATGTGAAAATTTCAGCAGTAGAGTATAGCAGGTTGATCCCGCCAACATCATAATCTGTGACGTGCAGTTTGGAATCCCGGCCGACAAGAGACAAGGATCCTCCAAGTTGTGGAATGGTGATATTTCCCTTGCTCGTTGGAAGTGTGACATGGTATTTCGCTGTCGATGTATCAGTATAATCCGCATGTCTAAGCACAAAGAAGTTTGTTCGGTTTCCCAAAACTGCCGTCGTCGCTATGTTTAAATTGCCAGTATAGGAGCCATTCGCATGCGTGTTGTTCTGCGGAATCGCAGTCGCATAAGCAGGAGATGACTGAAGAAACATGGCCTGTAGCTTCAACTCGCTAAAGTTCTCCCGCTCGACGGTTCTCATCTCAGTGATTGGTGCACCGTAGTCATAACTGGTATAACCTTCTGGGTACCCCATATTTCCCCAGTTAGTTCCACCAACACCCATATAGATATTGAAGATGGTGACCCCAAAGCTGTAGAAATTCTTAAAAAAGACACGCTGGTACTCTGGTCCCTGCCTTGCTGCTGTTTTGTTGTAGCCGTATCCGCCCCAAGGATCCCAACTACCACCCTGGCATTCAATCACCGAATACGGCGTATTGGGTGCCATTTCTTCGTGTAAATCCCCATAGTTAGTCGGAAGCGCATCGACGGGCCATTCTGAGATGTCATCGTTGAATCCTATGACGCGTTTAGCTTCACACTTATCACGCCCCGATGCCGGTACATCTGCAACATACCCATAGGATAGCTGTCATGTCCGTAAATCGGCCATTCCGGGGGTCCCTGATCATAAAAGAACCCATGCGGGCTGTTATCATTACTTATAAAAGGAACAACGATACCAGCATCGCGATATTGTTGCTCGACAGCACGAAAATAGACAGGATCTGGAAAGGGTGGGTCGCCTGATGAATACTCATTCTCGGGCTGCACCAGAATAACTGGACCCCCGTTTGTAATCTGTGCTTTCGCAATAATTCCGCCGATGTTGGACACATAATTTTGGGTTGCATCCATATAGGTCGAATTCCGCGTGCGAAGCCCGGTGGGAAGGCGAGACAGCCATCCTGGAAATCCACCACCACTGACCTCTGCATTGATGTAGGGTCCAGGTCGTGCGAGGAGATAGATACCTTGAGTCTTATGTTAGACTTTTAATCGTTCTGGGAATTTTCAAGGCGCACGGCCGATGCCCTACCGGCTGTCTTTGCAGCCTCAAAGAAAGGTTCAAGTGCAAATACCCCTTCAGCGGTAAAATCTCCCTCTTTCCCTTCAAGGAGAGCCCAGTTCACGTAAAATGAAACGCCATTGAAACCCATCGCTTTGATCTTTTGGAATACATCCAGCCATAGCCCGGGGGCCGGGAGCCGGAAGGGGTGGAATTCCCCAGAGAAAAATATCACGCGCTGGCCTCGAACCATGATAGAATGCTTGACATGTATATTAGATCTGAATGTTCTGAGAATGACGTCGGAGGTTTCATACTTTGTCCCATGTCACGATATCCTGAGACCCCCCGCCGAGCGATGTATCCAAAGCAGCAAGCTGCTGCACGAAGATACATGCCACTGAGAAGGCAGCGAAAATAATTTTCAAAATCATGATTCAGTGGCAACCGGAGTGTTGTTCCCCGGTTCTTCGAATTAACTGAGAAGTTTTCTCAAAAACGCGATGTCGTATTCTTTCTCCAGACGATCCGACAAGTGAGTGAGTGGAATGTAGTATTATCTCTAGAAACCAAATCCTGGTTTCCCAGTAATGCACTGGCATTTTCTAGTCCAGGAATATAAACCCGGTCGGGTTATTCTTTAGCGAATGCAACTGCACAGACAGTATATTTTGGTTATAGAGTTTGGTATGTAGTAGATCTGCAATCCACGCATTGACACTAAGCCTGTTCAGTTGATCGGAGGAGAAACCCAACGGCCTTTGCGGGTCTACCCCAAAAGGCATTTAATCACCTCGTAGATATGCCATTGGTCGCTTTCATCTTGACTAAATCAGCAGCATCAATGCGCTCCAGGACTGTTATTGATATTGCTAATAATCGGGCTAAATCCCGCCGAGCATACAAGCCGGGTATATGTCACTTCGATGACAGGGCGTTAAATAGGCTTGCCTGACAAATGGTAGCAGTGACTTCTATTATCTCAAGTATTAGGTTGCCAAAGACTATGAAGCGGAGATATTATCCTATCAGATCTATTATGTACAGCATTGTGGGTTATAGAGCCGAGGGTAAGAGATGAGAGGTAGAACCTGAGGAAGGACAGTGGGGATTGGGAGAGAGTTTGAATGAGCTTATCTATCCAGCCCAGTTGCTTGACACTGAAATTATGAAAGTTAGCAAATGGAGTTTGGATGAGCAGGAAGTTAATACGAACCATTTGCCAGTACATCCCCTTTTTGCGCAGAAGCTCCTGATGCGACCCATGCTCAACGATTGTGGACCCATTGCCATCCTGACTCTCTCCGAAGACGAATATGACATCCGCTTTCTGGATAGTTGCCAGTCTGTGTGCAACAGCGACAATTGTTATGCTCCTCCGCCCAGCCAGTCGTTCAAGCGCAGCCTGGACGGTTTTCTCTGAATGCGAATCAAGGCTGGATGTTGCCTCGTCTAAAAGGAGGAGGGTGGGTTTTCGTAGCAAGGCGCGTGCGATGCATAGTCGTTGTCGCTGGCCACCACTGAGGGCTGTCTGCGCCTTTATTCCTAGCTCTGTTGAATATCCCTCAGGAAGGGAAGTGATGAATGTATGGATCTCGGCATCGATGCATGCTTGGATTAGTTCTTCTTCCGTGTATTCTGAGCTGTCAAGCCCGAGAGTGATGTTGTCGCGGATGGAGCCTTCAAATAGACGTGGTTCTTGGGCGACTAAAGATAAAGATCGGCGGTAGGAAGCTTTGTTCATAGTGGTGATGTTTTCTCCATTCAAGAGAATAGTACCCTGGAAAGGATCGTAAAATCGCTCGAGCATCGAGATAGTTGTTGTTTTACCGCAACCTGAGGCACCCACGAACGCAACAAACTGGCCGCTTTCTATGTTGACATCAAGACCGGTAAATAGCGGCTTCTCTTGAGAGTCATATTTGAATGCAACATTTTGGAATTCGATATGTGCGCCAGACCCAGAGGACTGATCAATTTCACGGTTTTCAGGACAATTCTCAGAACCACCAAGGGCGGGGCGGAAGTCCAGGATTCTGTTCGCCGCAGCTGTTCCTTGGGCAATATTGGGCCCATAGCTGAAGAACTGACCAGCTTGCTGCCCACCTAGGATAATGGACATGTAGACAACGAAAAAGGAAGTAGGCTCATACTCTCTAGATGCGAGTAGCTGGCCACCATACCAGAAGGTAAGGGCCATCGCACAAAGCTCAACACTATCGGAGAATGCAAACACGAGGGTGGCGACCCAGGCTTTTCGGAAAGCTTTATTTTGCTGCTCTTGAAGAAGGGCCGAGTAGCGTTTTAGAATGGAATCTTCCATGGTTAGTGCAGAAACAGTGCGAAACGCCTCGATAGCTTCGGCTGCAAACTGGGAACTGCCCGAGTAGACGGCAGAGTTCATCGCATCGAATTCCAGCTCATACCGGATGCGCATGTAGGCAGCAAGGAAAACAAAAGGAAGAGCAGCGAACGTGGCCACAAGGCTTAGTTTCCAACCGAAGGAGAAGGCAATTGCAATGCAACCAATCATACTGCATAAGGAAATCACGGGAAAGACGCCGTTAAGTCCGATCAGATCTTCGATCTGCTTGGGGTCGGTGGCCAGGCGCGAAACTAGAGATCCGGAGGCATTATCGCTCAGGTCGTAGAATGGAACAGGTTTTCGAAGAATATTTTCGAAATATTCTGCTCGTGAGGTAGAGGACATTTCCTAGGCTACTGTTAGTTCAAATATTGGGTCGGAGCTTGGTTTCACTGACAATGCCGAGTCTGTTGGCCGCGAATCCAATCGATGCATAACAGGCCGCGATGCCTAGAGCGAGGACAAAGAACCACAAGGACCAGAAATTGGCAGCGTCAACCAGTTTCTGATCTGTATAGCTAAAGACTAGAATGAGCTTGGCAAAAAGCCAACTCTGTAGAGGGAACGCAGCTGGTCCAGTTAGTATTAACAAAGGAAGCCATATTCCCGGAGCAGTACTTACAAGCAGCACCCAAAACGGCGAATAATGCTAGCAAGAAAAATCTCCAGTGTCTTCGCGACTCATACATCAAAAGTCCAACACTTCTGAAAAAGCCACGTTTGTCAGCTTTCTTCTTGTTCTCATCTTGTGAATCTTCCAGGACCGTAGTTGAATAATCAATCTCCTGCTTCAGGGCTTCTGTAATTTCAACCGCATCGTCATCCTCATCTGCAGCGGTATCAAGTTGCTGAGCATTGACGAGGCCTCGATAAAGGCCTTCGTCCATCGCTAGAAGATCGTCATGGGTTCCTTCTTCGATGTTAATGCCTCCCCGGAGAACAATAATTTTATCAGCGCGCCGGACGGTGGAGAGCCGGTGGGCAATCACAATAGTTGTCCGGTTCTTAGATACACGATCAAGGGCTGCTTGAACGATCTTTTCCCCACGGACATCGATTGCACTGGTGGCCTCATCTAGAACCAGGATAGTCGGTTCTTTAATGATGCTTCGAGCTATGGCCAGGCGCTGTCTTTGGCCGCCGCTCAATTTCGCGCCATTCTCACCCACCAAAGTCTCGTATCCCTGAAGATTGTTAGATATGAAGATAAGAAGGGACAAGCTGATATACCTTTGGAAGTCGATCAATAAACTCTTCAGCAAATGCTTCTCTGCATGCATTCTTCACCAATTCCAATTTCACAGAGTCGGGCTCATCTTCCCACTTGGTACCAACCAATCCGAATGAAACATTCTTGAAAATTGTGTCATTGAACAGAAAGGGTTCTTGCTGCACAAGCCCAATATTAGATCTCCACCACTTGAGATCCAACTCTGCAATGTTGCGCGGACCGACTGAAATACTCCCACTTTCTGGTGCGTACCACCTTTCTGTGAGTGCCACGATCGTGCTTTTTCCAGATCCAGACGGGCCAACAATGGCTGTCGTTTTAGCTCGTTCGAATCGTGCATTCAAGCTGAAGAGGATTTGCGTGTCAGGTCGAGCCGGGTATGAAAATTGAACATCTTCAAATATTATATCTCCCGAAGCTAGCGCATCTGTATCCCGGTCTCCATCGGCCGCAATTCTCTCCGCGTCAATTATCTCAAAAAATGAACTTGCAGCACTAGCTGCTTTGGAGATCATCATCAAGGGCGATGCGATGCTTCCGAGGATGCTCACAGCGATCATGACGGAAAAGAAGACCCTGTAACCCGTTATCATTAATTGTGAAATTGAGAAGGGCAAAGAAACAACACGTACGTGATGACAGTGTCGATGTTCGGGATGTGACCTTCCCGGAAAAGTTTCAACCCTAGCCAGAAGGCCAACGAATAGCTGGCATACATGGCAAAGAAGAGAAGGCCAAATTGGAAACCCATAATTACTGATAATTTGGTACCTCTCTTGCGCGACTCCTCGACCCATTGACAATACTTCTTGGCCAGCGGAGCCTCAGCACCAAGTGAAATCACCGTTCGAATGGATCCAAAGACCTCCGCTGCGATCGTTGAATGCTTTTCATTCGCCTTGTCCACCTCCTGCTGGATCTTCATGATCGCCGGGATTGTTAAAGAGCAGACGATCACGATGAAGAGGATGGCAGAGCTGGTCGCAAGGGTCAGAGCCCATGAATATTTGAAGGCGATGATGTAGGCTGAGATCAATAGCGCGAGTGATTGAAATAGGATTGCTAGCTTGTCGGAGATGCTTTGCTGAATCGAGTTAGAGGAGGTAGTGATTGCATTGACAACAGTGCCGACTGAAACTTGATCGAGTTTGCTGATGGGCTGAGCGAAGAGTGAGCTCATATACTCCAATCGCAATGCCGCTGAGACTCGAAGGCTAGTAACGCGAAAGCAGTACTATAGTTAAGATTTGAACGGGTTAGCTTCAGGTTCCTGTGATACATCGGGCTTGTGAATGATCAAGCCCACGGGACACTCATTTTGCGGGAACTTATTTACCATGGAAAAATACGTCAAGACGAATTTCGCGATGAAGAGATAAACAATAAACAAGCTTTGAAGGTTAGCCACCTAGTAGAAAAGGGGTAAGATTCCACTCACCTTAATCGACTGACCGAAGCTTTGAATTCGCTTTCGGTTGTTGTTGAGTTGGGAAGAAAATAGTCACCGAAGTTACCAACCAGTTGACCGAAGATAATATTCATCAGAGGCAGCGGCTAAGGAAAGGTTAGTCTCTTTTCTCGGGTAGTATTCGAAGATTCTTAAGAGGCAATCAACGTACTACTCCAGAGGCCATGGAGGATACCAGAGCGACTGCCAGAACCATCCGATCTTTGAATGTCAAGTAGGACAGGATTCTCTGGGTAATGTCAGCGAAATAATGCTATATGGATCAATATTTTGTGCATCTCAAACGTACGAAATAATGGCCCAGCGAGGCAGTCTGCTCGGTCTCATCTTTCGTCTCTGGATCCTGCTTGGGATCCTCATCGACCTTGACATCGAGTTGTTCGCCATTCGGTGGAGATGACGAGGGAGACCCTTTGAGTTCCTGTGTATTCTGTCTCTCTGTCACAGCAGCTTTGGGTTCATCTGGAGAGACCCCCATAGTAATAAAAAGTTGATTTTGGGGGTATGATGGATGAAAGAAATCATCAATCGAAATGGTGGCATTGAAGAGTTATATTCAGAACCTTCTAGGCAGACCCTCAGGCTACTCCCTAATTCCTGTTCGTTTGTACACTGCCAAGGAGATCACCGGACCGAAGAATACGAAAATACCCGGACATAGCTAGTGTGTTGAACAAATTCTCGAGTCCTGATTGGTCCACATGATGAATTGACAGCGTGGGAGTCATAAATTCATAATTCACGGGGCGCCAGGTTATTCCTAAACAGGAATGGCGCGCTTCCTAAACGGGTATGGACATCCGGGGTTTCGGGATTACCGAAACACCGGACCGACTCGGCACGGAAGACGTCAATGCGTCCAATCAGAGCGGAGCAAAGAGATTAGGCGTCTTTCGGACTTTCGGTCTTTTCTCTTTCCCGCAACATCCTATCTCAAGATAGCACACATCACTGTGTGTGTACTCCATAATAAGTGCCACGATGGATAGAAGGAGCCCCTTAGCCAGCATATCGGTGAGACGTTTGTCTTAAAACGTGGCTTGACCCTATACTAACTTGATGCTATCTTAGTGCGGACGCTGTCAATCCAAAAAGGTACCTCGATATAGTCTTGGCACCCATAAGGTTGCGACGAAACAGGGCAGCCTGGTTAATTGAATATCAGATTCGCTGCAATCGAGTCACCCCACAATGTGACAAATGTGAAGCCGTGGGAGGGCATTGCATCTATTCAGCGCGGAAACCAAGATCCAAGAAAAAAGAGTATTCTCCACCTGGGAACTAGCCTGAAATACCTCCGGCAATGAATTGACGAACATCAGTAGGCCTGAAGTTTCTGAGAAGACCGTTCTTTTTGAAGTTCTCAAGCGCCTTAAACGCCTAGAGGAACATTGCGGCTTGGAAGACACACCAAATACTGACGCCCAAGATAATGGTGATGGCGACGATTCAATGTCAATTTTGTCCTCTGTCGGATCAGACGATGACCAAAATATGCCCCTAGCGGAATCGGGAGACGCTCTAAATGCACCCGTGACAGAGGTATCAGTCCCGGTTACACTAGTTCCTGCCGTGGTCCGTGGTATCATCGGCCGTATAAAAGACGAAGGCAGCCGATCCATGCTCCTCTCCAGTGTCTTTTGTCATCTGCGCTCAGTGGAATCTTGCTTTTTCGAAAATGAACAATGCATTCGTGCTATCACATCGGCAATGTCGGAGATCGAGTTCATGCAAAGCACGCAGGCAGTCGAGCCGCTAAGAGACCCAGTCGTTCCAAAGGAACAAGCAAAGAAGCTTATTGAAAGTAAAATATTTCTCTTTCGACTCCGCCTTCAACGGGGTCGTAATATTTGCTAACAATGGCCAGATTATTATGACTGCTACCAATTCGAAGGCTTCAAAATCCCTCTTGAGAAGTCCTTCTTGTGTTCCATCCCCGATCTAATTGAGATTCCCCATGTCAAATTGGACTATACCGTCCAAATAATCTACTACACAGTCCTTCTTCAAGGTATTATTCTGGATCCAGAAGCCTATCCGGGAAGGGGTGGTATCATCCGAAATCTCTATCTGAGATGTGTCGCTCTCAGCGATCACTGGCTCGCAAATATTCAAGATACACCTGCCGATCTTTTTGCTGCATTTCTCATGGTATGCATAACAACATACCATACAATAACCACCACAGGTAGCTAACGTTTCCTATTCAATAGATCTCAATGGCTTTAGAAGGCTGTAATATGGATTTATCCTGGAAGGCGTTTAGCCAAGCGTGTCGGATATCAAAAGCACTAGGATACTATGCCGTCGATGAAACATCGACCGAGCGCTCCAACCACTCCGAACAACCACACCTTACAGCCCCAACCCCAGCCCCGGGAGCGACCTCAGAATCAGACCGCCACAAAGCAGAAGTCGACAAGAATCGCAAAAGATTCGAATTCTGGCACATCTTGCGCGTAGATTGTCTCTTCCGCCTGTCATTCGGCAAACCAACACTAATGCCGGCCGGATCCTGGAAAGTGAATTTCCCCGATCCAACAATCAACGGCGTAGACGATGAATCATCACGATTCATACAAATCCACTTCATAGCATCTATGCGCCTTGCCCTCATCGTCATGAAGTATTTAGACTGGATTGATTGTGGGACGGATCCCAATCCCATCTCCCACGACGCCACCATTGATAGTTTTATCAACGAGGTCCAGTCAATATTATCGGACTGGGATACGGTGGGTTTCCTATTCCATCCCCCAAGCCTGACCTTCCCTAGTCAGAAAATCACTCAAATGACTCGTGCCATTTTCGTTTCGCTAATAAATCCACTTTCTATCGGCACAGGAGGGCCTCCTCCAAAGGGCCACAAACCACGTCGACATCTGGTTCTGCGTCGACATCCTATTCAGCAGTTATAAAATGCTCATCGTCCTCTACCAATCGAAAAAATGTAATCGGAGCCATATCCTGCCCCGTCAAGCTGTGGATATAGCGCGGAAATCGGTCACGAAGTTCCAAGCTCTTCTTGGTGCCTCTTTGCATGCGTTTTGGGGGATAAGGTACGTGGGACTCGGAATTCCTGTGGAAATGGGAACATTGAAGACTGCTATCTAGTCACTAATCAGTTGCTCGCTTTGCTTTGCTTAGTCTCATCCTACTACACCAATTCATCCCATTCTTTATCCTCTGCTTGGATATCATTGGGAATCCTGATCACGATCATCTAGACGCTGACCTTGCCTCGGTCACCTGGATCAGCGAGTATGTGGAGATAGTTGTCGAGGAACGCGTTGAGCTTAGGCCGATTTTGATTATCATGAAGGCGGTGGCAACTGCTTGTCATCGCACAAAGATGGATCGTCTTTTCGCGTTCGGTCACTGAGACTGTTTAGATTCAACTTGAAGCTTTGTACAATTTTTGTATCTTTTCATGTCTTTACAAAGAAAAGAAAATATTAGATTGGGTATTATTGTCAATTCATTTAGTGGAACCAGTCCACATTTCTATACTCATTTCAGCCTAGAGCAGCACCCCAGACAGGTCTAAAATCCCAGTCATATTCTAGCAAATGACCGCTCGAAAAAATAAGATGCTAAGAGATAACATAAAAATGGCCATCAAATACCACCGAGCATCAAGTTAAAAGGAAATAGGAAAAAGGAAGAAAAAAACAGGGTATTCAACACGCAACACTGTCCCTATCTATCAATCACCGCATAATGTCGCGCCATGTCTTCATTAATTTTCTCCCGGGCTGCTCTACCACGAAGCCCATGCAACCGGTCCCTTGGGGAACAGACGGACCAACAACTTGCGCAACTCGTCCATAACAAGAACGCCAAGTGCAAGGCCAAGGGGAATGAACCAGTACTGGATTGGCACAGAGGCTGTTTGGAAGAGTGACTGGATACCGGGCACTTCCGTGACGAAGATAGCGATAATCAGGGAGATGAGCATCGCGAGAGGAAGCCAAGGGTTGCGGCGGGCGGGGCGGATGGGATCGGCTTGGAGGATAGACATGCGCTTGCTGCGGACTGAGAGGACGTTGCCCCATTGCATGATGACCAGCGTGACGAAGTAGACACACTGGCCAGTATTGACGAAGTTGTTCAATTGGTCTTGCGAGTAGCCGTGGAAACCGTCTGTGAAATTTTCAAAGGAGAAGACAAGATCGGAGAAGGGAATTCCGGCTGCTTTCCACATGTAGAGGAAGAACATGGCGTGGGCACTAAAAGCCTCCATAACACCAACGAAGAGATATGATTGGCCATAAATGCGGAGGTTGATGAGATGGTCTTCTTTGGGACGACGAGGTGGAATGCTGAGCAGGTCGAATTCTTCTTTTTCCATGATGACCGAAAGAGAGACAAAGAGATCGGTGAAGACACAGATAATGATCATCAGGAATGTGCTCAGGGGAGAAGGTACTCCGAAGAAGACATTCATGAGGACAGGCCAAATTTCGGACCAACTTCCTGCGGGGAGGAGGTAGGCGATAACCTTTTGCAGGTTTTGGAAGACAAGTCGACCAAGGCGAATAGCCTCCACAATTGAGTCAAATCCACCCAGTAGAACCAAATCGGCTGCTTCGATGGCCACGTCGCTGCCAGAGCCAATGGCAACACCAACATCTGCAGATCGAAGAGCGGGGGCATCATTGACACCGTCGCCGGTAACAGCAACAATGTTTCCTTTGGCTTGGAGCTCAGAGACAATCCGAAGCTTCTGCTCAGGACTAGTACGAGCAAAGACAATCTCATCGTAGCCGCAAATTGTGACCCACTCATCGTGAGTCAGCGAAGAAAGGCTGGTACCCTCAAGAAGCAGACTGTGTCTCGAGCGAGGGGTTTTCTCTTCCAAATCCTGATCACGAATATCATCGATCGTATCTGGCTCAGCAGCGCCGTCATAGATACCGATGTCCCTTGCGATAGCAGCTGCGGTAAGACCAAAGTCACCTGTAACCATGAAGAATCGAATGCCAGCGCGGCGGCATGCAGTGACGGTTTGAGCTGTTTCCGGTCGGGGGGGGATCAATGATACCAAAAATACCAAGAACAGTCAATTCATGTGCCCCAGAGTTCATGATTTCATCACTAAATTCATTGGAGCCAACCTCCTGTTTGGGGACATAGCGGCGCTGGCAGAGAACGATGACACGCTCAGCACGGCGAGACAACTTGGCCTGGAAAGCGGAGAACTTTTGACGGGCCTCATCATCCATTGGTCTGACAGCGCTGTGAATTGCTGACCAGTAGGAATTGCAGCGAGGCAAAAGTACATCTGGAGCACCCTTAACATAGACCAAATACCCTTCTGCGCCTGTTGGATCCTTGTGCATAGTCAACATCCACTTGTTCTTCGAGTTGAACGGGATCTGGTGCACACGATCATATGATGCCAGATTCTTCGGGGATGCGGCGCCAGCGCCATCTGCAAGACGTAGAACAGCTGCATCGGTGGCATTGCCGTTGACAATGCGATCGTGGATAGGTCGGTCCAAGGTTGTCGGGTCGTATGTCGCATCATTGCACAGAACTGAAGCGCGCATCATGTTGGCAAGACCATGGGAGATCTCCATGCCAGAGGCTAGATCATCCAGACTGTATTCCCAATCGACCATGCCGACAGACTTGACGAACATGCGATTTTGGGTGAGAGTACCGGTCTTGTCGGAGCAAATGACATTCACGCAGCCGAGAGTCTCGACTGTCGCGAGGCCCTTTGGTAGGATGTTGGTCTTCTTCATTCGCTTGGCGATCATCATGAGAGTCAAGGCGACAGCAACCGGGACACCTTCTGGAATGAAAGCCACAACACATCCCATGACGTTGTTGAGCATGGCAACAACACTCATGTAGGTTGGATGATCCTTGCGCAACCATCCCAACCAAGTGAACAAGATCAAAAGGGCGAGGAAAACTGTCAGGATGACAATAATTGTAACAAACCGATTAATCTCCTTCTGGATCAGGGTGGGCTTTTGCTTGACGCCGGCAGTCATTTTCGCGATACGGCCCATAACAGAGTTGCTTCCAGTCAAAACAACAATTCCAATAGCATTGCCGTTTGTCACCAGTGTTCCCATCATGGCGATGTTGCGAGTCTCCAGGAAGTTTGCATCGGTGGCATCTGTGGCCCCGTCGATCTCGTCAGACTCGCCAGTGAGAATTGCACGGTCAAATCGAACATCACCCGAGCTTTGCAGCAGACGCATATCCGCTGGTACCTTATTTCCCACACTGATCTGCACAATATCGCCAGCCACAAGGTCGGTCGCGGTGACACGAACTAGCTTCTCATCACGCATCACCAAGGCTTCCGAGGGAAGAAGGTCCAAAATCGAGTTCATTACTTGTTTCGTGGACCAGTCTTGGAAAGCGGAAAAGCTGGCTTGCAATGCAATAACGATCAGGATGAGAACCGCCATGGCTAGATTGGTAGGAGACGGTGGGTTGCTGAGAGGTTTCCAGCAGATGAAGAAGATGATGACTCCCACCCACAGGACGGAACAGAATCCACCAAAGACATAGAAGAAGATCTTCTTGAGGTAGTTCTCACGGTGGTGGGCGATGACATTCTTCCCGTCCCGTTGGAGACGCTGGGCGGCTGTGCTGCTGCTCAACCCGGTGCGCTGATCGACATTGAATTCCTGGCACACTTTATCTGAGGGGATCGAGTGAAAGTCGAGAGTTTCGAAGTAGTCTTGGTTGGGCAGTTTCTCCTTGGGCGGTTCCTCGACGACTTGCTTGGGAGCATTTTGCGATTCGGAGATCTGGATCGAAAGAGTACGGAACTCGATGGGGAAACCAGCATTGGCTGCTGCTGCTGTCTGACTGCTGCTATGAGTGCTGCGGATGGTATCTTGGCTGAGGGAACGAGTGCGCCTGAACCCGGGAGGTCGATAGATAGAACGGTTGACTTCGGCATCGGTGGTCGAACCATCCTCGAAGGCAATCCGGGTGGAACGTCCCGTACGCTCCACGTCATCTGCCTCGATATCGACCTCAGTTTGGATCTCATCGACCTTGCTGTGGGGGGAGCTTGGGTCCATGGGGAAAGCTGTCTTGGGGAGGATGGAGATGGGGTGAGGAAGGAAGCTAGAAAGCTAGCGAGGGAGAAGAGGAAGAAGAGGAAGAAGAGGAAGGCAGACAGCCAACAACCCGAACGGGCACAGCACAGAGAAGGGGAGAACGAAATTGAAATTGATGTTGAGGTTGAGAGAGAATGTGGTAGGTGCAGGCTGGGGGGGGGATCTTATGTAGTTGCAGGCAGGCACCAACTAAACCATAGTTGGATGGACTCGATCTGGTCAGGGCTACTTTGGGTAAACGGGACGCGAAAAAGGAAAGAAAAAACGAAGGAGAAAAAGAAAAAATGTTCTCGTATCACTTCAAGCGGATCCACGCGAAGGTAGCCACGAGGTGTGCCTGTTGTAGCCCGCTGTAGCCCTGCTGTTAGTGGTGTTAGTCCTGCATTGGGAAGCCCATTCCAGCAGGTGCACGCCGCTGCATCATAATTTCCCGAGTTCAGGCCTGGTGGATCCAGATAAGGTATGGAGTCGGTGTACCTGGGAAGTATAGGAGCTCTCCATAGTTGGAGGGAGTACCTAGGAGTGTTCCTTGTGGCCCAGGGAAATCCCCTCACGTTGACTTTGTTTGATATACATCTGGTACTGTGCCTGACCAGATGTTACCGTTATATTACCGCGCGAACCTTCCCCCACCCAATGATAATTTACAAGTCGTAGAATGTGACAGTACGTGACCCATCCCTCCCTCATAGTCCAGCCCTAAGGGAAAAAAAGGTCTACGCCACAGGCAGTCTCTTCAACCTTGGGAATTAATTCGGGCGGTGCAAAAAGGCTACTCATACTGAGAGAAAGAAATGGCGCATGTAATCTCGCCTACTAAACTACTGCCACTATGAAAAAAAAAAATTGAAAAAAGCGGGAACTGTCACTGTCAGATTTTCCCGGGTCGCTGCGCGATTTTTCCTCGCCAGAGAATATTGCTAAGGTCCTAATGGTATTAATGGAACTATACTCCGGAGGGTAGCCCACTCGGGGGGTTTCAACTAGTAGGAGAAAAGTCTGTCCACGATTTGATTTTTCTCTGGTGTTCTATTTTTTCTTTTTCCTTTTTCCCACGCTAAAGGTTAATTCTGACAGCTTTCATTCATGGCCATAAATCGCTCAACCATCAAACTAGCGTGGACGACAGCCGCGATCATCGATTGCGCGGTTTGCCCGGGCCAATCAGCGCATCCCCCAATAGTTCCCATGTGGCTGGCATGTCCTGCGTGGTTCTCGGACTAAAACAACCTCCGCCACGATCGTAATGGTGCAAACGGAGGGTCTTGTGCTCTTCCCCTGTCCTCTGTCCTCCCGTGCTCCTTCTGTGGTTATGTCTTTGCCTAGATCTGTCTCTTTGTGTTACGAGGGAATATCCGTAGGCGACTCATCCATGGTATTCATCGTATCCATGGATACACCCGTGTCATCACTAAGGAGCTGTTTTATAAAGGCAGCCAACTGATAGCCAAACTTCATTTCAATTGTTTTGTTATTTAGTTACTACAACTCCACGCTGAATCCTTGATTTTAACTTTGCCTTTCTTTTTTCTTTTTTTTTGCTTCTTTCTCTTTCTATATTGTAAGCGACCCATCCATGAAGGATAACAGTCGTCACTACGACGCCTGGACTGGCATTGCCGTGCACCGACCCAAACTTGCCACGCATTATCACTACGTGACACGGCCAAAGTGGTCGCCTGGCGCGCAAGATGGAAAATTCCCCAATGGTCAAGGCGCAAGGAAACACAGCTGGCCCTTCTTTGGCAACGAACAACCAGCCCTCGCATCTGTATCGACCGATCGACGGCCATTAGTTCAGCCAGATACGAATGCCACAACCCCCCTTGAGACCGAATCCACTCTCTCCTTTACGGAGAAGTATGGCCGCTGTCTCGAAATACTACACTATGGATCCAACAGCACAACCCGTCTTCACGAAAGCAAATCAGCCCACTGGCACTTGTCCTCAAATTCCAAACAACCTCCCCGATTCTACGCAATCAAAGTATACCGCCACAATATCCTGGACACAAACAATCCTCTTTCTCACGCCCCGTCATGCTCTCAACTCTCAATATCAAATCTACACCCAGACCATCCCAATATCCTCCAAATAACAGACCTCCTCTACAACGAACGCTCGGAACTCTGCCTCGTTACACCCTTCTGCGGAGGCGGCGACCTGCATGAACTCCTATCCCGTCACGGAGCCCTCCCATCCAACGAAGCAGACTGTCTCCTCGCCCAAATTCTCCGAGCACTCTCCTTCCTCCACGACCACGACACCGCACACCGCGACGTCCGTCTCGAAACGATTCTCCTAACAGCCAACGGCGCCGTAAAACTAGCCGGTTTCGGCAACGGACATATCCGACGACTATGGAACGAGTCTGCCATTCAAATCCCTGAGGTAGAAGCTGAAGGCGAGGGCGAAGGCGAAGATTCATCAACATTCCACTCATCTCAACGCACCCACTCCCACTCCCAACCATCGACTTGGTCATTCTCTCTCCCCTGGCTCCTATCCCCATTCAAAAACGAGCACCAGAACCAACAGCACCAAGCAGCCCGTGGTAATGGGGATTACTCCAGTTCCTCGGCTTCATTTCCAGGAATCAGTATGCCCTACATTCCGCCCGAGGGGTTGCGGTATCGGGCGCATCACTCTACGCGCGAATCGGACGATGTGTATGATGGTGATGATCCCAGACCTGCGGATGTGTGGTCTGCGGCAATTATTTATCTTGCTATGATTAAAGGTCGGCTTCCTTGGCGCTCTACTCGTCCTCGTTGTGAGGATACGAGGTATTTGGAGTACTTGAGTTCGAGACTTGATGAGGATGGTTATCCGCCTATTGAGGCGTTGGGGAGGGTACGTTTCTTCTCTCTTTGTTTTTTTTTCCTTCTATTTTTTCTCTTCTTTTTCTTATCAGACTTTGATGTGAACACATATAACTGAAGTGACTAACTCCCACTTTTTCAGAGACGACAAAACGCAATTTATGCGATGTTGCACCCCAATCCGACGAAACGGATTACTTCAAATGCTATGCTGAAATCGGAGTGGATGCATAGTGTGACTATCTGTGAGGCTGGGGAAGTAGGCTTTTGACGGAGATCCTAATAGTATCTTGGATACTGTTCGTCGTTCAAGTTTATAGATAGGTACAGGAGTATGCCAGTATGAGATAACTAATCATATCTCTCAATAACGAATTATGATTTTGGCATGGCTTTGAGTTGATTAACATGATGGCGAAATTCTAACAACCTAACTGATTAACTTGACCCATTCATATCTACACTCCCAGCTAGGTCTAAAACTAGCAATACAGCCCTTACGCATGCGTCGAAAGCCTTGAGGCTTCAAAACGGATTGGTTCACAACCTTCTGGATTGGATATACTTATTACACAAAACTTGGAAAATCCCGAAACTAAATCAAAAACACCGAGCCCACAGCTGCCTTCTCACAGCTTAGACTTGGATGGAAGAGCCTCGCTCACCGGAGCAACCTCAACCATCATCTTTCCAGTGTTGACACCCTTGTACAGATCAACCAGAGCCTGAGGCGCCCCCTCAATGCCACCAGGAACAATATGCTCCTTGCGCTTGAGCTTACCCTGCGCCAACCAAGAGCCCAGCTCCTGCACAGCAGAGGCATATTGCTTCGCATAGTCAAAAACAATGAACCCCTTCATCGTAACGCGTTGCGACTACCAACCAAACTCATTAGCATTCATTCATTCCATTCAGCAGGGGTGGGGACTCACAATAACAGTCATAAAACTAGCCGGACCCTTCGGCTTAGAAGTATTATACTGCGAAATAGCACCACAAATAACGAATCTAGCATCCCGATTTGCACGCGCAAGACAAGCATCCAAAATCTCACCACCAGTATTATCAAAAAAGACATCAATATACTCCGGCGTCGCTTCCTTGAGTTGTTTCTTCCAATCGGCATCCTTATAATTAACCGCCGCGTCAAATCCAAGCTCCTTGACCAGGAATTCACACTTGTCTTTACTCCCCGCAAGACCAATCACCCTCTTCGCACCCTGGATTCTCGCAATTTGCCCAGCAACACTCCCCGTCGCACCCGCGGCGCCAGAAACAACAACCGTGTCGCCGACCTTCGTCTTGCCAACCTCCGTCATACCGAAGTACGCTGTTAATCCGGTCATACCGAGAACGGACATTGCGTCTGTTGGACGACCACCGGCCGGTACGGAGAATGGTTCGACTTCCTTCGCGCTGAGGAGAGCGTACTCGGTCCAGCCGGAGTAGGCGACTACCCAATCGCCGGATTTGAATTTTGAAGAGAGCTCCGATCCGACGGTGATGATTTGGGCTATGCTTTGGCCGCGCATTATGGCGCCCAGCTCGACGGGGGCGATGTAGGAGCGTTTGGCTGTTAGCCATTGGCGCATTGCCGGGTCGAGGGAGAGGTAGTGTACTCGCACGAGGAGTTTGTCTGCTGGGACATTGCTGGGTTTGGGGATGGTTGAGAGGCGGAATGTGCCGTCGGTGGTGGTTAGGGAGGGGTTTATGGCGTCCGTTGGGGGGGTGTTGTAGAGGATTTGTTTGTAGGACATATTGGTGGTGAGAAGTAGGTGGTAGTAACAGGTGCCCTGGTGTGGATGTGGAGAGTTGAGAGTCCGGAGAAGTGGTGAGGGAGGTAGTAAATATTATATTAGGAGGAACCTCGGTCAGCAGTGAAGGTGCGGAGTGCAGGACGGAGGTACCCCAGATTAGGAAAACTGCTCCATGGACCTCGGCTGGTTGGGGGGGGGTCAACTTGGATGCGATTATTCAACAGATGGGATGGAACATCAATTGATCTCATCTACACTTGCTATAGTAGTACTACTACTTGTTGAATTCAAATTCAAATTTAAGCTGCCCAGGTGGTCTACAGTAAAAGTATAAGCTTATCTGAGATCAGGTTGACGTCATGATTCCTGATTGCAACCAGTCCTTGTAATCCACGGATATATATAGTATTGCAGCATATACACTACACAATTTAATACCACTGCATACCACCGCACCATGACCGACCGCAACAATACCGACACGACCGGCGCCGGCCTCGCCCAAGGCTCCTCCACCGGCGCCCCCGGCATGCCGACCGGCCTCCAAGATCAACACGCCCAATACGATCCTGCCACAAACGGCGTCAACCCAGCCACCGGAGCCTCCTACACGAACTCCGACAAGGGCGCATCGACGAAGAGCTTCGATGTCGCCGCCGGAGATGATCGCATCCAGCATGCGCCCAGCACGGCTCAGCAGGTCCAGATGGAGAAGCAGCAGGAGAAGGCGGCGCGCGATCGGGGGTCGGGCGGTACGCAGATGGGACAGATGGGACAGATGGGGGAGGATGTTGGGCGAAAGGCTCAGGGGGTGATGGCTGGTGTACATGTATGGATCACATAGTTCTATTATATTGTATTGAGAGAGAGTTGTGCTAATGCTAATGATAATGTTGCAGGGTGCGGGCGAGTCGCTTCGGGGGGCGCTTACCTCGGCAGTGGACCGCGCGTTTGGATCGGATGAAAGCGCGCAGTGGAACGAGGAGATTGCCCGTCGGGGTGAAGAGGAGTTGCGCTCGGGCAGATTGGGCAAATAATTACGGAGTAAAGGAAGGGTAAAGGGATTGAGATCTGAGCGGCTTACGCTTAGCTTACTTGGCGAGCTGGGATGGTGGGATAGGTGGGATAGGTGGGATGGTGCGCCGAGTCAGATTTGGGTAATTAAGCTTTACTTGACTAGGAGTAACGAGTAACCGGTTCCTGTCTGCACTAGTCCACTATTACGTAGAGTCGAGTGGATCGGGCATAACTGCAACACGAGTACGAGTAGCAGAATGTGTGAGAAGAACTTGGCAGGGTAGCCAAGTACTATAGTAGCTGCTTGTTCTTAATATTCAGCCGTTTAAAAAAAAAGCGAAAAAAAAGAGAATATAGTGCCCAATGCCCCGTCCTCGTACCATGGGGCTCCAGCTGATCCCCGTTATGCTGATCATCAGTACATACTCGCACATTTAATGGTCACAGTAGAGTAGAGATACTACTAGTACTCTACTACTCTTAGCCAGTATACTATTATCGTTCTCGTAGTAGAGTACTACTATAATAGTTGTATGAGTATACTATACTAATACTAATACTAATACTATATACTGTATATCTTCACGTGGAAAAATTGAATCATCCGGGCCACCCGAAGGCAAGGCTGTGCTGTGGAACCTTAACGAATCCTCCGTTTCCGGCTTATAATCACTTGCCCCAGTCAATTCCTCATTTTAATTTGCATTTACATTTGCATTCACATTCACATTCTACATTTGCATTGATTGTCTACCATTGCAGTCCCGAATACACTACACTGCACTACACTGCACTGCACTGCAAACTACATCATAGTGGACCTGAACAGCCCGGTTTGGAACATCCTGGAGATCCTGGACACCTAAAGACCGGACACCTGGAAGAACTTCCACAGGCACACACCCCTTGTACGACCTCATGCCCTAATCAATCCCTCTTTGCATCCGGAGTATACACTATGGCATCGACCTCCAACCATCCCGCACCCGTTGATCTGCCATCATCGCAGCTGCAACCCCCACCACCAGCGCAAAAACAACCAATCTCCTACTCCTCCGAATCTTCCTCCAACGTCCTCGCCTCGGACTCCCCCTCGCCCTCCCAATATTCCTCCTTTTCCAGCTCCGACAGCGATGGCGACGACCACATCCCCGGCGCGACGGAGGTCGTCGACGAAGATGATGCCGATGACGTTGTCGGCGTGAGCATCGGTCGCTTCCAAAGCCGCATGAAAGCCCGTGCCACGCCCGCTGAGGAGAAATCGCGCGTTCTGGAACGACAAGGGGGATATTTCACCACCGTACCGGACAATGTCGGCGAGGACGGCCTCTTCACATCTGAACTCACCGCCGAACCCGAGTCCGTAGACACCGAGCTCAGCAACGAGAGCGACAAGTCCGAGCGCCAATGGAAGAACCAGCGGGCGACCGCGAGAAAGCCTGCCACGCTTCCTCCCGCCTCTTCCGTTACAGTGGACCATCGTGCGCCGCGTGGCCCCCACAAGGAGCTCTCCGCCCCTGCGCCCAGGTCCGAGTCCAAGGATAATGCTTCGAATCAGCGCTCGAGTTTCACCCGGTCGTTACTGAAGACCTCCTTACCGCGGAGGCCGCGTGCCTGGTCCGGAGAATTGAAGAAGTTCCTGCCGGACCTGGGATCCCTGACGAAACGGCCTTCATTATCGTTTCGCTCCAACAATGGCCCTCGAGCTCGGAGCCAGACGGTGGCTGCTGCCGCAAAACGAAGTTCGGAGATCGGTTCAACAACACGCTCTCTGAATCGACACTCGCCATTGCCATCGCCATCGCGGACGCTGAATGGCAACGCGAATTCATATGTTACTGCCAACGCCAACGCCAATGAGGAGGATGAGGGAGATGATGCGCGGCCACTATCCGAGCTACGATCGCTCGATGGCGCATCAGCTGTGAAGCATTCTTTTACGCGGCGACCGAGCGCAACGCCAAAACGGCCCCCGAGTCTGCGGAGATCTTCTTCGGATCAATCGTTATACCTGCGCGCTTCATCCACCGCGTCTTCTCTAGAACAACGACCCCTCTACGAAAATGTACATTCGCAGGTTAACAGCCGGTTTAAGGCCATCAAGGATAGTCTACAGGATTCGAGCAGTCGTTTGTTGAGCATGCCCTCATTGCATCTGCAAGATATTCGTTATGATTGGGGATCGCGCCCATCCTTCTTCAACGAGAATGGTATGGAGCCAACCACCGCCGACAGAGGAATCAACAATGGCCCATCATTTCATACAGCACCGCCACCCCCACTGCCTAAAAATAACCCCCAATCGACACACACCAATCTTGGAAGAAGCCATGTCTGAATTGACCGGCGATGTGGTGATTCTGGGAGGCTACCGCGGCTCGATCCTGCGCTCTGCGAAGCCACCACACCGGCAATTATGGGTACCGATGAAGGTGGGCCTGAATCTGCGTAAAGTCGATCTGGAAGTTGGCTTGACTCGCGAGGATGAGGAACGTATGGAAGAATCAATTATTCCATCCGGTGTACTATCCCACGTCGGACCCGTGGACGTCTGTCGCCGCTTAATGAAGCGATTGCGCAAATGCGATAACTGCGTGCGTGGAGACCTTCGAGTCTGGGACTATGGGTACGATTGGCGATTGAGCCCCGAGCTGCTCTCCGCGAGACTAATTGCCTTCCTGGAACGTCTGCCCTGCAACCGGCCTTCCTTGGATGGATCCTTGAAGACCAAGCGTGGGGCTACAGTTATTGCGCACAGTCTGGGCGGCCTCATCACCCGGCACGCGGTGAATCAACGACCCGATCTCTTCGCCGGTGTCGTATACGCAGGCGTACCACAACACTGCGTTAATATCCTCGGTCCACTTCGCAACGGCGACGACGTCCTCCTCAGTTCGCGAGTCCTGACTGCACAAGTCAACTTCACTTTCCGCACCAGCTTCGCCCTCCTCCCCGAAGACGGCCACTGCTTCATCGACAAGCAATCAAAAGAAGAATTCCGCGTTGACTTCTTCGACTCAAAAAATTGGGAAGAATACCGTCTATCACCTTGCATGGGTCCAGCCCTCCAACCGCCCACTGGAGGAAGTGTCTTCAAAGATTTCGCAACGATTAGCAAACGCTTCTCCATCGGCCCTAGGGACTCTCTCCAGACCTCCAAGATATAAACGACCCTAACAACAACACTACCAGTACCGAAGAAGACCGCGACCCCCACACTTTCAACCCGGGCCACACCCGTCCCCACAGCATCCCCAACCTAACCGACACAGCACAAGACAAAGCCTCCGACGCCCTCCTCCAACCACCCCTAGAAGGAATCGGCGGCCCCGCCGCACCACGCAGCAGCACAAGCACAAGCAAAATCTCAACAACAGTAACAATCCCCCACGCCACCGCAGAAGAATATCTCCAACGCACCCTCCGCGAAGTAAAACGCTTCAAATCAGAACTCGAATTCCGCCCCGCCCACCAAGCAGACAACAAATACCCACCCGCAGCCGTAATTTACGGAAAATCCGTGCCAACCGTCTACGGTGCACGCGTTACGTCGCGTGAAGCGATTAAGCAACAGGATTGCTATGATGATCTTGCTTTTGCGGCTGGGGACGGCGTTTGTCTTGCTTCAGCGGCGATGTTGCCGCCGGGTTATCGGATTATTAAGAATGGGCTTGTTAAGAGTGATCGCGGTCATGTGGGACTTTTGGGCGATCTTGAGGGGGTGGGAGAGTGTTTGAGGGCTATTATTAGGGGGAGGAGGGAGGGGGTTGGGATGGGGAGTGCGAGTGCTTCGACTGTGGCTGCTTAGTGCGGTGCGCAGCGGAGCGGTGCAGCGCAGATCGGATTGGATATATTGGAGGATTTGGTGATGGTTTGCATTTGCATTTATATACTGCGTTTCTTTTTCCCTTTGTTTTGTTTTGATGATACCACCCGCCATGCATTATGATTCTGGGGATGATTGGATTGGATTGGATGTGATGTGATGTTTGGCTCAACTGTATGATAGAGTTGATGTTCATATAAAGAAGAAAGCATAAATAAATACCACCAGTACCTAATATTCAACAACTAGGAAATTGCTGTCTTTCAGTCCAGGCTATCTAGTAGTACCAAGGTACTTAAGGTCATCGTGCTACTACTAGTACTAGCTCGAATCTCGAACAAGCCTATATGTGGTTTGTGACTGGTTGCTTTGCCGCAACCTCCTCTGTACTTGGTTTCTGCCTTTTTCTTCCTCGCAATCACCAAGGCGGCGTGAAAAGAAGTGAAGGAGGAGAAGCGGTTTCAGGAGGCCAGTCATCATTCTCCCTATCATCCATCCTTGCGAGAAAGTTCCATTCGTTCTCTCTCTCCTCATCCCAGAGTGCGTATCCCCAACCCCAATCAGCAGAACGCAGGTAGTCGGTCACTGGCCTCACAGTCGCTGCCAAGTCATTCTCCGGCATATGCCAAGGCATGCATATCGCTTTCCACCCAAAAGAAGGTTGCTCCAGAGCAGGTAGAGTCGACCAATACTCCTCAACGTATGGCCGATTCTCGTGTCGATCTGCGGGTTAAAGAGGGGGTATTCTTTCATTGGAGTCGTTGGAAGTGATAAGGCTTAGGAAGTCACTCGTATCATCATCGAAATCATCCAGGAATGTTGGGTAATTTTCGATCACCATTCTTCGTAGGTATAGGTGTAGACAACGCTGACCTTCCCTTTCTTCTTCTTGCCGTCCTCTTCCAAGTTCACAGATAAGGCGGTAGAGGAATTCAGGCCCGTAAGGATGTATGGTTGTTGTTGGTCCAAAACCCCAGAATACTCTGAGTACGAATTCTTCGAATTCTTCGAATTCATTGAGTGCTATTTCCTTATGCTGCATTCACGGCCAATGGCCATTGTCCATCAGGGTACGAATGATTTGATCATGTCTACGCTGAATGTATACACCCACGCATAGAATTTCATGCTGTTCCCAATAAGGCATCGCTCCATAGAAGGCAATCCGAATGAGATAAGCGCCGTCGCAATCAAATTCAGACCCTGTCCACCACGGATCCGCTTTCTCCAATCCCGATAGCATGGTAAAGGGCTCGATGTACGCAGGAACGATGATATGGCAAAAGTGTAGAGTCGACACAAGGCCCTGATAAACCGGCCCTTTTCTGTGTTTAACATCTTTATCGGTAGACATCTCTGCCAGTCCTCGGGGGAAAAGATCCAGTACGGTCGGCGCATGTTTGTTGAATAATCGTCCAGGAAGAAGACCAGCTGCCGATGTAGATGGATCAAATTAACAGTCTCCTGCAAAGTGTACGGTTCATCGAAAGAGGGCAGGCATGACTTTGGCGAGGAAGGAACTTCTTTCAGTTCATCTCTGCGTCTCCAGCGATTCAGCAGTGCGAACACTTCCTCTTGATGGCTGCGCAGACCTTTCGAACGGAGGGCGAGGAGAGCCTCTGCAATGCTGAATGACTCTGAGTAAAGTTCCATAACAATACCACGGAGCAGTGAAGATCGAACGATTTGATATGCCGCATAGCATGCTCGCGATGTGAGGACAGTCGATTTGAGAGTCTGCAGGTCGGGAATTTGAAAGAGGATGAGGACGAAAAGTTCTTTCGGAAGGATATTCAGAGTTGATGTTGCCTGGTCGTGGTATTGGTATCAAGATGTCTTAGGTGGAATGGAATGTGTTGGATCTTACCATTTCTGAGATTCGCTCAGAGTTTGTTCGAGACTGGTAAACAGTGTTGCTTGGAGTTATCACGACGTAGCCGAGGAAAGAGTTTGTGGCCGAGATCAAGGCCTCGAGGGACGAGTAGCGCAAGGAAGAATCTGAACAACCTAGTACCGGCGAGGGTCACAGACAATAGCGCTGGGTTGAAAGATGAGTGAGCTGGGGGTGAGGGAATGAAATGAGGCCATGCCAAGCTTGGAAGACTAGTACTCGTGCCCTTGAAGCATCATGGACAGTAGTGAGATGGTCTTTCGCAACTCGAAAGTCTGATACAAAATAAATGCTCGGGAGTAGTGGTAGAAGGGAGAATGAGCGAGAACACCACCGGGCGTAGTTGTAGCGGTAGCGGTAGTTGCCTGTCAGTGAATGGCGGGAGAGTACCCAACAGTTGTGTACTACACAGAAAACAGCACATACATCGCGAATAGAGAGATACTGGGACCTGCGCCTATTTCTTAATTTCAATTAACTTGTCTTGCTGTTTTATAGTTTACTTGGAGAGGCTACTATCTATGTTCTCTCCTTACCTACTCTACGTATAACTTTTAATATACGATTGTCTGAGGGTTTTTGATACCCTTATTTATAACGGTATAGTTATTGATTAACTCCTAGTCTTCAGGCCCATGGAGACTAGCTCTAGAGAGCCGATCTTATGGTCCTTGCCGAATTCGGTTGAAGAATTTGAAGTTCAACCAAGGCACTTTCAACCGCATCAACCGCCATTCCATACCCAGCTTGGAATCCCGTCCCTCCAGCACCATAGTTGTGAACAATAAGGCCCTTTCTCTTCAAATCATTTACCTGCACTATCTCACTGGCAACTCGAGCACCTCCCTCCCGTGATGGTCGCAAGCCTGCAAACGCTGCGAGTATCTCCGTGTCGGGCGAATCAAGCTCAGGTAGCATCGCCTTGGTCCGAGATAAGATAGACTTAGTCTCCTCTCCAATTGTATCAGGCGTGCTGTGTAAAAGTTAGTTTTTTGGATAATGATACTATGCAAAAGTATACTTGGATTTATATTGCTCACCTGACTCCTTTCTGCATATATCCACCAAGGATCACATTTCCCTTCGAGTACGGGCGTGGTATAACGTATGTCTCGTAATCCTTCCCGTGTCTCATCACACTTTGGTTGATGTGTGTTGCCTTGGCAAGCAGAATTTGTCCTCTAGTAGGGTAGCACTTCGGGTCCTCGACTCCCTTCAGAGAACGAGCAGCGTTACCGGTGCAGTTAAAAACCACTTCCGTGTCCTTGTTGAGGAAGCCTGACGTGATATCTGAGACTTTCTTGCGAATGACCTGGACACCATACTGATGTCTGAGTCTCTGAAGAAGATAGTGGGCATGCATCGGGGCATTGATGGTTATCGTGGTAAATGTGATACCAAATGCAACACCTTGCGGTAGTTCCTTCTTGGGAATCTCTTTATACTGTATCATTTCCTGATTAGTGACCCACATAAAAGAAGGCAAATAACCAACTGTTGGTAAATGACTCACATCCTTTAGGTAGCTGGCCATGGAATCGAGCTTCATGCGCGATGGCATTTCATCCCAGTACTCGGTGGAGGGTGTTGCCCGAACAAATGCCCGCTCCCCATCCTTTGCAGCAAGGTTGAGGAGATGATTGTACCCGATTTTATCCCATCGCAAAGCATTCTTATCGCTTGCAGAAATGGCGGAGAAGTTTGCGCCAGCCCTAGATCACGTTAGTATCAACGAAAACAAAGAAAGTATATATAGCCAGCATTGAGGGTGAGCATACTCACCAGGGCGAAGTATAGTTTATGGACGTATCACCTGGGAGGTGCTCGGCTATGATGGTAGTTTGGCTGGCATAGCCTCTCTCGGCGAGGACCAGGGCAACATTCAGCCCAATGATGCCGGCACTTTGCGGAAATATGTTAGTGACTTGGAGCTGCACGATGATTTCCTTTGAAAACGCACCCGATAATTACCACAGATTCGCTCTTCATCGTGACTAAGCCAGTGTCCACGATCTCAATCAAGTGACTAGCACTCAATTCGTCTAGACTTGGGGGTTCTTTAGTTTAAAGCACATAAAGACAGGGAGGACTTCTCGGTTTCCAAGGAATAATAAATTCTGGCTCGTTAAATTCCACATCACTTATCTTAGCTCTAGACTTCAAGGATTGGGGTATGATTAACGTGTAAACGAACGCCTATCACGGTCGGGTTGAATTAAGAGCTGCTCCGATTGGCGGCATTCATTGTGGGGACACGCGGCATAGCTTGTGGTTGGTGCCCGTAACTACAGCTTCGCCTGAGGAATTGAGTTCAGCTCCAGAATGGTAAAGATATGCTTCAGCGAGGAACTAGTGGCCACCATCAAATTCTGTATATCTCAGTGCATAGTAAGTTAACACCACTGAGGAAGAGGGATACTGCCCGGGCGAAAAAAGTATTACAAGTATGTCAAAATCTGATCAGCAAACCTTTTGCCACAATTACACCTTTCGCCATATTTGAGACATGACCTGAGAAAAGCCAGGGGGAAATATTTTCTTCTTTTTTTTTTTTTTTTTTTAAAAAAAAGACCAAGAGGCAATTGGTTGAGACGGCGCATCTCATTACTACTTGTATATGCGATATACGGAAAAATAAGGTAGTAAAATTGATAAAAGGAAACATTTTGGATACTGTAGGTTACTTCAGTTATCTGACTACTATGGTTCGCTGGATTTGCCACAATCAGCGAACTGCGTAACATGTTCCCTGTTCCCTTCAACTGGAACCCCTTCGATGAGTCCTGAAGTATCCGGATCAAGCGAGTCACTCTTTCTGAAGCAAAGGTAAAAAGCACACCCCGCGACAAAGCCCACAATTGCTAGAGATCCATACATCCAGACAAGATATGGATCTTGCGACACTGGGGTTAGACCAATGCAGATTGCTGCTGCAATGCCGATCATGAGCCAGAATAGCGCAGAGATAAATGATCTCAGGCTGAAGTAGGATGTTAGATTGAATTAAGAAATATCATGGGGGGGCGGTTGACTCACTTTTTCGGGGCGTGTGTAAAGGCAAGTTCCAAGCCAGTGACAATGACAAATGCCTCGGAGATAGCGACAAAGATATAGGCAGGGGCTTGAATCCACACGTGTATACTTTTCGCCGGAGAAATATAAATGTAATGCTGTAATACGCTGGCATAGACCATGGAGATCGAGACAAGTAGGAAACCGGTGAAGATCCGACACACTGGACTGAAGTTGATCTTCAACTTACGAAGGAAAGGATAAAGGCCCACTAGAAGTACAATTGTGAGTATATAGTTTGCTGATATCATCTTGTTGGGACTCACAGTCAAGGAGTGGAATAAAAATACACAAGGCGATCGGGTCCAGGTTTTGCAGAAGGTCATTCGGTGTTCCATGCAACGCCATTTGACCAGCTTGTGAGATAAGATTGTTCCAAATCTGGACCCAACAAACGAAATAAAATGGAAAAAATATAAACATCTGCAAGGCTTATAAGCATAACTCTTGGAAAAGGTGAAGTTTGACTCACTCTGCAGCTTCTAAAACCTCGCCTAACATCTGTGACATACTGATCCGTGTAGCGCGGTGAAGATGCAAATGAATACTTGCTCAAACGGCCTGCAGCCTCTAGAGCTGATGGCTTTGCGTCTTCGAAATGTTTTTCCTGTCGGACAATATTCAAGACCTTGCATGCATCAATAATAGCGGACCCCTGTGGAGGAACTCTGACATATCGCTTCTGGCCGGACAAGAAGACAATAGCCGAGAGTAATATTGCGCTGATAGAGATTAATGGGTGTTACATAAGACGTTCCTTGTCCCAACTTACATCAATGGAATCAAATAGGCGAGCCAGAAGGAGTTCCTGGCCTCAACATTGACTGTAATCAAGGGCGAGAGAGCCCCGACATTGACGACCCAGTAGAACCACATGAAAAGTCGCTGGACTGTCAATTCAGGATCGACAATCACGCGCTCGCCTGATTTGAGCGTTTTCAGGACCGGCTTTGAATTTTGGTATTGCTCAGCACACATGGGAGTCACGTTGGCCTTGATTCCGCCTGTTCCCAGGCCAATGATGACCATCGCAGCAACCAAACCACCAAAACCAGCATGGCTCTGAATCCCAGCTGGCGTCGAAGTAGCAACCAGGATGGTCAAGCCCACGATGTAAATTCCCAGAGAGAGTGTGATGGCTTTAAATTTGCCTATATATTGATCTGGTGGACTAATTAGCAACAATACTGCAAGCTGCCTGGGGAATATGTAGTACCTGCAATGATCGCACCAATAATGGTGGAGGCATAAGCCCAGAATTTAAAGAAGTTTCCAAGCGCGGATGCGACTGCTTGCCCTTTGCCAAGCGCACCGGGGAGGTCTGATCCTGGATCATAGGGATTACTAGATAGTAAAAGAAGTTAGACGTAGTCCGCAATATATTCACTAATTTCTGAGCCTCAGACTTGACGCACTTGATATAATTCTGGATTGGACCACTGAGACCAAAGTAAGTAAACCGTTCGCCAAGCTAGTAGGTGTTACCGTAGTGAACGAGCTTGGCTATTGGCATGCGGTGGCGGCTAACATACCTCGACAACAAGGATCAGTAGTGCGACAGGTGGGAACTTGTCTGGGATACGCCGGAGTCCAACATGGAGACCTGTGGGATCCTGGTCAATTTTATTCGGGCTTTCTTCTGGATTTTCTCTCCGATTATCGGCTAAGACAGAATCCATCTCGGCGGAACAAGATCTGTATGTATGGTGTGGTTTGTCAACGCGAGGTGAGACAAGAAAAAAGAACTATCCTCTACCCCAGCATGAGTCACAAGAGGAACGACATGTTAATTTAAACGACGCTTCGATGAGTGGAACTTTTGACCTTGGTTGGGAACGAATCTGGGATAGCCCGCATTCCCCGCAGATAGAAAGACCCCACCCCAATGCCTATCGGGTGGCTTCCTAAGGTTAGATCGGAGCCGATATTTGCCCAATGCCGCCAACCAAAGCCTTGCAATATATCCGCAGTGTATTCAAGGGCAGGTGGCTTAATTTACGAACACTCCCGCATTTTTGCTGGCTTGTTTAATCTTATCATTGGCTTAAGATTGACGATTTATTATTCTTTGCCTTTTCTGAAGGTTGCAATTTCTCTTTATCACAAAGCTAATCGCTTCTTGGGCAAATTACAATGTCGGGTACATATACAACAGCCGTGGTAGAAGAGAAGAAGAATTCACGCTTGTCTATACCAGACAAGCTCTTGGGTGGTTTGGATCCCGAATGGGTAAATCTATGGGAAAAGCACGGCAGTCCCATGGTGAGAGCCGACGAGCTATCTCTTGAAGAATTTCGCAAAAGTCCTGCTGCGTACAGCTTCACCTACCCGACATGCCCGGGTAAGTCTGGCTTGTGAGCTTCCGTGGTTTAAATTAGGACCTTTGAGAACCCAATTTTGACTTCAATCAAGGGCCGCCGGTTTTTCATGTTGAGGACATAGAGATCCCGGTTTCGCAACCAGCCGGAAAGATCATGGTCAGAGTCTATACGCCGGAAGGTCCAGGGCCATTTCCTGTTCACTTGAACTTCCATGGAGGTACATATACTCTGATGCTGTATTGCCACTCGCCAACATTGACTTGCTGACTCTTGTTTCTTGACTCTAGGTGGATGGGTTCTTGGAAATCTCAACTCTGAAGCTGCTTGGTGTCGGCACATGTGCAACAATGCCCAAATTAAAGTGATCGATGTCGACTATCGACTGGCTCCGGAGTTTCCCTATCCAACCAGCATCTACGACTCATGGGATGCAGTGAAATGGGTAAGTCAAATGCCCCGTGCCGCTGGTAGTTTGCTTCATTGACGCAGAATGGTTGGACAGACAATCACCAACGCTTCTAGGCTCAATATTGATCCATCTAGTGTATCTATCGGAGGCCTCTCAGCAGGAGGTCAAATGACTGCAGTAATTGGGCATTTTGCCCGCGACCACGGGGTTGACCTGAAACTTCAGCTGATCATAGTTCCGGCGACAGACATGCGCTACTGTTTAAGAACCCGGGAGCTGAACGAGACTACTTGTCCCTACGAAAGCGTCTTGCTATACTATGATGTACCTTGGGGACCCCTAGGTAGAGAGCAATGGTTCCTGAAGTATTGGCTAGGCGATGACGACGGTAAATCTTCCCTTTCTTGAGAACCACTTCATGCCTGTACTAAGAAGTCATAGATACCCAAGAAAGGATTTTGACGAAGGATTGGATCTGCACACCTGTGCTTGCTCCTTCATTCAAAAACCTTGGGAGGGCACACATCATCACAGCAGAATTTGATCTTGAGCGAGATGAAGGGGAGTTTTATGGTCGTCTTATGCAGGAGGCTGGGAACGATGTTACATTTAAGAGGTACCCAGGCATGCCCCATGCATTTGCGCACTACAATCACCCAGAAAGAGGACTTTCGCAAAGCTTTGTATACATCGAGGATACGAGTCGACTCCTCCGGGAGGTGCATTTCGGGAAGCGTGACGAATAGTTTTGGATACAACATGCACACATAATATGGGGATGAATAAATATCATGATGTCGGTCAAACTCTTAACCCACATGAATACTTTCATAATTCGTTTGAATTTTTTCCCATTCCAACACTTAGCCAGAAAATATCTTCAATCGCCCTCATGAATCTTTGCTGCTGCTTTTGCCTGTGGCTATTCGCCCCTTTAATATTCTCAACTTCCTTCGGTCTCTGCTTGTCAGCTGCATAAGCCGCTTTTTTTCTCAAATCCAATGAAAGATCTTGCATTTAAAATTAACTAGAAATTCCATGGCTAATTTCAAGTCTTTCCCGTAGTCGGCTGCACGGGAGATGGAAAGCTTTTAGCGGAACGGACCCTCGGCCTGATAACCCTAAGATTCCAATTCGCATTAGTCACAGCCGCAGCTCATGACCATTAGGTATATTTTGATGTACTCACTTCTGAATTTCAAATTAATAACCAGCCTGGTCATGACAATGATGAATCTGTAGTAGGAAAATGGGTGGTCAGGGGCAGTCGAAGGCCGGGGAAACCTCATCTTTGGAAAAGTGATAGGATGCGGTGTTTGATTAATATCATTGGCTACGGATCACAAACTTTGCCCCCGCCCTACCCCCTCATCACTTGCATTCCCTAATAATACATGTACCCAGGCCAATTTTTTCAACGCAAGTATGTCAGGAAGAGGTCGCAGGTACATGAGTAAGCGAGATCGCGCTTGTGATTCCTGTCGGGTTAGGAAGGCAGCTTGTCGCATTGATATAACACCTCCTTGTTATCTTTGCACACTTCACGGGAAGGAGTGCACATTCGTCCAGCCAACCTCAAGGCTACGGCAACCCTTTTCTGAGGTGATCCACCCACAGATCCCTCAACAAGCTGAGGTAGACCCACACTCAGGATTACATGAAGTTTCACCGGTTGGTGAATCAGTTCACTATGATCATTTGATGTCAATTTATGGTGATGGGGCCCACGATTCAGTTGACGCTGTACCTGAAGGGTTTCAGGACTTTTTTGAGGGAGCCCGAGTTTCATTGGCGGGTGGCTTTGGGGATAGCACATGGGCCACTGGGCTCAGCCCTGGGAGCTTCAATTATCCATCCCCTGGGCCACCAGGAACTCGACATTTGGGGGATGGAGGTCCATCAACGGCCTGCCTGCCATTGCTTATGCAGGAGGAGGGCCCCTCAATTTGCCTCGACACCCAAGATGAAATGACACCACAATTGCTCGGCAGTAGTGGCGACATGGACCCTTTGCTGATAAGTCGCTATCAATACGACACATCTGGGGCGTTTCACTTCAAAAACCTCAATATCCAATCTGTATCCTGGGGTCCGACCCAACGCAGTTTCTATTGTCAAAACGGTCAATATTTGCTGCCAGCAGGGAGGAAAATGGATGCAATAATCTTTCAACGGTTGAGTTGAAGCAGGAGCTCGAATCCTTGGTCCCTGGAGATATTGGTCTCAGGCTCATCAATATCTTTGAGAGGATCGTCGCATCGGATTACCCAGTGCTTGGTCCACCAGGCCAGCTAAATCCCGGAACCAGCCCGCCATACCTTCTTGCGAGTGTATACCTAATAGTCGAGCCCTTCACTAAATTTGACGAAAGACTTTGCATTGATCTCGCATACGAAAAGCCATCAGGTGCGGCACTTTATGAAATTATCAACAAAGCACTTCCATATGAGATACATGCACCGAAGCTATGTATCGTACAGACAATGCTTCTTCTGACCATTCGACCCTATCCAAACCCAATTATATTGGATAGTGGCTTCAAATGGTCCCAACTCGCCACTCTAATTGCTTGCGCTCACACCCTCGGTTTGCATTTGGATCCAAAGTCGTGGAGAATACCTTCATGGCAAATCTCTCAGCGACGTTGCCTGTCTTATCTCATTTATTCGACAGACAAATGGCTTGCATTGAGTCTTGGTAGGCCACCTTTACTGCATTATGATAATTGGCTCGTGACAAGTCCTAGCAAAGAGGATTATCCTGTCAGTGGCCTTCACCCTTCAGCTTGGTCAAACATTAAGAAGCGAGCGGAACTCGATTCTCTTCTCGACCGTGTTCTAATCCAGTTATAGTAAGTGAATCCGCTTGTCCATTATTTTATCGTTATTCACAGCTTACCAAAATTAGCTCTCCTCGAGCCATCAACGCCATCCGTACAGATTATGAGAAGACCGTGGCATTGACTGGTCCACTGCTTCAAGAACTCTTTTCGTGGCATAGTCAGATAGTTGCACCATCGTCTTCATCATCAGATCAAGACAGACCAGTGGCACTAGAGAGAACTCTCGAGATGAACTATCATTATATTCATTTGAGTATTTGCAGAGCTATCCTAAGGCCATTCCAACACCCCACTGTCGAAAAATTGAATAACTCAAACTATATTATTGCGCGTGCGCAGGCCCGAATCCAAACAGAAGCCTGCATCTCAACAGCAGCTGAGTTTATTCATGAGTTAAAGGCCGAGGACCTTGAGACCCTATGGCCAGCCTGGAGTGCGACCGCATTTTCATCCATATGTTTCCAAATTCTGCACATGGCCACAAGCTCCCTTGATAGGAGCGAGGCGGATAAATGGGTTACTTTTCTCCACCAAGTGCGCCGAGACATGCGCCTGAAGGCCGATGTTCTGCCTTGCCTCCGTCTTGGCCTTCTGCGAGTCGACTCCATATTCTGGAAGGGAGTAGATAATGTGTTTCATTTGGAAGAGCATGTCCGGCAAGCTTTTATGTCAGCTTCTTGATATAATCGGCCCAGTCAAGTGATCATGCTTTGCATTGATAGGTAGATTTTAGAAATAAACCACACACATTCTGCATGAACAACCTCTTAGGTGAATCGATTGTAAAAGGTTACACAGCTTCTTTGTGACCGTTGTGGCATGTTTGTCCTTTGATAGCAGCGTTATTATTTAGTGTTAGCTACTAGTATCGCTCTGGGGGCTTTTGTGTCATCCTCCATTTCATCCAGTTCAAATTCCTCCCATAACTAGAGGCTATGCCTCATGCATTCCAGGTTGTCCTATATTCCATTCTCTCCCCTTTGTTCTAGATCATCATTGTACACTTTCATCTTCATCTCTCTCATCCTCCATGATGGCATACTAGCATCCATGGATTCAATTTCCATCACAGTATACATATAAGTATAATTTATACTGACTATAAATAGTTACTGTATACTAATATGAGTACATCCCATTCCAAAAAAAAGGGTTAAGGTGTGGCTTGCAGTACTTTCCTGGTATTCACTGACGCTTTTCAAGAAAAGGGGGAGGCTATTATGCCAGTGGGAGTACTCTAACTAGTTAGTTATGACTAACTAAGTTAGCCCGATCTTATATGCCTGAGGCATATAGTAAATCTCACATAACTAACTAACTACTATCCTTTCTTTTCTTTTTTGTAGACATCAAGCTGGATGTGACTATCCAATGGACGGGTCAGAAATGTGAAGGGTATATAAGAACAACTTTTGCTATAGTTTTAGACTCGCTGTATAACCCCCATGCTTCTATGTGCGATGTTCATTTTAATTTCCCAGCATCTAGCAAAAAGAAAAAACCCGAATCATGAAACAAACAATATTCAAAACGGCCGGAACACAGATCATTATCCAAAGAAATGGAAAGGACGAAGACAAAACGGAAAACGCCCGAAAGAAAAAAGGGTCTGGTTTCACAGACCAAGCAAACAAAATCATCACTATTCATCCTCTACTGCCATCGATACTCATGTACTATCATGGCATACTAACCAAGGGAGGGACTCCTAATCCGTTCGGGAGTTCGCGATATTCAAAACAAGAATATCTGTCGCACCGACCTTAATCAAGTCATCCATGACGGTAGCGATGCGCTTCTTCTCCACCATCGAAGAGACGGCCACCCACTCAGGCTCCTCAAGGGCAGTGATCGTGGGGGCACGCTTTCCGGGGGTAATCTTGGTGGCAACGGGCAGCTCGGTGCGGGGGATATTGTATTGGCACAGAACGAAACGCTGAGCGGTAATGACACCACGGATACGCGCGGCGAGCAAGTTGAGGACATCTGACTTGGAGTTGCGAGACTTGACGAGGACGGCGGTGCTCTCGACGACGGTATCGATAGCCTTGAGGCCGGCAGCCTTCATTGTTTCGCCGGATTCTGCGGGAGGAAGTTAGTAAATCGCAATCTCCCAAAAAATCCAAAATTATTGCAGCTCGGAATGGGGGGTTCGGATTAAGGTTCAACGTACCAACAAGATCGACAATACCATCCGCAACGCCGAGCGCGCAAGCAGCCTCAACACTACCGCCAACATACTTGATCTTGGTCTGCAGCTTGGAGCCAGGCGCAACACCCTCCAGCTTAGAGAAGAATGCGTCGGACAGCGCGGTGAAGCTGGTCACGACGTTGCGACCAACCAGCTGGGAAGCGTCGGTGATGTCCCCTTCTCCGGGACCTGGACCTGGAGCTTGCAGCCACCGAAGCCGAGGTCGAGGATCTCTTCAACGCCGGAGACCTCGCCAGCGGGCAGGGTAGCATCGTGTTCGGCGACCTGGTCGCGGCCAGTGATACCGATATCAACGCGGCCCTCACCGACGAAGGTGGGGATGTCGGCGGCGGGCAGGAAGATCAAGGCGATGGGAAGGTTCTTGACGAGGGCAATGTCGAGGCGGGTTTCGCGACGAAATTGAACGTCAGAGCCGGCGAGGAGGTCGAGGGTTGCTTGTTGGAGACGGCCCTCTAGAGAGTGTGTTAGTAATTGGATTCGTTGGTTGGTGAATGACTGCGCCCGCGCGAATGTGGGACAGCAGTGTTGAAATTGGGGGCGACTTGCTCTTTGGCACGGCGAAGAGGAGTCTTCCCTCGAGGCTGAATGAGGTGTTAGTGGTGGAATGGTATAGCTTCTTTGTTGGAGTGACTCACTGGTTGACGAGATCCATTGTAGCGGGGTGCGGGGTGGGAATTGGTCGTGAAAATTGAGAAGGGGAGGGGAATGAAGGTGGAGGGAGGTAGAGAAGATCGTGTTTACCAGTCAATTACGCGACAGGAGGAAAGGGCGTGCAATTAAGAATCGAATGGCGAAGTGAAGAGGGGAGCTTGTTGCGGCAGAAATTGGAGGGGCAGCCGATGCCGGCCGGTGTACCGCAGTAGAAGGCAGTGGCGGAGCCAGTGACAGCAGTGGACGACACACGTGTAGATAAGGGGGGGAATGGGAAGTGAGTGAGTATAGTGAGTAAAGGGAATATAATTGAACTCTTTCAAGTGAATTAAAATGAATATTCTCCAATTTTATTCTACTAAGTAAGTATTGGAATTTAATTTCTACCAAAGTCTACTGCGTAGACAGTAGTTCTGCCTGACATATAAGGCGGTAAGGCAGTCAGGCAGTAAGGTGTCAACCCCACCACATGAGTCAGCATCTCTAGTCATGTGACTCGATGATTCTGACTCAGCTTTGCTGACTCACCCTGCTGACTCACTTTCTGCCTGCCGGGTCAGGTGTCGACAGCCCTGAGCCCTCGCGTAATTTGGAACCCACACAAGGCAAAATCATCTTCAACCACCAACTTCCGTCTACCCCGAAACTACCAACCTCGTTCGAGCTCACCTATCCTCTCCAAAATGGATTCCGCAAAGCAGCCCGTCAAGCTCGTCAAGGTGACCCGTGTCCTCGGCCGCACCGGTACGTCTATCCTCCAGCTCTCAGCACCGCAAATTTCTCCCACAAATTCGATTTCAACCTCCGCCGGGCCATTGCCCTCCAACGATCGCCGATGGCCCGGATAATACTCGAATTTGGAATCGCGACTCTTCAAAAGGCAGTGAAAGGCTAACTTTTGTTCGATCAGGCTCCCGTGGTGGTGTCACCCAGGTCCGCGTCGAGTTCATGGACGACACTTCCCGTTCCATCATCCGTAACGTCAAGGGCCCAGGTATGCGATTCGATAAACTCGGTGCGATGCAGTGTCCAGAATTTCCAAACCGTCCAAGAAGAGGAGGAATCACAAGTCACCAAAGAAAAACAAACGACACCGATGTCACATTCAAGCGGCGGACCAGCAAATCATGAAATGCGGAATTTTGGATATTGGAAATTTTGGACACCCGCAATCCCACCAACATCCCACCATCACCACACACAACCCCGCTAACCCACCTACAGTCAAGGTTGACGACATCCTGTGCCTGCTCGAGTCTGAGCGTGAGGCCCGCCGTCTCCGTTAAAAATCCCCACCAATTCACTCGCGCCATGTCTTTCGTCTCTCTTCGTCTCTCACATATCCCTCTCGTCCGGTTTCATTGATCGTTCTTCGGCCAAAACTGTGTCCCACGCTTTTTCTTTCTTGCCGTATCTCTGACTCCCCGACCCCCTCCACCTCAACCGCCGCGCCGCCCATTTGCACTCGCCTCTTTGTCGTTTCGAAAGCGTCCTTCTCCGACTTTTTGATGCTCATCGGACGTGGTGTCAAATTCTGGGTGGATGGACTTTATGAAATAGGAAAGGGGCTTTAACACCCCCTACTCCTTTTTCAGAAAAGTTCCTGAAGTCGATCTGGGCTCCGTACGGGAGAGAGAGATGGAGAGAAAACGAGCAGATTCAATTTTTAAAAAAAGACCCTGTTGATATGAGAAATGAAATGAGGTTGCGCGATCGCTGCTTTTGTGGAATTGTGGGATTGGTTAGGTCTGGTCTGGTCTGGTCTTGGTGTTTTAATACATTTACGCGTCCAATTTGGCGTGTGTGCATGGGCTCAATGCGACAAACGAGGTTGTGATGTGCATTTCTTCTTTTCTTCGCTTCGAGCGATTCGAACTTAGAAAGAAGCCGAGACTCGAACCAGGTCTGGCCGACAAAAAGAACAATGGAATCCAAAAAAATTTGAAAATCCGGTTCTACCATGTCGAAATGGTAATCCGTAGCGCCTGGCGAGTACTCGGTGTAGATTCTACCTACTTGTAGATAAATGTGCTTCAACTGATACTCCAAGTTGATACTTACCAAAGTTCACGGTGTTGATGTCACATTCGTTGAATAACCTTTCGGGTTAGTCATGACCACCTGGGCAGCACTTCGTATAAAACCTTGAGTTAACGACCGCAGGATACCTCACTCTGGACATCAGGAAAGAAAAGTAACAAGGGCCTTGAAACAACTTGAACACACTTCTAGTATTCTACTCCCTATCTTCCATGGTCAATATAAACTCATCCGACACAATGGACAAAGATCAGCCGGTATGTGCTAGCAGCCCGACACAGCCGGGCCGACCACTATGAACCGAGGGATATCCAGAATATAATAGTACCCAGTCAGATACCGTCGAGCCATGGCTCAGCCTTGGCATAACAATAAATAATCACACCTGGTCTCAAGCATATACTAATAACCACACAGAAGAAGATAGTCACCGCAGAGGAATTCAAAGAAGCACGGAAACACCTCCTCAACCAAGAAAAAGCATCAACCCACCTTCTCCAAAAGCTCGCCGAAAGCCGCCGAAACCTACCCATGGTCCAAATCCCGAATCCCTCCAGATTCAAATTCGACACACCCAGCGGCGAAAAGACACTCCTCGACCTCTTCGAAAACCGCAAACAACTGATAATCTACCACTTCATGCTTGCCCCGCACGAGAAAGCCGGGTGTGTGGGTTGTTCTCTGTGTATGGATCATATCCCCCCGCTAGGCCATTTACATAGTAGGGATACATCCTTTGCGGCTGTGGCGACTGCGACTATTGAGGAGGTTACTGCTTTTGGCGAGCGGATGGGATGGGAGTTCCCGTTTTATAGCTCTGCCAAGACTCATCGGGCTTGGGAAGAGGCTGAACGGGATGGTGAGGTGATTACTTGGAAGCCTGGGAATGGGTATTTTGGTCTTTCTTCGTTTTTGAGAGAGGGGGATGAGGTCTTTCATACTTATGAGACTTCGTCGAGGGGGCTGGAGATTATTTCTTTCGACTTATCATCTTCTTGATATGACTGCTTTGGGAAGGCAGGAGATGGGGAATGGAATGGGGAATTTTCGGCGACACGATGAGTACTGAGTGTGGAGGTAATATTCATTTGATTTCCATTCCAAGGTTCAGTATTGCTTTATTTTGCTTGGGTGAAGAAGCAGGAGGTAGCAAGGACGGAAAGAATGATTATAATTGGATGATGTGTGGGTATAAAAGCGCAATCAATTAACTGAAGCACGGAATCATCCATCTTATTTACAGTATCTTGCCAGTTTTCGTGGATATGCCAGGTCAATTTTTATTAATACTAGTATTTCCTGGCCCGCCTCGCTTTGGCAAATATCATATAGGTTTATCGGCAGTGATGAAAACCTTGGAATCCCCCGTCTCGTTGTGACATGAACCTTGGAAGTGAGGTTATTTATGTTAGGGCAAGGCTTTGCAGGTTATTTATGTTGATTTTACTCCGTTAGAGAAATTCTCGAGTATTTCTTTATCGTACCTCAGAAATCTTCATGTTGTAGTGGGGATTCCTGCTCTCAACATCAGTATCTCGGAGTCATGTGATTAGGGCCTTAGCAACAAGGCTGCTGTTTAGTTCAAGGAGGATAAATAGTTTCCTTCTAGATTATCAATTCAACATGCATGTTCCCCCTTCTGTTATGAAAATGTTCTACTGAGGCTGCTGATGTTGCGGTATCGGTATACTGCTTATGAAAGGTTCTGGTATTCGTTCTGTTGATTCTCTATAGCGTCACGCTTGCCTATCGTCTACTTGCACTCTGCGAGTGTGGTGGTGTTGTCTCTTCGCGATCGACCCGTCTGCCAACGCAGACTGCCTACGAGCATTCCCATCTTACAATGTGTATATAGTGCTAGCATGGGCTCTGAAGGCCTCCAAATTTTCAACATAGCGCGATGTATTGAGATCGTTTCCGCCTTCTTTTTCCATTCCCGTTTCTGCAAGCTTGTCGAGAAGCGGCCTTGCTTCATTTAGCCGCCCTTGGATATGGTAAATAGTCACAAGAGTGTTGAAAGCAAGAATTTGCGATAACATGTCCTCCTGGGGCTCTGCGTGGTTTTCCTCTCGAAAATTCTTTTCCAACGCCTCTTGTGCGTTTTTCAAGACTGACTCGGCCTCATTGAATCGAGAAAGCAGGCAATAGGCGTACCCTAGCTTGGAGGAATATCTAATGGTAGCTGAGTGCTGTCCTCCCATCACTCTGTGGCATTTCTCGATGTTTTTCTCCAGTATCGGTATAGCATGTTGTAATCGACCTTGTGAGAGAAAGAACTCAGCCAACTCAGCCGAAGACTCTATTGCAAGTTTATGTCCGTCTCCTAGAATTTCAATGTAACCGGAGTTGGCTTGGAAGTAAAGTTTCTCGGCCTCCGCAGTATGTCCTTGTTTGTTGTATGTCCTCGCCAGAGTATGGCGCACGTCATGCGTGCTGATATTTTCCTTCCCAAAAAGCGCCTCGCAATAATTCAGTGTCTGCTCTTGCAGTACCGCAGCTTCTCTATATCGCCCTTGGACAAAATACAAATGGGCCAGTGTAGTCGTTGAGCCCAAGGTGGCAGTGTCGTGTTCTCCAAATTCTTTCACCGAGCTCTCCCTCGCTCGTAATGCTAGCTCCTCGCCTTCGCGATAACGACCTTGCTGGCAGTAAATCTTTGCGAGATAATGCATGAAAATAATAGTATCATGTCTGCTTTCCCAAGATTTGCTTGATGTTCTCTCTACCGCTTCCTTCAGTACTGCCTCGGCTTTCAACTGCTGTCCTGTAAGATGATAAAGAACCCCAAGTGAGTACATGATGTCGACCTTAGTACCTTCCTTTCCTGAAAGCTCGCAATCCGCTAGCGTAGTCTCTAGGATACTTTGGGCATCTTTATATTGAGCCGCTGAGATCAGGGCTGCTCCCATCGTAGCTGAGCTTCGAAGGGTATTGTCGTGCTGGGGGCCAAAAATTCTCTTCCTTGCCTCCAATGCTTCAAAGGCCATTTTAAGGCCATCTTGATGGTTATAGTTTACGACGGCATAAGCTGCTCCTCGGTCCATCACGCAAGCCCACAACTCCAAATATTCCAGCGAGTCTGGGCGGTGATCGAGCGCAGACTTGACATGAGGGAAAAGCCCCTGGCGTATTTTCCATTCATAATAAGCATTCTCGGAGATACCAAACTGATAGCTGATATTTTGAAGGAATTGGATTCTCCATCGGGAAATTTGACCGTGGTGCTCAAGCTATAATCGTGTCGCAAGCTGCACTAGCGAATGCATTTGGAAGGTATGTGCATTTTCAGTTGAGGATATGAAGGAGAAATCCTTTAATATGACGATATCCTCTCCAAGCTCATAATCTGCGTCGGATACATCGCTATCCGTCGAATCTCGTCGCGTCTTTCTTGAACTCGTCTTTTTCGCCCTTTCTGCATGAAAAGGAATGCGAAGAACATTCTCCTCAATGCCCTGACGATCGAAAAAACTCATGAGAGAGAGAAGATCTGCGGCAGAGGCTCTGATTTGCCGAACATGCTCGAAAGATATTTGCCAGGTAATCAGAATTGAGTTTGAGGCTTGTTCGTCACGTTGAAGACCTTGCCCTTCATGCTTGAGAAGTCTTGTTTTCTTGCGATCATTTGTCTGGAAATCATCCAGGTACTGTAGGACTGAGCAACGGGGTGCTCGTCTCTTAATATATGCCCCAGCTTGAGTAATTGCCAGAGGCATAAACTCAAGTACCTTGCACAACTCTTCGATGCCCTCCTGGCTGGATTGATTTCCGAGACTGGCCTTCATGAGAGAAGATGCTTCCGAGCTATTCATCGGATCAACGGTAATGCTGCTAGCATCCCTAACCAATCTCGAAGCCACACTCGCACTCCGAGTCGTGATCAAAATACTACCGTGTGGGACGCGAGGTAAAACTGCAAGATAGTTTCACCAGAGACTCCCGCATGGCTGAAGTCATCAAACTGAGAACCCAAACTTGCCTCCGACTGCAGGTTTTGAGAGCTGAAAACCAGAGGCTGACGAAAATGACTATCATCGTCGACATTATCCAGAATAAGAACCCAGGGTCCGTGCTTTTCATCACAGAGCCAGTTATACACAAGTCGAAATATGTTAACACTGGGGCTCTGGCACCCTGGTATCTTGACGCGGTCGGCGAGCCTCTGAAATCCTTGTTCAACCCGTGCTGCATTGCTAGCATGGATCCAAAATACCCACGTCTGGGGAGCAGAGTCGCGTAATCGATAAGAATATTCAATCGCTAACTTTGATTTTCTTTCAGAATGTCAGTGGTGTAATGAGGTGAGCTTCGCTTCGATATCACGAACCCAATACCGCCCAAGCCAACAAGAGCCACTCTTTCCCCTGGTAGAGAGAGCTTGTCTCGGATGTCATCAAGCAAGGTTCCACGCTCAACGAAGTCTGGATCCCGAGGAAATGGAACGGTCGACAGTGGGCTTGGACCCGGCTCCGGTTGTTCTATGGTAGAAAGTGGTCATCATCCCAACCCCGCAAAAAGCCATTCCAATCTGATACTGCGAACCTGCGGCATGGTAGTGGACTGAGCCACTGTTGATCCCTAGCTGAAAGCCAGAATTCCCGCTCCCAAACGATAAGTTCGACATAATGGGGCCAGTATACGCTATATGACATGGGAAAGGAAGTTGAGAACACTCATCAGCCGCACCTCGTATTTGGCCCCTGCAAGGTAGGTGATTGTCTGGGCGTGGCGGGGCAATCTACTATGCGTCAAGAAGTCTAGCAGATAACTAGTGCCTAGTGAAAAGTTTACAACCATACTTTACCAACTTGAACCATATTCAACCGGAAACCCCATAAGATAAACTGTTATATTCCACTGAAAACCTGTTTGGAGCGAAGTTGATCACTCAATGCTGCTTAGTTTTGATAAAAAAAAAGACACCTAGAAACACCCATGTCCGAAATAATGTACAATAGTAAGATAAATTCAAGGCGAACACATGGCTAAACAAGCTCAACGCTTGCCATCAATCGATCAAGTAAATCATCATTAACACCATCCCCATCACCCCCCTCCACAATTCTCCCAACTGCCCCAACCAACCCAGCAACCCTCTTCCTCCGAATAGACTCCTCAAGCTCCGAACTCTTCCCCCTCGCCACATCCAACACCGAAGCCGGCAAATTCGCTAACCTCGCAACATTCAACCCATAACTGCGATGCGCCACGCCCTCAGAAACCTCATACAAAAACGTAATCTCCTCATCACCCTCAACACCAGACTCTGTAAACCGCATATGCACATTCCGCAACTCCTTATCCGGAAACGACTGCGCCATCCGCGAGAGATGCTGATAATGCGTGATGAACAGCGTCAAAGAGCGGATCGAGCGTACCATATAATCCAATACAGCCTGGGCAATAGCGACACCATCATGCGTGGATGTTCCACGACCTAATTCGTCGAGAATGACCAGCGAGCGCGGCGTAGCTTGCTTGAGAATATCTGCTGTCTCGGATAACTCGACCATAAAGGTTGATTCGCCAGCAAGCATGTTATCAAATGCGCCCATACGCGTGAATACCGCGTCTAGGAGACCTAGTTTTGCCGAGGCGGCGGGTACGTATGAGCCTATTTGGGCCATTATTGCGATTAGGGCTACCTGGCGGACGTAGCTTGATTTACCGCCCATGTTGGGGCCTGTCACGAGGAGGGCGCGTGTGCCTTCGCTTTCGAGGTTGGTGTCGTTTGGTACGTATGCGTCTGTTAGGATGCGTTCGACCATTGGGTGGCGGCCTTGTTCGATGTGTAGGCAGGGTTCGTCTGTGAATTCTGGTTTGGCGTAGCCTGGTTGTTGGGCTATGGTTGCGAGGGAGAAGAGGCAGTCCAGTGTGGCGAGGGACTGGACGCAGTCTCGGAATGATTGGTATTGGGTTGCGATGTCGGCGAGGAGGGACTTGAAGGCTTTGTCACAGGCTGCGGCGAGTGCTTCTTTGTGCTGGTCTCGCTGACGGATCATTTGGATGACTGCTGGCGTGTGGAAACGGGAGACCTTTTTCGTGCCGCTGACTTTGACCCATGATGCTGGGATTTTTCGAATGGCGAGGGAGTTGTTTTCGATTTCGATTAGGTATTCGATTCCTGCGACTGTGACATATTCGATTTTCTTGCGGCCTATTTGCTCTTCGGCTACGGCAAGATGTTCTTGTAGATCGTGCTCGATGCTGGCAATGCCGCACTTTTGATTGCTGATGTCTTCGGTCTCTTCTTCCTCTCGGAAGAAAGCATATTTATCGTCGCTTCGAGCAGCATGCATATTTATCTTGTCCAAGAAGCGAGTGACATCTTCCTGGATTGTAGGGAGGGAGGCAATGGCTTCGCTAATGAGAGTCGAGTCAAAGCCTGTGTCGGATGGTGACTTGATCTCTGAAAACTCCATTGCGATTGTCTGCATGGTTTGCAAAACAGTAAGGAGCTCTGGCCGAGTACACTGCATTCACTGGGTTAGGACAAGCTTCCTTTTCGAGAGAGAGAGAGAGAGAGAAGGGGATAACTTACCTTCCCATAGTAGATCCGAATCAAGCTCTTCTCCAAGTCACTCTTGATCTTACCCAGTAACCTCTTGACACGCTCCACAGGAACCGCTCGAGCAGGTTTTATCAACTCTTGCACAGCATTTGTGCGCTCCTCCAAGCGCTGCCTATCAAGCAACGGCCGTCCAACCCAATTTCGAAGAAGTCGCTGCCCGAACCGCGTCTGCGTCCGATCCAGCGTCCAGAACAAACTACCCTTTGCAGAGTGATCATTCTGATTCTGGTAAATCTCCAGACTAACCAGTGTATTCCCATTCAGCAACATATGCGATCTCGCCGAGAAAGGCTGGAAGTACTTCGTCAGATCAAACACATGTTCCAACCCATACTCGGTCATATGCTCAATCATCGAAGAAAGACAAATCGTAACATTCTCCGGCAACCCGAGAACATTCTGAAGCAACTTCGCCGCAAGTGCATCCTCCTCCTCACCCGTAGCATTCATCTTACCAGCATAAAAGCCCGAAACATGACTATGCGCCTCCGCAGCCGCAGTCTTCTTCTTCCCCATGCGTTCCAACCTAACCGCATCGCCAAAAACATTCATCTTACTCCCAGATAAATGCCGCACAAGCTTCTCACTCGCCTTCGACATCTCACCCACAATCAAAATCTCACACGGCGCAATATGCAAAAGCCGCGTCTCGATCTCACTGCGCATAAACCCGTCCTCGAAATCGTCGTAGATCACATCACCCGTGTTCGGCTGCACTGCGACAATTCCAACTTGGACCCGCTCATCATTGCCCCAGCCCTTCGCATTGTTCTCAGTAATACAGAGCATGTACCCCGTAGCTGGCGATGCACCACCAGCCGCAGGTGCGGGGCCCTGCAACCCTTCTACATCGTCGATATATGTTCCCTTGGTGTAAAGATTGGTCAACTTGCGCACGAATGGTGCATTGCGATTATCGCCTGCAGCCTTGAGCGCGGCCGTCTCGATCTGCCTCACGACGCCGACCTTGTGGCCTGCCGTAATGAGCCGCTTGACATGGACATGTAACCTGTGCACGGGAATACTCGCCGAGGCAAAGCGGTCGAGGTGTGCTTCGGACGGATCTAAGATGTGTGTGAGGAATGAGCTAAATCTCTTCATAGTCTCTATGTCACAGATTGGAGAAGGGACTCACGCTCATCGAACCGAAATTTCCCCGGTATACAAACGATACTAAGTTCCTTCGCCGCAACGCGCGCATCGTCTCCAAAAAAGCGAAACTTATACCCAACCTCAATAACAAGCACCGTATCCAGGTGTTTGCGCTTGATCTCGATAACTTGTTTCTCCATCGGTGTAAGTTTGCTCCCGCCTTTCTTGCCCGCTTTGCCTTTTGTCGGTGGTGGAGGAGCCGGTTCGTCTTCTTCCTCGCCTTCTTCACCTCCTTCCCCTGCGCCGGGTCCATCGCCGGTATTGGTGGGGGCGGCCGTTCGCCCAATTCCAATCAAGCAGTCTGCTCCTCCTAATTTCCGGACGAATTTCTGGTGTAGTTTCTCTTTTTCTTTCCTTCGTTGGACGTCTTCGGGGTCTTCGTCTTTTGGAGGTGCGATTGCTGGTGAGCTTAGGAATTTGAAGATCTCGGTTCGTTGGCTGCATTGCTCGGCGGCCTGGGAGGTGGGTGGGAGGGGTTGAATGATATTTTTCGAAACGGAGATTGCTTCTTCCTCTTTTTCTTCGGGGTCTTTGGTCGGGCCATTCAAGTTGGAAGCGGAGGCGGAGGTGACTCTAGCACGCTTAGAGGGCCGAACCACAATGTCGTCATCCTCCTCGTTGTCGTCTTCTTCGCGAGTGGAGTTCGTACTTGCTGGCTTCTCCTCTTCCGGAGAAGCTTGTCTCTTCTTAGGCCGTTTTTCTCGGGTCTTGCTGGTCGTTTCGGAGGGTGTTCGTGGAGAGGACTTTCCGCCAAAGAAGCTGGAGATGGTTGCTTGCTTGCGCTTCAGGGACGGCGATGGTGCCGAGGATTGTGAGGAATGGGGTGCCATTGTATCTGTGAGCCCTGAGCCCTGGTAGCTAGGAAAATACACCAGGGGTGGTGGGTTTCTTCAAAGTCAAGCTGTAAGGTCAAGATGGAACCCCCAGTTGACTCCGCAATCGCCGAGCTTCGACGCGTTTGACGCGCGGAGGCGTTAATTGGCTGCTGACTAAGATGCCCGAACTACGATGCGAAGTATAGTGGGATAACTACTCGAAGTTCGAGCGAGTCAATCATACCGCAAATTATTAATACGGAGGCTTGTCACGCTACATACAAAGCATAATGCTTGCACTGTGAAAAAATACACATAAAAACAAAGTCACACCCCCATAATCCAGTCTTCAGTCTCCAGTCTCCGAAACCCGATTTTCCCCCCAGGGTCGATAACAATCTCCAATCCCCCCAACCCTTACCCTGACCATCAATTGATAATAACACGTCAGATACACGCTCATAAGAAAAGAACAGAAAATCAAATTCGAAATGAAAAGGAAAAGAACGCTGAGGTGCAGCCTGCTCGTGTATAGTCGTTTGGCTTGGCTCCTCATGATGCACAACAATTGATCGTGGTCGACAACACCATTCAACCTTAGCCCCGTACTCCGTCTACTCTGCGCCACCAGCCAGATACAGCCGGGCAAATTCCTGGTGATCCTCCTCCGAGATCGTCGCTTCCGATGATTGCGCTCGATGCATGTTCCAGCCGGTATCAGCTGCAGAGAAGTCGTCATAGCAGCCGTCTCCAAGGAAACTCATGCCCCCGGTCCTGAAGGTCGGAGCAACCAATGGATTGCACTGGAATGCACACTTGCCATCGTCTTCATCCTCGTCCTTAACGAAAAAGAATTCAGGTGGGTAGTTGGGCTGATTCATGCCAGTTCGCTTGGAGAGTGGAGAGTCCCAACCGCCAATATCCATGCTTCCGTGTGGGTTTAGAATTGGCTCGATGTTCTCCTTCTCCTGGGTTTGCCGGCCATCACTCTTTCGTCCGGGGTTCTGGTTCTTCGGGGTATTTCCCCGGTGGTCCAACACGAGCCGCGCTGGAGTCAAAGTGTCCTGTGTCGGATGTTGCTTGGAACGCTGGCGGCCTCGGAAAGCGTCCTTGATGTCGTGGTCGGAGTCGGCGAAGATATGGAAGCCGCTCCGCGGTCCCTTTGCAGCCTTTGCAAAGGCTTGAACAGACAGCTGGAAGTCCTGATCATCTTCGACGTAAGATGGCCTGACAGCTGTCGAGCGCTGTGAACGGCGGCGAGGCGTTGCGAGAGCCTGAACAGGCTCACGGTTCTTAGGTTTGCCGACGACTCCCTTCTTTCCGACGCGTTTGCCAATTGGCAGGTTGGGATCATTCTGGCCAAGGGGTCTTCTCTTCTTGGAGCGAGGAGGACGCTGTTTGGGGATGGGCGTCTCGCCTTTCAGTGGAGTCTGGTTTTCATCCACATCGCCAGAGATGAAACGCTCTTTCAGCAAGTCGCCCTCGGGGGAGAAGATCTGCTCTGTGGGCTCCACTAGAAGTGATGTGATCTCCATGCGTTTGATAACGGTACCGTCTTTCTTCTGGTTACGTCTGCGTCGCATTTGGCCGGTTGCTGAATCGAAGATATCCATTCCGGGCCACAAAATACCCTTCAACCTGGACATTTCATCTGATCGTTGTTTCTCGGCTTCGGTCATGGTGTCTTCCTGGCGCTCAGGATTTGATTCGTCGTCTGCATCGAGTAAAAGGGGATCTAGATTCTCCTCGTCGAGTGATTTCTTGGACGCGCAGTTTCGCTTGGGTCGACCTCTGGCAGTGTTGGGTGTGACTGGAACGAAAATTGGGTCCATGAGGCGCGGATCCAGGTAGTCTGGTAGTTCAGCGTGAGGCGAAGGGGTGGCGATAGGTTTCTTGACGCGACAAGACCGTTTGGCTGGCGGCTGAGAGTAGACCTCGTCATTGTTCGACTGGGACTTCCGCTTGTTCTTTCGTTCGTCAGTCGCGGTTATTCTTTCGGAGAGAAGAGCTGCAAGGTTGTTTTCTTTGAACCAAGCGTCGTATTCCTGCAACAGTTGAGTAGCGTTCTCATCCTGGTGGCTGCGGACTTGAAGTTTGAAAGTGTTGGAGAGGTGACCCTTGGAAGAAACATGAGTCAACAAGTGAGAAACATCGCTGAACCGAGGATGCCCGGGGCAGATGGTGCAGTTCAAATTGGAGGCGTCCATTGGTCCAATTGGGGGGGATTGGAGAATCCAATCCAGCATGCAGATGCAAGCGAGACCAAGTCGGAGATCAAGATGTCAAGTCCGAATTGAACGAACAAAAGACCAGAAAATGAAGAATACGAGAAAAGACGCAAGAAGACACGTCGGATGGAGAAAGAACAGAGTTGAGCGGAGGTTTGTTGTGATTTCTCTTGTTGTGGTCAAATGGCAGCCTCGAGTGGTGGTGACGAGGAAGGCACGCAGCAACCCAAGAACGGGGAAGGTGCAGCCCTCAACCTGCTACCTGCAACCTCCACACAGGGAAGGAGCGACCCCGGCATGTCTATGCACCTTAACCCAAGGCAGGGTAGGGTTATTCTATAGATCAATCAGATTATGGGAACTTTGAACTTTGAAACTTAAAACTTGAGTTGTCATATTCAAAAGTAGGCTATGCTAGACGATATGTAAGAATGCAGATGTAGATAGATATGTAAATGTGCCACGATGTCTTAACAGCCTTCAGGCAATTGTGGGAGGGTATGAAGCGGAATAAGTCAAAGTGGAGATACTCTCCTCCCACATTGTATCCCATGATCCACGGGGCAAAAGAATCATGGGTTATTAGATTGTGGGAGGGATGATAGTCCAAGGTAGTCATGAGAAGCATGAAATGAGGGATGAAAAATTGATCACCTGGCAAAGCACCGAGCAATCACAGATTTGGGCATACAACTGGGGTGATGTTAGTTTAAATCGATTGCATAATAAGATGGTGAGGGGGAAGAAGGGCGCCACTTACTATACTGGATCTACTTCCTGCAGTCCCTCCACCACACCAAGCAGACTCAAGCCAGCCAGACCGAAATTTGTGTGATAGACATCAACCATGTTTCCTGGTCGGTCAGCAAACCCACCGGCTTCGGGGTCCTGGATCCAAATTATTAGACAGAGTCCAAAAAAACGAAGCTGTGATGAGGGAATTGTGCACTAACCTGGCACTGCAAGACAAAGGCAGAAAGCTTCTGGCGATCAATCCAGTCCAGCCGGTCGATCATGGCTAAGCTTGAACCAACCCACCAAGTATAGCATGCATCAACGAGCTTCTCCGGACGTCCATTGAAACCGCCATTGTCAACCTGCCGTTCACTGAGCCAAGCTCCGAGACGGTCCTTGTTCACCAGATCCAGACGTCCTGCAATGGAGAGAGCACCAATGCAAGTGAACACCTGGCCTGCATGAGACTCGGTACCGGGGGAGATACCATAGGCACCATCAAAGTTCTCGCAACTCTGAACATAGGTGACAGCCTTGGGCACATCGACAAGGTCCATGAGACCGAGCAATGAGAGCGCATTCAGGGCACCATAGAGGAACCGGGTGTCGGTTTCACCCCATTGGTCTCCCATGAATGAGCCATCATTCTTATTCTGCAAACCGGCAATGACTAGAACTGTTTAGTACAAAGGGGAACAATAGAGAAGAGAAAATCATCTGCGACAAGGGAAGTGAATCGTACAAGACGCAACTTTCTGTTTACCGCCACGGCCCTGCTTCTCCAGCTCGTCCACAGCATCAATGGTGACCAGGATCTGGACCGCGGATACAGTGTAGAGCATATGAGCATCATGGCCTGGGGCAGCTCCAAAGCCTCCATTATCCCTTTGGCAGGAAAGAACAAAGTCGATGGTTTCTTGGCGAGGCAAGGCATCGGGATGGCCGAGGAGATGAAGCGCTGTCAACCCCCAGTATATGCCATTGAGACGCAAGTGCTCGGTCAGCCAGTATTGCAGCTCATCCTTGCGCTATTGTCACCGTCAACGGATTGTCCATAAAGCGGACCACCGCCATGAAAGAGTAGGACGCACAGTATCCAAGTTTTTTATGTACGCCACATGTTTCAAGGCGTGCAGTTCCTGATCTGATGAGGAACCTGAGAGGCCACCAGCCCTACCAGGACCGTGTGCCAAGGACATTATATGGTCTGCGGATGATGATGGTGGCTGGAAAGCGAGGAGAACAGTGATTGGGCGAGGGGGGGTGACAGGTTAGTAATTGCGGGACACCGACAAAGAAAAAGAAAAAAGACTGTCAGGGTTAATGATATCCGCGCTCAGATCATGCTGTCATTGAGCGAAGATGCATGAGCGGGGGGGGGAGCTTTCAAGGGCAGTTCAGAGCCGCGACGCCAGACTAGGATCAACCGAGTTCAGGCTGGTCTTTTTCCAGTGTTTGCCAATGGTTGCCAATGGTTGCCCGCGAGGCAAATTGTGGCTTGGAGCGAGGCCAAATCGGGCCAGTTTTGTGTGTTTGTGGGCACGTGAGATCACGTGAGAGACAGGTGGCACATGACTTCACGTGCCTGTCTACTGTCAGAAATGGTCACATGATTCATGCCACTGCCACCCCCGTCAGGCCAGCAACCTTGGAAGGCTGAGCTCCACTTGTCTTTGGAAATCCACAATGTCCAACTCCACAGACGCCACAATCCTGTCCCCCTGAGGTCGCACTGTACACTGCTCCGTGCACCCAAGTCCCCCGCTAGTCTCAGATCGGCAATGCCATGTTTCAGAAAGGACCACCCGGAAAGCCCGTGCACCGCCATGTCGAAGCACATGGAAAGGCAGGCAGAAGAATTCGCCTTGAATATTCGACAATGTGGACACTCGAGGATGAGAATAGAATCTAACGAGGAAATCACCGTTTTTAGCAACGCCCAGCCGTCTCCACCTCGCTTCCTCGTTCTCGCTGTCAAATACTCGTTGTATTATGGGCGACCGCCTGGCAGTTTCTTGCAATCAATTGCTGCCGATCCTGGATGCGCGCGATAAATATATATATTAGCACCTGGGCATACTACATTACAACAAGCCGCTGCATGCGCCCGGGGAAATTGACTTCGGAATTGGAGCAGTATTCAAGTGCTATCCTCCGTGTGATTAATTTCGATAAATCCCATGCATGTGCTTATACTACAGTACAGGCCCAGATGGCTGATGTCCGGCAAGACCACTGCAATTGTTACTACAGAAGACGCCGGAGCGCGGTGACAACCCCGGAATAACTCAGGCGCAGGCGCAGACGCGGACGCAGCGCAGCGCAGGGCAGACCGCACTTCCCCGACAGGCAATTGGAGCAGTGGCATGTTTGCTTAAAAAAGAGAACAAGGCCCACTCCAAGGCAGTGTAAATACGGAGCCAGTGTGGATGTGGATGAATGTGAGTGGGCATTGACTGAAACTCGGACCAACGATGCGACCAAGTGGAGGATGGGGGCCCTCCTCAAGCGCCCGGACACGTTTTTGTCTGACGACTGCTACCCCTGATCCGATCCTGTCAGAATACGATACAGGAAAATAATGAATTGGAAGACCCCTCTTTATTGCACGCCCATGGAATAATGAATTGAACCTTGTCAATTGATGGGAATCAACTTGGTGATCAGCAGGAATTGACAATGATATTCATTTTCCCCATGCAACAACAGACGCTGGTTCGCCCGGCCGAATCGTCCATCGGTCGACCAGACAAGCACAACCATGGATTGACGACAGGAACAGAATGCACAGCGCAGATTTGTCAAGAGGGCTTACCATCTCCACTCTTCTCCGGCTGATCGGCCAATGGTTGTGTTCAATGATGCGACGCAAGACAAGCACATCATCCCGCCCGTGGCTCTAACTGCTCGAACCAATGGTGACTGTGGAGGTCGATCGGTGTGAGTTGTATGTATTTTGGGAATAGAGATGAAAGAGAGCGAGGCAGTTTGCGATCTAAATTAATGTACATGACACGGCGATAGTGGTGGAGTAGAACTCGGTACGAGTAATCCTGGCGCAAGAACTGTACAGGAGGACACCAACTCCGTAGAAATGTGGAAGTGGAAGTACCGGACCGAACGGACCCCAAAATGATTGACAAGTTAGATCACCGTTTTGTATCTCTACTTCCACATCGGCAGATGATGTCGCGCACCGTCGCTGTTGGCCCCTCTTGTGCCATTCGGAGGCGACCCTTGGATAGAGTGACGTCGGCCCCAGGGGAGCTTCAGATTGGCGATGTACGAGTACAATTGTTTGGAAGATGAAATTAAACACGTCCCCACCAGGGGGTTTTTTTTCTTTCTTTCTTTTAGGCCAATCTGTTTATTAGTTCAAATTAATTATATATGATAAGGTAGAAAAAAAAAAGAGAGAAACGATCGGCCTCAACTCCCCCCCCTTCTTCGTAGGGCCTTATTGCATGACTCTTCTTCACACACACACATCCTCCGCTGTGGAATGTTTTCCCTTTCCTTCTCCCACACAACTTCATCCCCATCCCACTCTCGTCCCCTTAGGTTGACGCTGCATCATCCCAGAAAGGTTTAGTGGCTGACTTCGAATTGGGCAATTTGATTACTGCTAGCGTGCAAGTGCAACTCCCCTACCGCCGCTACGCCCAACGCTAAGTCCGTTAGGGGACCTGTGCAGCCTCTCACACTCTCACACTCCGGCCATATTTCTGTCTCGGTGCTTCTCCTTGATCACCATACCATACCTACACCCATTTCTTCAGCTGGCTCTCCTTTGAACCGGGTTGACCGTTTTCCTCTTTCTTTTCACTCCCTACGTGAAACGCTCTCAACCACTTGGGACAACCTCCTTGTCCTGTCGATCCCTTGACCCGCCTAAAAGAGGGGGCTCCGAGATTCCTCGTCTGGAATCAACTCTGCAAAGGGGAATCACTGTATCTTTGAGACATAACATGAGGGGTCTGGTGAGTGTCTTCCCTTTGAATCGCATCTACTTCATTGTTGTTGGCCACGGTTCATCCTGGTACCTGGCCTTGTCAATCAATATCTCCTAAACGGTCGTCCTTTGAACAACCCCCCTCCTCCCCCGTGCCCCCCTGCATCTGTCATGGCTCTATGCGGTTTCACTGGTCTTTTTTTTAGATGCTCTGGTGACTCTCTTATCTGTCGGAATGACCTTACTGACTGTATAACCGTCTTCTGCAGATCCTACACCCTCGATAGCATTTTCTCACTGCCCATCCCCGGCGGATATCCCAACGACCATCCCGGCATTATAGCCATCGGCAAGACCGAACAGCCTAGACAAAGTGCTGCAGCTGAAGGTCAGACACGAGAACATAGGTGATCCGGAGTGATCTGGAGTGATCGGGTACGGCTCAGCTCTTCAGCCCTGGTCGCCTGGTTTTAACACGCACGCTGACCAAATATCTCCTACAGCCCAACACCCCGTTCGACCTCCAACGTCACACTCGAAACCCGCGCAACGAGCCCGGAGCCTTTCGCTTATAACTCCATTCCTTTCCCACTATCGTGGCCCGGCCTCTCCCGACTAGCGCCAACATGCCTTCCCGACAGTCAACAGTGCCGAATCTCGACTTAGGCTCGTTGAAAGCCGAGACAAACAATGGCAAGCTTTCGTCTCCCATAACACCCGGTGCGCAGAGCTCCGATCTGCCCAGTCCCTTAACACCCAAGTCTGCATCCAGCTCCCCATTGTTCAAGGGTGCCACTATCCGTCCGGTCACCCAAGATAGCAGCAAGGTGAACAGCCCGACGATACCAACCTCGCCTGGGTCTGTGGCAGCCGAGCCCCCAACCCCTGGTCTGACGGCCATCCCTCAACAGTTCCCTTCACCCAAGGACTCGTCAAAACACAGTCGCGATGCATCGAAATCATTTTTTCGGCACGCTAAAGGCCCCCAAGACGTCTCATCGCCCACAGAGATCAGATGGTTCAGATCATTCGACCGAGCCTCCCAAGAGTCGTGGAAGTTCTCGGGATCGCAAATCGCAGATGCCACCCAAACTATACGAGTCGAGCCCCGATCTGCCAACTGTAATTGCCCAGGCAGGGGAGAGCGAGAAGAGTGAGTCAACAAGTATACGCCAATAACATGTGCCAGTGAACTAACAATCATGTTTTTTCTGATAGATGGACAACATACGAGTGAAAAGACCACACAACAAAGCGGCCACAAGAAGGCAGGGACCGATCCGGAGCAGGCAGCCTCGAAAAAGAATAAACCGAGGTTCGGCAACCTCCTGGGTCGCTCTCGGTCGATTCGTGTCGATGAATCTTCCGGGAATCGGGCCGCCGGCCGACGACCCTCGACTGGCCTAGCGAAACTGGAGGAATTCAGCCAGAAGGATACGACCACTGCCCGCGTTCTGCAACAGTACGCCCTGAACGACCTCAGCAAGGTAGTTTGCAACCCCCTCCTAGCCGCGGAGGAGATGGCCATTCTTTACGAAAGGAGAGGAGCCACGGAGGATCTATGGTCGCGTCAGGCTCGCTGAGCCAAGTTTCCGGTGCATCGGCCGCGATTTTCAACAACCTCAAGCAGTCATCGTCTGGTGCTGCGGATCGTTTAGGCAAGGCTGGAAAGGGATTCTTCGGCAAGATTACTCGGAGCGGAAGCACGAACGAGCGCGAGCTGATCAACGATGACAACTACGTCTGCTCTGTGATCAACCTTCCCCTGATACAGCAAGCGAGGAAGACTCGCATCTGTAAGAAGCTGGAAGCCTGTCGGGACAAAACCGAGTTCTGGATGCCTGCGCTTCCATACCGTTCTATCGATTATCTCAACTTCAAGGGCTGCGAGGAAGAAGGTCTATACCGGGTACCGGGAAGTGGCCGAGAAGTCAAGCACTGGCAAAGGCGCTTCGATACAGAGCTCGACATTGATCTTTTTGATGTCCCGGATCTATATGATATCAACACGATTGGGTCCTTGTTCAAAGCCTGGCTCCGTGAATTGCCCGACGAGCTCTTCCCGAAAGCGACTCAAGATATGATCGCTGAGAAGTGCGAGGGCGCCACAACGGCTCCGCAATTGCTGAAGGACGAACTCTCTAAATTGCCACCATACAACTACTACCTTCTCTTCGCCATCACCTGCCATCTCAACCTCCTCCACTCATACGTGGATCAAAATAAAATGGACTATCGCAACCTGTGCATTTGCTTCCAACCCTGCATGAAGATCGACGCATTCTGCTTCCAATTCCTGGTCTGCGACTGGAAGAATTGCTGGCAGGGCTGCTGGACTGAGAAGGAGTATGTGCAGAAGGAAAAGGAAATGGACGAGGCAGAACAGAAAGTCGCGGCGGAGAAGAATACCCCCAATCGCAGTAGGCCTGATCTTCCCCAGTCTTCTTCCAGTCACGAACGCGCCGTTTCTTCCAGTTCCAGCTCACAGGCCGAGGAGGAACGACCTCGACCAAAGACTCGAGGTGAGTCTCGACCAAAGACTCGGGGTGAGGCTCAACCAAAGACTCGGGGTGAGGTTCAACCAGAAACTCGAAGTGAGTCTCGACCTGACACTCTGGGCGAGCCTCGAACACGAAAGGCGAAGCCGAAGAACATCGAGACCGCACATACACGAAGCATCTCCCAGCTCCCGGAACTCGGACCTCCCCTTTCTCCCATCAAAATCTAATTTGCACATTGACATGCACCGCCCTTCCCGCGGCTTGACATGGATTTGCATTTCCCAACACAATAAACCCATACATGCCACACATGGCCCATGGACTCACTTCTGGTCCAAAATCATGAGGTTACCATCACCCATTCGGCTGGTCCGATTCGGGTCAACCCATGACAAGTCTTGAGATCGTCAGAGTCTCTTGACACCATCTTCTTCCAATTTGATCAAGGATTGGTCAAAGTTCAGATCCTCATCTCAATTTTTTCCCTTGTTGCTCCATCCTGCACTGGGCGTTGTTTGTTTGACCTACCAATTGTCATTTGGTCTTGAACCAGCATTTGTCGGAGGGCATGCCCGGCGTCTCTGGCATTGATTTCTTTCTTACTTTTCCAGTTCTCCGTTGTATATGTTGTTTTTTTACTCCATGCACTTCTGGTCCAGGCGAAATGGGAGGCGGATTCTCATTCTCTCATGCTCTACTCTGTTCTGCTTTTTTTCCATCATCTTCTCCGATTCTCACTATGCACGCGCTCTCCTTGGTCACGCTCTATTTGTGGCAATAGAGCCAGTTTGCTCTATGCTTTTGTTTTTGTTCGATCTCTGTTTCTCATCTCAGATTCCCCTCGACGGTCCTCTATGTCTATTTCTTTTCGTGTTCTTTGATCTTGTCTTTTCTACATTTTACTCTTTTTGTCTCTTTTCTTGTTCTCATCTATGGCGTTCTTCGCGAGGCTTTGTACAATAGCGCAGTGGGCAGGTAATTTCTCTCGGTTCAATGATGACCAATTTGGTTTCAACTTTCAAGTTTGATCTCATTCAGTACTTCGTCTTACACCTGGGCATCTAGTACCAGTAGCTTATCCATACGTATTGGGAGAACTAATGGCTCTAATAGTAGACTCTGACCCGTGGACTACGTTCATTACTTACGGCACTCGAAGAATTCAGGATATGTCATAGACTAGTATTGATGCAACACATATCGTTTAAACAATGCTTTTGATGTAGGAAGATTCGACCGTCATAGGATAGGCCCAGACTCCAGCCCCAACGCCAAGGACATGAATAGAATTAACAGAGAAACGGAATGTACAAAAAGGCCCACCAGGCAAGGTGGAAGAAAGTAGTAGATACCCCAAGGGGGCTATCTAAACTCAGTTACTACCCTTCTTGTTGCCGGCCTTGCGATCATTAGCCCGCATCTTGCGCTCATTCCGCTTAATCTTCTCCTTACGCTCCGTACGAGACATTCCGCGAATATTGCTACCCTTAGCAGCAGCATCCTCCTCCTTCTTCCAATCCTTCTCATTAACCTCAACAAGCCACTGGTTATCCGAATCCTTGTTCTTGCCCTTATAACCCCACTTAGGCACCCACTCGCCGCTAGCCTCGTCGTAGACGAGATTCTTACGGCGCTCCTTATCCGCCAGTGTAGCACCAGGCTTGGTGTTGTACTTGCCGATACCCTTCTTGCGCGCGAACAGCTCCCACTTGGTCGGGGGCTTGGGGGTTGGCAGGGGCTTGTGGCGGGGTGTTTCGATTTGAGGGGCGGGCAGGTTCAGTAGCACGCCGTTGGCGGCTGTTGAGGTGATTTGGCAGGTTGTGAGCAGTTGGTTTAGGAGGGATTGGGTGCCGTCGCGGGCGATTGCTTGGAGGGAGGTTTCTAGGTTTTCGGAGGAGGGGAGGTCGAGGGGGGTTGGGGTCGTTGGCGAGGATGTTGCCCAGGTCGAAGGTGTATGGGGTTGGCTTGGAGACAGTGATGGGACTATTGGGTGTTGGGGTTAGTATTGGTTGGCTTTTTTTTGATTCTCTGGATTTGAGGTTTCATTTTGATATTGGATTGGGGAGGGCAGGGCAGAGCAGAGAGGTGGGGGAGTTCGTACAGCTTCTCCGGCTTGGAGTCAGCAGAGCTGTTGGCCATTTCGACGTCTCCCATTTTGAAGACTGGGGAAATAGTTGTAAAGGAGGATCTGGTTGCAAAAATGCGGCGGTGACAATCTGTTGCTCTCGCGAACTTTTTTTTTCTTCGGGATAATCGCCGTTTTCTGCCGGATGACTAAGGAGTCGAGGTGGAACACCGCTTGCCGTATTAGGGAATGAGGAATTCATCAAATTATTATGGGCAACTCCGGACTTGCTCCAGGGCCTTTGTCAATTCCATCAACCCTCCCACCCTTCAATTCCTCGTCCCGAATTGATTCTTGCACCGGCACGACTGCCGGTGTTTCTGAACAATGGCTTCCGCCTGGTGCTGGAGCTGTCTCTCGAGACTGCGCCCGACAACACGAGCAGTTCTCCCTCCGCCGTCCGCTATTCCCCGGTTAACGAGTGCCCCCTTCCACTCGTCTGCGGTTCAATATGCCCCGCCTCTCAAGAAGAAGTCCAACAGCATGACTCAATTGAAGTACCGACAAGGTCAGACTCTGCGGAGGAAGAAGAAGAAGACCGTTGAACGCGCGCGTCCCCGGCCCCCGGCGAGCGCAAGGCGTTGCGGAAACGCATTATCCTGAGCAACCCCAATGCTTTGGAGGTTGAGGGTATGCAGGAGATTTCAGCAGAGAACATTGTTGATGCTCGTCTTCGTGGTTCCGTCCTTGGTCTGCCTGTTCCCATGCTTGACCAGCTGCGGGCTGTGCAAGCTTTCAAGCCGAAGCAGGGTTGGTCGATATTCCGTCGGCCTGGTGCGGTTGTTCGTCGTGATACCGTTGAAATGGGTCGTCTCTTTGAGAAGATCTCTGGTGAGGGCGATGCTGCTGAGAAGGGCAAGGTCGTTAAGAAGGTCGTTACTGGTACAAAGGGCTCTGGAAAGACTGTGCACCTGCTGCAGGCTATGTCCATGGGTTTCTTGAAGAAGTGGGTTGTGGTTACTATTCCCGAAGGTAGGTTCTATTTGAATCTTTAGCAGTTCAATTGCTTCTTGGGAAGGTGCTAACTTTGTATTCGCTAGCTCGCGAACTTGTCTCTGGTGATACCGCCTATGTACCCGTCGAGGGCTCCAAGCCCACCCAATATATCCAGCCCGGCGCCACCTCTGCCCTGTTGATGCGCACCGTCGAGGCCAACCGCGAGGTCCTATCCGGCCTCAAGGTCTCACAGAAGCACGATATCGCCGGTGTCAAGCCCACTTCGACTCTTGAGGATCTGGCCAAGCTCGGATTCCAGGACCCCGCCCTCGCCTGGCCTGTTTTCAAGGCCCTCTGGACCGAGCTGACTGTCACCGCTGCCGCTCCCGGAATGGAGAAGGACTTCCAGACTCGTCCCCCGATGCTCGTGGCCGTTGACGGTCTCGCCCACTGGATGCATAACAGCGCTTACCGCGACACTGATTACAAGCTCATCCACGCGCACGACCTTGTCTTTGTGAAGCACTTCCTCTCCCTCCTGCGCAACGGTCAAGCCGAGCTGAAGAACGGCGGTATGCTTCTGTACGCCACCTCCACCTCCAACAGCCCCGGTGTCTACGCTCTTGAGGTTGCCCTGGACCAGATGACCGCTCGCCAGGCTGGCACCAAGCCTACCTCCCCCGAGTACCCATCAGCCGAGGCATACAGCAACGCCGACCCCCGTGTCTTGGACCTGTTCAAGCCTATTGAGGGCAAGGAGCCCCAGATGGAGCTGCAAACATTGGGTGGTCTCACCCGTGACGAGACTCGTGGCTACCTCGAGTACTTTGCCCGCAGCGGTCTGCTCCGCGAGCCCGTCAATGAGAACTGGGTTGGCGAGAAGTGGAGTATGTCCGGCGGTGGTATCATTGGCGAGCTGGAGAAGCTGGGCCGTCACGTCCGCAGTGCGGCTATTCCTACCCCTGCTGCGAACTGATGTTGAATATATCCATCCTTCCCAATCATCGGGGGTCCGTAAACGGATCTACCATGCTGTACTGTAAATGGGATGTCTGGGCTTCCTTTTTTCTGTTTCTTCCGTGTACTTTACAAGTTTTATCTCCCTGGTTCGTGTTTGTATGCATATAATGAATATGTTTCCAAAAATCATTTTTTATTCCCGCCGCTATTCTACTAATTGAAAAAGGTAACGACCGTCACGGTAGTAGTAGTTGATCCCAGTACTACCTACTAGTACTACTAGTAGTACTATATCTACTCCGCTCAACCTCAAACCTCCTCCAAAGTCTTAACCTTAGGAGCCCTCACCAAATCAGGATAATCAATCCTAGCCGCAGAATTCATAAAGACCGAATTACCAGGATGCGCCTCCTGAGACTGACCACGGAAGAGGAAATTCATCGGGAACCCTATATCAAACTCATAAGCACCCTCAATCTCCTCAATATCCGCCTCAGTAAGCTGAATCTTCAACGCATCAATATTCCCTTGCAAATGCTCAACCTTACGCCCGCCAACAATCGGATACACATAGGGCGCTTTGTGCATGACGTACGCAAGCGCAATGCTAGTGATAACGGTATTGTGTCGCGCAGCTACCTTCTCCAGGACCTTTGAAACTGCCACGTCGATTTCTCGGGGCTCGACCTGTCGGCCGGGATTACCGTTCTTTGCGAGCTCTTCACGTTGGGCGGTTGTTTTGAATGCGCCGCCGCCGAGGGCGGCCCAGGGTGCGAGACTCATTCCTTCGGCTGCGACCATGGGGATGATTTCGCGCTCGAAGTCGCGTCGGGCTGCGTTCCATTGGCCTTGGTAGACGCTGAAGGGGCGGAGGCCGTGATCGCGGGCATCTGTTATACATTGTTTAGGCTTTTTTCATCATGGTCTCGTTGCTTCAGCGAGAGGTATAAGTACTTACATTGGTTCGCACGGCTGACAATCCATGCTGGTGTGTCGCTAATTCCGAGGTACAAGACCTTGCCGGATGTAATGAGCTGGTTAAGTGAGATCATGACCTCCTCGATGGAGGTGCTGAAGTCCCACCAGTGAACATATAGCTAGACGGATATTTTCTTTAGTTCACACGCTCTGCTAGTGTTCGAGTGGTTCAAGTTTGGCTCGGTTGGTCTTACCAGGTCAACATAGTCTGTCTGTAAAAACTTCAAGCTCCTCTCCAAGGAAGTTTTCAGACTCTTCGAGTTATTACCAACGTAGTTGGCTTGGATTCCCTTCTTGGTGTATGTTTTAAAGGGCGAGGTATACTTGGTTGCCAGAACAATCTCGTCACGCACGCCTCGGGATTTCATCCACTCGCCGAGCCATTGTTCAGAGTCTCCGTTTTGGTAGTTGTTGGCTCTATAGACAGAAGAAATGTGCTTTAGCATTGGTTTGTCCTAGCAAACCGAGAGCGAAATAATCTTACGTGTCGATGAAGTTGCCTCCGTTCTCGTAGAATGTATCGAGGATCTTGAAGGAGTTTTCCTTGTCACATTCACCTAGCCTCTCCTTCCAGCCTTCTCCAAAGTTCATCGCACCCAAGCATAACGGGCTAACCTTCACGCCAGCCGATGGCGCAAGAAGGCGGTAGCGGCCAAGATGGGATTTGGGCGGCGTAGAAGCGGCGAACATTTTGGCAGCTTTTTTGAATTGATGGGCTGGATTGTATGGCTCTGGGTTTCAGTAGGTTAGAATGAGTCGAAGTCTGTCGGTTGTTGAAACTCGAAAGACGGTGTGGGCTGCAGGAGCATTTATAGTTACACCTAGCTCGGGGTTATGATGTAAACAACGGGGACCAAGCACGGAATCAAGAATGATTGTACATCATTGATGAATATTCAGCAACAAAGTATCCGATTCGATGTATGATGTTCCATGTCCCACTGGTAGTGGGGCTCTGTGTCCGTAGCTCATTCGTCTTGCTGACAATTGTAAAGGCTTTAATATCGGAGTCTACGAGTTATCTCCGGTGGATTGCTTCTACCCCGCTGCAGGACGACCTTATTATTAAGCCATCATACGGAGGAGGTCGTAGATCCATTTCATTAGCCTAAAGCCGCAATTGAATCATATTTGAGTTTCTCGTATACATATCATGACACCCCTCATCGTTGTCATTTGAATGTGGCTAGTACAATGATGGACAAACAAGACGGACAAAAAGGACGCAATGCGTTATAGCTTAGAAATATCTGCCCCGATCTGATTGAGAATAGTCGAATGATCCTGACTATACGTGTCACCATCTCTGGAGATCACTTCTTGCACCCAAGGTCCGCGGGGGTGGAACGAAGCTTTGAAAGGCAGTGATCGCATAACCAGGCCATAGGTACATGCAATCGGGTCAACGACAGTAGGCTCACCGGTCTCTTCGGATATTCCAGCCTTGATTTCAAATGACCAAAGTAACCGAGCGACAACGATCCAAATAATGTTGCGGGCAAAATACCGTCCGGGGCAAATTCGTCTACCATAGCCAAAGGCAGCCGGGGGTAAAGCCTTGAGTGTCTTTTTATCCCCGTCGTCGAGCCAGCGATCCGGTATAAAATCCTCAGGGTCTGGTCCGAATAAGGTTTCTTCTCGAGAAATTGTCCAAACATTGGGTACAATTACGGAGCCCTTGGGAATTGTATATCCATTGTAGGTAGTCTCTTCCTTGTTCATGTGAGGGACCCCCTCAGGCCCAGCGGGCCGCCAGCGGAATATTTCTTCGACGATGGCGGTGATATAAGGAAGGTTGGGCTTGTCATCTGGGATGGGAAGTCTGGCACGTCCGACAAACGTATCCAGTTCTTTTCGTGCTTTGGCGATAAACCCCTGATCTTGTGTGATGCAAGCTACCACAAACCACATAAGGCTATCCGTAGTTCCATCCAGTGCGGCGTCGATGATGGTGCCAAGCTCAAATTCGAGCTCGCTCAAAGGCATCTTGAGACTGTCCTTCTCGATGCTCTTTTTCAGGTACTTTGCTATATTCCATCCACCCGAGCACAGGGCCTGCCGGAAGTTCTCGCCTTGCAGATTAACCTTGGTCGTGAAGTGATTTTCAGCCTTTGCTTTCCATGGGGCTAAGAAGCCGGGCAAATTATTGAGGATGGGGAACTGATCAACAATATTTGCGCCGACTTGAATAAACTCTGAAAACTCCTCGTTGAGTTTAACAGCGACCTGAAGAACCGGGTCGTTGCAGTCTTTGACACGGAAGCCATATAGCAGCGTATGCATGATACTTGCGACTGCTCGTTGAAAGTGACATCTCACATCAGTACCAGCACCGCTGGCATTTGTGAGAAGATCTTGCATCAACTGCTGTGATTCTAGGGTTTGTAAAGGTAGATAGGCGGCTGCCGGCGTCGCATTCAACGCCGAGACCTCGAGCGTTTGGTGTCTTCGAAATTGGTCTGTATAATTCATCATAAGGATGTTGAGTCCTTTCAGAGCTAGGTCGTTTGCCAGCTTTTTTTGGGTTAGCTCATCATAACATCAAAGGTTATCAGAGGGGCTTCTTACAAAAAGATGAGGCCGGTCCGAAAATGTGGCCCCGCGCTTCGCGAGAAGATCATGGGCTACTTGAGAGGTATTCAAAATAACGACCGGCTGTCCAAGCATATTGACATGAACAATGGGTCCATATCCTTTGCTCCATTCTTGATATGTTATCCAGGCGTGGGATTTGGGAGCTTGGTGGACGTTGCCAATGATGGGTAATGGCTTAGGGCCCGGTGGTAGAGGCAAAGAGGAACCTGGATTGCGCCGTTTGAGGACATATATGCCGATTATTAGCCCAAAAATTGTTATGAATATTGTTGAACACATTTTGGGTCGAATTTTAACAATTGACTGCTATATAAGAGTGAGAAATGGGAGCAGATCGATTAATATAGGCCTCGCGACGGGAACAGAAATCAGGCAATAGCCCCACTGGCAGCTGAAAGAAAGCGCCTAGGCAGAGCTATATCTTGGGTTTACTTTTGAGGTGCTCGTGTTTGGTTAAATTAATGCAAGTGGGCCCTAAGAGCTATCAATTACAGGGTTCAGGCGACCAACCAAGCTTTCCCGCTGGTCTTCCGCGACTTCATACTGCTTCATGATTGGAAGGCATTCCAAAGTAACCGGCTAACCTATTTTGGCAGGCAATGCGATCATAAACCGGGAAGTCACCATTATTGCGTAGCGGGATGGATGTTATGTTTATAATTTTTACTTAGCAGATAGTTTTGCCCAATAAATTTGTCAAGCTCTATCCCATAGATAATTCTGCTACAGCCATCATTCTTGGAAATAAAACTGCATAAATGAATTTCTCAAATCAATCTACATTCTTCCCATAAAGGCTGAAACACATGCTCGCACACCGACCTTCGAAAAGTTAGGTCATTCCAGTCAAATTCCGCAGAGCCGCCAGGGCTCGTCGCAAAGTTGCATTCCACACATCTTTTGACCACATCATGATAAAATGGCATTATATGATCAATACTTTCGTCCGCCCATTGACACGCAGCATCGTACCAGAATCCAACGGTATTGGAGGCAGAGATCTGGGAATCGGCAATAAAAGAAGTAAAAGAAGTCTGTTCTTGCCACAGCTCCAGTAGGATTATACCCAACTCAAGCATTGTGCTCCGGACATTAGAACCTGATTTTTTGCCTGTATCACAAGTGAATTTATGTTTGATCAAGGGCTGTATCGATGTAGCAGGTGTCATAGGACCGTTTAGAATCAGATGAATCATTCTTATGTTCAATGGCAAGTCAAGCCAATGTGTGGAATTAAGTTGCATCACAGAGGAAACGACATTCAAGCCCAAAGTCATCCGCTGGTTTAAGGACATATTCCTTGGTTTCAGAGCGCGCTCGAGTGGGACCAAGTGGGTAAAATCCAAGCTTGATCCGGATGATATCCCAGTTGCTGAAGTTGATGCATGAAACAGAAGACTTTTCTTGGATAGAAAAAAATCCCCAAAGTTCAGGCCGGAAAATTGTTGGCATAAGCTTCGGATTGAAATGAGTGGTGACTGCGAGTCCTGGCAAATACTTGCGGTCTTAAAAGAGAGCCTCGACTTTTCATCTTTTTTCTTTCCGGGTGGCGCACAGCACTCTGGACGCTTCGCTTTATTTGTAGAAATGGGACAATGATCGTCTCTATCCATAGGTTAGCTCTTTTTTTAGCGCCACAAACACTCAAAAAAAATTCTTACTTGTCCACACAGCACGCTAGATCCTCTTCTAACACCTTGACCTCCGTCTTGTAGCACGATCCCTCTATGGTTGGACCAAAGCCTACTGTGAACGCCAAAGGTAGGCTTTCGGTAGCTTTCGGTCTTTTGATTGAATCTGCTCTGTGCTGAAGAAAGAATTGAGCCTCATGATATGAATGGCATGGTTCCGCATAACCAAAATCAATGACGGAGTGAAGGTGGTATGCATGCTCTGCAACAAGATCAAGATACGATGTTATCTTTGAGATTGTTCGGGAACTTGAGGGAAAGGTTATTTGGGCATGTGACTCGCTGTATTGTCGAATTCTTCTAAGATTTGATGTATTGCCATTGAGTTCCTTGACATGACGGTCGATCTCATCCTTCTTGAGGGAAAATCTTATTTTTCTAGCAAATTCGTAGACCCCATGATCAGGAGGGTATGCCTAAACTAAAGATGAGAGACTTTCCTGCTTATGATTCATATGTTAGAGTCTAATTTTAACAGGATGCTTTCGTTCCAATGACAAGACTAGATGTAAGAGCGTCCTTGGTAACGTACTTTATTATTTGAAGTCAAACCGGTAAGACTCTTGCTTATTTCCGTCAATTTATTTTCACACGGGGGTTGGGCTGTCATATAAGGCGTAACCCCCTCTCCAAGATATTCTTTGATCTCATCGGAGAGCTCTACTAGTAGATCATCCAAACCGCTAGGATTGGGATTTTTTTTAACAGTCCTTCAATATCTGATTTGTCGATTGAGGTAGCTTTCAGAATAGAGACAAGATCTGAGTGGTTGAAGAATTGTTGCTCTTTTAGGCATGAAATCAAGCCATTCATGAGCGACGTCTTCAGCGGGATGATTTTTAATATTCGACTGGTGGTTTTGTATTTCTCAATAGCCGATATTAGCAAGGGGATTGCGCCTAGCACTATCCCAGCAACCTCGAGGCCACTCATTGTGATCGTATCGTGGTTTCAATAGTAAGTAGCAGACATCAGCTAGTGGGACATGAGGGGTAATTCAGCCTCACCCCGTCCCCTAGTCAACACGTGACGGTTCTCCTGTAACTGAATCAATTTTTCAGAGGTATGTGTATTGATCTTAACACCTCTTCATATATATAGTGAGATCAATATGTCAAAATCCAGTCCCAATTCTCTTGCCGAAGGAGGGCGGATGGTAAGCGCCCAGTTCGTCGACATTGGGGTAGCCAACATGAAGCAATTAGATACCGAGTCTGACCCATTCTGGAAAGCGATTTTCAACGAGCAGCAGCGCTTTGGACTGTGGGCTCGTAATCTGGGACTTTATCATCGTGGACATAACTCCCTTGATTATCGACTCTGAGATTCGGATTTCCTATTCAATTATGTACTTGGACTTTTACGAGATCTCCAGGAGGCTATTTCGGAATGTAGGTTGGCTTCGTTCTCGACATAATAGCTCTCTGACAATTCGATTTAGTTGAACGCATTCTCAAAGAAGAGAATAGGACCTGCGAAGAGTTTGAAACTACCTTGGACATCGCGGTTTGGCCGGATGACTCAACAACTAGGAGTGATTCTGAGGACTTGTCCTCGTACCAGACCGAGTCACTACCAGAATTACTTCTCAAAAACATCGGATCAGTCATCGATATGCTCTATCGTTTTGCGTTCAAAGTTCGAGATCAGACTCTTCGTCTTGACTTGCCGATGTCCCGGAATGATATGCGTATAGGATCGAAAACCGAAAATTACCTCATACAACGCCTCGAGGCTATAGATGTAGCTCGTATTCCGAGATTATTCGCGTTTATCACGCAGGATATGATATTAGCTCGAAGGAATATCTGGTTCGACGCCTAACATTGGCTAATACGCACCGAAGGCAACGATTCAAATATTGGAAACATCGCAGAGATAAATTCAAAGCTCAGAGCAATCTTGCTTTTACAGGCCCACGAACAGCTATTTCACAGTCTTCAGCAGCCGAGGCTCTTTGCAAAGATGAAATTGACTTGACTGATTTTCTCTCCGTGAGTTCTTCAAGATCCTCCAGAAGTTCGACCAGTGGGGGTTTAGATCAACATGCAAGGATCCCCGATCCTCCATCCATAGAACCTGGAGTCAAGGAGTTCGAGTGCCCTTGTTGCTATACCTTTCTCTCTGCAAGCACACGCAGTAGAAAAAAATGGGTGTGAGTCTGCCGCCATTTGTTTTTAATCCGAGCTAAAGGAGCTCTAGATTCCACATTTACCGTGACTTGCGCCCATACATCTGCACATTTGAGGGCTGTAAGGATCCCGGCCTACAATATCAAAGCTTTCATGACTGGATGATACATGAAACTTTGAATCATATGTCTAATTCAGGCGGCAGCTCAGAGGCATATCTGGAGGCAGCGTCTAGCAAGGCTGCTGTCAAAAGGCCAAGAAGCACGGAGGCTCGGGAATGCCCATTTTGCGAAGAGGAGAATGCATCTGCTGCTCACGTTGCTCCACACCTTAGACGAATAGCATGTCTCTCTCTCCCAGCTTCGATAAACAACGACAGTCAGATAGAATCTTCTATTGACGTTTTCGAGAGAAGCGATTTGCATGGTGATAGCCAAGCAAAATGGTTTCCCCAACCAGACGATGAGCTCCACGATCTAGCCAATTTGTCAGTATCGCACAAGGGAGAAGTTTATCAACGGACCACTCAAATACCATCCTCATCCAATTATACACTGGCACCATCGTCAGAGAATCGACATTCTGAAGTACGCATAGAAATCCGTGGCGAAGAAGTCTCAGAAGGGGACAATGAGCCGCAAGTCGAAGTTGAAAGGTCGTTCCGCCAGTAAGTCTTGAATATAGCCCAGCCCAATTGCCTTTATATTCTAATATGCTTAAATTGACAGCTCGGATAACTCTCCTCCTGTTTCCTACCATTCTTCTTTTGATCGTGATTTTGTAAATGCGATGGCTGCAGCTGTATGGTATTGTTGCGCATGCAATTTCGGTCCGCATGATTCTTCGATCTATGGTAGCTGCATCAATTGTGGGGATGAAAGATGTGCATTCTGCCCCGTAGAGAAAGTATATTGATTGACACGGCTTGATAGGTCCTATCCAGTGTATTGGCTAGTTTAAACAGATGAGCCTCAAATTGCATTGTTTGATTAAGATCTGAACAAACTTCGAAATGAATTATCTAAAACAAAAATTGACAATAAACACTAGGAAGTCCTAAAAAGCCGCATACAGTTGAATAAGTTCGAAGCGTCCAACGCCCCATCCACTACGTCAGCCTCCTGCCGCCGGCCTTTCTCTTGATCCGATCCCAATGGGTCACATTTTGCACGTACTCCGGCGCTAGAACTGGCACAATCTCCAAGGGTTCACCTGGGGCTCTCGCTATTTGCGGCACATCGACATATTCCTTCATTTCGTGGTCTTCCATTTCTTCCGCCAGCTCCCTGATTCTTTGCTTGTTTCGGTCTTTCCTGAGAGCCGATCGTTCCCTCGCTACCCACTTCCTGCTATTCTCGCTTGGTATCATCGGGACCATAGGAACATACTCCTTTTTCCTCCTAGCCTGTGTATTTACGCTGGCGGATCCAGCTCCGCTCGCTACAAATTTTCTCCGTTCATTTTCTTCGAGTTCTTCTTCGAGCCTCAGTAAGCGTCGTATCGCAACTCTATCCTTATCGACTTTGGCATACTCCTCGTATTTCTGTTTCTTGCGTGCCGGCAATTCATCCGAGTCGTCCTCTTCGACTTCGTCCTCTTCTTCTTCTTTCTCCTCTTTATCCTTTGCTTTCCTTCCGCCCCCTCTCCGTCTTTTCCACACTGTTATAACGTCAGACTTTGCTTTATACTTTCTCTCCCCCTTTATTGTTGATGACTTACCTTCAAATCCTGTCAATCTGGGACCTGAACTTTCTTTTGCAGCCCCATAGCGTTTGGGATTTGAATTTCCGCCGCCAGCATCACCTGAGTCAGATGAGGACGATAACTCTTCATCTGAATCTTCTTCATCCACATCCATCTGCTCTTCATGATCATGTCCCTCATTGTTGGGGCACAAACAAGGTCCACCCAGAATCTGCCGGGCATCGTTCTTAGAATCAAAATGTTCACATTGATAGCGGATGCGAATCTCCTCCCCCGCCCGGATGTCCTTATGCGCCCAAACAATCACCCGGTTCAAGATTTGCGTGTCGTAGCCCCATTCTGCATTCTGCATTCCCGCGCACGTATGATTAAACATATTCAAGCCTGGGAGGACATACAAATTCAGAAATGCAGGGTCCCAATCTTCGAAAGAGTATCCATTCATGAGTCTCCGCTTTTGTTCCGCAGGGGTTTCAAGCTTTCTATCTTCCTCCTTGGGATGTACAGCACTGATGTCTCCACGACGTTTCATGTCCCAAGGAACGGCATTGACAAGTAGTTTTCGCAAAACGGTTTGCAAGGCCCAAGTGTCAAAAGTGAGATCACGGAAGATATTGACGCCCAAGAACGAAACTATGTCGAATGGGATAATAATGTTCGCAGACATGGTGAACGGGAACCAACTGTCCCGCCACGACCGGCTATTCCCACTCATGATTAGAAGTTCGTCGATTTCTTGCGGAGCTAGGCCTGGCTCTTCATGATCTTGTCGGCGAAGAAGAGTAATCTCAGTCACGCTTCTTAGAAGTAAGCTCAAAAAACGTCCCATGGACCTCGTTACTGTGGGAAATATGCTCCAATTGTCCCCATTTCCACACATTCGGCCGCATGGTGTCATATAACCACTTCCAGTCTCTACCACAGCCATCTTCGTGGTACAAGTCATAAGCGACGCTCACGCAAGTTTTTTCCTTCGAACCTGATGGGCAGAACATAAGTCCCCTTTTATCGGAGGGATTGCGATTCCAATGTTTCGCACATGTGCAGTACGGTTCTTCCTCCTCGTCATCAGAATGTTCTGACCGGGTATCGTCCACGGAAGGTCTTCTAACTTTGTCATCGACCTCGACCTTACAGTTTTCACATCGTATGTCGTCCACGTATCGCGTTTTCGTCCTGTCTCTGTTCAAGCGACGGGCTGGGAGATGGCCTCGAATGGTGGGTTCTTCCCAGTGAATTAATTCTCCTTTCTTGATATCTTTCTTTGCAAAGACACCAAGTCGTAGATTTGGCCTGTATTTAACCTCGCAAATGTCGCTCGGGGCAGTGGAGCTTTCTGCTTCTTCCTGTTTATTCTGGAAGATCTCTTCTGTGAGTTTTGTCGCCAAATTCTTTTTAACCTGAAACAGATCCAAAATATCATCCTTCTCATATGGATATGCGCTGGCAGCTGATACTGCACCCTGGTGTCGTTCAAACCAGAAAAGGCCCGGGCGGCGCTTCTCCTTTCTCCATGCCTTCTCTGCCTTTTCCGATACTCGCTTTCGTAGATCAGCCACGAATCTCTCTTGATAAAGACGGTTGGTTCTAGCAGCTAGCTGTCTGTGGTAGGAATCAAAGTCATCCCAGCAGTTGAGTGCTTCCAGGCTGAGACAGATGATATTGAGCAGTGTTTTCTGTATAGTCGAGATAAAAGCATACATGCCCTGAGGTTCTCGCATCATGGTAATCAACTCTGACCAGTATTTATCTTTATCCATGGGTTCTACCAAGATATGCTGCTCCATTGCATGGTGGATCTGTGTGTGTAATCCATCTGTGGAGAAACGATCTTGTACCTGTTCGATGGTATTGCAGAGAATCTGTGCGCGATAGGCGTCTCCGAGTGCCAGATCAAAAAACCCTTGTTGGTAATGGCAGTAGGCTCGACTAAGCCAGTAAGCGGGATTATAAGGGCTGAGGTGAATCGCAAAAGTGTACATGTCGATTGGAGTCATGGCTTTGTTGGTCGCTGGCTGCAGGATGTATTTGTTACTGCGCTTGATCCCCAAGTGCGACAAGTCGGATACAGACATGACACCACAGTGTTTTTGAATCTCGTCGTCAATAAGTCGCTGCTGGAGCTCTTCGGATTTTCCAACTTTTGATAATTCTCTTTCTTTCAATTCGGTTTTGATCGCGTTGGTGCTCCAGTTGACGACTCCACGGATCGAACTGTCATCTATGATATTGTCTTTCATCGATGCAATCAAGGCCGCAGTATCCCATGTTTTATTCAAACCCTCTTCGGCAAAAAGCTTCTTGGCATCGTCCTGATTCAAAGGCAAGACTGCAAAAATCATCAAATGCTCGTAGACGTTACGTGCCAGTCCTGGTTCCTCTGCCTCGGGACTGGGGTTGTGATCGGGGCGATCTTTCCATGCTTTTTCAAGGGTGTCATCTGCCAACTTCCATGCATTATAAGCCAGTTTTGCATCCGTCTTGGATACAAGAGGGCCGAGGTCGATGTGCTTTCCGGTATTATTTGGCCTTGGGGGCCATTCAGCGGATTTGATGGAGGTCCATGGAGCGGTTGGCAGGAATGATTCAATGAATCGCTTGAAACCGTGACCACCCGCCCTGAGTCTCCAATCTTGGTCGTCTTTGACTTCCTGGCCGTTTCTTGGTTGTTTCTGGTCCATGGTCCCTCTTCTTCCTTCCATGAAAGCAGTCTATATTATGAGACGGGTAGACACAGTGGTACGGTTATTCCGAAGGTTGTGCTTTGCATGAAGAGTCTGGTGAGGTGGAAATGACTACGATAGCATGAAGATAACTCGAAACTATCGAGGGTTTAAAGGAGATGGGGGTGTGAAATGTGTCAAAGAACAACGCGACAAAGGAACCTTGATCTTCTTTCATGTTTGCTATGGTATATCTACTTTCTTTGTTTAGCTGGGCAATCCAAGTACCACTCATCGAGGGTTAAATGAAAGCAAAGGGGCCAAATTAGAAGAAAAGGGTCGGTTATATGGAATACGAGTCGCGAGTAGTGCGAGTAAGTGTGATGGTTAGTTTGTTTCACATGGTGCAACTTTGGGGCCGCGGGGGCTAATATTATGCAAGGTGTTTAACTCGGGGGATATCCACTCTACATTCCTAGTGTCATCTGGAGCTCTAGTTTGATTCTAGAAATAGCAATAGATATTCTACTGTCCCGTGTGACTGTTATGTACCTCGAGATGTTGCATCATGTGCCACTATCATTGGGGCTACCTAGGGTACCTGTCAGGAAATATCTGTTAATTTTTGATTTTAAGTATAATATTAAAAACTCCCCTAGCATCCAAAAACAGAAATAAACATAATAAAAACTAAGTTTCTCCAGTTTGTAGTTTCGGGTTTCGGCTTACATGGTGTCCTTTTAAGGTGGAGTCGCCCCAAAGTTGAAATCGAATGGAGGAAGTGCTGAATGCCTTGGCCTCCGCTGCCTCCGCTCAACCTCTCCTTTTTTTTTGATTTCTTCTCTCCCCCCTTTCTCTCTCGCTCATATATTCCGAGCTTGCCTCTGGAATTTGGTGATTCCAAGTTTTAAGACGATGATCGATCATGTACGGCCAACCACCCCAGTCCGACTCTTCACAGCCAGAATGGCGACTCTCCCCACGCCCCGCCAGGAATGATGCGCCTTTACCTCCACCACCTCCACGACCAACCAGCGCAGTCTATACGCCAGCTACTTATGGCCCGATCTCAGGTTCAAACACAGTATCGCCAATAACTCCTCATTCTGGGTCAGGTAATGACCCAAGGACGTGGGGGGTGCGATATAATAATCAACATCAGCACATCCACCCCATTCATGCCCCGCCTCCACTGCCGGTAGGAAAATGCGCCAACCTTTTGTGTTGATGAGAGCTGGGCTGACCCTCTCTCTGAATAGCCTCGGCCATCGAGTACAAACGAACAACCCTATGCCTATACTTATGCCCAACCATTCACTCCGTCACCACCACCCGCGCCTGCGCCCGCTGCCGCACCAGCTCCAGCTCCGGTCATCAACACCCACTCCGCGCCTACAGCACATGGCTACGAATCTTTTGGAGATGCCCAGCCCCCATCGACAACTAGCTACATCCCACCACCATATACACCTTCACATGGAGCCCCTGCCCCTGTTGTTCCGGCCCCACCCCCGAAAATTCCTCAGGGGTATCAGTATGCACCAGTTCATCCGCATAACCCAACAGGGCAGCCCCCATTGCTTGCCCAGGGTGCGGGTCCTGCTGCCACGCAAGATTCTTACGAGTTACGGCCCCAAAGGATGATGAGTATAGCTCCTCAAACAAGCTCATCGGCCTTGGGGCCCGGCACCCCATCTGATTGGGAACACCTTGGTCCAACTCCTGGTGATTTTGACGATTCCGCATGGTTCCCACCCAGACAACCAGAACCAATCCCACAAGAGGTGATTCAAACCCCTCCGGGTTATTCGTCCGGTATACCTACTCCCGGTCCTACTCCTGCACCTGCGGCCGACCGGGAGAGTCATGCCACTGGTTCGCTCCCACATGTAGATACCAATTATCAGTATCAGCATCGATACCAGAACCAGGCTGCCCCACCAGCGGAATATCAATCTGATCACGCGCGCCGACATGACTCGGTTTCGCCGATTAGTCCTATGACTATGCTGAGTGCTCAGAGTCCCCCACATCCTCCAGCCCGAATGGGCAGTACCAGCTCAGGCGCATCCATGAGAAGCCATGCTGACAGTATCGACAATGTTATTGATGCATGGGTGAAGCCTTTGGCCCCTACTCCTCGGGCAAGCTCATCTAGCCAGGCGGATGCGCCATCGCGTTCGGATCCGCCGATGGATACCTCCCAGGAGGCCCCTCAGGAGGCCTCTCGGAGTAATTTGAACACCCCCGTCGAAGCCCCGCTACCTCTTCAAAATACCCAGCCCCCGATCCAAGATCAAACAGCAAGTCCACATACAATGCCTCCAGCGGAACCTCAAGGGGCCATCCCGGCAACCAGAGCTGTAGATCCATATGAAGACCTTGATCCGTGGTTCAAGTCCTCCCTCACACGCTATGTCGCTACTCTGCGCAAAGAGGCAGTTGCTGACTCGGATGAAGAACGCTATAAGATATTCACGGCGTTCACGGCGAAGGAAACCAAGCTCCGCGAGATTCTCTACAATATTGAACCGGAGCCACAACAATCCGAGCCATCCCCCCGTGTCTCCGCGCCGTCACGGCGATTGTCATCACTCTCAGAGGACCGTACTTCGACCTATGAGTCAGGCCTCATCCCGGTGGAGACAGAGGACATGGCTCCCCCCGATCACGCCAAGCACCGTTACAGACGAAGGTAACGATATGGATGATGTGGGAAGTGAGTATAGCGCCGGAGGGCGCCCTATTTCCGCCAAGCGAGCACGCCGAGGCTCCCAATGGACGCCAAAGCTTTCCAGTCTAGGTCCTGAGGAGAACCCTACGACTCGCCTTTCCAAGAGTTCTCTGGCCCAGCTGTCTGAGGAGAACGCGCAGACACATGACCTAGCACCTCTGACGATAAACCCTCCGCGGCCTATTTACACCCCTTTTCGGTATACCGAGGGTCCTCAGCGCGGCTCGGATAAGCTTTCCTTCGGCCGTCCCGCCTACCAGGCCTACTCTGATCTACGAGCATCTGCTGTAAACGGTCGAATTATGTCAAATGCCCCAGCACCCACAAGTCGCTCTCGGTCGGCCACCTTAACTTCTCCAGCTCAGAACGAGCATGATGAAACTTTCATTGGGATGATTCGTCACAAGAGCTCTGCCTACTTAGAAACAGCAGCTAATCGAAAGTCTATGCCGTCTGCCTTATTGCCAGAAGGTCTCCGCCAGGGACAAGGGAAGCCAAACGTTGTCGAAGAATTGCGTGCCATGGTTTGGACGCCACTTGACAAACACTCCGAAAGTTCATGGCATGTCACTATCCGAGAGGGCCTCGTCAAATTACCCAATGATTTCTCGTATATCCAACAGACCATCGATGAGTGGGAAAATACTGCAAAGACCCGGAAACAGAGTCTCGAGCAGGAACGCACAGTCCGCCAAGAAGAGTCCGAGGAGCAGATTGACAAGCTTTTCAATGAAAAGGAGATCGGTTATGCGGACATCAATACATTAGAAGAGGACTTCAGACAAACAGAGGCTCGCGTTCAGCTGGACGAAGAACGACAAGAAGTGGAGGACTTCGTTTCCCAGGTCTTCAATCCGCTAGATGAGCGACTTAAGGAAGAGATTTCTACTCTTCGCAAGTCCTATGACTCCGCGCTCCAGCAATTGGAACGGGATCAGAAGGGCAAGAGCTTGCCCGTTGAGCAGTGTAGCCCATCCGTGACGATGAAGATGGTCAATGAGACCCACAGCAAATTGGAACTTCGATTCCAGAAGCGACTCGAGATTGCTCTAGACTGCGAGCGCCGCCGTAAGAAGGCCGAGCGCCGTCCGCTAGTTTTCATGGGCGACATGGCCAGTCTCCGCAAACTGGACGGAGATTTCGATCGAATGGAGAAGCGTAACATTCTGGAAGCTGCCAAGGACCGCGACGACCGTGCCAACCGACTGATGGACTCCTTCGATGATGCAATTTTACACGGCTTAGGTATGAATCAGAGTTTACTGGACGAGCTTGTATCGAAAGTCGCCCGGCTGGAATTCACGACCCTCCGCGCATCCGGCGTACCGGATTCTGAAGTTGAACAGATCCTCAAGGCCGCGGCGACCTTCGCCGCCTCGCTTTGCGCCGACTCCGAGGCCATCCTGCGCTGCTCAGGAATTGCCGACATGGCTCTCAACGATGCCGATTACAACGTCTCCGTCGCCGAAGCACGCTATGCCAATTCGGACACGGAAGTTTTTCGGCCGACTGGAGGATGAGAAGAAGAAGGAAGATGCGATCTTAGAGACCGAACTGAACTCGAAATTGCAAAGCATCAAGAAGTCACCAGCGGAGATTGAAGCGGACGTTCAGCGCCTCCTCCAGGAGTTGGCCGATGCCCCTCCTGCCTCGCCCCCTGCTTCCCCTCCTGCTGCGTTGTCTCCAAGATTTGTGCCGGCCAGTCAGTTTATTGATGTCCCACCCCATTGGAACTTCGCCCTGGTACGGCGGCCCCCAGTCGAACCCCGGCTCCCCCGTCGGCCCCTCCGGCGGCTTCTCCGCCACCTCCAGTTGACCGAGCTACGGGCGCGGAGTCGGAGCATCAAGAAAGGTTGCGCAGGGCGCTGGAGCAAGCAAAGAAGCGCAATGCGGCAAGGAACCCATAATCCTTTCGCAGGCTCGTTATTTTATTTGGAGCATTTACCAGGGCAACTCTCATGACGCGACGAATTTCTTTGTGTCTACAATATCCCCCTCGTTTACTATCTGCATGCGCACAGCCATGGGATGTCCACGGCTTCCTTCAAATCAGCTACTATACATGTTTTCTTTTGGTTGTTTTGACCATCGATACCCACTCGTTCTATGCGGTGCCGTTCAGCCACATCGTAACTACTAGAATTCCATGCAATATGATTTGACTGCACGCGTATCTAAACCGGTTTAATTATAAACCGCCCCCCTGTTGTACTGTAGTTGAGTCGAAAGTACTTGTTGGATGGGGCTTGCACAGGCACAGGCCAACTATGAGTGGACACTTACTTCTGCAGGGTTGGCCGGAGTACTTTTTCCGTGTAACACAAAGCATTCATCAAAACCAACACAAGTCCCTCCTCGCATGCCAACAAACCAACATCAATCGAAACACCTCGACTTGCTTAACCGCTCGGTTTGACTCACTTACCAACACTCTGCACAGCAAGTCAGGTCCAACTCTTTTGATCCTGCACCGACGCTCAGCGCCGCTCTTATTTTCTCTGCAAAACAATGTCAGCGCCACCAAGTGTGGCTGCGAAAAGCAGGGGCCAAAGAAGTTCTCTTTTTTTGAAACCCTGACAAAAAAACGCACAGACGAATCCTGGCAAAACTTAGGAGAGGGGCTTTAAAAGGTAATCCAATTTCCATTCGATCATTTGGTCTCTCCGGACGCCCCGTGTGAATCCGATCTGATGCTGTGCAGACCAGGCACATTTTAGGCGCCCGCCCACAATGATTGGCGGCCGCGAGCCAGTCAGGCTGAATTAGACGCCAGTTGCTCGCCGATCACGACGTCTTTGCGCAAACGTCGATGATCTCGCCCTCAACTGCCCCGCAAGCCTCTGAATGGGATTGGGCGATGATAAAAGCCCACTCCATCACCTTCCTAGTCCAGAAGGAAGTCAAAAGGGCTAAGAAAAAGAAATGAGAGACCAGGCAGTATTCAGCATCTCCAGACCCAACTCCCAAACCAGCGGGCCCTGCTGTGCTGTGCTGTGCTGCACTGCGCTTTGCGGCACAGCAACACTAAAGCACGTCCGCAGATTCGCCAAATCACCTGTCCTAAACGTCAGACTTGAGTTCATACACTTAATTAATAAGAAGTATTGCCCGGTGCCGAATCGTTCGTGCACAGTTCGCGGGCGCAGGAGAGAAACGCCTGTCACGCCCGTTTCGCTTGCCGGTGCCGGTGCCCCGTGCCGCTGCCAGTCTCAACGTGAGTTCTCTGCCAATTGACCTGGGGGCGATATGCAAGGTAGGCTCATTGAATCACCAACGGGCAATTTCTTCGGAAGAAAACCAAAATGAGTGGATTTGATCGTTGTGGTGGGCCTGTCTTACTCTTCTTGGTATCGTTCAACCCAGTCAACGCCTGTCATAGGTATAGATGACCTTGGAGATTAAGAGTGCCTTACTGTGCTGTGCCGAGATGGACTGAGTTTTCAAGCACTCTCACGCGTACATACACGTACTTCTCAACAGGGCAAGATCTCCATAGCATCTACCCTCCAAATGCACGGAAAGAAATGAGTATGCAAAGTGCAGTGCCAAGGTAGTCACCCCCATTCTTTTAATGACTCGCCTGTTGGTGTGGATTCAACCTTGGCATGACAGGGTACGGGTACTCAGGGCATGTATAAGGATTCATTGCAACAAAATCACCCTCCGAGAGATATTCCCCGCCACTCACAAGCTAGGGCCCTTTTCGGCAGGATGTGCTGCGGCGAGACCACGGCTATTAGGAGCTAACACCAGGGTGGAAGCAAAAAGCGAGATGGCGAAGAGGGTGGGGGTGGATGAGAGAAAGGGGAACGGGCGGGTGTGACGCCTCACACTAGGACCGAAGGGAAGATCGAGATTCGTTCCCCGGCTGGACGATCGCAGCACAGCAGCCTGTGCCCCAAGCGGGCTGGCAGATCATCCAGCCAAGACACGTCTTTCTGGCGCAGGATAGCACAGCACAGCACAGCACAGCACAGCACAGCACAGGCCAAGCCAGCACGGATACAGAGCTAAGTCCAGGTCGAAGCTGAAGCTGAAGCCATGTTGATGTCAACACAGCTCTTTCTCATGCTTTGTGCATCTCAATCGACGGGGGACCCATCTTTCCGAGCCCGGGCCCTGGCCCTTGACCCCAGCAGATTCGCCAACGGCGTCTACCAACCTGCGGCATGCATCTAGCCCTGCGCAAGGTCAAGTAGAACCAGTCATTCCCCATCATGGATGCTCTGCCGGGCAGATATCTCGCGTGATCCCGGAGAGTAACTCACCCAACAACTAACTATGCACTCGCCCGGGCAGTGTCCCGGTTCAGCCTTTTCTTTTCCATTCATTTTCTCCGTCCTCCTCCCCTGCCGCCGCTAAAGAGGGTTAGGAGAACCGAGATCAAGATCAACCTGTCGGAAGGAGAGCTGCTCGCATGAACCCCAGATTTGTTTTCCATTCCACACGACGTCTGTGCGCGCATGCTGCGGATTAGTGTCCTAGTGTCATTGGATTGAGGGACCTAATTAAACGGTTCGGCCTTGTCGAGACCTCATCCCTTCAATTCCTGTGCACACCCTAATTTGCTTTCCCCTTGCCACCCCTAGAATCCTATCCTTACGCGCCGTTGGATCTTTCAGTTGACTGCGCTGAACGGAAGTGGACATTATTTTCAAATTTTCTTTCGATTGACCTGATAAGTTACCGGAACCATTTGATTTGCCATTTCCATTTATTTTCCATTTATTTTCCAATTTTATTTTCAAGGTTATTTTTCTTTTTTTTCTATTGTTTTTTCCTGATCTAATTATTTTTCCACCGATCTTATTCGATCCGAGAGCTCTCCAACCCTCTTTTTTTTATTTTTTCCCCTTTCTTTTCTTCCTTCCCCCTCTTCTCTCTCTATTCTTTTTTACATACTCACTTTATTCGTTCTCCTCTCTCGGAAGCCCCATCTGCAAGTGAACCTAGTCACCTCGTCGGCACAGGTTGCATGGCACAGGCGCAGGCACAGACAAAGACACAGGACAACCATTTTACGCTTAGTGTCCCAGTGGTGGATGCAAATGACGAAGATCACCAGTCAGCATTGCTTTGCACTGCTTTACTTTACAGAGCAGATGTCAGTGGACCAAAGAGCAGCACAAACAGGACAAGCAGGACCAGCAAATTATTTAAAGCGGGCGCCAGGGAAGCCCGATCCATGGTTCAGGGTACCCGCTTCCGTCCTTGGGTCGGAAGAACTCTCGTGAATCCAAATCCACTCAAGCTCTCCTGTGTATATTTCACCCTTCCTTCCCCCTCCCCTTTATTTCTCTCTATCATGCCTCCCCCGACGAGGCAATTCCACCGCCTCTCGATCGGCCAGATGCCTGCGCGGGACTCTAGGTCCGCCCGCGCGGGGCGGGCGGACCCTTCCGGTGAGAGGCTTCGTGAGGATAAGGGTGATACTTCGCCAGAGGAGAGTGAGGAGGAAGAGGACAGTGAACAAAGCAGTGGCGAAGGAGAAGATGAGTCTGAGGATGAGTCTGCTGCTGCAGGAATTTCGACTGTCTCGGCCCATTCGGGAATTACCTATGATCTCAGCCATCTAGATACCCGATCCGAGGCTCACGCCTTGGTGGGTTTGGGAGAACAAATCGACGTCCTTAATGCCTGTGCTTCATCTACTGGATATGACTTTGAACTTCTGGATAGACCTCGCGTTCATGTCGGCAAGGATTCGACCACTTGTACCTGCTCGGCTTTTCAAGAAAGGCCCGAAGCAGCTTGCCACCACATCTTTGTGAGTCGTTCCAAGCACTGAGAAAAAAGGAAAGGCGGGGAAAAGAAGACTGCGGCAGAGACTTCAGTGGGCAGGCTATTGAAAGCATTGCTAATCCAGCTCCATATGTAGTGGGTTCTTGACCAACTCCACGGTTGTTTCCCCTCCAATCCGCCTCCGCCCTCCGACGAAGGTGTAGTTCTGTCTCCCGACGGTCGACCACAGGTCGGGGCACGCATTGAAGATCTCCTAGAGGGCCAACTGGAAGCAGTCACAGGTCGTCTGGATTGGCAGTATATGCGGATTGACGGCGACGGCAGACGAACCGGCATGACACGCGCAGAGAAACTTCGAGACATCCTCTCAGCCTTCAATTCGAACATTCTAACAGAGAGCTTTCGCCAAGATCTCGTTGAGAAGACGACACACGCGCGCACCGCGGAGCAGTGCGTCGTACAGGGAGATGTGGAAGCAACAATCTTCCGCCTAGCCATGCTGAACGACGGCCTATTCATCGATCTCTGCAAAGCCCAGCCCGCCCAAGCCTGTGCGTCGATCTACTTTGACAAAATCCAAGAACAGTGCCGGCGCCTCCTGCGTGATTTCGACCGATACTGCGCGACGGGCGAGCGGCCGACGGATCCCGGGAGTCCTGGTGGCGGTATGGTAGAGGTGGACGAGGTAGTTGCGCAGTTGCGTAAATTGGTGCATCATATTCGGATGAATATTGCGCTGCGCTCGCCGCATGGTTCGGAGGGTGCTGCGAAGGCACTTGTTTCGATCCTTGAAGCGGTGACGGCTCGCAATAAGGATCCGCTGGATGGAAATAATTGGGGCCGCTCGTCTTTTCACGGCGAGGATGAGGATCAGCGGAATTTGTACCATTTGTTGATCGGGTCGGAGGATTCGGATATCGATTCTGATGAGGAGCTTTTCGTTATTGATGCGCTGGAAAGTCTCGCCCCGTCTGATCTATATCAGTTCATTAACCAGCTGCAGCCTGTTCGGCAGAGAATGGAGGTGAATCGGGCGCCCAAGGCGTTCCTTCTTCGGTTGGGAGCTTTGGTCCGAAAGGCTCAGTCGGCTGGTGCTGAGATTGCCTCTGGATCTGGACATAAACGTCCAGCAGTCGGGGGTTCGGGGGGCAACTCGAAACGGACTCGTTGATTAGTTTCTTTTTATTTCCCCCACTTACTTCTGCTCCTCATTTCTTCTTGCATCACTGTCATTGTGTGGATTTCTGCTACTCTGTCATTGTCATTCTTGGGCGGCCATCGCATTCATTCCAATCAAATACCCCCTGCATCGTTTGTTTGACCCACAGCGAGACTCCAAAATGCTTGTTTCTCTCTTTCCAGAATTCCACTATCATTATTTTATATTCTTACATTCTTAGTGTAGCTACCCCAGGTTCTAGCCTGCAACCATCATCCATCTAATCTGATCGATCTCATCTCGTCTTATCATCACATTCCCCAGCTTCCCATCTATACACCGTATGGACCACCTAACTATAATTCTTCCACCATGCTTCAATTTGCACAATCTACACCCTCATCCGCATCGCCACAATCATCAAAAACCGGTTCATTCACATCGTTCTCTACCCTGGGACCTAACCCCACAAAGACAGCATAATGACCACTATATAAAATTCACGACAACGGTGTCAGGTGTAGCATGGCGTCATAAACCCTCCTAAAGGTCCCAGCGCGCCGGGCTGGGGCCCCCGCGCCATGGTCCGGCACGCGCTCGGGTCGTGTCACCCTCGCCGCTACGCAGTGACAGTAGCCCGATTTGAGTGCTCGAACCGTGGAAACTTCACCGCGTTTTGGGCTTGGATCCCCACTTTACTGCACGGCCTGTGAAGATAATAACATTTGGTTTTAAATTGGACGAGTTGATTATTATGTGATGAAAGTTAGTAGAGTAGGGCATTTAATTTGTCTGCACCTTAGTGCGGAGAGCTGGCCTTTTTTATGAATAGGATGGATGATGGTGGGTGGGTCTATCGATTATCTGGTCGGTTCCTATTGTTTCCCGCTCATATCACGGAAAAGACGAGATTTGATGATCGAATAATTTCAAAAATGAGATAATATGCAAGTTTAGAATCAGCCTTGAAAAGGTTATCTCCCCTTTATTTTCTTGGTAAGTTCTCTCTGATGTATCGGAGCGTTGAAAAAGAATGGAGTTATTAGCTTGTAGCAAGTGCGCAAGCTTAACGTGTAGGCTTATAACAATCTATCAATCTCTGACAGGTCTGCAAGGGCATATTCTATTTTTTTGCTTGTAGTTATTTGACTCTGGTCTCTCGCCTCAAATCCTATTACCCCTTCCATATTCTGGGGGCATCTCAACCCTGTGAACACTCATTTTCCAATAAACTCAGTTGCGTCTACTGCAAATAAAGTCATACGATTAGATATACGCTATTATAATTTTTCTCGTTATCTGAGACAATATTATCGGATTTTGCGTGATAATATGCGATCAGCCTTGTTATAATCAACTGAAGGAATATCAAAACCAGAGGAGACTAAGATCGATTATGGAATACCAACAAGGGCAAGTCTTGATCATAAAAATGAAGAGGCTGTAATGTATCATTTTGATTAAGTATCATAATATAGCTATGATCAAGGGTATAGATGGTTGATAATTCAACAGGAAAATTTCTATGTGTCATGGTGTGTAGTGCGATTGTGGAGTCGGCGGAGAACTTGGACTCGGCAATTGCGCGGACTCGACCCAGAATTACAAAAGGTGACAGCATTTCAACTGCAATTCCGAGGATACTGGATGTGTTGAATTCTCTATCTGAGTTCAAATCTCTCCTTTCTCTCAAAATCCCAATTGCATCAAAATGTGTCAATATATACTACATACTACGTACTCTAGAAAATTGCACCGCTCCTTTCTCGTTCCACTCTTGCCCGCTTGTATATTTTTCATCTCCACTTATTATGGGGCCATAGGAGTATCTTGTGGTGAACTTTTCCCTTTTCGATGGTCTGAAAGCCTCGGTGCTGGTCCGAGCTTTTCGGGTGTGTGTGGAAATTGAAGTCAGCATTGTCCGCTTTTTTAACTTGCCCGAGCGGGCTAGCTGTGTAGATTCTGGCTTCTTTCGGAGCTTTGCAGACAAGTGGCTTCTCTTTTGGTGGAGTCTGCTGCTAAGGCTTTTCTTTCCGGGTGGGGATGTGAATTTGATTAAGTGGCCCGTATTTACTAGTGGAGGGTTGGTGGTTTAAATTCGGAGATGTTGGGTTGGGCTCATGTTTATGCAAGTTTTTTTTGGAAGCCTGGTTGGCTGTCAACGCGAAATTTCTACATTGAGAGTTATTAATGAGCGGAATCAATATTTCTCGTCAATTCAACTTTGATTTAATGCCGTGTAAAGCCATATTCGAAATGGAAGCTAGATCGGGGTAATCGATGCCATCCTATTCTCCGTGTTTTTATCAACTTGTTGGGGGCTCTTAGTTTAGGGTAACGTTTTGCTTTTATTGATAATATCTGTATCGAAAAGGCCCACCTCATCAAATATCTTCTGACAGGGCGTAGTTACGAAGTGTCGCGGCTCCGGAATAGTGTTTGCCATGGTGGAAAGATCGATCATGCTTCTACTGCTCTCGTCTGGCGAGAAAGCCGGTATCACGGTGCTTATAGAAAATGACATTTGAAATCTTCTGAGCCGATTTGCTGGCTTAATCTGTAAATCTGGTTAAGAAAATAACTTTAGAATTTTGAAATCAAGCTCAAGTGATCGGGCTTGAACTTGAATCCAACCTTGGAACTCATCTCAGGAGGATTGAGCACCATGAACCCAATGGAGACCAAGTATATATATCCAGCAATATTGGGACTGGCATTTCAACTTGAAGTTTCAAGTTTCAGACTATCCGTAAAATATGAGCTGATAAGGCTTTGAGGAGTATCTAGACCAGCAGATGGATTATTATCTAGGTACAAGGGGTAAATAGTGTGCTGGTGGCCATTTGACTATTTGATGTTTAATGTATTTAATGGGCTAGAAAAAAAATCTTCTGGCATTTTATCTCTTGATTCATAGTGGCAAAAGTGGAGCAGCATTATATACACTAGGCCGGCTGGCCCAATGGCAAGGCGCTTGACTACGAATCAAGAGATTGCAGGTTCGACCCCTGCGTCGGTCAATTTTTGGGTGATTTTCACTTCCCATCCTTCATAAAGGATGGCTTTTCTTTTTGCGTCTGTTATACACCAACTCCCAATGGACAAATTCGTTCACTTTTTTGCTCCCCCCGGTCATCCTTCACAGCAATAGCGGTCTACGAATCCGTTCTAAATGAGTCGAAACAAATGCATGATAACATCGCTTTATTTAATTCATCAATGGATACACATGATACTCATACGGTGATTTGCTTTCGAGGGTAATCAGCCTGAGAGGTCCAGAACGACACGACCCTGCAATTTGCCCTCTGCCATCTCCTGGAAAACAGAGGTCAAAGCATCCATCTTCTCGACCCGATAGTGAGCCTTGATGATTCCCCGAGCAGCAAACTTCATAGTCTCAATTGCCTCAGTGCGATTCCCGACCGCAGAACCCGTGATAGTGTAGTGTTTATTGATGAAAGACGATGGGAAAGCCGTCGCGATAGCCTTAGGCTCATGCTCGGGGATACCCACGCAGACCAAGGTGCCGTTGAATCGAAGCAGTGGCAGAGCCTGAGCATATGCGGCATTCGCGGCCGTACAAACGACAGCAGCATGGGCACCCAATCCATCGGTTAGAGATTGGACGTGCTTCTGAAGGGCAGCTCCTTCATCATCGGTTGGGAACTGGGTGATGTCGATGAAATGTTCGGCCCCGGATGCTTTCACGAGCTCGGCCTTGCTGCCGTGATCAATGCCAATTACACGCAGTCCCATGCCCTTACTGGCGAGTTGCACAGCAATATGCCCGAGACCACCGCCGGCCCCGGAAATGATGACAAACTGACCAGGCTTCGAATTGCTGCGCTTTAGCGCTGCGTATACCGTGACACCAGCGCACAGCATGGGGGCTGCTTGGGCGGAATCCAAATCATCGGGGATTGGAGTCACATAGTTGGCGGGACCAAGTGCGTATTGTTGGAATGTGCCGGGAGTATAGTACCCCGAGACCTTCTGGTTGAAACAGAGTCCATCACAGCCTACCTGGCAGGGCTCTGGGGGGATTTAGTTAGCAGGAAAGACATATGCGATGTGGAAAATGAAGCTGCTTACGGCAGTTGCCACATGCACTGGAGACCCATTTGATACCGACGCGATCGCCAACCTTCAAGCCAGAGCTTTCGGCGCCTGCGCCAAGCTTGACGATCTTTCCTACACCCTCATGGCCACCAACCTGGCCAGGCTGGGTGGGAAAAGGAAGCATGCTCCACTGTCGTATATCAGAGCTGGACAAATTGTATCAGGAGAGGAAGACCTACAGTGTTGGTCATGATGCCATAGTCAGAATGACATACGCCAGAGTGTGTCCTGCGATTGGGTCAATTCAAACCAGCCACCACCAGTGAGTGAAGGATATACGAACAAGTTAATAAGAACTTCACCCGAGCCGGGCTCAGGGACGTCAATCTCCACGACCTTTGTGGAGACCGTTCCTGGTTGGTCGAAGACCACGGCCTTTTGCTTCTTGGGGATCTCAACCATATTGAAAAGTCGATAGTAATATATCGTAAATAGGAGTATAAGGGAATGTTGAGAATTTTAGCTCGAATGATGAAAGAAGGAGGAAGGTGTCCTAGGATCAACAACAAGCTATTTGAAGGCTTTCCCCGCCAAGTGAAGAGGAGGTCCGGTTCATGTGGAGAGCGGGGCCTAGCCTATCCGAATGCACAAAACCATCGGGACCTCGGAGGCGGAATAAGTACTGAACAGAAGAGACCATACTTACGTCTGTTCTATTCGTCACTCTAACCGAAAACAGGAGGACGCTGATGAGGGGTGCGTGGTGGAGTCATCTTGGAGCCTCGGTTCCATAAGTGTGACTAACCTGCGATCAAATCATAGAGATGAGTATAAATTATTTTAATCCAGCTGATATTGGAAGAAAATAAATACAATCGGCATATTGAAGCCGGATTGACTAGGTCTATATAGATCTAGGCCTTAAGGTCCTCGGTCCATTGCAGCCGTGGACTGCATTGCATTGCTGCTCGCTCGGCATGCCCCGCATCCCCGCATCCCACGAGTATCCTAAGATCGGAGCGACAAGCGGCTACTCAGGGTTGCTTTAAACATTACTAGGGTTGAAATTATATAGGGATCACAAAAATGAAATGACGCTAGTACATTCTATACCTACTAATCTCCACCATTATAGTATCGGGCCTATCCCACCTTTACATCGAAAACTCTAGCCGGTTTCCTGCATAATCCCGCGCGAAAAAAACGAGTGGGATACTCCTTTCCCTTGGTACCTACAAGTAAAAGTAATTTAGTCAAAATACAGACTCTGGGTCTTTCGGGGGGAGAATGACTGACCAGAATCGACCTCTCCAGGCTTATCGGCCGTCAGCGGAGCTGCCGGCCCTCCCCGGACATGGTGATCATAAATAGATTTCTTGAGTGCCTCCAGCTCCTCACGGCTGTTGATCTTGAAGCATGGGTGCCGGGTTGAATTCGGATCCTCGGCGTTGTGGTCGGTGATGTGAATCTGCTGCCCGCTGGAGCCGATGTTGAACCTGCGGGGTATCATTTCAATCAGCCGGAGCTTTGGTGAGGTCTAGGAGAGCCGGAGATTTTGTCTCACTTACCAGCAGATTGTGCCAATCTGGAGCTCAGGCACAGGTGCCGATGTCAAGCCAAGAGTCTTCACATAAAATTCCTCTGCTTGCGCCAGCGTGCCGGGCGTTACCGTGAGATTGATGTGTGCGATACCGGAAATCATGATGGATGTGGTGAAGGGTGAGAGGAGAGATCCAAGGAATTCTTTTTTTCTTTTCAGAAGGGTATTTGAAGCAAGGTAAGCGCGACGGACAGAGAGATGTTATATTTCTCCAAGACGCGGGGTGTACGCGGGGGTGACACCATTTGGAGGCTCGGAAACCAAATCCCGCTGATTGGTGATCTGCTGCACTCCACACTGGAGTAGATTTCTCGCTGACGCTAGAATGTTCAACCGGGATTGGCTTAGATGCGAATCATGGGTGAGTCAGATACTTCCCTCATTTTTGAATATCGGGGTATATATTAGGTGACCGGGTCTGTTCGCAACGGAAAAGTTTCCAGGGGACCGGATTTAGTGATGGCAATGTCTTGTCATTCCTTGTTGGGCTATGGAAATATACTAGGATTTCAAAACCATGGCACAATGTCTAAACACCGATGCCGATCCAAATTCTGAAGCAGAAAACGCCAAAGCTCACATACCGCGAACACCTCACGGGGGGAGATTGCGCGCGAAACAGATGCTTACCCGGATGAAGACATAACCGATACCAGGGAGCCACGAGCCGGGGATTTAGTCACCATTCCCGGTCTAGCCAGGCCCTGAGTGATACGACCATACATACACTGACATGCAATTCATGCAATTCATGCTTTTCTAGGCCCAAGCCCCGACAATGCTCATGCAGAAGGCACCCAAGAAGACCAAAATGCAGGCATACACTCGCTTTCTCCCGCGAAGGACACGCCAGCTCTCATCACTGAGGAAATCTTCCGACATGAGCTCGACCAGGGAGGCGAAAATCAAAAGTCCAGACGAGATAGCATTCATGCAACCAACAACGAGCAGGCCGACCTCCGAATCGGGACTGTATAAGGTGTGGGTGGCGAGGCCGATAGCTTGTCCGATGGGGGGTTCTGGAGACAGGTCAATTTACGAAGAATATTTGATGGGAAAAGATGAAGCGCAACTTACGTGCAGCCATAAGCAAGGGACATGATCCACGGCTGAAGTTGGTCCTTCCTCCAAGGCAAAGAGGCGATTCGCGAGCCCAATGCCAGACCCTCGAATGTTTCTGTCTCATTTCGTTAGGCGACGAGGGGCACTTAAACGCCACATGAAGATGAACTTACGATGAAAGACAATGGCAATTAATAAGACCACAAACTCCTTACCAACAGAAACGCTAAGAGACATGCCGATGAAAACGCTGTGGAAGAGAATACCCATCTCAAGGAGATAAACTTGCATCGTTTCTTTTTTCTGCTTCTGTTCTGGCGACAGGGTGTATGCGTCGTCTTCACGCTCAAGGTCGGTGTGAATGGTCCCATTATCCTTCTCATGATGAGTTTGGATATTGGGAGCTGATGCGACTCGAACGATTTCCTCGTTGCCTTCGCCCATTCGATTGATGGCCCTGCTGATACTTGCTGATCTTCCGACAAGCGGACCCATATCCCGCAGATGGGATCCAGCGTCTAGCCCTATCGGCTGGGAGGAGGCTGGTCTTGGACTATTAGCGTAGTGGGTATTATTTGCGGTTGGAGAGGAATACTCTTTCTGGTCAGAGCGTGTTGAGTCAAGGTCGGCTTTGGGGGTTCGATTTCCTCCCCGGCAGACATGTCTAGCTGGACTGAAAACCATCTCGATAACCGTGACAAGAAAGATGCCGCCCAGTGCGATTGCCCCCGGCATTGCCGGGTAGTCCTTTGTCCAAAAGTCGGACAGGCATGGGTCTCCAAGGGAGGTGAAGGCAGTTGGGAGAAGATGTACGAAAGCTGTGGCGATCAGAACGCCGGTTCCGAAATGACTCACAAAGAAGAGGAAAGAAGCGGGTACATGCAGTCGGGGGAAGCGTGTTGCGAGAATCGGGAATGCACAGCCAAATCCCGATACGAAGAAGATGATGAAGAGCGCGGCAACGTGCAGCGGCATGTCATATGTATCGCCGCCGACTCCTCCAGAAGCGCATCGCGATCGCTTCTCCGGCTCGACAAAAGATCTTTCGATAGACGAGTTCTCGACGAGAAGTGGCTGGGCTGAGATTGTATGTTTGCTGCTACCAATGCGGGAGATGAGAATTGACATGCAAACAACCGAGAGCAGCCATAGTCCCCAGTCCTTGACGCGTTGGGATGAGATGAAGTTGTTGTTTTTTGGAGATACTTTCGGAGAGACCAATTCAATTGGGCTCTTTCTAGAAGCGAGGCGACCTATTGAATATTTTAGCAAGGAAGTCGATGAACTGAGGAGAGAGGGATATCTCGTTCATACCTGACTTTGTCAGGGACGCCTCGCCTAGCGCAAGCGAGCGATCGCTCGCATCGGATTTCCCCAGAGACGGTCGATGTGCAAAATTCGAGCCACTTTCTAGCAGATCCAATCCATTCTCATCTGATTGATTCTCACGAGCGTTTGAAATTCCGATGAGGTCTTGGCGAGTCGTCAAGTCCGGGGCGAAACGGGGCGGGTTCTGGTTCCAGTCATCGTGCAACCAGGTGTTGTCGGTGCGGGAGGGGCAATTCATTGTTTTTCTTCCTTTAACTTATACCTCTAGTCTGCTTACTGGGAGACAGAAATGTCACAGGGGCCCTATTTGTGTCACTCGCGACATAAGGCAGCATCGATTCTGGAGGCTTGGCAGACCGGTCCGACTTTGCTTGGCAGCGGAGGCAGCGGAGCCCTCTTTGCCTCCGTGACTGGCTTTGATTGATTTATCGGGCCGATTACGCAAGCTTTAGCGTTTTTTAATATGGATGACATGATACATTGAAGCTTAATGCAAAGATAATGGCCTTTGCGAATGATTGTCGTAAAATGGTAATCTCGTCCTTCTACTATTTACTATGTTGGGACAGTATACTAACGTGTTTGTATTCTAACTCTCGCTATCAAAGAGGCCCAAGAATCAAAATTTCGTTTCAAAAATGATGGATCTATAACCGAGACTTTGTTTTTGAATTCGGGCGAAGTATAGTTTGTTGAGTCATGCTTGCCAAAAGCTGACCATTCGAATCCCACACGCGCCCCTCACTATAAACCCTTGCATGATTTGCGACAAAACTACTCTGTTCTGTGTAATGCCATTTCTCGAGATTAAACTCATGTTCAAAGAAGCGGAGAGAAAAGTCTAAACTTGCACAAGCGCTCGCTTCGGATGGATGATACCCATTATTCAAGGCAGGGATGTATGCGAGACCCCTATCCATATAGAAGACTTCATTTTGAAGATGACTGCGAGCCCGAAACCTTTCTGTGTGGGTCGACTTTGAGGAGAACCTCGCGAGGCTCTCTTGTTCATGGATACGTGAATCGACTGGCGCGGTGCCGAGTGACAGCGGTTGAATTTCGATAAATCTCTCTATATCGTGATAAAGGTCGTTATCCGAGCAAGATATTCGAGGGGGACTTTTCAGGGACTGCTTGCTGCTGGGTACAGGCAGTGTGGTAAGCTCGGGGGCTGTAGAGAAGGCCACCATGGATTTGGATTCCATTACATGGAAGTCAGCTAAAGCGACCAGACAAATCTTGGAAGTTCCATCTTCATATTCCTGTGAGAGGCGAATCTCTTTTGTCTCAAAGCTTTGCTCTGTCTCACATCCTCGACGTGGCAGAAAAGCTTGGGATCGGTCTTTGCTGGCCGAATGAAATAGCCTGAGATAGAATAGAGGTGGAAGTTTCTGCGAGATTCTTGAAATGCGGCACTGACTGCAATTGCCAGAGAACTACCACCAAAGCTAGTTGAGGTCAAAGTCCCCAGCCTCGCTGGATGGCAGATGGAAGCGAAGCATCCAGGGCTTACTGAGTGCATCGCAACTTGTTGACTGAGGGTAGCCGCCTTGTATTGGAGCATCATGAAAATCCGAACGTTCTGGATGAATGCATGAAAAAGGAAGAAGAGTGAACATTCAGCGCCCCAAATTCGGGAAAAATACTGCGCCGGATACCGCAAGCTGGTATGGAGACCTTCAAGCTGTCATTAGAGACTCAAAGCAATTTTCCCTTTTTGTCCCTACACCATAAATTTCCGACTTGATAATCTTGCGCATCGATTCTCTCCATTCTGAAGGCAGGATCTCAATATTGAAGGTAGGCTGTGCAGAAGTTGAAGCAGAAGACAACTCCGGATCTAGATAATTGTTAGAAATATCAAGCCGCTTTTTCTCTCCTTTGCTCGTAGTATGTAGCTCCTCTTGATCGATCTGCTCGAGTAGTCTGGCATAACATTCCGCGATGCAGGTAGTCACGACGCCTAGTATTAATCCGTTCTGTATAACGGAAAAATATCGCAGAGGACACTGGTCACAAGTGCCGACGTCGAAGGCCTTGTCCCTGCATTGCCGAAGAATGATCAAATCATTCGGTACCACCCAGGTAGCTTTGTTTCTCAGTTGCTCCAGCAATAGATAAAGCACGGATGGGCATGCGCATTTCTCCGTCTGACCTGAACTTATAAGGTTCGGGAGAAAGGGGGCAAAGAAGGCTGATTTTGCGGTTGCGTGTTACTATATAGTCAAGTAAGTCAGCAGATATCCTTGTTTACAGTGGTAGAGTCCCAAGGGACGTACATATGATAGTCGTCCGGATATGGCGTATCGGAAGTGACCTCGGAAGCTATATCAAAGGAGCGAGGGATGGATCTTTGCGACGTCGACTGATCTGGCGTTCCATGACTTTGCCAGTTGTCGCCAGCAACACGACTGGAAAGAGGGGTTCCCTGGCCATGAATTTTCGGACCGGACAAACCTGAATGGACTGAAACGGGGGGAGTATCATGTCCAATGGTTTCCGAGTGTGAGATTCGATGTCGGGAGACACGAGGCAGATAGAAGACGCACTACAGCGATCGCAGGAGACCCTGACATGTCATCTACTAAGAGTACTACCAAGACCATCGGGAGCTTGTGTCGATCGAAGATGGAGGCGTGCATTCATCGCGAGAGTGGAGTGCCGTGGAGCCTAGCGTCAACTGGAGGCAAAATTGAAATTGTGGGTGATATTCAGATCGAATGTCATCGAAGACTTTTCACTCTCAGACTCGGAGCCAGTTGAGTCAGTTGTCTCGAAGATGCGGGGAACCGAGAGCTCGTGGCCAGGGCCCGGAAATAAAAATACTCAGGGCAAAATAAATGCGAATTTGTTTCGGAATCTTGTATTTACAAGAATACCGTCGTGACTACTGTATTTTAGAGCCCCTAGTGACCGAGTGGTATAATGTTAGTCACACTCTGACTAAGGACTTTGTTACATGGAGACCATTCCTCGGGCCCTTCGTCGGAAACTCCTTCACTTTTCAATATATCCAATAGTGCACATTGCGGATCAGAATTTCAAATTGAATGTACTAGTGGCTATGGAAGGCTATGATATCTATGAAATACTATTCTCACGTTCCGCCGCCCCAATATGCCAGGATGATATCGGCCAGATCAGTCAGAAGCGAACGGTTACCCCCACGGTGGCCGGCAATAGTGAGTTTCATACTATAGCCGTCATACTATAGCGGATGCCACTGACTTCCCGAGGCCTGGCTTTAGAAGATTCCTCAGATACCTGTCAGATATGTTTAGAGCCATTGCAAAGCGCGTCCGTTTTTCGAGAGCTTTGCTGTTCGCACAGTTTCCATATTCCTTGTATTGATGTTTGGCTGAGCCGGTTTGAAGGAAGCTGCCCGACCTGTCGCATGACATTTTGTTACATAAGAAGGGCTGGCATAAGACGACGACTCCTTCCAGAAGGACAGTTAAGAAGGCCTACTGAAGGGGGACCTTTGCACGGTATCAGACGTATCCTACAGTCAGTTTCAATTTGGGCTCGAGGGGTATCCCGGGATTCCTAGTAGTGCTCTCAGAGACAAATAATCACCCTTCGAATGGGGAGGTTTCCGGAAGAATAAATCTACTTTTTGCACTCAATCAAACAATCAAAATAATCCGAGAAAGCTAAAAACGGAAGTTTCCAGCCCAAATCTTTTGGTAGAGGGAATATGCCCAATCTGTGAAGAATCCTCGGAGAAATCACAATTTCTCGGGGACATTTCGCTGTACGGAGCCATCAAGTATTCTGGAGCGAGGTAATGACTTTTCCATGCGTGAGAGACATTGGCTGGGGAAGGAAGTCGAGGCCGAAGGCAATTGCGGCAATTGCGGAAACCATACGGGAATTTTCCAAGGTTTTAATGCAACCCGACCAAGCGACCTATATTTTGAGTCATTTTCAAGATTCCATGAATCCGTTGCCCTAGATAAGCCCTTATTCTCGAACTGCTGAAATAAATCCTTTCAACAAACCGATCGATCGACATTTGCTCTGAAGTTTCGCTCCCGAGAACTTGAGCCGGCGTTGAATTCCTTATGCCGGCGATGCGGCTGAATCGCAAGCTCGACCAACAACTCGACAACAAGAAGAGTGATATAGAACACGCATCCGCTCAACCAGACCAAATCCCCGATGGAGGCCTCATAGCGTGGGTGCAGGTTGCTCTTATGCACATCGTATTTTTCAATACATGGGGCGTCGCCAATGGCTACGGCATCTTCCAGCAGTACTACACCCAGACACTCGACTTGTCAGAATCGGCAGCTTCATGGATTGGGAGCGTGCAGGTATTTCTTCTTTTCTTCATCGGTGTTTTCGCGGGTCGTCTTACTGATGGCGGATACTTCCGAGTCATATTTTCCTTGGGTGCTTTTCTCCAAGTGTTGGGGGTTTTTATGACCTCGTTGGCGACAAATTACTGGCAAATATTCCTCGCGCAAGCTTTTTGTCTCGGAATTGGCAATGGCTTGACATTTTGCCCGGCGTTGGCAGTTCTCTCTCAGTACTTCAAAAAGAAACGAGCTTTCAGTGTTGGGCTAGCGGCTGCCGGTGGCGCGGTTGGGGGACTTGTCTATCCGGTCTTGATCAACTGGTTGATCTTCAAGGATGGCGTTGGATTTCCATGGGCTCTGAGAGCTATGGGATTCATTATGCTCGGAACATACATCCCATGCCTGATATGGTTCAAGCCACGCATACCACCCCGGAAAAGCGGCGCCTGGATAGATACATCTGCATTTTCCGAGATGCCCTTTGTTTTCTTTTCCTTGAGCATGTTCTTCATTTTCTGGGGACTCTATTTTGCATTTTTCTACATGGGTACCTTTGCCCGGGATCAGCTTCAGTATGCGGAACCGATTTATCTGCTGATGGTTCTCAACGGCGTCGGCGTGGTCGGACGAACCGTGCCATCGATCATCGCAGATAAGTGGACCGGCCCTCTCAACGCTCTAATCCTGCTGAGCTTTGCATCAAGCTTGCTTGTATATTGCTGGGCAACGATAAACTCCATCGGCGGGTTGTTCGCCTTTACCGTTGTCTATGGATTCCTTGCAGCTTCGCTCCAAGCTCTTCTCCCAGCAGTCGCGACTACCATGACACCCCACCCAAGCAGGACGGGAACTCGGGTGGGAATGATACTCGGTTTTGTTAGCTTTGCAAATCTCACTGGCCCGGCAATTTGCGGTGCCCTGATCAGAAGACAGGATG